TGAAGTCCTTTCTCCCTTTCCATTACAGAGTCTCTGTGTATTGTTCAGCCTTTAACAATCTTTTAAAGAACTCTCTATTTGGAGTTGGATCAGCAGACTATCATTAATTTTCATAGTTCTCCTTGGTATAATGTTGTTTCCTTATCTGTCCTCTCGTTTTTCCTTTGACTCAGCCTTTGAACGTTAATCTGCTCTTCAGTGATGACTGCATCCACCCTCATATCGGATCTATTTGTTTGTATTGCTTGAGCCTAAACTGGATTGCAAATTTCTTCTAAGAGGTGGTGATTTTGATAACCAGAACAACAAAAACAAAAAGCTTCACAGTGTTTCAAGAATGCTCAGATCTGGGACCCTTGAGTAAAACCAGGGAGCTGTGATCTGGGTTTGAATTTCCCCAGATTCTGTGTGTGTTCATGTGCAGAAATCTACACAGAGGACATGATTCAGAGCCCTGCATGCAGTAGGAAAAAGGGGGGGAAGCAAATTTAAGAGTTCATAGGAACGCATAACACTTACTTCAACATATAGGATCACCTATGGTGGTCTACTTATCTGGTGGATAAGGCAATCTGGCACAAGTGGGGTGTGAAGACACTAGAACAAAGCAGATTATTTTCCCCAGTCTCTGCTTTAAACAGAAACACTCACATATGCTATTTCCCAAGTTCTGTGTTAAAGGCATGGCATGTGATGGGAGTTTTTTTTTTAATCTTGGTGCTCCACCCTCCTCATTCCTCTGTGTGTTCTGGGAGACCAGGGGGAGTGGAGCTGGTCTCAGAAGGAGGGGGAGACTGCCTGGACTCTTCAGCAAACTGCTCATTGCTGCCTCTTGGGCCCCCCTTCTCTCCATCCTCCGCTTCAGCCTCTGATTCTGAACTGCCTTCTGCCACAGCCTCTTCCTGCTCACTAAACCCTGTTGCTTCTTCAGCTTCTGAAGGCAGTTCTACTCCAGTCTACTCCCTCTGACCTCTCATTGTCATCCCACCACCAATCCCCTGGCTCTGAGTCTTCTTCTCCTGGGGCTTTCCTTGGGGTTTCCCCAGCTGGTGCCTCCCACCACTCCTATGCATCCAATCAGTCCATCACACACACACACACACACACACACACACACACACACAAATTCCCAGGATAATGGGAATTACTGTCTGGTTTTTGCAAGAACCCAGTTATTGTCTTATATTCTCCTTATAACAGGCAAACATTTCAAGGGACCCATGCAGCTTACCCTGGCCTACATTGTTAAGCTGCTAGTGACATGTCCTGGCTCATGCTATCAGCATGGCAGAATCTTCTTCATGTGGTATCAATGACAGTAGCCCAAGCTCTGCAGTCAAACTGTCAAGCGCAGCCTTGGATGGTGTGAAATACTCTCACACTCCTCCTTGCTGTATTGTGACAGGACGATGTGTGATTGCACTAATAATGTGCAACGTCAACGTTATCTGTACAGGAAATAGTTGCCTGGCTGATGGTAGTGACAGCCTCTAGCTCGAAACCCAGAAGATTAAACCCAGCTGGTTGAGGGCGATCCCAGTCTAGTAAATTTCTCCATGTCATTGACTTGTATGGAACTAGGGGAAGCAGCTGCCTAGGAATTACAAAACAGAACAAATAGGCCCCCATTGTGAGGTTTCCCCTTTTGCTTCATGCAGTCATCAAGTTACCCATACTAGATCAAGGCTAGTTTATGCCACAGTAGTGGCAAGGGGGAAACTGCTCCACAAAAATAACTTCCTGTATACAGAACGGTGTACATATCAGCCACTCTGTCAAGCCTGTCTTTACATTCTGTGTGAGAATGTTGTTGTTGTTGTTGTTATATCCCACCCATCTGGCCCCAGCCACTCTGGGCAGCTTCCAACCCCTATATAAATATAACCAAGCACTAAACATTAAAAAATCCTGATACAGGGCTTCCTTCATTTTTTTCTAAAAGTTATGTAAATAAATGGAATTGTCTTTCACTGAGTCAGACCATTGGTCCATCAAGCCTTGAACAGTCTACACTGACTGGTGGTGGCTTTCTCCCGGGGTTCAGGCAGGAGTCTTTCCCAGCCATATCTGGAGAAGTCGGGGATTGAACCAGAGACATTTTCTGTGAAGCCAGATGCTCTACTATTGAGTTAAATCCCTTCTTCCATCTTTTCCTCTCCATCCCATCTACTTCATGCTCAGCTCCTGGGTAAACCCAAGTCTCCTGATTATCTGATTGTGTCTTGTCATTGCTGAAAAGTATATATTTTTCAGCGTTTAGAGGAGATTTTTCCTACTAGCAAAGCTGTAGAAGGAAATCACATCACCAGTGAAGGGACTGCCAGCCCGCTTGGCACTTTTCTTCTCATCCTGTTTTCGGAGCCCAGCGTCTGTCATCCATTCAATAAACAAGCAGCTTATCACACCATAAACATTTATTTAACCCCTCTCTTCACCTGGATCCTTACCAGCCAAGCAAAGGGCTTGATGGGGGTATCCCCTTCCTGTCTAATTACCACGGCAGAGAAAGACACACACACAAACTTTATTCTACTCTGCTCTGTTCTTCTGATACATCTGGAGAAGTTTGGAAGGAGACACTTCATTTCACATAGCTGATAAGTACCTTGTTTCCCTGCCTTCCTCATAGCTCTTAGGGCACCCTGCTTCCCTGAAGACATACCACTTATCCCATCCAACTGGAGTTAGCTCTAAATTCTGGAGATGGCAAGCAGAGTTGTTTGCATTTCTCCTTTTAACAACTGACTGTGCTGGACCCAGATTGCAATTCCAAAGTGTGTCTGTGAGAGAGAGAGATTTTATTATATATATCTCACAAGATATTCTTTGACTCTGACATCATCAGAAAATGGAATTGGTTAAGCATGTCCATTTCCTTAGCTCCCACAATATCCATTTTTCTCTCTGTGGACTTATTTTGTTTTTCTTTCATGGTGTTGCTCCCACACAATGGGGCCAATTTTTGCTCAAGACAAAGAAAACATAAACAGACATGTATTTGGAGTTAGCACAACGTCTAAGCTCAGATGACTCTCCCCCTCCTTCTCTGCCTTTCCTCCCCCTTTTTTCCATTTTGCAGCATAGAAGAGATGCATTGGTCACTGCATGTTTTAACCATTAAACATCTGATTTACAGTAAGTGGGAACTGTGTGCCTCTTTTTGAGAGCTGCAGTCCTAATGTACATCAATCTAGGGAAAGTTAGCTAGATCAACGGAACTTAAACATTACTCATTTTATCTGGATCAGGGAAAGGTATTTAGGATCAGGCTGTAAGGGTTGCAAAAACAGGAGCAGCAACTTCCAATTCCAGCGAGTGTTTATGCTGTAGAGTTAGAAGAAGCATTAAACTCATCCCTCTGCTTGCTGCAGGCTAACAAACCTCAGTTTGGAAAATTGCCTGCACATTATGCTTCATAACTTTCTTTTTAGAAGGTCTAGACTTTTTTAAAAAAATCATGAAATGAAAGCTCAGACTTTGAGGGCCCTGCTGTAATTACTCCACTTGTACCATTATAAATCCAGTTATCTTAGGATGCCATGAATTTCTGTTGCTTGGTGTCCAAGCAATTCCCTTGTCAATCGCAGCTCTGCCTTCACTCATTAGCTAAAATCATGGGCAAATGGCAGCAGCAGCCAGGATAGTTCATTTAATAGAAATAGCTTAGAAATTGCACATGGTGCTTTAACTCTCTTTGTAGAAGGGCTAGAAGCATGCCTTTTATTTTATATAAATGTAGTCTCAGAGTCTGGTGCACCTGTTTGGAGGTGCCAATGAAGACCTTCATGGGTGCTGGGTTGGCGAACCCTGCCCAAATGAGCCAGGCCTCCTTTAGCTTTAATCGGAGAGTAGGGAAAAAGAAGAGTAGAAACAGCACAACACACTAAAATACTAGAATTCAACAGGGACACTTCGTTGTAGTCATGTTTTCAAGCTATCCTCTCAGTTAACAGTGTTTACTTGGCCTACCAGCTGCAGGATACCCTAATTCTGCACATATTGTGCATACCTATAAACCTGTTGTTGATTATGGCACTCCTCAAATGCCTGAAGGGTGGTTGCCACAATGAAGAGGACAAAGGACATGTTCTCCACTGGCCCAGATGGCACAACTAGAGCTAATCGGTTTAAATTACAAGACTGTAAACTTTGACTGAAGCTTCTTGATAGCAGGAGCAGATCAACAATGAAATAAGTTACCTAGAAGTTGTGATGGGGAAGAAATTCAGTTCAGACTGCATTTAAAGCTGAATTTATCAAATTTGCACTTTCCGAAACAATATAAGAACCGAAACACAGGCATTCTTGAAAATTGTCACTTATCTGAATTTTGTGATGCAGCCAAACAATGTTTCAAAAATGCATATATTGGGGGTGGTGGTATAAAAATGAACATATCTGTGAAGATAAGATACAATGCAGCATTATATTAAACAGAAGTTGCTTGCAAAAATGTGTACATTAGTGCAAACTGCAGACAAAAGTGTGTGTGTGTGTGTGTACAGAGAAATTTGCACTAAAATGCTGGAGAATTTTCATGAGATTTTTTAAAATGCAAATCTCTGCAGAAATGTGGACAATTGAATTTAAAACTGGAAAAATTAAAGAGAGATAGAGAGAGAATTGAAATTGACAGATCCTTTCACCCCTAGAGGAGGGATAGTGGGCTCTCCTTCGTTGGAGGTCTTCAAGCAAGGGGTGGAAAGCCAGCTGGTGGAGATTCTTTGCTCTGGATTTTCTGCAGAGGGTTGGACGAGAAGACCTACAGGTCCCCTTCCAACTCTGTGATTCTAAGTTTGGGTGGTTTGGGGCAGTGCTTTTATTAATGTGCATGTATATTGCTAATATAGAGGGTGAAAAGAAATGAGACGAAGAAACCGAAAGCTGCAGAATATGGAATAAACTTGTGAGTGTGTATGGAAGTAACCAGCCCAATGCTAGTTTCTGAATGCATTGGTTGAAGATTAGGAATAACTCCGGGAATTCAGAACTCTTAAATCATGGGGGGAAGGATCCAGGTAATTAGAGTTCTGGAAACATCCCTAAGAGCTGATCAAATAGGCAAACAAGCATGAAAAGCAGTGCCGGTTTGAGGTGCTTATAAATATCCCACTGTAGACGCACACAGCAAAATGAAAGTGCCCATTAGCATCCAGTATCCAGTTTTATCCCAGCAAGGGAATCCTCACACTGTAGCAGTCCCACTGGGAGAAGCAGTCGAAGGGCACAGCGTCCTGCTTATAAGGGCTGCCTGCCAACCTTTTGCAAGAATGTGTGTCTCCCTATTTTCCTCTACAATAAAATAATAATTTGGCAGAGCCGGGGAAGGAGATAGTAAATCAATACCAGATTGCAGACCTCGCTGGGAAACTCAGCCTATTTGTCAAAGCGTGTCAGCTTGCTATGTGAACTGAACCCGGTTCGAAGCTTCTGTACTTGCTACATGCTTGGCTTTAGGAAATGGAGAAAAAGCTCAGCACTGTGTGGTGCTCACAACAGGTTTAGCAATCATGGTAATGTGCTTTTGAAAAGTAAATGCTGGTTGGGGTGCAGAGTTTGTTATCAAGATTTCAGCACATGGGTAGGGGAGACTTAGGCCTCCCTTCACTGATCACAGTCTCTGTGAACTCCTCCTTATTCCCTGTCCATGTGACAACTGGCATTAGGAGAAAGTTCCCATTGGCAGTAATCACAGAGTATTACATTGCCAACTTGATGGCAGTCCCCTTGCCTCATGCCATGTGTTTAATGGATTAATTGCTAATCACACTGTTAATGGCGCATGTAGTCAGGCTCCAAATTCATGGTGTTGAAGGAGGAACAATGTCATTATTTGTCTAAATGGGTGCCATTCTACTAGTCTTACACTCAGTAAGCAATGTGTGGTAGGAAGGAATCAGTGGCAAGTAGAGTAGAACCTGGGAAAGACTGGGTGAGTAAGCAGCCACAATGGTTATATGAGACTGTGGGGCACTGAGGCCCTTGCAGGTGGTGTTTCCGTGCCAGCAGGAAAAGGAGGAAGAGGAACAAATTGAGCCTTGTCGACTCAGCAAAATAGAGTGGAATACTAAAGAAATGACTGGGTTCTATTTTCAGCCCTTATGTGATGAGCAGTTGATCATGTTACTTGTATGATGCCATGAACTTTTTTCTTCTTCCAAAAAATCCAAATCAATCAGAATGTCTCCGGAAAAGCCTTTCTAGAAGTTTATCCATGAACACCCCATACAAATATTGTCTAGCTGCAATCATGACTATAACCCCCTGATGATGCCACAATCTACTTAACAAAGTTTTTCCAGTTTGTCCCCACCCAGAGATACTTCAAACTGTAGCAATGAGCCACAAATAAAGAATATGGGGTTTGTTTTGTTTAGAGTTTGTTTGGTCTTTGCTTTGTCTCATTTGTAGCGGTTGGACCAGTTTTCTTTCCCCAAACCAGCAACTAGGCTCACTGTGAGGAGGTTTGAGAACCCTGAGCATTAGAGAATGTTTTCAAACTCAGTTCCTCCAAGATGAAAAATGTAGGCTGTACAGGGCGACTGCAACAGACACATGCACTCTCAATCTCGCTTTTTCCCCTCACAGCATTAAATTTCTCCTTATCTAAATGTTTTATAGCAAACATTACAAATACTACTTTACTTCCATTTTGCCCTGATGCCGTTTGGCTGCTCTTAGTGGAGTTGTTCGGCATTTGCCTCCTGGCGTCCAAGATCAGAAGCAGGCCTGAGGCTGTTATTTATTGCCTGGCTTTTGCTTTCGATAAGAAATATTCTTTCACATGCCACTTTCCTTTTACAGAAGCGCCCTGTGTCTGGTGTTCAAATTATGCTTTCCAAGTTCAACTGTGCGTCTAATTGTTTCTGGCTTCTTGAAAAGTACTCTGGGGTAGTAGACAAGCCGTCAGCATGTGGGGAAAATGACCAGTGACTTAATATAAACCTCCTGCCTTTTATCAGCTAATGTCCTAACTTGGGTTCTGGCACAGACCTTTACCTTAAAGCCATCTAAATCTTGATGGAAAATAAAATAGAACTCCACATACCTGTCCTGTGGATTGCCCTTATCAGAAAGGGTTAATTGGTTCAATTAGCCCCCTCCCCACGCTGTCTAGCTTTCAGCACTTTATGATGAAACAAGACATATTGACATTTTTCTTAAATGAAAGTATCTTGCAACTTTGGATATGAACAATCCCACTTGTTACACTTCTTTGTATTTCCTTGGATCTCTTTCTTACCCTGGAAAGATAATGTTCCCTTGACAGAGCTAAAGGATGCTGTAGCAAAGACTGCACTCAGAATTTCCATTCAGGACAGCCTTTGCTTTTTTTGTGTCCAATACAAGTACCAATAAATTTACAGTTACAAATGTGTTCAGAGCCGGTCAAACCCGTGGGCACATAGGTGCTTCTGCATGCACCTATATGCATAAGTTTGGGAAGAAAAAAGGTACTGAACTGTCCAGTCAAGATGGACCAGATCAAGCCTAAAGTGTTTAGTGCCTTTATCTGCATTGACAATATATGCTTTATTATTAAATCACTTTGGGTTGTTTTATGGGAAACAATTTCATAACTAAAGTAACTAAGTAAATAAAATACTGTTTTTCATTTCTCGTTTTTTGGTTTTTTTCTGATTATTGCTCCAACTGTTTTACCATTTGGTTTACTGTTTTGTGCTTGTTTTATTGGCCTGTCAATGGCTGGCTGCTATTAGTGGTCACTCTGGCAGAGTTTAACAACAACAATTATAGTTGTTAACCACCCTGAGTGTCCTCATTTAGGGAAGGGGAATGTGGGTTGTGAATATTTTAAATAAATGAATAAAACATGCCCTGTGTGTGGGTTGTGTAGCCTTTCTTTGCACTGGCTAATTCATTAAGGGGTGGACAACATCACAACACATAGATTTTGTAGCCTATGTAGTTGATTCCAAATGGAGGCTAAATATGGCACAAAGATCTTGCAAATGGGGCCATGGCAACAGGTTGCTGTTTTCTAGTTTATCGGATCCCCCCCCCCCCCAAAAGTATAAATCCAGATTAAATGGGGCAGGTGTATACAGGCTGCCATTCTAGTGCCAATTATACCCATTCCACAATAGACAACCAGCTGGACACACCCATATTGACAACTCTCATAGATAGCTTTGAATTCCATTGACTTCTCCTCATGCTCATGGGAATTATTATGTTTCTAGCTTCCACAGAGAAAATGGATGTTGTTTTTTGTTTTTTTGGTTAATCACCATGTATAACTGCATGATAAAATTCAAAGTAAAAAACAAGCCATGATTCTCCCTTCCCCAAAGATTTGGGAAGGTTGGCAGAAGAAGCGCAATCTCAGAACGGACTGTTCTCTGGAATCTGGTCAGAGGAGCCACATGGCAGGTTTCCTTTGAAGGACAACAAAAGAGTTGTTGTTGTTGTTGTTGTTGTTGTTGTTTTAAAAATCAGCTGAGAAACTCTTCTGCCCATGCTCAGCAAATGTCAATGGATGAACTGTTAAAGTTTATTGGAAGTTCCATTAAAAGAGGTTTGTTTTTGCTTTTCCATCTGAAAGTGACATCAAATAAACCAATATATATAACGGTTGAAGTGTGGAAATGATGTGGAGATATGGCATGTGAAATGTTGAAAACCATTATAAAACCCTTCATTTTCTATCTAATCTACCTATCTACGTCTATCTATCTATCTATCTATCTATCTATCTATCTATCTATCTATCTATTTCTATCATCTATCATCTATCTATCTATCTATCTATCTATCTATCTATCTATCTATCATCTATCTATCTATCTATCTATCTATCATCTATCTATCTATCTATCTATCATCTATCTATCATCTATCTATCTATCTATCTATCATCTATCTATCATCTATCTATCATCTATCTATTTTTAATGAAATAAAAACTGTAAGGCTAGAATAAACCATTGAGACAATGCTCTTCATGCATACACGCCTAACATATTACTGCGATATACTACAATATACAGACAGCATAATTACATCAGCCAAGCGAGGGACATTTTAGCCATGTTTTTAGCCAGTGTCTATTCAATGTGGTAGTAAACAACTAACTGCAATGTAAGCAAGTTGACCTGAAGTGTGCTTTCAGACCACATTAACTCACTACCGAGCCATTGGACTGAAGCACATTGGTTTATGTCCGGAATCAACAGACCCCCTCATTTTAAAAATGTCTGAAGTTCTTTATTCCCCAGGACAATTCTGAGAAGATAACACTCCAGAATTTTATTCCCCCAACTATTACCATGGTGATATGGCGCTGTGTGTGTGTGTGTGTGTGAGAGAGAGAGAGAGAGAGAGATGAACAAATATTTCATTCCATCGTATTTTATCCTCTCAACTTGTTATTTTTATGACCACATGTTCATAGCCTATGTAGTACCTAAAGTATCCTGTTAACTCTAGGCATACAGGTTGTGAATGACTTCAGATAACCTGTGCTCCCTCTGCTGGTCCTAGAAATGTAGGAAATAAGCACGCACACACTTTGAACAGAGTATATCAGTTATATCAGAAAATGCAACAGCAACACTTTTGATTTCAGGCAAGATATGTGGATATATTTGTGAAGTGGAATTTGTAGGAGCCAACCAATGTTGACTTTCAATCAAATTTTATGACTGCTGAATCTACCATAAAGGTCGGTCTCTCTCTTCCTTTCTCTCTCTCTCTCTCTCTCTCTCTCTCTCTCTGTTTTTTGCTGTAGTATAACAATTTATAGCCTACTAAACCAGGTTGCGCAGGCGCACACACTCACACATCTATATACAAACACATGATGGCACTACTTAATCTCTATTTTTTCAAGCCTCCACACATATGAAACACATTGGAAAGAAATGGGTCTACATCCTGAAATACCCCACATGGATCTCAGTTGAGTATTTCCTTTTTATCTCCAGCCCTTGAAATAGTTGTGACTGTGTGACAGTGCCAAAAACCCTATCTATACCTCTAACCCTGTAGCCTGACAGAGACCAGCCCACGTTTATATTTGGGTGCGCACGCGCTAGATAGCTTGCTTTCCCTCCTCTATCACACTCATAAGCTGATTTTGTATGTATGTGTGTGTGGGTTTTTTTTAATGAGTGCGATGACATAAGCGCTGTGACTTCCAGTGATGTTGTGTACCAACAATTCTGGGAGGAGTCAAGCATTCTTAGAAAACCAGGCCATTTTTATGTATGAGGTGCTTAAATGCAGTCCTGGGTGAAGTCAGTCAGCTTAAACACTTCAGCCAAACATCCCCCCACTCCCCAAGCATCTAAACTATTTCCACTTTCAAGTGGGCCACTTTCTCCTCGACACTTGAATCTTTTGGCAAAGAGCACCAGTGGCAAGAAAGTACATCTTCTCCAATCGGCTCCAAAAAAGAAGCCCCAAAGAGGTGGGTCAGTCTTTCCTTCCCCTTCCCCCTCTCCTCCAAGTATGCAGTGGGTGGGTGTTTTCAAGGAGTGTGTGTTTTGGATGAGGGAGAGCATCAGCTGCCTGGTATCAGTCCTCTGGCTCCGGCTGGGCGGGACGGAGTCTGAGCAGAGCCAGGCGCGGGAGGGTCAAGTACAGGTTGCTGAGCAGGAAAGAGGCAGGGGGAAGGGAGGCTTGGGTCACTCCTTTCTGTCTTTCATTCCCCCCCCCTTCCCGTCTTGCACAGTGAAGGGAATGTTGGGTCTATTCCATCAGTGTGGTATGTCTGTATAAACATCATTAGCCCGTACCGAACTGACATGCTGTAGATTTTCATTTCTCCTTACAAATTGCTCCTCTCCACAATAAAAATACCAGTCATATTAGATGGAATATGTTGAGGCAGGGAGGGGAGAAAAGAGATGGAGATGTTTATTCTTGCTCCCTTTGATCTGGTGGAGAGCCGGGAGCAGGCTGCAGGCACGAGAGACGACGGAGACAAAGGCAAAGATGTCACCCAAAGAGAGTTGGGTTCTTTTTCACGTTGGCACACCAAACAGTGGGCCCTGTTTTGAAAACAGGTAGGAGGCTGGGAGGCTTGATTCATGGCAGGGCCCGTAGAATGATGTCATACATTCTTCAAGGGAACACTCCATGGCAGCAGAAAGCAGAGTTGGCCCCAATTTTGCCTTGTTTCATCCTCCCCCAGAATGATCCTTCTTTAGGCAAGAAATTTAACTGATGGCTCCAACTTCTTCAGCAATTATATTCAGTGGGGATGGGTGACTGCTCATTTTTCTCGGTTTTTCTCAGTTTTTCTCGGTTTCTCGTTTTCCCCATCTTAATTTCAGTATTCCACATTTCCAGTTCAGTTTGCAATTTATTTATTTTATTTTAAAAGTCCTTATGAAAATTCACCAGCATTTTAGCATGAATTTCTCATAAGAATGTAAGAAAAGCAGTCTGGACAGGCCAGTTGTCCATCTTGTCCACCATTCTGTTCTTACAATGGCCAGCTAGATGCCTGGGAGAAACCAGCAAGCAGGATCCAAGCTCAAGAGCACTCTTCCCTCGTGCAGTTTCCTACAACTGGTGTTCAGAAGCTTCACTGCCTCTGACCGGTGCAGACAGAGAATAGCCATCCTGGCTAGTAGCCAATGATAAGCTTATCCTCCATGAATTTCTCCAACTTTCTTTTAAAGCCATCTAAGTTGGTGGCCTCCTGTGGCCACCATAGTTTAACTACTTGCTGTGTGAAGAAATACTTCTCCTAATACACGTTTGTATGCACTGTTGTCAAATGTACACATTTCTGCTAAACTATTCCATCAAAGTAATGCACTTTTATACGTCCATCTTCACCGAAACATTGCTTTTTAATGGACACTTCACCCCAGTATATGTGTTTCTGTACACATTACATGACCGGAGAACTTAATTGCAAAATTTGGAGAAATGTGAATTTTGAAAGAAGGCTTTGTTTCAGTTCTGATTCTTTTTGTAAGTCAGAATTTGGTTTTTAAAATGCCTTTAAACGTGAATGAAACTGAATTTTTCACCAGCCCTACTTTTCAGGCCTGAGTTTGGAATGGCTTTTGGGCCCAAGGGCAGAGGTTTCGACATTAGACCTTTTCAAAATATATTTGACAAATGTGGCTATGGGCTCATCTGGTTGTCTTGAACCCCAAACCGTGGCACCCACAAACTCCTAACAGTATTAATAATTGTTGCAAACACACAAGGGGGGAAATGACTGATAGTTTGAAGGAGTAGTAACAAAGTCCTATCAAAGCATAGTCTTCCACCTGTTTTTATCAACAATTCCTATTTAGAAACTTATCAGCTTTTAAAAACCAAAACCCTTAATTAAAATTTCCAGAGAAAAATAGCTTGGAGCAACACACCCACCAGTCTTCTTTCAGGAAGCCTGGAACACTGGTTGACCAGCTGAGTAGCAGCATCAGTCCTCCTACACATTGTGGCTACTTATCACTGCAGGCACTCTCCTGAGATCTTTACTCAATGTCTGAAATGCCAGCGCTAGGATTACAGAATGAAAGGAAAGCGGAAGCTGCCTTTTTACGCAGTCCTTTTTGATAGATTAGCAAAATGCTCTCTGTGACATCAGTAGGCCCGTGTGGAAGCAACTTGAGGAGCACTCTGCATGTGATGTTTTTCCTACATGGAAAGCATTAAATGTCTGAAATAGCATGCAGTCAAATGTCACATGTAACAATTTCAAACACCTGTATTTTTCTCTATGCACAAAAGCATATAGATGACCATCATTGACTGCTGCTCCCCAGCATGTTTGTCAATGAGCAACATAAATGCACATCACATCTGAAGATCTGCACCCAGGTTTCACAGGATTGTATCCAGCATTAGTCATTTCAAGCTGACCCCTTGAAATGATTGGGCATGATTAATACAGGACTATTCATTTTCTTTTTCTTTTGAAAAAATTAAATACTATTAAAAAAGATCTGTGAATAAATATATTGTACAGGTTTCTCACTATTCATCTCTCCCACCTGCCTTTTCTTGATTTTGGAATTGCTTTGCCCTGCAGGCTTTTCCCTGCCAGTACTGCAAATTTATTATGAGGCAGCCTGTTTGTGCTGGTTAAGAGATTGGATTACATTGGATAATGCAGACATCCTGGACTTAGAGGGTCATGATTTAATATTTGGCTGGCATGCATGTCTTTGGTATGGGAAGGCGAAAATCTATAAAAGTTTTATGAACCACATTTTAAGGAAGAATTTTATAGAGTTTGGGAGAAATATAAAAATTTGCTGGAAAGGAAAACACCTCTATGGATATCTCCTATTGAGGCTATTACAATAAAGAGAGTTAATATGGATAGACAATGGGCAACTTACAGGGAATTGCCTCACTTTAGGGGGAACCTTAATTGATATCAATAGAAAATGTAAGGAGCCATGTTACAGACTGGCTACAATATCATCAGTTATATGAAATGTTTAAAATAGACAGAAAAATGGTTTTCTGGACCAAAGCTCATGATTTGAAAAAGAACTCTTACAAAACAAAGAAAAACTATGATCTAAAATGTACAATTCTTTTGTTAGATTGGGAAACGAACTTGTTAAAGTTTCTATGACACACTGGACACACTTTTCCATTTAGGGATATCCAGTGCTTTTTGGGGGGGGCCCGCAGGAGTATGCATACCCCTAAACATTTTGTAAATCTTTGTACATTTGTAAATTTACTGTAGAGGTCAGCAAACTTTTTTAGCAGGGGGCCGGTCCACTGTCCCTCAGACCTTGTGGGGGGCTAGACTATATTTTTTGGGGGGAAATGAACGAATTCCTATGCCCCACAAATAACCCAGAGATGCATTTTAAATAAAAGCACACATTCTACTTATGTAAAAACACCAGGCAGGCCCTACAAATAACCCAGAGATGCATTTTAAATAAAAGGGCACATTATACTCATGTAAAAACACGCTGATTCCTGGACCATCCACGGGCCGGACTGAGAAGGCGATTGGGCCTGATCCAGCCCCAGGCCTTAGTTTGCCTACCCATGACTTACTGTATTTATTTTCCCTGATTTGAACTATAAAATTGTGCTTTTCTTGAGTCAAAATGAGAGTACCCCTTAAAAAAAAATAAGAAAAAAAGCACTGGAGATATCAACAATTAACATCAACAGTCCCTAATGGCTTGGGACCAGTTTACGTCTTGCAAGATTGCCTTTACTTGTGCCCACTTGATCACTTCAGTCTGTGGAACTGGAACTGTTACAGGTGCCACATAATTCTCATTCCACAGTTGTGAGAAACTGGTCTTTTAGTGTGGCAGCACCACACTGCCTATTGGGGTTAGGCAGACAGCTCCGTTGTACTCTTTTTGTCGCCCGTTTAAAACATTTTTGTTCGGGCAAGCGGCAAGCCTATCCAGATGCATAGATACTGATGTCTTTTAATCTTTTTTACTGTAGACTTTAATTATTTTAACATGATTTTTATTGTTTGTAACTGTTTCTATTGGCAATGTTAATATTTCTCGCAAACTGCTTAGAGGCTTTACTGCAAATCAGTGTTATTGGGCAGGTGTGCAGTCCCTTCCGTTGCTGGCACCACCTATGTCTGTTTTTATCTGTTTTCAAATGGGGTAATGCAGAATCACTCTGCAATGAGAGTTTAATCTTGGAATGAAACCAGCTTCTCAAGAAGTGCTTTCCAGGGTAAAAAAATATTCCATATATCTAGACTAGCTGTAGACTACGTAGAAAAAATGAGTACTTAGTCTCTATTGGTTCTGGATTAAAATGTCATGTGTACACCCCCTCAATTCCCCCCCCCTCCAAATTTATCATTCTGTCTGCCTTTTCTCACTCTAATTAAGTTTGTCAACTTGGCCATACAGGTAATTTCCCACTCCTTAGAAAGCCAAGTGAGTAGAGTAGGTGGTTTGGGATTTTCCTGGTTTTGGCAAATGGAGGTTTTTGCTGCCTTTACTAAGTTTTACTCAGAGTAGACCCATTGAAATTAACGGCCTCTCACTTATTACATAGGACCATCAAGTTCAATGGGTCCAGTCTGAGTGGAACTTAGTTGGATGCAACCCATAATATTTCCATGCAGGGAAGCTGGTCTGAGAGGAATGTTAGTGGGAAACCAGGCCCACACCAAAGGATTCTCAATCTGGAGGTGCAATCTATCAGTCATAGCAACACACTTCCCAATAAAGTAAAACGTACACAGGCTCAGTGGCTTTTCCTGCTAGCGTCGCTTGATGAAATGTTTAGCTTTGTAAAGCCTGTGAAACGTTATCTGCACTGTATTGCTTGCACCTAGTTAAACTTTATATCTCCAGTTTTATTTTCTATACACATGGGTTTGTAATTCTTGTGCAATCATCTGAAGTTATCTTTATGGTTTTCAATTTATAATTGTATTTTGCTCAGTCTTTCCCCAGGATGCATTGGTCTGGAGAATGCAAGGCATTCAGGTAGCTGTTAACATGATTAGCAATGTGAGCTCTCCCCACCACCCTAAAAACAAATAGGAGGGGCAAGGTGGGTGAACTGGATCAAGACCACAGTGAGGGGGGTGGAGAGAAAATTCCCCTCAATGCCTCCTGGACCCCATTCCAAAATATCCCCTACAGTTTCCTTGTAAAAAGCCATTGATGCCATTGCTAATGGCATCCTAGTCCTAGTCCATATGAACTAGGCTCTGAGTGGGTACAGCCATTGCTTCTCAGGTTCAGGTCATGATTGCTTCCTCTGAACTAACTTATAGTTCCTATGAAATCCAGGTTCATACGAAACATTCTCTGAATGAACATATGCTTTGGGAAAGTTGAAGAGTGTCATATGTCATAGCTGACAGGCCTGTCTTAAGCATATGCGGCGCTGGGGTGCAAATATCCGCCCAGAGGGCCCCCCCCGGTGGCCCAGTCCCAGGCACGCAGGAGGGCAGAGCCAGCCGGCCGCCTCAGTGTCTCGCTGGCTCGGTCGTACCTGAACTCGCGGTGCAGAGCCACCTGCAACAGAAGAGCCCGCCACGGCGCTCTGACCGACGGGCAGGCTCTTCCCCAGACTCATCTCTCGGGCCCCTGACTCTCGGCCTGGTGCCCCTGAGAGCCCAGCGCCCGGGTGCCCCACACCCCTAGAGCCTATGGGTAAGACGGCCCTGATAGCTGGAATGCCTGGCTCCTCCTCTTCTGCCCTTGTTGTGAAAGGGAATAGCCAAGCACAAAACCCAGAACACCTTGAGGCAGACCTGGCAATATGTGGCTCTCCAGGTGTCAGTGAAATACAACTCCATCACCCATTCATGTTGGCTGGGGCTGATGGGAATTGGAAGACAGCAACATCTGGAGAACCACAACTATGCCATTCCTGCCCTGGGGGGAGTGAGTAAGGGACATGGAGACAGACAATGAACCACTCGAGAGCCAGTAGTGTTGGAGGAGGCAGAAGCAGCCCCAATGTTATTGTGCTGTGTTGTATTTTTGTGTAAGCTGCATTGTGGTCCCTTCAGAATAGACAGGCAGGATAGAAATTAGGGTTGCCATATATCCGGAATTTTCCAGACATATCAGGAATACCGCAGTTGTCAGCAGCATCTGGGCAGAATGTCTGGCAAAAACCAGGTGTATGGCAGCCCATGTTGGCAGTGCCGATTTTGCCGATTTCCCCTTAAAATAGCTCCCAATGCAAACCAATCCACCAAATAAATGAAGTAGAGACAAAGTTAACTCCCCCCTAAGGATTTTTTTAAGAGTTTAAAAAGTATGTGAGTCTAGTCATAAAACAAAATAAAATCTAAATAGATATATTTTGGATCTTGAATATTGTTGCTGCTGCTTCATATACATTATAGAGCACATATTATGGGGAAAGAGCCTTGCAAGGCTGTACTTCTACATATGCTTACTTGGGGAAAAGCCTCAGAGAACATTGTGGGACTTAAGATTGTACAGTATATTGGCCACCCGAAGTCCAGTCAGATGAGAAAGCACTAGCCACTCACTGGAGCAGTACTCAGCTCAAGCAGCTCCTCCCTTTAATAAGCTACTACAGCTGACAGTGACGATCATTTTGACGGGGCAGCAAGAGTGGGGGAGGCTGCAGTTATGCAGCAGAGTGGTTCTGTATATATTGCTGCTGAGGTACAATTCAGTGGTTTTTGTGGGGGTGGCAGCATTGTTTTCCTTCTATGTTCTGCTGAGTTTTATTTGCGATGCAGTTAGACTACAATGATAAGCCCCAAATTATAAAGGAAACCAATGACTTAAAAGTTCACTATATATTTTTCCTTCTCAAACTCAATTCTGTAGAGGTGATAAAATGCAAGCTCCATGTGAAAATAGAGGAGGGTCTTATTCTAAGCTCTTTCCTGGTCTGTCTTCATTTATGTCTTAACTTTTTCACACCATGAAGGAGCAGTAGTGAGAAGTTAAAGAACCATATTGTGTAAATGGAAGCTTCGCTTCCTATGCAAACTGCAGGTGTGGGTACCCATTTCCCATTATGACTACAATAGGGGGCAAAGAGTTAAAGCCCCCTAGCCCTCCCACCAGGGTCCCAGTCCAGATCTCCCCTGCTCACACGCCTACTATTTACATTTTTAAAATTCCCATATTTACTAATTGTGTGTATGGTATGGCATCTCTCACACATATCCCTTTTGATGGTTCTGGCCTAACATGTACAAGGGAATGTAACACTCTTTCCCATGAACACTGTGTGAGTTTTTCCTGCATGTCTCTGAAAGGGACATGTGTGCATTTCCTCTGTGCGCATTACAATGGAAGCGCAAGAAACAGACCCATGATTCACTCGTGCTTCCTCTTCCCATTTCCTTAATGTGCAAAGCCACCATTAGCCTTGACTTTCCCTTCCACTTTCTCTTACTTCAGAAGCTCAGTTATAACATATTTTGTTGACATTATGTGTTTGCCAAGTTTGGGCTGTTCAGTGTCCATAGAATTTCATTCAGCCCCCCCCCCCGTTCTTTATGCCTTTTATCTTTGCTCTTATTAATGTGGTTATCCGTTGACAGTGTTTGCTGGAACAAGTACAGGAACGCTGGAACAAGCAACACTTTCCTGTTGTTGCAAAGTGCTTGTTTCGAAATGAGCACAGTTCAGTAGGATATATCATGTTACATATTGGGGGGGGGGTGTATCTGTGTGTAGATATGTATTAAGTATATGTGTGAAGTATGACACAATGCAAGTTAATTGTGCTGATCACTACAGATAAATATATTTAGGTCTTCAGGAGGGAAAGAAAGTGGAGCATCTCCAGAAATCCTTTTTATTGCACATTCATCAGTGGTGACTGATGCCATTTTGACTAGGTAGGGCTGCAATTTTTCACCTTGCAGTTTCCCTCACAATAAGACTCATACAGCAATTGTTTAGGAAAGTGTGCCATTAGATAGGTGCAGAGTGCCATTGTCTCCCCATTGAAAAATATAAATTATACTCTGCACATCTATGGGAAAGAGCTTCCATGTAAGAGTCTCCAAGTATGGTTTTCAGACAAGATTGTTGTTGTTGTTGTTGTTGTTGTTGTTGTTGTTGTGAGTTGGGGGGTTGGCCTGTATGGTGCCTGAGTCCCTTCTAATCCCTGGAGTCCTGTATCCAGCAAGGGTTAAAAACTAATGGAGGATTCCGTTGCTAAAGTAGTCAAGCCAACTTCTTGGTAATGGGCCTAAGCATTGTCCATAGTCTGACCAAGGAGGTTGCTCTGACCCAGAGGCCAAATGTGTGGGGCCCCTCCCTCACTTGGTTGGTAGTGAGAAGAACAATACAGTGGTACCTCAGGTTACAGACACTTCAGGTTACAGACTTCGCTAACCCAGAAATAGTACCTCGGGTTAAGAACTTTGCTTCAGGATGATAACAGGAATTGCGCAGTGGTGGCAGTGGGAGGCACCATTAGGTAAAGTGGTGTCTCAGGTTAAGAACAGTTTCAGGTTAAGAACGGACTTCCAGAACGAATTAAGTTCTTAACCGAAGGTACCACTGTAGCTAGTATGAAAGAGAGCTGGGCTAAAAGCAGGCAGAAGCCAAAGAGTGAGAGCCATTCTTCATTTCTGCTTGAATCCAAGACTGTGGCTATGGGAGAAGAAAGACCTCTTGGGGTGTTAATGCTGTGAGCCCCTCCATCATAGGCTCAGGTTGTATATATGTTGTTGTAATAATAATTAAATAATAATAATATATGCTGCCCATCTGACTGGGTTTCCCCACCCACTCTGGGCAGCTTCCTACAAATTATAACACCACAGTAAAACATCAAACAAAACTTCCCCATACAGGGCTGCCTTCAGATGTCTTCTAAAAGTCAGATTGTTTTTTATTTCCTTGACATCTGGTGGGAGGGCGTTCCACAGGGTGGGCGCCACTACTGAGAAGGCCCTCTCCCTGGTTCCCTGTAACCTCACTTCTTGCAATGAGAGAACCACCAGAAGGCCCTCAGAGCTGGACCTCAGTGTCCAGGCTGAATGATGGGGACGGAGATGTTCTCCCAGGTAAACAGAGCTGAAGTCATATAGGGCTTTAGAGGTCAACACCAATTATGCTTGGAAACATACCACAGAGAACCACAGTCTCTGCTGTCCCTTGTTCCAGAGATTGGGGTGTCGTGCAACATTATTATTAATGACTCACCCTTCACCCCAAGGTCCCAAGACTGACTCAATATCTCTTAGAAAATAAACCATGACACTTGACAAAGATGTATGAATTCATAAATTGTTTACAGGAACACATAGTTTATTCAAAAGTTTTTAAATGTGGGGAACAGTTGCTTCTAGTTGCATGCAGTTTTCCTTCCCCACAAAATCAATTTGACTTTTCAATATCCAAAACTTTTATTTCTCTAAATTAAATATTCCAACCAATAAATAAAACATCATTTGTGCACATTGTGCACACTGTTCAGGGCGTCATACCCTGCTAGCAAAACCTTGAGCCAGGCCACATCAAAACAAATTTGCAGTGCATAACTCAGTCCTGAATATGTGAAATAATAATATCTTCTGTACAGAGTACATCACACCAATTAGTAATCATAATCAGCATGCTATTTATGAGATCAGGGAAAGTATCTTCCAAGTCTGAAGAAGGATGAGGAGTTAGTCAATGTGATATCCAGACAGGCTTAGCACTTTTCATTTTCGAAATTCACTGACAAACTCACCAAAAATTTACTAAGTCATAGTCAAAAACAAATGGATTTAATTGTCCTCTGCCTCACAATGATGATATTATTCTAAAAAACTCTAAGTCAGTACAAACTGTTATCTCCCAAGCAAAACACTCAGACTCATTTAAATGACATAGTCCAACTAAAGGCATGAGCCTTTGTTTTGAAGAGTTTTTGTCTTTGGCAAAGTTCCCAACTTGGCAATTGTCCTGTTTTTAGCCATGTAGGACCATTCTGTCATCCCCCAGCCTTGCCAATTCCTCCCTTCAGTCAAGCCATTTAGAAACAATAGCAGCAAACCTTTCAAAATTCAAAATGTTCTCAACTCAAGCTAGGAGACGGGGTGGGTGTGTTCCAACTTTGGAAAGCTAATCAGTCCCTGTATTTACCATACTTATCTACACAATCAGGGTTGTATCGTACCTAACAAGACTCCCAAAGTGACACTGGTGGGTGATTGCAGAGGCCTGGGTCAGACTGGTTCTGCCATGACCAAAAACATAAGATCAGGCCAGTCACCCATCTAGTCTGCCATCCTCTTCACTGTGACCAACCAGATGCCAGCAAGACCTGAGCACATGAGCACTCTCCCCGCCTGTGGTTTCCAGAAACTGGTATTCAGAATCATTGCTAGTAGCTATTGATAATGCATGAATTTGTCTAATCCTCTTTTGAAGCCATCCTGATTGGTGGCCATCACTGCCTCCTGGGGGAGCGGATTCCATAGTTTAACTATGCTCTGTGTTGCCTTTTATATGTCCGGTACACTGCCTTAGGATACTTGGCTGTTGAGGAGTACACCTATTAATAATGGAGACAAAGGAACTTAATTAGCGGGCCGTCTGGCCCCCAAACCTGTATGACTGGCCAGTTACATAAATTGGGCAGAGTTTCACAGAAATCAAACGTGGAGTCTGCAGGTGTGAGCCTTGGCCCTGGAAAGTAAGGGGCTTTATTTTAGAAGTGACTATTTTGGATGCTGGGAACAAAAAGCAGATGGAGAACTTGTAAGCTTTCTGGAAACTAGAGATCTGTAATGATTCTGCCTAGAGGTAGTGCACTGCTCTCTCTCTCTCTCTCTGTCTCTTCTCAAGCAAAGATATGAATGAATAAATTTCCCTAGACATCATATTACTCCAATGCTTTTTTCCTGGTGGAAAGTGAACTGGAAAGATTTCTTTGAACTGCTTACCCACAAAGAGGGGTCAAAACAAAGGCATAATATTCATTTTACCTGCCCTATTGGCAATCACCTATAAATACTGAGTTAGTATCCAACATGCTAACATAAATTAGACATTTGTATGCACTTTAAACATAAGCTATGCATGCACTCAAATGTGTCAGCCTATGCCTTTGTCGTATTTCAAATGTTACCAAAATTTATGATATTTTGAACTCGTGGAGAAATCCCCTCTGCTTCAAGAATATCTATCCCCAGCTTTGCACTCTGGTGAGTGCATTCTGGTACAGAACTTTGGGAAAATTAATCATTACCGTGTGAATACTCACAGTACACATTAATCAGTAGTGCCTGTAGTTTATATATGTATTGAGTTTCAGTGGCTTGATTTAAACAGATCCTCCGCAACTTAGAACATAAATATATCTGACATGCTGACTCAGGCTATTCCCTTTTCCATGAGCTGGTTTCCTTTCCAAACTCATTTCCTTCGTCTTAGGCCTCTCTGCAAACCTGGGCTGCAGTCCGAAGCACACTTACTAAAAAGTAAGTGCCATCAACTTCTATGGGAGTTGCTTCTGTGTAAACATGCATAGCATTTTGATAGAAGACAGCAACATTGTGAAATAGGTCCACCACCACAGTGCCTAGAATGCAACATTCGGGTGGCGCTGTGGGTTAAACCACAGAGCCTAGGACTTGCTGATCAGAGGGTTGGCAGTTCAAATCCCCGCAACGGGGTGAGCTCCCGTTGCTCGGTCCCTGCTCCTGCCAATCTAGCAGTTCAAAAGCACGTCAAAGTGCAAGTAGATAAATAGGTACCACTCTGGCGGGAAGGTAAATGGCGTTTACGTGCGCTTCTCTGGTTCGCCAGAAGCGGCTTAGTCATGCTGGCCACATGACTGTACGCCGGCTCCCTCGGCCAATAAAGCGAGATGAGCGCCGCAACCCCAAAGTCGGTCATGACTGGACCTAATGGTCAGGGGTCCCTTTACCTTTATGGGCCTATTAGATATTCTCAGTTTAAGTTCCTGAATTGCAAACAAGAGGAATAGTAGACATTGACGAAGCTACTTTATTCGGAGGCAGATCATTGGTCTATCTAGTACAGTGTTATCTACTCCAGGGGTAGACAACATGGTGCCTTTGAGATGCAGTTGGAGAACTCCCATCATCCCTGACATTAGCCATGTTGGCTGGGCTGATAGAAATTGTACATCTGGAGGGCACCAGATGTGGGCCCTGGCTTACTCTGACTGACAGTGGATTTCCCAAAGACTCATGCTGAAGCCTTTCACATCTCTATTATCTATTTAACTGGAGATGCCACAAACTGAACCTAAGAAAGGAGTGTAGTTCCATGGTGGAGCATCTCCTTTACATGCAAAAGATGCAGGCCCAATCCCTTTCATCTTTAGATAGGGCTGGGAATGTCCCTTGCCTAAAACCCTGGGCAGCCACTGCAAGTCAATGTAGACTATGCAATACTGAGCTAGGTAGATCAATGGTCTGACTCCTAAGTTCCTTAGGCAGCTTCCTAAATTCCTATGACTTTATGTATGCAAAGCCAATGCTCTACCATCGAGCTATGGCTCCTATCTATTTTTTTAAAAGACTCCACGGCACATTTTCCAGCCCTTTAATCTGTACTTGTCCTTAAGAATTTTGCTGAAATTTTGCCTAACGCATGTTATGAGGAATGCTCCTTTGATAAACCAGCATTGTAATCGTTTTCAGGCAGCGATTTCACTAAGCCTGCAGCTTTTAAAGTAAAGTTTCTTGTAGCCGAAAAGAGAACACAGCCAATTCTGGTGCTACATTTAATAATTCATAAATCAAATTAAGTTCATGAGGGTTCAGAGTTTAAAAGTTTAAAAGTTTTGCTTAAGCTGCCAAAGTTTTTAAACAACAACAGAAAAAAAAACACAACCCAACAAAACTTTTCCGTCCTGGAGTGCTACACTCAAATACATGCTGCTCATGTATTCATGTTTATTTACTCAGAAGTTCCATAGACTTACTTACAGGTAAGTGGGGGGGGGATTAGGCTTCCAATACATGTAAAATACCTACCTTTATTTTTATCTTTTAAAAAAATATTCCATGAATGTCCAGGTGACATGATTTCCTTCTGTAAATGGTACCTAAATAAGATCACAGCTAGCATGAAAGATACATCAGTTGCTGCTGGTATGGTTTTCCCTGTGATTACTGAAATTCTGTTTTTAATTAGTCTTAATATTACTGTCCTATTTCTTCTATCCTACTTTATTGCTTTTATGTTTGCTTTTCACATACCACTTAGAGATTTTAAACTATTAAGCCATTTAGAAATCTTTGTAAATAAATAATAAAGTCAATCAATTGTAATAATAATAATAATTTATTTATACTCCACCCATCTGGCTAGGTATGCCACACAGCCTCCAATTGCATATTGTTCATAGTTGCAAGGCGGGGGAGGCTACCCCCTTAAATCAAATAAATAAATAAATAAATATAACTAACTGACTGACCAATTGCATCACAGATAGCTCAGTTCTCTCCCCCCTAACATGAAGCCAGTAAGCTACTGAAATCTCACTTGCAGGAGTATTGTGGAGGCGTGGCTGACATCCATTTCAAGCATGCATAAGTGATTCTGTGAAAAGGCCCTTATAAATCACTGTCATTTAAATTCAATACAGGAATGTGGAGAATTAGGATTATTTGGAACAAGTGGTTATGCGGGGTGGGGTGGGGTGGAATACTTCTCCACAATTTGGACCTAGGTGCACAGTCATATTACTTGCCTTAACTTTCTGATTCGCTATGGTGGAGTCCAATGTTTTACAAGTGTTTCCATTGCTTTGCCACTCCAGAGCAGAAGGGAATGAAGAAGAAGTCCTGTTGGACAAAGGGAGTCCATTCCACTCCTACATAGATATCACTGGACACAGCCCCTTGTGTCTGTGAGTCAGATAATCTTCCCTGTTTTGTGGAGTCCCACAAAAAAGATGGGTCTGACTGTACTTTGAAGCTTGTGGGTGGGGTTCGTGCTTTTTCTGACTACCCACAATCAAAATGTTGGCCTTGATGCTTCTTTTGCCTAAGTAATATTTATTTTAACTTCCTATGAAAAACTAGACTTGCACACAGCCATCCATGCATAGATGCATCAGTCTCTCCCTGTCTCTGTCTCTGTCTCTCTCCCCCCCCCCCCCAATTTGCAATAGCATGGTAAGCATAAATCTATAAAACTGTTCTTTGGTTTAAAAGGGCTTGGCCCTGCTCTCAGTCCATTCACTGTTGTTAAGCAGTAATTCTGGATAAATTCTATGTCATATCGGTGGGTTTAAGTGCATCTAATTGTATTGTATTGTTTCCGCTAGGTTTGTGGAATTCCAAATTTCAGCCGGCACAGCCAGCAAAGAGATTTCATAGGTCCATCTCTTGAATATATTCAAGATTAAACCACCAACAAGCATGGGAAGTGAGAGCACTTGTTAAGGTTACTTTTAAAAATGGCCCTTCCAATAACTAAAGCAGCGTTATCAGCTCAGGTCAAACAATCACCCCCTTACTTTGAACAAACAGATATGGAACTTTGGCATGTATGTCTCATATATAGGTCCATTTAATGGATCATTTAATAATCAACAAGAGTTTAGAATCAATAAGTTGGCAAGAAATCAAGGTGTTGCTCAATAATAATTACATGTGATCTAACATCCTGGAGGAGGGAAATTTCTCTAAATGGTGCTCAATATCCCAGTACAAAGAACATTTTTGACTTCACACTTCCATAGGAAAGGCATGATCCAGCAATAATGCTAGGCTTCTGTTTCATATTTGGATATGTGCTGGAAATGTAAAAGGGCTAGGTTAGCCATTTTCATAGGTGGTGGACTTGCTCAATAGCAAATACATTTTTAGATAAGATTGAAGAGGCCACTGAGAGAATAAATCTGCAACTACTAACTACCATTCAGTTTAGAGTAACTTCTGAGCAAACATGCTTTAAGATTGCAAGGTAATTTGTTAAAGCTTTGCTTGGCAGATCCACTGTTTTACCAGTTAATTGTACACATGATATTCTAACTTGTCATTGTGAACTAATCTCTTTCATGACATTAACTCCCAGCATAAGTATGCAAAACATTGTAGAGTCATGTCCATTCCACTAGCAGTAGAACAAGAACTGCTATAAACTATATTAAGGTGAAAGTAGTTAGAAACTCACACCTCCTATTTACTCCTGGCAAAATAAGACACGTGTTGACAAGCCTGATTTAATTTACTGCAGTGCTGCTCATTTATATGCACACTATAAATTATTCAAGATCTGTATGTTTTATATAAAAAATAATAACAATAAAAGGGGAAATAAGTTTAAATGAAAAATCATTCTGAATTTGGGTACTAGAACTAGTGCCTGAAATTATTTTCTCCTCCTCCCTCCCAAGCCCTTTTCTTTTGTGCCACGCCTTTTGGAGATTGTAAGGGCAGGTGTGAAGTGAAGTGAAAGCTGAACCATAAAGAAGGTAGATCGCCGAAGAATTGATGCTTTTGAATTATGGTGCAGGAGGAGACTCTTGAGAGTCCCATGGACTGCAAGAAGAACAAACCTATCCATTCTGAAGGAAATCTGCCCTGAGTGCTCACTGGAAGGACAGATCCTGAAGCTGAGACTCCAATACTTTGGCCACCTCATGAGAAGAGAAGACTCCCTGGAAAAGACCCTGATGTTGGGAAAGATGGAGGGCACAAGGAGAAGGGGACGACAGAGGACGAGATGGTTGGACAGTGTTCTTGAAGCTACCAGCATGAGTTTGACCAAACTGCGGGAGGCAGTGGAAGACAGGAGTGCCTGGCGTGCTCTGATCCATGGGGTCACGAAGAGTCGGACACGACTAAATGACTAAACGACAACAACAACAAACGGCAGGTGTGAGGAATGTTTGGCTCAAATGTTGCTGAACTACAACTCCCAACAGCTCCAGCAAGGATGTCCATTGCTAGAGACCCAAGTTTGATCTTATCACTGGCATTTGGAAGCCAAAGCATTTTTTAAAAAAATTTATTTAATCATTTTTTCAATACAAACAACAACCACAAAAAACACATACAACAAAAACCACAATAACACTAATAACACAATTTAACATGACAGATTTGAGTACTGATATACCTATGACTACACCTTTTTAACAATATCTCCCCACCTCTCATCCCCCTACTTCCCACCACCGTCCGCCTTATCGCTTAAATATTCCTTCCAGATTTCTTCATATTTATCCATTCTTAAATTGCGTCGACATGCAATTCGTTCGTATGTGGCTAGTCTGTCCATATTGTCAATCCATGTGCTCAATGGAATCTTTTTGCAGCTCTTCTAGTTCATCAGAACAAGTTTTTTTGCTTCTAATATGGCACGCATGTTTACACTGGCAGAGGAAGGGGGTGCGGGGGTGTGGTCCACCCAGGGTGTCATCCCTGGGGTGTGTGTGACATTGCTGCCCCGCCCCCCTGGGACACTTGCTGCAGGCACCGCCCCTGTGGGAAGCTCGCCGTGGCTGGCGCTGCCCCCGTGCTCACTGCGCTGCCCCCGTGGGACGCTTGCCCCCCCCCGGGTGCACAGCCTGGGTGCCAGAGCAGTTAGCTCCGCCTCTGCGTGTTTACCCAGAAGTTACTATAAATTCAAGAAAAGATTAGTGACTCTATAAAGCAAAGGTTTGTACATTTTTGTTTTGCTTTTCCCCCCCTGAAGAGCAGGATAAAAGGTTAAATAAGTAAAAGAAGAAGAAGCTAAAGTTCCATGGGGTCAAGAGCAGTAATCCATTTAATAAATTACTTTTTAAAAAGGCCCTTGTGACGAATGGGGAGCTGAGGTGGCGAGGAAGATTGCTCAAGGAGTTTGAATAAATGTTCTTTTAGTTGTTGTACTAGTAGCATTTGGCCTAACTATTATTATAATTATAATAACGATAATGATAATACTAGTAATAGTAATAATAATAATAATAATAATAATAATAATAATTTATTATTTATACCCTGCCCATCTGGCTGGGTTTCCCCAGCCACTCTGGGCAGCTTCCAACAGAACACTAAAATACAATAACCTATTAAACATTAAAAGCTTCCCTAAACAGGGCTGCCTTCAGATGTCCTCTAAAAGTCTGGTAGTTGTTTTTCTCTTTGACATCTGGTGGGAGGGCGTGCCACTACTGAGAAGGCCCTCTAACTGGTTCCCTGTAACTTTGCTTCTCACAGTGAGGGAACCGCCAGAAGGCCCTTGGTGCTGGACCTCAGTGTCCGGGCAGAACGACGGAGGTGGAGACGCTCCTTCAGGTATACTGGACCGAGGCTGTTTAACTAGATCCTGGATCTAGTTCCTCTTTGCTGATTTGAAATGAGAGTTCTAGCAACCTTGTACCACTTCTTATTTATTTCTATAGGGTTCATTCATCATCAATAGTTATAGAATTCCTTAGTGACAGTGTCCTTTTAGAAATCCTTTTGCCTATCAGCCTAATTTTCATCCTGAGCGCCACACACTAGTGGCTGAGCATTGTTCCATCAAGCATTTCTGATGTGATTGTGAGCCTTCTGCACTGAAAAGTTGTTTGAATTGTGGTACATGCCCACAGCTTCACAAACCTTGAAGATGTGTGGCTGTAAAACTAGTGTCCAGGACAGCTGTGTTAGTGCCAAATCAGTAAGCGGCTAGCCACCAGGTGGAGCTCTAGTTAGCTAATACAGTATGCACACACTCCAGCTGAAGTTGGTCACAGCCCATTGATATTGATAGCAGATTTAAGCAAGCACTTTACTTTGTCCCGTTCAAATCGCCAAGGCCTAAAAGTGGTTAACTCAGCTGGGTCACACCCAGTACGTTTTACCACACACTTGGCTGCTCTCAATTAATTGAAATAGTTCCTGATAGAGGCAATAAGCAACTGTGGGTTTGGGAGGGATTTATTTGTGGGGGGTTTCTGCAGATCTCTGGAACTTAGGAAGCTGCTAAATCAGACCATTGGTCCATCTATCTCAATAATGTCAACACTGAGTGGCAGCTGCTCTCCAGGATTTCACACAGGGGACATTTCCAGCTCCGCTTGGACATGCCAGGGACTGAATATGGGACCTTCTGCCTGCAAAACAGGTATGATGTCCCTTCATGATGTCCCTAGCTGCTTTCTGTGCAGGTCATTCTGTAGCTGCCACCATGCCCATTGGCTCTAGAAAGTCTCCTTCCAACCCATTTTAGCAGCCATGGACATTCAGTCAGCTGTGCCAAATATTCAACCCATCCTCCAGGTGCTTAACTGTCAAGGAACTTTCAGTTCTGAATTCAGCACAATTTTATTTTATTCCATTTTCAAATAAACAGAAACAACAAAGATTAAGCGAGATATTGTAACATGCAAAGGAATTAGGGGTGGGTGACTGGGGAGAGAAGATATGGAGGGGGGAAGGGAGGGGTATAGCAAGGCCCCTGTACAATATTCACTTGTTTTCCAACTTCAGCACAATTTTTGACCTGGTTGTGGAACCAGGTAGAGCAAGAGTCATATGTCTGATCTATGTTGCTCTAGTTTATATCACTACACGGCATGCAAAAAAGTCTGAAATCAGGATCACAGTCATTTGTTACTAGAAATAAATGCCAGGCTTGTATTGAAAAAAACATGCCATGGACTATATTAGACAATGCTGTACTGCTTTTTCCCCCAGAGCGCTATAGTAACCTAGCCGTCTGTAGCCACAAGTGCCTTTAAGATGAATCATGCATGAAAGCATCACATGGTTTGCTCTGAAACTGCCTGTAAAATGCTGTGAATCAGGGAAGGAATTGTCTCCTTTCATTCAAATCCAGTGCATTTCATTATATCATAGAGTTGGAAAGGGCCCCCAGGATCATCTAGTCCAACCCACTACAAAGCAGGAATCTAAATTAAAGCATCCATGACAGATGGCCGTCCAACCTCTCCTTTAAAATATCCAAGGAAGGAGAGTCTGCAGCCTCCCAAGGAAGACTGCTCCACTGTCAAACAGCTCACCGTCAGATGTTTCGTCTGAATCTCCTTCCTTGTAACTTGAAGCCATTGGTATTAGTCCTACCCTCCAGAGCAGGAGAAAACAAGCTTGCTCCCTCTTTCAAGTGACAGACCGCATTTGAAGATGGCTATCATAGCTCAGTGTGTGGCCACTGTCACATGCTGACAATTTCTAGGAGACACAGGTGAGAGCTAAGTGCAGGGTGGGAACCAAAGGTGAAGAAGAGGAGCTTGTATTTGATATCCCGCTTTATCACTACTCGAAGGAGTCTCAAAGTGGCTAACATTCTCCTTTCACTTCCCCTACATGAAACACTGTGAGGTGAGTGAGGCTGAGAGACTTCAAAGAAGTGTGACTAGCCAAGGTCACCCAGCAGCTGCATGTGGAGGAGCGGGGACGCGAACCCAGTGCACCAGATTACGAGTCCACCACTCTTAACCACTACACCACACTGGCTGGACAAACTACCCCCATAAGGAGCACAAGGTGTCTCCCACCAGAGCTACTACCCCTCCAGGGGACATGAATGGCGCTGTGGTCTAAACCACTGCGCCTGTTGGGCTTGTTGATTGTAAGGTCAGCAGTTCGAATCCGTGCAACAGAATGAGCTCCTGTTGCTTTGTCCCAGCTCCTGCCAACTGAGCAGTTCAAAAGAATACCAACACAAGTAAATAGGTAGCACTGTGGTGGGAAGGTAAACGGCATCTTTGTGTGCTCTTGCACTCATCACAGTGTTCCATGCACCAGAAGCGGTATAGTTATGCTAACCGCATGACCTGGAAAAGCTGTCTGTGGACAAGTCGTCTCTCTCGGCCTGAAAGCGGAGATGTGAGCCACACCCCATAGTTGAATTTGACTGGACTTAACTGTCCAGGGGTCCTTTACCATCACCTTTTTTTTTAGCTTACTACCCCTCCCCTAACACCCCATGTTTTGCGTGTATGTTGAATATATAAGGTAGCAATAGACAATGCAAGAAGATAGTGTTAGCTTCATGTCACTTCAGTAATATTCCAAAGGTGTCATAAGAAGACACACTGACCCACATTGTGAACACACGGACATTGTGACTGAGTGCAAATATTGCAACAGACATTGCATTTTCACAGTCTCTCCTTTGTTTGTTTGTTTGTTTGTTTGTTTGTTTGTTTGCTTGTTTTTGTTGTTGTTGTCATCACACTTAACAAGCAGACACAAGGAAGGAAATGTTTAGGATCAGGGTACCAGTCAAACTGAGGACCTTTGCAACTCATTTGGAAAACTAATGGCAGATATGTAACTTTAAAAGATGGCTTAAACAACACTTTCAGTGTTGCAATAACATGATTAAAGGAATAAATGGGAGTGCTAAGCAGGAGGTGGAACGATGTGCACACCAGAAAATGAGAACACCGTAATAAATTAAGGGATTTTAATCTCCTAATATATATTTTATCTTTGTTTCCTTTCACTATGACAGCTATATTAAAGAACCTCACCCTTTTAAAGGACTAACATCGTTTTTTAAAAGATGCAATTTATTTATAGTTGGTTGCTTCTGATACTGTATTAAGTGGTGAAAACACTGGAGCCTTACTTTCACTTGGAGCATTGGATGCCACTGTGATTCCATTGAACAATGCATGCCAAATCAGTCCAACAATATTGGACTAATAAGAAGGAAATGAAGAGTCTTGGAATGTCGGTCATACGCAACCCAGGATAAATATGGTGCCTGGCAACTAAACAAGGTGATAGTAGAAACGTGGAATTTTTCCAAAACTGTATGTTTACAACAGTGACTACTTAGCAATATTCATTAACTTTGAAAAAACTCTGCACACAGAACTGGGTGTGTTTCCACAAGTGAAGCTAAGAATGCCTTCAAGGACTTATCCACATTAGCTTGGAAAATTGCTACCAAAATTCAATCATTTCTGGTTGCTGAGGGCAGGAGCTCAGCACAGTGCATTAAATACTATTTAGTTGCTACACCAGTCTAGATAAGGCTGTATTCTTGTTCTGAATTTCTCCCACACTGCCACTGCAAGATGTTTTAGCTAGGAAAACAAAATTTAACCTCTCATCCCTTTGCTGTTGCCATGCTTTCGTCGTGATCCTTGTGGTTGCATGATTGTCACTAGCATTTATTGGACAGCACTGTAACATCACTAGGAACAAATGGCATAATTCCTTCCATTAGACGTCCCTGCTTTTCTGTACTTCGTTCATTATTGTTATGTATTTACTTTTAATTAGAGACTGCCATGGTTGGCCTCAACCCTGACCATCATACGTTGATTGTTTCTTTGTGTGCAGAGCCTACATGTAAACTAAGTTGTACATGCACAAACTTTATGCACAAAGGAACCATCAGTGTGTGAAAGGCAGGGCCTGCCCCAGCAACCCTGATCCTATCAGACTGGGGTGGTCAACCACAAGAACATTAGCACAGCTCTGCTGGATCAGGCCAAAGGTCCATCACTGTCCAGCATCAAGTTCTTTTCATGATGTCAATGACAATCTGCAAGAAGGAACTGGGTGCAATAGTGGTCCCCCTCCAGTTGTGATCCCCAGCTGCTGGAATTCAGAGGGATGCAGCCATTTTTTCATTAGACTGAAGCAAGCGGGAAGTTGTAGAAAAAAGTTGTGCTTTATGCTCAGACATATGGTCTTGTATATGCTTCCAAATATTTTGCTAGAATGGGATCGTTTACTCATCACTGAGGAAACATGCTCCAACTAGTTCATAATGTTGCCACTTGTCTCCTGATGGATATCAGGAGACAGGGAGACATTCAGTCAATTCTGTGATGGCTTTGTTGGCTGTCAGTCAGTTTCAAGGCCCAACCTGAGGTGCTGATGCTTACCTTTCAAGCTCTCCTGGGAACCACATGCCTCAGAACCTGCCTGTCCCTCTATCAACCCCACCTCTTTACATTCTCCAGGTTGGGTCCTGTTCTGCGTACCTCCATAGCTGCGGGCCTTTCATTTCCCCTGAGAGCCTATCCCTGAGGCGGAGGGATGGCCCCTCTGATGCGGCTTGGAGACACCCTTCCCATTTAACTTCTCAAAATGGTCTGAACCTCAAGTAGCAAAAGGGATCCAACAGTTATGAAAAAACATAACGAAAAATATAGTACACTCTGAGATAGATGTTAAGATTATCTTTAAATGCCCTACAGTGTTCAAGCATTCATCTTTCTCTATTTGAGTCAGTGACTAGTTCTGTTATTTGCTTGAGCAGCTGAACTGCTTCAATCTGGTAAGAATTTGAATATATATATATGGGGTTTGCCGAAAATCGCTCACCCGCCTGACCTATGATGCCACTCACATGTGTCGCAACATCAACCTATCATCTGTCCCCTGACCCAAAACACATGCCCAATTCCCGCAGCAACAGCCAATCAACGACTGCCTTTGCCGCAGCCATCCAAAGCACGTCCAATAGCCACTGACAATCTCTGGCTCGGGGCAGCAACCAATCCCATGTCCCCCCAATGCACTATCCGTGTATAAGACGAGCCCACATTTTAAAACATAATTTTATAATAAAAAACCTCGTCTTATACACCGAAAAGTACGGTATATATCCAGAACATTTTAATCTTGCTCTTCAGCAGAAAAAGGCTGCCAGAGCATCTTGTACTAATCAGCGATAAACCCCTATCTTGAAATCTAAAAGATATAGCACAAAAGGAAAACTGACTGGGTGGGAGGAAGGGAAGAAAAGCAAACTTGGGCACTAGTTCTTAGAGTTCTTATAATGACCAGTTTGAATGGAAAGATTTCTAGGAGAAGAGCGAAATTTTTCTGGCAATGGAAAAGCTTTCCAGTACCGTCTCTCCTTCAGCAGCCTGATGGAATGGCTGCTGTTAGTTGAGTGGAAGAAGGTTGAGGGAAGAGCCTGATGGAGCATGTCACCCTATCCTGCAGGCATATGGAATAGATAGGACTGGTATAACAAGAATTGCAGTGGCAGAAATTGTAACATGCATTACCACACCTATCATGGCAGGATGGAAAGAGCAGGTTGGGGGGGAAATAAAAAATAAGATGATGGGAGAAGTAATTAATCATAAATAGATGTTTTTTTTAAATAATGCTTCTGACAAGTGATTTATGTCTCGAGACAGAAAAGTGAAGGGGCATAATTGCAATTCCCTATCCCCATCACGAATAGGGTTCAACTGGTTACCTGCACAGGGAATAATACAAGTGAAAGGAGATGCCTGTTTTTTGAATTGAGTAAGGCTAAAGAAAGCTTGGGGCCAAACTCTGCATTAGTAACTTCCTTCCTCTTATGGATGGAACCCAGTACTGTATATGGAGGTTTGTTGAAAGAATCTATTGGTGATCTCACAGTGGTGAAGGACAAAGGAAGGAAAGGACAGCAAAGAGTTATTTTGTACACAACCGGGGGGGGGGGGGGGAGAGAGAGAGAGCGGCCCTGTATGCATGGGAACACTAAAGACTGAAAACTCCGTTTCTGCATGAGTTCCTTGAGGCTAGGTTCTCACAGCTCAGTTAATTTGCATAACTGCAAAATTCTTTTGGAGCCTCTGTGGCCTACAGAATGCTCAGAGGGTTGCCAGATTGCAGCCTGGACATTGACTTGATACCTTGAAAGTCCCCACTAAAGGGGTGTGTGTGTGTGACAAAGCAGGTGTGGTTTGTTCTGTCATTTCCCCATCCATTGTATAATCCACCTGAACCTGCCCTGCTGTTATTGCAATGAGCAAGTCTCCAGGTGTGTTGCGCAGCAGGTGAGAGAGCATGCAAAGGGTCTAGGGGAATGGCTTGGAGAAATTGTTTCTGTTGGAGCTGCTGCTAGATCAATAAACCTAAGTGCAGGTCTCTGAATGCCATGTGGCAACTCCAAGTTGCCTTCTTTGTAGAGATGCTTCCTACTGGCTTCACTATGGCTCTGCCTCAGTTAAACCTGAGCTGCTCCCTATTTGCTGTTCTTAGGGAATTAGGGGAATGGCTGCAGGGAAGGGGATGTGGTGGTGGCTGCATGGCTGCTCAACTCTTGGAGAGGTTCGGGAAAGCAGAAAAGCTGAATGGTTTTGTAATTATAGCTACTTCCCTCACAGGGCTGTGAGGATAAAATGGGATGGGGAGAAGGGTATGCGTTGCCCTGAGCCCCTTGGAGGGAATAGTGGGATATAAATGTAACAACTGAAAAAATGAATCCCTGCCACACTCCACATCCTGTAACTCCCAAAGTCACGAGACTGGGTCCAAGATCAGCATGTGGGTCTAGCAGGTTAGCTTGAAGCTGGATTCTGTTTGCACATCATCCTGGTAAAATATTCTGAGAACAACTGGGTTAAACTACAGGTCAAAAGATTTCATCGCAGGTATTTAACGTTAATGTTATGTTGTTTGCAAAAAAAAGGAAGAGAGCTGTGACACACTGACCAATTCTCTTGTAACTCTTTTATGCTCATGGAACATAAAGGGTAAAGGAACCCCTGACCATTAGGTGCAGTCGTGGCTGACTCTGGGGATGTGGCGCTCATCTCGCTTTATTGGCCAAGGGAGCAGGCGTACAGCTTCCGGGTCATGTGGCCAGCATGACTAAGCCACTTCTGGCGAACCAGAGCAGCGCACGGAAACGCTGTTTACCTTCCCGCCGGAGTGGTATCTATTTATCTACTTGCACTTTGACGTGCTTTCAAACTGCTAGGTTGGCAGGAGCAGGGACCGAACAACGGGAGCTCACCCCGTCGCGGGGATTCGAACCGCCGACCTTCTAATCTGCAGGTCCTAGGCTCAGTGGTTTAACCCACAGCGCCACCCACGTCCCTACATGGAACATAAATGTGGGGAAACCTGTGACCCTCCAGATGTTCTTAGACTCCAGGTTGCCACAACTCACAAGCCAGCATGTCAAATAGTCATGGGTTTAGGGAATTGTCATCCCTCAACGCTATCTGGAGGGTCATAGGTTGCTCATCCCTGCTTTTGATCCATATGTTTATATTCCATTCTGATATAACTGTTCTTATATGCATGTATCCAAGGAGCAACTTTTAAAAGCCAGTCCATCACCACAAACAAATCAAAATGGATCCTGGACAGCTGGTGGTTTCAGAGTACTTCCATATGTTACTCCCAGCAGCAGAAGATATGCCAAACCAGACATGAGGTGGGTTGGAAGAGGTGTGAGTTGCGTCTTACAGTATCTCCAGGGAAGACCTATTAACTAGGGTAGGAAAGAGGTGTTAACTACCATCCCTGTTTTGAAGTGGCTGTTACTGTGCCATCCACACTGGTGTGCCAGTCATAGGCACTGAGCATGGAGATTGGCACAGTCCCATGTGGAATGCAAATGTTCAACAAATCAGCATACTGATCTTTTGGGAAATCCCTTCAGGGCCTAAGCATACTTCACAGCGGATGGATGTTTCCATGGGTGAAGCTCCCTTACCTTTATCTTCTCATCCCCAGATTATCGAGATATGGATCTATGAGAAGAGACGTAACAGGAATACTGAAGACTGCAAGAGTCTGGCAATGTGAGACTTTATGTCTGGCACGGCTTGAGAAGAAGGAAGTCTGGCTTCCTTTCTTAATTACGAGAAAGCGTACATGTACAACCAAAGAAAGCATTTGTCAGTTACAAGCACCTACTGCCTTTCTTTTAAGCCTACAAGCAGTAAATAGTTTCAAAACATGAAGAACGGAATTGTAATTTGACAAAAGGAAGGAAAAACAAAAGGAAGAGAAAACATTTTTTTAAAAAACACCGGTTTTGTTAAATTTAACTCCAAAAACATATTTCAAACTCTTCTGAAAATACAGAATAATACAACAGTTTTAATCCTCATTTGTGGGATAAACCAAGGACATGTTCACATCATTCCACCACTCGCTTCCTAGAATATATCCCATAAACATTTGGTGCCACATCTGGAACTGAAGTCACTGATTCAATCCCCCACTTCTAGACTAGGTTGTGGGAAAGTGTGTTTCTGATCGGAAAGAAACTCATTTCCTTGAAGTGAATTCCTGAACAGGCATTATGCTAAGCATTGCTTGCTTCCTTAGTTGTAGACATAATTAAGAGCTGCTCTTGCTGTGTATCCCCTACTGGCATGGAAAGGCTCTGAGCAACTATTTAAGTGGCAGAGTCCAGCCTTCTGCTCCACCCACCCCACCCTCTCCAGCAGATCCATTCCAGGGACTGGGAGAACCTGCCATTTCCACTCCCATAATTAATTATGTTTCCAGATTAACGGATATTTCTTGCTGTGCAGCCTAGCAAGCTTGCCTGAACGTTGAACAATCACAAAAAGTAAACACAAAATGTAAACCGGGGCCCTAAAGGTTACCTTAAGCAATTGCAACTGGAAATTAGAAAAATCAAGACCAATATGGTTTACAGGTTTAATTACAATGAACTATAACAAGTTACCAAGTTATAAAATTATGTGTGGCATGGAGAAAGGGGATAGAGAAAAGATTTTCTCTGTCTTTCATGACACTAGAACTTGCAGGCATCCAATGACGCTGAAGGTTGGAAAATTAAGGACAGATAAAAGACAGGACAACACCTAGTTAAACTATGGAACTCGTTCCCTCAGGACACAGTTACGGCCACCAACTCTGATGGTTTTAAAATAGGATTAGACGAATTCATGGATGTGTGGGCCTATCAATGGCTACTAGGCATGATAGGTATGTTCTACCTCCACAGTTGGGGGCAGCAATGCTTCTGAATATCAGTTGCTGGGAACCACAGGAGGGGAGAGGGCTCTTCTCCTCATGTTGTGCTCCCTGGTTTCCCATGGGCATTTGGTTGGCCACTGTGAGAACAGGATACTGGACTAGATAGGCCATTGGTTTGATCCAGTCTCTTTGTATGTTCTCCTCAAAGGCACTATGAAACAAACTGACAAATATGGTCAAAGGCTGCAAAAGTCACAACAATATTTGACAGTGGGAAGGATCTTACAGAGCAGTCTATACTGAGCTTAAGGTAGGGGGACACGATTCTCCCCCCCCCCCCGATTTAAACCCCACAATAACTCTGTGAGGTAGATTAGGCTAAGAGGCAGTGACTGGCCAAATATCACCCAGTGAGAATTTGAACCCAAGTCCTAGTCCACTACACCACACTGGCTCTAGAGACAGCTTTGCTTATATAAGTACCATCTGCTTCAGAATTTTAACATGGTATATAAGTAAATCCATCTTTCGTCTGATAATTTGGGTACAGCGATGGGAGAATTGTTTCACTTTTATGAGAAACAAATTTTGCACGGTTTCAGCTGAAAGCACAACATTCTTTAACTATAAAGCTCATCCTGTCATTCTGTAATTATAGCTTCATGCTCTCCCACCACTCCCTGCTGGCCCCCTTAGTTTCTGCGTTGTAGTACAGTGTCCCACCATAAAGCCCAAACTCCATACCAAATCAGGCCAATAAATCAGAAATCCTAATAAAAGGGAGGAGGACTTTAAATGTAGCGCGTGGGTCTGACTTGCGCTTTGGTCAATCCTGGGCAAAGTACACTTTTATTGGGCCAACATTGTGCAATAAACACGGCTCCAGAGACCTTTGCCCTGCTGCTTCCCAACAGAATTTATGTTTTGTTTGCATTTGGGGGTGGAGGGCAAGTGGAAAAGGTAAGGATTGTTGTTTTAAAGTCCTTATATCACACCACTTATGCTATCTCAGAGCAATGCTAAGAAAGACTGCTTTGCATTATTTTCAGAAGGACTGGTAAGAGAAAAATCAGCTGAAAATGTTGAGAATATTATTGACTTGAATTGTATCGTGTTGGCTGCAACCTAATGAGCGAGTGGAATTGCTGAGGGTTTTGTTGCTCTTTTAGGGTACAATTTTCCCGTTTCTGAGCCTACGGCCTTCTTCACACATTAGGTTACTTCAGATTTGAGTTTGCTTTCTTGAAACCTAGCAGTAAGCCCATGATAGGACTCATCAGCATATCTTATCCATATCTCATCCGTTTCAACCTTTTTTCACAAAAAAACTTGATAAGAACTAGCCACATCTCATCTCCCCCTAGCTAACTGTGATGAAAGAGATTCCAGTGACAAACTTTGTATGTTCACCAGCCTAGAATTCCATAGGTCAGGCATGGCCAAATTTGGCCCTCCAGCTGTTTTGGGACTACAATTCCCATCATCCCTGACCACTGGTCCTGTTAGCTAGGGATGACGGGAGTTGTAGTCCCAAAACAGCTGGAAGGCCAAGTTTGGCCATGCCTGCTCGGATAAAGGACAGCCTAGAAATGTCAATAGTAAAAACTGCATCCAGGTTTCTTCACAAATGTAGATAACTTTGCCCTTATTTCATTTCCACTTTCTGAGATAATTAATTCATTAGGTTGAATCCCAGCAATCATTGCATGGAAAAAATGCCTTCTGTTCATGCAACAAAACCTCTCCTCCCCATGTGCCCCCTCCACCCCAAATCTGCTCCCGAGGATTGGGGGAACCTGTAGAGCAAGTAGATGGGAGGAGGGTGTCCAGGGGGCAAGCAGGAGAAGACAGAGAGGAACCTCCTCTGCAAAGTCACTCATGCAATGACATAACTTTTTATTATTATTTTTTACATTCCTGATACCTCTTCATTTGGTTGACCATCTACAGTTTTGATCAACGCACTCCTAGTTGCCTTTCCCAACTCACTAAAAATAAATTTTACTTTTAGCAAACTTTTTTGACCCAATTCGTACATACATCAACGGCACCACCAAATTCTTTCTCATTCTTACAGTTCACTGTTGTGACCCAACATGTTCATATCTGTTCAGGATTCCAGTAATCCCTGTGAGATTCCTGGCAAGTTTCTTTTGAGCTATTGAGCTGGGGTGACATTCAGGTGGTTACTCTGAATTCAACTGGAAGCTGTTGTATGTCATCAATTAAAGAAAAGAAACTAGATCTGAAATAGTATTCCGCTTGACTCATTTGGAAGAAAATAAATTTGACCAAACTGTTAAAAACAAACCTGCTTATTTCACTGATCTTCTGAATTTCACTGATCTTCTGTCACATATCTAATAGTTAAAGGTAAAGGACCTATGGGTGGTTAAGTCCAGTCAAAGGTGACTGTGGGGTGCAGCACCCATCTCGCTTCAGGCCAAGGGAGCCGGCGTTTGTCCACAGACAACTTTCTGGGTCATGTGGCCAGCATAACTAAACCGCTTCGGGTGCAATGGAACACAGTGACAGAAGCCAGAGCTCACAGAAACGCCATTTACCTTCCTGTTGCAGTGGTACCTATTTATCCACTTGCAGTAGTGTGCTTTCGAACTGCTAGGTTAGCATAAGCTGGGACAGAGCAATGGGAGTGGGCGTAGGGCCCCCCCCCCCGTTCGTTACCTTTGTCCTGAATGGTACCATAGCCTAGAATCTAAGAGAGACTGCAATTTTCCTTGTACTGATACAGTGACAGATTGAAGAAAGGTGGCATGTCCAGAAATTAATGTTCATGCTGTTTTTGTAGGGCTGTTAAGACAACACTGTCCAGAAGGAAAGTACCGCATGCATGTGGATGAAAAATGTAAAACAAACAAATAAACCCAGCTTCTACAAGTTGAAAAAGAGGAAAGAGAATCATGACAGATGTCCACCCCCGACCCCCGTTTCAGCCAAAGCACTTTGAAGGCTTATCGCTTTTGCCTCTGTAATACTTCTGAAATGTATAACTATACAAGTTTTTGCAAATACACCATCAATCTTCGAAAGAAACTGGTTTTGTAGAGCATGTTACTAGATCTGCTAGTGTGTCTGTATACACATGCATATGAACCCATATCTTACATGCATGTACACGGACAGTGCTCACACTACTATACCTGGGACCTTTACTATTATGTGCTGCAGATAGGATTGAATTGGGTGTGACAGCCTTGCTCACTCTGGAAAATTAGGCAGACATCAATAAGAACCAAATATGAGAGTGCTTCTTCCAAACAGCTGGCAGTAACCACACCAGAGTTGCAATTGCGGTATTTATGGAAGATTAAAATGGTTTAAGGGTAGAGTGGCTTTTGCAGCTTGAAATGCCATTACAGAAATATTAAGAGAGGGTTAATAATGATACATTACATGGGCTACCCAACCCATGTGGCCTGAGATACTATTGCAAAGGTAAGAGAGAAATGGCTCAAGGCGAACAGTTGTCTAATATGGAAGTGGGCGGATGAACCCAGTTTTGCTAGGAAGCAGGAAAGATTCAGACAGGGGGAAGGCCACATACAATGGACTAGCTTTTTCCAGTCTATTTCTGTCATATGCAAATTTGCATTGTATTTTGCTGGTGCCACACAATCAGGAGCCATGCAAAAATATTAAGATGCCTGACAGAAAGAAGACATGTTTGGGTTTCCACCTGAACACACAACAGTTTAAAAGCAGGAAGAGAGGCACTAGTGTGTGCACACTCCCTACCTCAATGTTCCTGTGGTCACTCAGTCCCAACCCTATGCCTAGTATGAGAGATTTGCAGGGAGCTTTTGCATATAGAAACGTCACCATCTGAACCTTGGTTACTTACTAGGCAAGTTGGACCAATGGCCTGACTCCATAGAAAGAATGTCCACATGTTAATACATTGTTGACAGGTCATCTGACAAATGGTAAATTGCCAAGAACAGACTAGGTGACTACAAGTCACTAACAATCTCAGATTAACAGGTCAATGGACTCCATCTCAAAAGCATTGCAGAGATGTTAAGGACAATGCTATACATGTTTGAAATATTGTTTTCCACAGAGTCAGCAAAAGAGAGTGGCAAGGAGAAAATATTCCGTAATTGCATCAGCCCCTTTTTTATTACAGGTCATTTCATTACTCCCTGTTATTACACATATTTGCCCTTTGATACAGATCAAAAAGTGCATCTGTTAAGGAAATTAATGAGTCAATCAACTGCTTTACTGAGACTCCAGCCCCAGAATTCAGCTTCTACGCATGGTGACACTGAAGAAATAGAAACACAAATACCTATATTTTGTGTAGAGAGCAATGCTCCCCCCCCCAAAAAAAAAGATTTTCCCCTTCCTTGACATATTCCAAAGGCTAACATAGATGATTAGTGAGGCTGGGTGCATTCTGACAATCCATACAGACTTTCTCCCTGTTTAGATTGTGTAGGTAGTTCAACACATTGTCTACATAACCTACCATCAAGCTGGGTGTTGATTTTTCTCATCATGGGCATTCAGGCAATTTGTGCTCATGGTAACCCTATGCACATGACAACCAGTTCACCATGCACACATTTTAGTTGTGGAAATCCCCTCCTCCCGCAACCATACATAGGCATTAAGGCTGAAAAGCAAGCAAGACATTTCAGATAGCCATATTTACAGTCATGTCAAGAAGGGTCATTTATGTACAGCATCAGAATCCCTATTATTGCTCACCCTTTTGGCTAGGATCTATGCACCACAGATCGCCACATCAGGTAGGCAACTTACCTCCTTGCATCCAGTATGTGGGGTTGTAGACATGGCACTTGTGTCTAAAGTACTGAATAGATGGCTGGCGTGCTATCTAACGTTTTGATTGATCCCTTGTGTGACCAGTGGGAGTACTAGAGGTCATGGCATTTTATTTGTGCTTGACTTTGAAATCCAAAATGGAAGTTTGAGTAGTCACCACCTACTGGTTGAGTCTTTTAAAAAACCTGGGTACAGCTAATCCACAATTTCAAAATCATGAGCTTTAAGATCAGGTTAAGTGTGAAGTTACTTCTATTACCACTTTGGCTTTTCAGTCTGTCTTCATGATCAAAAGTGCCATGTTGTACATTATGTGTAAAATTATGATAATTGGAAACATGCTATAAAAAGTGAGGGGGGGAGAGATAAAAATGCTGTGAATCTAAAGATTAGAACAAGCTTTTTAAAAGCCCCTGAAGACTTTTGTCCTGCCAACAGGCTGGATATTACATTCACTGAGCATGTCAATGAGAAAAAAGGTGTGTGACCCTACCCAAGTTTAATTATTTTCAGCGGGGTTTAGTATTGCAGTCTAGAATAAGCAGGTTTCCTTGCATCCTTTCGGACAGCAATGGGGAACCTTCAGCCACTGCAGTTGCTGCTGGACTGCAATTCCCATTATCCCTGGCCATTGGTCACACTGGTTTGCAGCTGATGGGAGATGGGAGTCCAAAACCATCAGCTCCAAAAACATCCATGCAAGGGAAGTTGACAAAACAGGTATCCTGGGTCAAAAAGTGAAACCTTCCCTTCAAAACCAAAGTATGACCTGGGATATCTCAGCTGGTAGATGTCATTGACTGGCTCCCTGAGTGTAGGGCATGAGACTCTTAATCTTAGGGTTGTTGGTTTGAGGCTCACATTGGGCAAAAGATTCCTGCAAAACAGAGGGTTGGACTAGATGACTAGTTGTGGTCCTTTCCAGGTCTACAATTCTATGATTCTGCGAGAACCTGTGGCCCTCCAGATCTCTTTTTGGCCCTCCAATTCTCATCATTCCCAGCAAATGCATTGGTCACTGATGACTGGAGCAATGTGTGGAGTGCCGCAGGTTTAGAGCCTCTGGTATAGCTTATACTGGTTCAAAAAACATCCTAACATTGGCATTGTTGGCTAGGGATAAATGAGATGAGATAGGATTATTTGTGTGCATGAATGGTGGAAGTAAGAATATTCTTTTGATTCCTTTCCAAACTTGTATGTAGCTGCTCCTTGACAGCACCTCTCTATTGTATGATACACTTAAGAGAAATCACATTGTACAAAGAGAGAAAAACACATAACCTTTTTATTATTAAACCTCTGGTGAAAACGTTTCACATGACATCCCTTTTTAAAAAAATGTAAACCAACCTAGCTATGGGTCAGGTACATTATACAGATTGCATCCAGTACTTTAAAGATGCCTAAATATCTTGTTGGAGTATTTACATACTTTATCTATTAGGTAGTAAAGTTTCACTGCAACTGATAATTCTTCTAGCACATACTTTATTCCGTGGCAAGATAGTGGGGATGACTGCGTATATAAAAGCTCATGTCCAGATAGACAGGTAGGGTCAATTTCTTTTCCTGAGAAAACGTTTGTTCTTGAAACTTGTACTTTATAACTCAGAAACACAGAAGAATGTTTTCTGTTACAGTAAAAAAAAAACAAAAACTTGCAACAAAAGGATGCCTAGTTAACTTTTTTCTTTTAAATTATTTACGTACCATTAAGTTAAAATGTTTACATTCATTCCATTCATTCATATAAAAACTGTTGTTAAATCTTATGCTGATGATTTAACACTGATTGCTGCAAGACAAATTGCACTTTTTATATAAAAAACAAAATTATTGTATATATGGAAGGGGGAGGGAAAAAAATCTGAATGCTACCCTGTTTACAAAGTCTGACTGACTACATACAGTTCAGCCACAACATAGACGCTCTGTCCTCCTCCATCACAGTATATGTTAAAAACAACAATGCAAATGCTTTAAACAAAAGTTCTCAATAGCCAGTTCTAATGGGAGAAGGGGGGTTACCAAAATGCGTTTCTTTCCTTCATTAGGCTGTATTGGAAGTCTGCTTCAGAAAAGCTACTCAGAAATGGGGGCATGTCGTGAGTGGAAGGCACTAGCTGAAACACTGACCTGCAAGAGGAGATTGCCTCAAACTGTCAAGTTCAATATATGCTCACTTGTTGCTTAGCTCTTCTGTGTTGCTCTATAATGCAAGCTTTGCCTACTTCGTCTTACAATAATATCGACACCAATTAGATCTGGGATGTTGGTCAAGTGGGAATGGGGGGGGGAAATGCACAATCCACAAATACACGAGGCGGCACTGGTGGTTGTGGTGAAGATGTAGCAACAGTGCGGATGGGCACTCCTTGTTGAGCTAAGTGAAGTGGTTTCCCTTGGTTGTCTTGCATAGCTGAGGACCTGGGCAATCAAGCAGAGACCATGAGAAGGAAAAAAACACCCCCCCTTCTCACGCACACACGCTAGAATCAAGGCACAAAAATGACTGGCAAGGAATGTCCTTGTCATCATAGTCACCGCTTCTTGGACAAAAAACAAACAAAAACAAAAAAACACAAGTGTTGCTGGCTGGCTGATGCCCAGTGCATGGATCCAGCACCACTGACTCATCGCCACTTCATGCTAGAGCCAAGGCACACCAGGAGGAATCCTGTCTCACAGAGGCCGTGACTTCTGCAGTGGAGGTCAAGCTGACGCCTGAATACAGCCCTTCCTGGCCGGAATATTTGAGTGTGCTAGTCTCGGGACTGCTGGCATTCTCTCCCCGGCCGGACATCACTGAAGAAACCGCCTGCAGCAGAAGGAAAGAAAGGAGGGAGCAAAAGCTGTAAAGTAGCACATATTTATCAAGGAAAAGCAAATCTGCCTGCCCAAGCTGGAGGACTGCTGACACAATCACAGGAATTACTACCCATCCACCCATTCAGCTGAGAAGTGATGAGAACATCATTCAGTTTGAAGAAGTGGCATGAAACATGCATGAAGTGAATCAGTTCAGTGTCTTTGGGTTAGATCTGGACACATAAGGCCCCAAAGCCCCCCCCCATAACACCAGTACAATAAAGCCCCCCCAATAACACCAGTACAATAAAATAGCAGTAAGCCACACAAAACCAAACCATAGCTTAGCAGGACTGTATAAGTATTCCTGGAGAGGAACTCACAACCACTTTGCTCCCCCTGGTATTTTTCATTGACATGATGTGGTGAACTAAACCAAAGTATTGTCTGAAATGGGGCTCATAGTTAAGCTCCCTCCTTACTAAAGGTGAGCTATAACCAAGGTTTCTTCGGCTAAGCAATAGTTTAGTTTAGCATGATATGCAAACCAGGCAAAAAACATAACTCAGAATGGTCAGTAAAGCTGGCATGAAGGATATATGTATGAAGCTTTTCACCAACTAGTGAAACAACAGCAGCATATGTGCCTAGAATATTTCTAAAGGAAGGTCATTTCACAGTTGGGGGGGCTACCACAGAGAAGGCCCTTCTTCAAGCCACCATTAGATGTATCTCCACTAGGAACAGTGTGACTAGATGGGGCCAATGAGGACAATCTCAGTTAATGGGATGTTCTGTATATGAGGAGCCACTCTTTTAGATAGCCTGGTACTAAGCCATATGGGGTCTTATCAGTAGACAGCAAATCCTTAAACTTGGCTTGGTAGTAAATAGGCAGGCAGTGCAATTCCTTCAGCACTGGTGTACCTTATGTACACAGTCAAGCACAGTACTCTTCAGGAGAAGGTGCCCTGTAGATACCATTTCATCAGGAAGTCTGTTCCCTATGATGTAGGAATCAGACTTCTAATGTGGTGGCACCTAATTTTCAGAATTCCCCTCCTTCTCCCATCCCATTATAGATCAGACAGACACAATCTTTCCTGTCTTTACGGCACCTATTGAATATGTTTACTCTCAAAAAGCCTAAGTGGTGAATTTTATACCAGTTGTTATTTGTAAGGGCCTTAAATTGTATTTATATCTGGTCTATTGTTAATGTGAACGTTGTTAATTAACTAAACAGACTAACAAACAAAATGTTCAGTCAGATGCTCCAATGAGCATTCTAACCACCACCACCACAACAACTTGTACCCTGCCCATTGGACTGGGTTGGCCCAGCCACTCTAGGGGGCACTTTGCACTAGCTGCAGCTTCTGCGCTGATCCCAAAGGGTAGTCGCTAAAAAAGAATCCCTAAAAAGCTGCAGTCATCCCAATCTTTTTGACTTTATTTTCACAATAACGTATTATAGCAAGGTGTTCCAAATTGCTAAGATCTGTTTTATAACCATACTGCATGAGCCTTGAGCCTTTCCTTCCTTCCTTCCTTCCTTCCTTCCTTCCTTCCTTCCTTCCTTCTGCTTTTTTTAAAAGCACAATTCAACATAAAACCCTATTTTAGACCCAAGGAAATCATGTGAGTGGTTTTATCACTGGCACAGTGCACAGCTCAGAGTGTGGTTGTGCATGACAGAAAATGGGTCTGGGCTACATGACAACTGGCGGTGGGTATTCAAAACATAATATCAGTGTGAATTCCAGAAGCTGGCCTTGGGACAAGAGATAAGAAACGGGAGTGGGAAAGGACAGGCAGGCTGCTGTAATGAATTATGCACCTAGTGTGGCCTCCCCCAGCCTGGCGCTCTGTAGACTACATCTCCCATGGCTGCTGTGAGTTGTAGTTCAAAACACCTAGAGGGCACCAGGTTAGGGAGACGTGATTGAGCAGGGAGTGACAATGACGTTGGTTCAAAACAAAGTTTAAGTACAACAAGAAGGGAGTTTGGAAAGGCTCTGTTGTGTTAACCTTTTGGTATTTGCTTCCGTGTTGTACCCATAGCTGCTATTTCTTCTCAAAGACACGTCATAGAAGCGTTTCAGTTAAACGTGTTGCAAACTTTGTATGAGAAATCGGGTAAGCAAAAACGGAACTCCACAGCACCATCTGGTGTCACAGTGTTAGAATGCATAAACAACACATGTAAAGTGTTTTTTCTTTGCCAATGTAGCAGAGTCCTTTTTTAACACTGGTTTGTTTTTTTGAAAAAATATGGGGAACAAGCAGAGGCACAGTCCCATATTATTCTATATACATGGGTTTATTTGTATTCATATTTTAAATTCATTACTAGGTTCAGATGTGTTCTATTTTTTGTTGTATAAATATAAATGGGAGAAGAGAGCTAGAGACAGGTGAGATATGCCATCTAATATAGAAGTTATAGTGACTTTATTTAAGATTCATTTCCCTTTTCCAATATGCACTGTTTTTTACTCTTCTTTATACACCTTCTCTTTCTCTCTCTCTCTCTCCCCCAACCTTTTTTTTTGGGGGGGGGGATGACCTTTCAAGTTTTTACAGATGTGATGTGTCAGTTTACACAAATTATATGCTTAATAAGTTTGCTTGGTATGTATTTCTTTTATAGATATCCATATTATAAGGATATTGTGGTTCCTAGCATTGTACTTTCAATGCATGGAATGTGCTCTAATAACGTAGCCACCAATATATTGCCTTTTCATTTATGAGTAATATGGATTTTAGTAGTTGTATTTTATGCCTGGGCATTAGGAGATTTTGAGATGGAGAATAGTAATGTGTCCTATACTTATAGATGACATATATATTATACTTACTTTAATAGATTTATTATGACTTTAAAATTTGTTGCATGGTGTGTTAAGAGCTTAGGTTCTTCTAGCAAAGGAAACAGGTACTCTATAAACTAAAAAAATACTTAAAAGCTGATGTGGCATTATTACAGGAGACACATCTTTTGGTGGAAGATAAATATAGGACCTAATGGTCAGGGGTCCCTTTACCTTTAAATACAGAAAGTGTGGAAAAGTTGGTAGGGAAAGTACCGTATTTTTCCGTCTGTAAGACGCCCCCATGTATAAGATGCCCCCTACTTTTGGGGACTCTGATTTAAGAAAATGGGGGAATATCTATTCATGTATAAGACGCCCCCAAAGTTTGGACCTTATTTTTCAGGAAAAAAGCATAGTCTTATACACAGGAAAAATATGGTACATGCTAGTAAGCATTCTAAGCATTCTAAGGGTGTGGCTATATTGGACCTCATAGACAATATCTGCTGGGGTTTGAGAAGGTGGTTGCAGCATGCAAACCCAAGAATTTTACTGAACTGGAAGCAGTTGCTCATGAGAAATGGGCCAAGATTCCTCAGGAATGTTGCTGTCTGGTTATGTATCTCGTTTGCAGCAGGTCATAGCAGCAAAAGGCTGTTCTACTAAGTTCTAAATATGCTTGCCATGAAGGGGTTGAATAATAGTGAGACTGGAGAAGCCAGTATAAGTTGCAATTTCAGCTGAATTTGGGGAAACCACTTGAAGCATCTGTTGTGTCAAGCTATTTTAATTGCTTTTGTTTGATTTGCTCATTGCAAACAGCTGAAAGTCTGTAAATTTTGATAATAAACCTGATTTGCAATGGGGGTTGAATTATTTCAGTTGCAGCTGTATAATCATTTGGTAACAAGCATATGGAAGACAGATGCACAAGCAATAGGTATAGGACAGGCTTCCTCAACCTCGGCCCTCCAGATGTTTTTGGCCTACAACTCCCATGATCCCTAGCTAGCAGGACCAGTGGTCAGGGATGATGGGAATTGTAGTCTCAAAACATCTAGAGGGCCAGGGCTGAGGAAGCCTAGTATAGAATGTGTTTAAAATGTCACTTTGGGGGACAGCGAAAGTGGCTTAGACAGGAGTGTTTATGGTCCAACATCCACATATGAGCACATATGGAAATGACTGGAGCCCAGTGAACATGGGGCAAAACTACAAATGACAAAGAGTGTATTGTCAGGTGTTGTCAGTGAGGAAGCAAAAGGCCAACTAATCTGCCTCTTGGATACATAGGGAAGGAAGTGGGTTGCAGCCCTGAAATTTCTACCTTCCAAGCGAATTAAAATGAATTTGGGCTAAAAACTATTGCTGACAACATGAATTATACCAAATCTCTACATTGCTTGGAATCATTTGGCACCGTTGTCTAGAAAAGACGAATGAATCATTTCTGCACAAGCAAAGGAATGTGTTTTCTCTAATTGATTAATTCCCTTTTTGTGAACTGAAATGTCTTCTTAAAAGTCTTCATATTCTTTTGTGCCAATTTGGAATTTTCCATGCTACCAGAGATAAGAAGTATGGAAAGTTGCAGAAATGAAATATTACTGCAATCATTTAACTAGCAAGTGTATTCGGAGGATTGTGAGTGAAGTACTAGTATTGTGGCTTCGTGATGGGTTATGATCTGCAGCATTTTTAAAGTGACACCCTTCTTATCTATCCTTACATCCATCCTGTGAAGGATATTGGGATGAGAGACAGACACACTAGTTGAGTGTCTCCCATCCCCACCGCCTCAATGTGCATGGCTCAGGCGTGAGGAGGGAAGTGCGGCCTTGGTTCCTGCCAACATCAGTGCACCAACCCAGCTCTCACCTTCTGACCTCCACAAATTCAGTAAAGATTTGAAGGGAGAGCCAGTGGTACTCACATAGACTTTTCCCTACAATGAGCAGCCCTGATGGCCCAAGGCTCCTTCAGGAAGTCCCCCATTCAGAACTTAGTTGAACATATGGGAGTCAAAGCAACAGATCTGGCCAGGTGCACAGACATCAGAGGTGGAGTTAGGCGGGAGGACCGACATCAGGAGCAAGTACAGGATGTGTAACTAACTCCATCCTCCATGTGTGGCCAACATCTACAATCACAAAACAGCCTTTCCATTAGGCAATATGAACCAGTCACTATAGCAAGCCTTTTACGGGTGTGAACTGTGAGCCCTGGGAAAGCAATAATTCAAGCACGGGCACATTTCTATGGAACGGGTCCCTTCCGTTTCTACAGTCCAATCAGGGGCACGATAGGTAGGACTGCATCATCTCATTTTCACGTGGTTTGTATTAGCAAATACTGGGGGCTAGGTCAATATGCTACTGGTTAATGATTGCTGTGGGAAATCCTAGTGCTACATACAGTAGGGTTTCTTGAAGCAGATGTGTAAAAGTGCAAAAGCAATAGTCATATGTACATGCGTCTTTAAACAATGTGTACATGTGTCTGGGAAATCTAGAGAAATCAGATTTTCCAACAGGAGCGTCTGGATGTTTAAAGTTGTGCCCACTCATCTCTTACCATCCCACTTCTGTGTGTTTCCTGCAGAAATCAAAGCAGGTAGCAATGGCTTTAGTCCCGGAAACAAACAAACAACCTTTTAGCTGTGTTTCTTACTGCTCTGACAAACATTTCTCATGCTGTTTGTCCTGGTCACTATTCTTATCTTCATCTACCACTACACACACATCTATCTATCTATCTATCTATCTATCTATCTATCTATCTATCTATCTATCTATCTATCATCTATCCCCCATTGTGCAATTAAAGCCATTCACCAGCATTGACGATAATTCCTTCTTTCCATTATTTTCCATGATCTTGACAGCTCCACCACCACCACCAATCCACAGCAAGTGTTTCACAACTCCACAAATGTGTTTCAGTGTGGCTGTATTTTTTTTGTAATTCAGCAAAGTTAAGTCTCTCTAGGGGGCCTGAATTGCTGGTGGATGTATTTGTTATGTTGTTGGTGTATTGTAAACCACAAGCTTGCCCTAAATGTTCAAAAATAGCATGCTTTGCACTTTGACTGCATGCACAGCATACATTTTAAACACATTTAAAGCCCATGGCTTCCCTAAAACAATCCCAAGAGCTATAGTTTAACCCCCCCCTCCAATAGAACTGCAATCGCCAATAGCTAACAAACTACAGTTCTTGGGATTCCTTGGGGAAAGTCAATTGTATGGTGTACATGCAGCCCTAGAATTAAAGAGCTTGAAGGGACTTAAAAGGTCATCAAATCCAAACCCCTATTGATGCTGGGAATGTCCAAACAAGGCAATCTGCTTGATGCACTACTAAGGTCATATCTATGTTTGGTTGGTATTTGGTGTGATAAATATGAAGGACATCATCTAGTCCTCAGGAACATGTGGTGACCACATACTTGAATGTTGTGAATATCCATGTCTCCCTAGTACATGTTTGGAGATATGCACCTCTCCTCTATACATCATATGTTTTCTCCAGTAAATTCCAGTTGGACACTAGTATTCCTGTGCTGAATAAAGGACCAAAAGCCTCTAAGTAAGTCAGGGGTGGGGGTGAGGTGGGCTTACCTCCTAGTCAATGTGCTTAGGAGTAAACTCATTGGAAGTCAGTGCAACATAATTCCAAGTTAGCACACATTGGCTTGTCCTGTTACGGATTTGAGGGGAGGAAAAACATCTCTTATGCTGCCCTGCTTTTTTAGAAGCGTAACTAGAAGGCCAGCCAGTTCAAGGCCAAGCTAGCAGTAGTGTAATAAATGTCCATCCATACATAATAACAGTTGCAGGAGGATATGTTTTCTCTTTCACAATGTAACTGCATATTTGAGCAGTGAAGCAAATAAAAGGAATTGGGTCAGAGAACAAGAGACACTGAAACCAAGGATCATAAGACAAATAGCTATGGAGCTTATTTAACTAAAAGGAAGCCATAATGAAGCGATTTCCAAGTAAAGGACATGGCTGGAATACCTATACAGCTGAATGTGCAATGGATATACATCTATTGCACACTGCCCAACATCTCCTCTCTGAGTTGCGCTTCTGTTATGGGGATAGAGCCCAAATTCCAGTACACAAACAGCAATACTTCGTACTTAGGAAATGTGCCCTTTTCCCCTAGATCAAGGGTGATGAACCCCTGGGCCGGATATGGCCCACAGCTGGATTTCATCTGGCTCCTTAGGTTCTCCTCCTGCCCATCAGCAGGAAAAAGCTGAGAGGGAAAAGAGTTTTGATGTTCTGCAGGATGGTCAATTGCAACTGTGTTTTCTGAAGGAAAACCAAAGCCAATGGGGAAATGTCCCAGCAGAGAGGTAGACTTGAGTTATTTGCAAATTTGCTCAAAATGTCCATGCATTTTGCAGTTGGGGGGTGCAATTGCATTTTGAAGTTTGAGGCTCTGAATAGCTGTAAAGCAAGGCTTCCAGTTCAGCTGTGCATTCAACTGAGTCTTGACATTATTTGCATTCTTCTGCTGGGATTGCAGAGTTCTTTTTGCATTTTGCACAGCCAGTACAGATAAAGGAGGTTGGAGAGCTTTATAAACAAACTTTGTTGGGTTTTCTTTTTTAAAAAAGAAAAAAGTCTATGGAGAAAATGGAAGGGTAAAGCGAGTGGTACTGCTAAAAAAATATTTCTCATTTTCCATAGGAAACGGCTGTTTGTGCCTCAACCCCCTTTTGGGTCTGGCCCAGTGTAGGTGCTACACAGCCTATTGGAAACTGATTAAATCATCAGCTAGCTAAACTGTTGCTCAGAGAGCCTATATTTTCGCCGTTCACTATGGCTTATCGTGACTTGCAATCTGGAGCAATGTTTCAAAAAGCCATACATATTGAGATGTCAGCAATATGCAACTGTATCAAAATGTAAAATCAAGTTGGTACATGTCTACTCAAAAGTAAGCCCCACTGATTTGAGCAGGACTTACTTCCAAGTAGCATGCATAGAATAACAGCCTAATTGGCTACTCAGTGAAAAAGGAAGGTGTTCAACCAATGACCAATTCTAATTTAAATGCTTGACAGCCCTGACATACACTTGTACAAAGTGAGTTGAGCATTAATGGCTCTCCATCATTATCTCACAAAGGTGGATTATATTCACTTAATTAACCTTATCAACAAGGTATTTACAGTACTCAATGCTGAAATAAAATGTACATTGGAAGTAAAAGTACCTATCTTCCACCCATTTACCTCCCTACCAAATACATCACCATAAAAAAAGGTAGCATTTCCTAGACTGGACCCGTGAGTGGGGAGATGGTCTACTGTGCTTTCTGCTAATATCTGTGTATCTGACCCAACTCCCTGCTATGACTGCTGATCATAAAGGATTTTAGAATATACAGCTTTTAAAAAGCGGAAACTTGTTTTAGCCCGTGGATCACCCCAGCCTGGATCAGGGCCAATGCCTATTGTACAACACGGTACAATATAAGATAGGATACGACACAGTATAAATAAGAGATAAATCTTGTAACTTAATAAAGATGTTTGTGAAGTACTTTAGTTTTACATTGTGTTTGCGTTTATAGGTAATTTCCTCAGATATTCCCCGTCCAGTATCAGCTCCCTAACTGAAAAGTTTATTTAGATTACTGTTCTACTAGATAAGATAAAAATGGAGATAACATGCGCCACAGAAATCTACTCGCTTGCAAGCATGGATACTATTTTGTCACTTACCCCTGAGGCTGTGGTTTGTGTGCTAGGGGAAGCATTTTTTCGGCAGTCATCTGAGTTCGTAGAAGACGTGGAAGTTGGAGTCATAGGAACGGCATTATTGCTATTATTACCTGCAACGGGAGCACCCAGGTTAGAACTCTGCGTTCTCCAGATGGCCAAATCTCTGCCCCTCCACAAACCCTTTCATTATATTTACCCGAGCAGGACTTTGTCTTAGCCAAGTTCTTTGGTTTTCGTTTCCTGGTTTGAATTCCCTCTTTCTTCATAGCAAGGGGTCGGGGCACCTAAAATGCAATACCCCCAAAATTTAAAAAAAATCTGAAATTTGTTTTCTCTTTGGATACATTAGAGACATCGTACTATAAGCAAAATTACAGTGAAAATAGTAGCATTAGGACATGATGTTTAATTCATTATGTAACCACTATTCATGTAAAATTTCACTATTTTTCTTTCTCCAGTTCTACACCCCGTAGGTACACAGAGGAGTGGTCATAGGATATGGTTTTTGTTTTTTTTATATCTGGCTGGCAAACAGTGACACTTGATTCTGTAATGGACATTGTACTCTATGCAGATATAGAGCTGTGTCGTGCATATATGTGTGGGATCCTTTAGGCCTATAAACCTTATCCATATTCAGCATCCTTAAGAAGATAGTCTCCTTTCAGGTGGCAGTGTTGGGAACAGTATTAGACTCAGTCCAACCATTTCTCATCCATCTACTAAATAGTTGGGTCTTTCCCATCAAACTAGCCTTTCCCTTATCAAAAGCCTTTCCCTGCAAACTTGCGTTCGTTTCTCTCGATTGTCTGCACTATTGAAGAACTTCTATGTGGCTAGAATGTTTTAATTGTAGGGTAAACCAGTGGTTCCCAATTTGCTAAGTATTGCAGAGCCCCTGTTTTTCAAAAGCCAAGTAATGGAACCCCTACTTTTGAAAACTTTGATATCTCTATCATAGTTTTTGTTATGTGAATGGTGCCACAGACACCCTGAGTGGGTTATGCGGACCCCCTAGGGCAGACGGACCACTCATTGGGGACCACTGGAGCAAGCTATTCCTTCAAAGTGAAGACTGTTCCCTTTCTCCGAAATAGAATTTGCACTTTTACAAGTGCCACATAATGTCTGTTCCACATTTGCAAAGAAGTTGATATTTTAAGGCGGCAGAACCTGTGCTTTGGAATTCCTGACTCTTGACAATAGGCAGGAATCCTCGCTATCTTGTTTTAGATGCCTAATGAAAACTTTTTTTTGTTTTGGCAAACCTATCCCAACACATAAGTTCATTGGCTATATTTGTTTTAAATGTGTAACTGATGTTAACTTTGTTTTAGTGATCGTTTTATGTATATTTGTGTTTTCTAATTGTTCTGTGGATTTTTGGTTGTGCTTCATCTACGATTATATCTGTACACTACTAAAACCACTCTTCGATTAAGCGGTTCATAAATCTCCCAACTACTAAACCAATAAATAATACCCAAGACCTGTCAGTAGCAGCAATCAGTGACTTCTGTTTTCTGTTTAAATTACTCTTTACTGGAACGTTAAATGATGGGCTGCGACATGACATGGTACCATGGATTTCTCTATTGACATCCCCTATCATTTAGTAGTTAAGTGCAATTGCATACATGCAAAATAAAAATAAAAATGGGAGGGATAAGAGACGCTCTCCCCACCCCAATCCCCTTTCACCCTCCTAGCAGAGTTGGACTCGGGTCTCCTGTGAAACTAAATGCATGTTCCATCTCAGGAATGGTGTGCTGGCTGGCCATTAAGCATGCATCAAGCAAGGACTGAAATAGCTCCTGATAATATGAAGTAGCTGCTCACCCCATGAAGTTTCATGTACAGGCCACAGGCATTGCATACGGGCTCTCCTTCTGCATTCCTGCGCCAGAGGGTGGTGGTCGTAGTGTGACAGTTGGCGCAAGACAAACCCATTCTTCTCGAAGAAGGCTAAGAGGCAAGCACAAGGAAATGCCAAATCAACACAAAGACGTGTGGACAGAGCTCTTCTGCACATAAGCAGTAGCAGGATTGTATATAGACCACAAAACTGGCTTCAAAAGAAATAAAGAGAGAGAGAAAAACAGACAGACAGACAGACAGACAAACAAACAAACAAACAAACAAACAAACATACAAACCATTAAGCTGCATTAAACAGTTGGTCCCTTACCTTTCCTGCCCCGATCTGGCCACAGTGATCCATTCGACGGTCACCTCCTGGCTTGACTATTGCACTTGACTCTTGCCCCTGAAACTGGCCCGGACACTCCAATGGGTGCAGAATGCTGCAGCGAGGCTCCTCACAGGGTCCCTGCCATGGGAGCATATTCAGCCAGTGCTTTACCAGTTGTACTGGCTCCCGGTGGAGTATCGGGTCAGGTTTAAGGTGCTGGTTTTGACCTTTAAAGCCCTTTGTGGCTTAGGGCCCTCGTATTTACGGGACTGCCTCTCCTGGTATGCCCCACAGAGGACGTTAAGGTCCATGAATAATCATAGTTTAGAGGTCCCAGGCCCTAAGGAAGTCAGATTATCCTCCACCAAGGCCAGGGCCTTCTCAGTGATGGCTCCGACCTGGTGGAATGCTCTGTCCCATGAGACCAGGACCCTGCAGGATTTAACCTCCTTCCACAGGGCCTGTAAGACAGAGCTATTCTACCTGGCTTTCAATTTGAACTTACCCTGATCTTTTATTTCCCCTTCCTTCCCTCCCCCTCCCCTTTTTATGAAGATTACCCGCTCTGGGATCCCACAGCTAATTCTCCCCTGGTCTCCTCGCTGGCCCAAATAGGACTAATTTAGCCAGCTAGCCCTGGTTTTCCTCTAATGTTTATTGGATGGATTTCCCCCCTAAATGGATTTTTGAATTCTGAATTTATTGTTATTCATGTTTTATACTGTATTTTATGCTGTTTTTTGTTGCATCAATTAAGTGTTTTAAATTTAAATTTGTTGTTTCTGAACCCAGAAGGGTGGGGTATAAATAAAAATTTATTTATTTATTTATTTATTTGGTAGAAAAGGAAAGAGTCTCAAAGGTTTAATGGACCAACACATTTCAAAAATATATTCTCCATGGTCACTCAAATACACAATGCCATGTTTTCTACCATGCAAATTCATTTGGTTACACAGTATGGTTGAAGAAAAAGTTGTGCCCCTGAGAAAGATTTTTTTAACATGTTAGGCCACAGGTTTTCAACCTTTTCAATCCACAGCTCCCTTGACCAACTACATTCTTTCTGCGGCACCCCTGTGGGGATCAGGAGCCCAGTTATGTCACCCCTTGCCTTCAGAGCTGGCAGCCTCTCACCCTTTTTCAAACACCCTCCTTTGTGGAGTGTTCCCTCAGCCTCCTCTCCCCTCTCCTTGGGAGTCCTCTGGGCAGCTACCGCTGCCGTCCCTGGTCTCTGAGCTGCCCCAAAGAGAGGTGCCTCCTCACACTGCCCCACAGGGGCCTAGGAAGCACCCCCTGGCCAGCCCCAGAGGCACCATTCGCCTGGGGAGCTTGTAGCAAGCACTACTGCAACAAACAGCTGTGCAAACCATGGGGCGGCAGAGACGCAAGAGGGCATCAGAGGAGGGAGGGAGGGAGGAAAGAAAGAGGGACAAAGACCAGTGTTGCCCACAGCACCACTGACCACCACTCAAGGCACCCCAAGGTGCTACGGCACCCTGGTTGAAAAGACTGTATTAGGCAATTTTTCTGTACGCTTTTCAAACTCCCATCTCTCCCCTCAGCTCTCCACTAAATTGGCTAGCCACTTACTTTTATGTCTCTGTTCCCACTAAGAAGCAAAACTAAAACATCTTGCTCCCCCCTCCTGCTGAACCATTATAGTTCCAGTTTCTGCCACTTCTTCCAGCTCCCTCTCCCCCCACAAAAACAAGTGTTTTGGGAGCATCTGAAGATATTAATCATCTTCCAGTAATTCATGCAAATAGCTATGTGGAAGAATTAACATTCCAAAATACTTTGCAGAAGTGGGCTTTAATTGTTGTTTTTTGGAAGGGGGTGTCAGTAAACTCAAGTATAGCAGAACAGCCTATATTATAAACAAGTCATTTATGGCACTGTTCAGTGGAGTTTGGAGCCAAGATGAAGCAACTCTACATCAGAAATAATCGTACAACAAAGAGCTTTACAACCACAGACCATAGATCATAAGTAAAGCTGCTCCCATAAACATGTGAAATGAAGGTGAAGGGGTTATAAAATTTCCTGTAGCAAGTGATCTCTTTTCCATTAATCATGGGCAAGAATTTCAGCTACATCATAAATCTGCTGTTTTGCACAAGTACTCAAACATTACAAAAACACAGACTCACTGACTATAGATTTACAAACTAACACATTTGCAGGGGGTGGGGGATGAATCAATTACAGAAATATGTATTTTTCTCATCCAAGATTGTAAATGATGACACCCTGGGAAAAATGAATTTGTTCAGGTTCCACCTACCCTTCTTTCTGCAAAATTTGCCATAGTTTGCTAGGATTTTTTTTTAACCATTGGCTCTACTGAGACAACTGACACATAAAAAATCAAATAACCATAGTCAAAATCTGTTTAGAATATTACTGTTTCTTTATCTTTTGTCACTTTTATAACTAAAATGCATTCTTAAGCAACTTTTAACAGATAGAAGAAACAGTAGGGGGGACCAAAGAATTTTATGATTATTACATAAAATGATTTTATTACTAATTGTGTTATTCAAAGGAATATTAGATTCTCAGCACTCATTCTGGAAAATGTATATTTCTAGTTTTTATGGTTCCAGAATTCTCATTTGTTCCAATGGCTCAGGAGCAAATTGACCAATGTTTCTCAACAATGATCATCATTTAGAGGTGGCAGTTGTAGCGCACATCATTAAAGTTCATATAAATTAGATAATATCGTAAGCTATTAAAAGAAATGTACAAATTATTTCCATGAAATGGTCTACAGTATAGTCAAGTTTTCTTTAAAAATATATGACCATATATAAAAGATAAGATGTATGAAATAATTCAAGTTTCCTTTTCACTTATTTGGAATAAATAGAGGTATTTTTTATTCCTGTAATGTGGGCACAGGAAGACTTTCTTCCTCCTAATTAGATTATGCGCTACTTGATGAAATTAGGTAGATAACCAGTTACAAAACTCCTCCTGTTACTAACTTTGAAAATCCCTTTGTCCATGAGGGCACCATTGAATAGATGGTAATCAGGTGAGGAAAGTGTGACTTCTAAAAGCTCATTGTCTACCTTGGCTGGGTTTTGTTTGTTTGCCTTTGAAAAGATTGTGTCATCTTAACGCAGCCTAAATAAGATTAGCATTGATTAAATTTATGGTAATCAGGACTACAACATAAAGGAATTGCAGTTCAAAATCTGTAATGGTTGGCTGAGATGACATCCTAAGTAAGAAGAGTATTGATTAAGCAAAATGCAATAGTAAAAAAGCAAAAATCTCTAATAGCACATTATTTCATATGGGAGGAGAATGAATATATTCCAGTTGCAAGGGAGGAAAATTTGAAAAGTCTTTCTGTTACTTATTAGTTAGCTATATATTTTTTTTATCTTGCCTTCCAAATGTATTTTTCTGGGCTATTTACATGACATTCATGTAAAATAACATGAAAATACAAAAACTAGCTGGAAATAATAATAGTGTAGTGTAAAACAGTCATTGGCTAAATGAGGTTTCAAATTATGGGGATTTTTAAAAAAATGTTCTTTACCTGATTGTAGATGCCAGGTAAACTTCCATGGGGAAAGCATCTGACAGGTAAGAGAATACCAATACTGTACCCCAAAGATCTCTCTCTGGTTACCTAGTGGTAGGAGGAGTTGAGGTGGAGTGGAGTGGAAGCTGGTGAAACAATGGCACCGTCTACAATCCAGGGTAACTGAATCACCCTTAAAAGCCATCTGAGATAGAGGGAAATCCTCAGAGGCTGGAATTTTTTCCTTTGATAGGGTCCCTAGTTCATCCTAGTGAGTTTACAAGTGTGCATTTCTATTTAAAAGTCAAAGGCTGCATTTCAACTGTGTGAAGATCTTCTGTTGACGCTTACTGGGTTTTACTTCCAGGTCATTAGGCGTCAGACTAAAAGGTTTGTGTGAACCCAAATCACCTCACTCCCAGCCAAATGCCAACATCCTAACTGCTACAATACGCTCTTATGAGTTCACTGTTCTCAGATTCTAATTAGCTGGTTATTGTGCTATGCCCTACTACTCTCTGGGAAGCATGAGTACATTTATATGTTTGTAGTGTAACACAGCCCCCTGAATTTTTGGACTACACCATTGCTAGTCCTCCCCCCCACCCCCATCTCATCTTACTCTGTTGGAGGCATCTAGGGAAAAAGTCTGACATGGGATTTTTCACACCCTCTTTAAATATCAGCTTGGCTATAAGCAGAGCCAGGGCATGCATTTTGCTGTTTGAGACAACAAGATGGAGCTCCCTCAGCTCCATACACAAAGGCCGACGGGGCTGACAGGAGAATCTTACTTCAACATGAAGCAAGGATAGTGTACATGAGGGCAGCTGCCTTGCTTGGGGAGGACAGGACAGGCCGTGTTGTGTACACACACTTCCCTCCCTCACGAAAGGCTGGCTCCAAATGAGCCATGTCTGGTCCTTAAAGACTTTGGAACTCCCTTCTTATTGACATCAGACAGGGGCCCTCCTTAATTTCTTTACAGTGCCTGCTTAAAACATTTTTGTTTAGGCAAGTCTACCAGGAAATGTAGAAAATGAAATTAAAACATATGTCTTTGGGGCTTATTGTTGATTTTAACTATCTTTTGAATGTGCTTAAATATGTGCCGTGAACAGAATTTTACTGATCACAGCAACATTTTGTTTTGTAACCTACTCAGGTATTTTATTACAATCAAGCAGTATAAAACTTCTGCTAATTAAATCAATCAATCAATCAATCAATCAAACAATCACTTCAGTCATTTGATTCACTCAGTTTATTGGCTTTTATTAACCAGGGAGAGAGAGAGAGAGAAAGAGAGATTAAGGGGTGGTAAGGGAGTGTGTGTATAAATTAGACATTGAGAGCCCCAAAGAGAAAAGACGGCAGAGTCAGAACCTTCAGCCTTTCAAGAAAAATTCTGGCAGGGTTTGTGCTTGGAAATGACCCCCCTCCAGCCTCCAGACTTGGCTCTGGCCATAAGTGACACATGCATACTCCCTTCTGACACCAAGAAACACCCCCCAGCAGCAGAAACTAGCCCAGAACTAGGAGAGGTGAGGGGGAAAGGTGGAAAGTGGCCTCTTAGCCCAAAGCCTTCCCCAAAATGGTCACATCAAAGAGTGAGTGAGGCTTTAGTGTACTAGTCCCTCTGCCCAGAGGTCAATTCTGGGCCAAGTCTCACTCTCATGGGTGAGAGAAATTTTGTGGGATGGAGTAGCAGGATGAACTCTCAGGTAGAAGGCAGTTAAAGGAGTTTTCCCATTAATTCACCCACACACACATACTTCCACGGAGGAAAGTGATTGATTGATTGATTGATTGATTGAAAGCAACAGAGAATCCTAGACTCCCTTATTTCCCAACACCTCAGCTCATTAACCTTACAATGATTATTATTTACCAGCCATTCTCATGGAGTGAAAAATCACTTCTGCACACTATCTTACTCCTGAATTGCTTTTATTGTGCTATAATATCTCAATAAAGAATGGCAGCATTTGGGATATATTTGTTTCCTGGGTCAAACTTAAATGATGACAAAGTAGAAACTTGTCAGGAATGTTTGGGGAACATATTTTATGAATTGCTTAATTCTGGAGAATTAGTGGTTTCTACTCCTAGTGCGCACTGACATACTTTGAATTCCTGAAAATCCAGCCCTAAAAATCTCAAGGCTTATTAGACAGTGGTGAGGATCACAATTTTGTTTCTGAAACACAGGACATGCTCACAGTCCTTATGATCAGGCAAAAAATGCTTAAGGTAACCAGGTGGATTCCTTTTACCAGATAACAGATAACAACTGTCTATATACCAAAACTACAATTAGGCTATTCCCCATCCTCAATTAGGATAATAATAAAATCCTGAGAAATGAAGATTGGATTCAAGCAGCTCCATTAATTTCCTAGCACTAGCAATATTTAATTACATCCCAGTCTTAATCTCACTATATGGTTAGTGAGGATTCCTTCATTTTTTTGCTAAATAACTGGCCTCAGTTGCAGGGTACTGTTGAGAAAAACATGTCTAAAGTCCACATAAGCTTTTGGAACTTGCCCCATGCATTTAAGATTTGTAGTACACCTTACTGCATATATCTTCCCCAGAAATAAAACTCACTGAGTTAAAATTTAAAAGGATGTATGTGTGATTGAACCCCCTGTGAGTGTCGTGTTTCAATCATTTCATTTCATTGCTAAATCCAAGTTCAAGTTGGCTACTTCTATAAAACAGCCTAATTTAGGTCGTGTTTCAATGAATGGCAGAACTGGACAAAAATCCAAAACCCGAGCCTTTGATTTTTGTAAGACATTTGTTTGCAGTGCAAAAGTTTAAAGTACAACTTCTTTCAGGACGTTTTTAACTGTGTAACTGCTTTTAGATTTTTCGGATTTTAATTGCCATCTGTTTGTCAGTGCAAACCTTCCACACAGCAAGTAGCTCTTAAAATGAAGCAAGAAGTTGTGGTTCTGATACCGTGGGTCTGCACAGGGCTATTGATTTCAAGCAGCTTGTTTTGCAACAGAAAAATATTGAAACGCAATGTTTAAGCAGGAGGGGGAGAGGGTAAATGAATTCATGGATCTGGGTGGAGACAGGAAAAAGACCCTTCAGTCTTTCACCCACCTCACTGATACTCACCACTCTCTTATGAGGCTTGATGAGAGGCCTGCTAAGTCCATTCATTTTGGTGTACAGCCCACAAGCATTGCAGAGATAGTTACCAGTTCCATCCCTTCTCCACAGGGGGGTCTGGTAGGAGCCACAGTTGACACATTCCCGGCTCTCAGAGAGATCCTCCAGAAGCTCTGTAGGGAGAGGGGCAAAGAGGCTGGGTTAGCTTGGAAGTCATGCAGAGTCTCAGCTGACTGCTTTGGAGTTATCTTGCCCCTCTCCACCCTCGAAAAAGAAATCAGCTGGATTGCTCTCCCTCCCCAAAGACATAGAGTGGCTAGTCCCATCACATCCAGTGGCCGAGGAGCGCACCCCATGGATTAGCATCACAGTCAAAACAGCAAAGTGAAAAAAGCCACACTAAATTTCCAAGTGGGGCCCTGCAGCCCCCCAATCAATCCATATTTTCACAGAAGGATTCAAAGTGCACATTAGATACATTTAGAAGCTGCAGTCGTCCTATCCAAGTTTAGCTGGGAGTTAGCACCAATGAACATAGCAGGACTTACTTAAAAGTAAACACACATATGCTGTCTGGCTGCAAGCTCGCTGAGCTAAGAGAATAAAATCAACTTCTGAGTAAAGTGGTTAGGATCAGATTCTGCTCAGAAGCCTAAAACCAGTGGAGCTTCCCCTCCCCCTCCGAATGAAGTTCAACAAATTAAATGTCTTTAATAATATTTATAACAGCTTTTCTCCAAGGTGCAATGTGTAGATAGCTATTCCCCCTGCTCATTTTACAATCACAACAAGCCTGTGAAGTAGGTTAGGGTAAGAGGTAGTGAATGGTTCAAGATCAACCAAATAAAGCTTCATGGGAGGGGATTTGAACCCAGATCTCCCCCCCCCCAATCTAAGTATGACACTAAAATCCCAAGGCAGCACACTTTCCAAAGTAGTTCCCAGAGTCATTTGTGACAGCAAAAACAGACTTTTTATGGCATCTTAAAAACTAGCAATTTTATAGTGGCACAAACTTAAATGGATGTGAATCTTTTTCATATCCATGTATAGTACTATAATTCTCAGTTACAGGTATATTTACACACACACACACACACACACACACACCATTTTTCTTCCATTGCTGGTGTCAAATTTGTATCTCCCTATTCCTTCACACAGAGACTGGCCTGTTTGCCTTAGATGGAAGTGGGGGGGGGGAGATGGTGGTGTATATCACTTTGCAAGATGAGCAGATCAATGAACCCCTGATGTTGTGTTGCCAGAGTAGGCACGGGGAGAGAGTGGACCTCTATCTGGCCTTGTTGTTGGATCTGGTTCCAGCGCCTGGAACTACTGAGAGGCTGTTTTAGGTTGGGGACATAAGAGGTCTGTCTGCAAGAGAACAGTCCTGCCAGCCGAGATGTAACCGGCTCCCATTTCTTCCCATTCCCATCTACTTGGACACTAAATTTGCAGAGTATTCTCCCATCTTGATCTTGCCTGTCCTTGGTACTGTTCAATAATGAAAGTAATAAATGGATCCTGCCGCCCTACTTCTCCGGCTCGCATTCAGAAACAATAAGCCTGCCTTTACTTCGCAGCAAATTGTAAAAACATGATCCTTTCAATTGGGGCTTAAAAAATAAATAAATTCCAATTTAGAGAGGATTGCAGTGATGAGCTGACACAGCAGCCGGAGGGAAGGTCAGATATCTCTTTCGCAATGCTGCAATCCCCTTCCTCCTTCTCTCCCACCCAAGTCAGGCGCTCTGGTCAAGAAATGGGAGGCAAATTCAGCATTTGCTGAATCTGGGTGTTCCCTGGAAAACTCGAGCCAGCAGCCTTGGAGGCGAGGAGAACCGCAGGCAGGAAGGCGGTCGTGGCCTCTCCTCCCCCCCAGTCCTTTGCGGTTCTTCCCCAGCTACTATCTCGTCTTCCGACGTGACTGCTTTGAATGGCTCGCATGTCTCCCTTCCCTCTGCGGGGATCGGCTCGCGGCAGCGGGCTCAGGAAAGAGATCACCCAAAGCAAGCTTTTAAAAATCCAGCAAAATTAGTTTTTGCCTTTGGTTTTTGCGATGCTTTCTGGCTTTTGCGCTGTTCTCACAGCAAACGCTGCGCAAAATGCTAAGTAAGCCTTGGCAATTTCAGATAGGCTTCCTTCCGAGTAAGGATGGAGACCCAAATGGGAAAACAACAGGACTCGCCCAGGAACACGGTGCATTTGCGGTGCAATGCTTACAAGTGGTGCCTTGACTCAGAAGTAAATCTGCACTTGCTCCATGGGGCTAACTCTAGAATAAGTGCGTTTAGGATTGCCGCCTTAAGCACCTTTTATTTTAATTTGTCCCCGTCCCTTCTCCTCTCTGAAGAGATTTAAATCGGAGTCACTTCGCAATTCGCGAGCGCTCCTTGGTTTTTACCGCTTATCTAGACAGAGGGTCCCTTGCTAGGATCGCGACCTGGAACGTTAATAACTCAATTTCTGCGATCGCTCCGGATTTCCTTGAAATTCAAGCCAAAAAATAGCGTGGCTTATAACGGAGGACAACGTGTTCCCGACCCTAAGTCGAGGGCTGGGAATTCCCTGTCGCAATTTTAAAAGCCGCAATTTCCCCAGCGCATTTCTCTGTAGATCTATAGATACAAGGGTTTTTGTTTTTCGTTTCCAGGGATCCGCATGCAGCCCGATCTTGGGCAAGCTTACTTGCACAAAGTCAGTCCCTCCGAGTCCAGCGGTTCTTAATGCCGCGTAAGTGAGCCTCAGAATACATGCACTTAATGGGGAGTTCGCCCCCTTGAATGCGCTGGAATTTATTGTCAAAATTGGGTACATAGTTGGAGCAATTTTCACGGGAGTGCAGCTTCCCCCTCAAGGAGAGCGTGCCTTTATTGATGGATTAATAGAAACCTTTATAGACCGCCTCGTGAAATATCAAGGCGGTGTCCAACATAAATGTGCAAGTGCAATAAAACATAACATGCATTTTTTATATAAAAATGCGGGTTATTGATTCTAATAAAATGCTACTGAAATCGGTGATTTAATTATGCTTGGGATCAGGCTGCTCCAGGCTCCCTTGAAATCCCTACTATTTGCCTTTGGGGCCGAGTTGCAAGGGCCTTCAGCCCCACAAGCAGTTTCTTTGGAAAGGGGAAGGAAACTCCATTTAAATCAATGGGCGGGGCGACGATTAAGTCGCTGCGAAAGCCTAAAGTCGTCGTCCCCCCCTCAAAAAAAATCCATGTACTTCGTTGGAGAACGGGACGTGCCTCGACTTCGAGAGGACCTTGAAGGTTTCTGGCAAATCCCAGGGGACGTTCTCCTCCCCCCCCCAAAAAAACCCCCCTAAAACCTGCGGAACTGAAATAAAAGGGGTCTGTGGAAAAGCGCAGGCAGGCGACATACTGAGAAGCTACTGAAAAAGATCGGAGGTTTTGCCTCTGTGCAAAGGTCGGCCCGCTTCCGACTATTTTTCTGACCAGAGGACAGAGCTAGGACAGAACTGGACTTAAGCTGCGAGTTGAGAGGTATTGATGGGGTCGAAGTGGATGCGAAGGGAGTTGGAACGATCAACTCCAGAGGGCTAGCCGCGTTTCTTTGTTACCGCAAAAATAAAATAAAATAAAATGCTAAAACCAATCTGCCAGCCGGAGTTCATAATCACAGAAGTCCATGCCATTAAAAAAACCAAAACATCTCTTAGATTACAATCAAATATCCGTTTTCCTGGGAGTTAGCCCCATTGAATTAAATGGGACTCCCTTGTGAATAGATATGCATAGGAATACACTGTCCCTTTTAGGATGCCACCATATTTTTTTTTGGGGGGGAGGAGGGGTAATTTCAAGTAAATTGATGGCACGTTTGGGGGAAAGCCGTCCTCTGAGTGTCCCTAGGCACCCGCCAAGTATGTCTGCTGCTGATCACAGCCTGATTTTATCACAAAAGTTCAGTCACCGCAAGATAAGTCCGTATCTAGAGAATATATGATCCCTCTCCCTCCCACCCTCAAGAAACAATATCCCAGTTTTTCAGTCTTTCTGGGAATCCATGGTTAATTCTCAAAGGGGTTTCCAGAAAGCAGAACCCGGCCCCCACATATAAAATCTCCCTGCTACCGAGAGGAACTAGAGAAATGCTGTTCCTGCTTTTTCCTACTGGGAAATAATTGATAACTGTTGAAAGTCACGGGATCATTGCCTTAGGAGAAGCCGCTGGAAAATGGGCACGACTGCAAGCCTGGAAGTAACTTTCCTCCCATTGAGCTCCCTGCGCAAACAGCTTGAAACAGTTTCAACGGCCTCTCCTGTCCTTTACCTGCTTTGCAGCCCTAGGTTTCTGCTCTTGGGCACGCAAGAAAGTGAAAGGGACCTCGTAAATGTCAAAAGAGTCTTTGCGATTCGTGTTTAACGACAAGAATGGGGGAGTCGAAATCCTGGTGGGGCGAGAGACACCAGCCCCCTCCCCCCTTTCCCCAAAGATCTTGTCTTTTGGAAAGGAGCAGAAATGGAACAGGCAAAATCGCAGCAGGCCAGGACTCATTCCTGGTGCAACGTCAGCCTGTAGTTTTTGAATAGCTCCTGAAAAAATCTATTCCTCTCTGCACTACAAGACTCACGTGCCACGGCTTCAAGGACACTGGAGTCAAACAGTGAGATCACTCCCCATGCAAAAAACAACACACACACACGCTGTGTCTTATCCTGAAGAAAACGAGTTTACACGAGACAATAAGACGTCCCTCTCCTCTTTTATAATAAAAAAGGTTTTATAAATAACAAATAATTATTTTTAAAAATTATAAATGCTTCAGATCTTTATCTGGTTGTCCTCACAACAAATTTGTCGGGTAGACCACTCACTTTACACAGACATGGGAGATTTTAGGACATTTCAGTAGTCTGCTGCAGTTAAGTATGGTTCCAAGTTCCACCCATAATATTTAACACCCTAGGTTACGTTTATCCATTAAAATTGAGGTTTTAAATAGTGAGAAACTGCTGTCAAAAATAAATGTATACTAAAAAGTTTATTTGGAAACAAGCCTCATGGGTTTTAGTGGAGTCTGCTTCCGTGTATCTTGCTTAGCAGCACAAAAATAATTTAGCCATTAATAAAATTTAAATTAATGCACTCTTTACTTTATTCCCATTAAAAAACCAGATTAATTTTGTGCTTATTTGTTTTCTTAAAATGTATGTTAGAATTCTGGATTTCATAAACTAGCAATGATTTAGCATAATGATTAAAATCCAGATCAAAGATCTACTCTGTGGACAGATTTCGGGTAACAATTTATGCATCTCTCGTGGTTGCACTTAATTTAATATTAATTATTTCAGCTAATTAGTTGTGAGATCCTCATTCTTTCAACGCCCCCAAGCTGGAATCTATATTAATATGCATTATGTTTGTAACTGTCATTGCAAGGTGCAGTACTGTTTATTGTGTTCACTTGCTTGATAGATGGCTTAAAAATCAAGGCTGGTATGTCCCATCTAAGCAGGCTAACATGGTGTTTAGCATGCAAGCAGGTATGCTTATGGACATAACCTAGATTCCAAAGAGAGCTGTGCTTATTTAGCACTAACAGTCAATAAACTATATTAAACTATTTCAATCCATTTTTCAGAACAGTGTCTTTGTAGACATAGCTGAAGTTTTAAAAATATTGATCTAAAATTAATTTTCTTGCAAGAACAATTTACAGAATGCCGACTTGCACAAGAAATGTGTGTATACACAAAAGTTTAACACAACAACACAATCCCCCAACACCCACCAACAAAATTCTGGCCCTTGTCCTGCACAATTTAGTAACAGAGGAAACTGCCTGGCACTGAGTTGGCCCATTTAGTCTACCTTAGTCACTCAAGTGTTTGCTACATTGACTAGAAGCTGTTCTAAAACTGGGAGAGGAGGAGACAGGAACCTTTCAGCTCCTATAGAACTTTCTACCCTATTAAGAACTTTCATGAGAAATTTAGGAAGCAATTTTAAAAAAAATATTACAGGAAATTTACTGTAAAACATATAGGAAATCTACATAAACATATTGATCCAGCAAGGTGTGTGGAAGCAAATTTCTTTGCACAGAGCTTATGCAGATGCAGGTTAAAAGCACTGACATGTGCATTGCAATATAAATTTGGTCTGCATCAGCTGTATGCCTAGGCTGGATGGCAATACAGTCCCCCGACTCACTCTCCTTGAGAAGTGAGTGGACGAGGTTCAGACTTACGTTCTGTTTTATTCAGTTTTACTTTACACAAAGAATTTCCCAGTGTACTTGTTTATTAGTGACAGTTTCCAAAATAAACTGTGCACAGGAAAAGCAAAGTACATCTTATTCCCAGACTCTGCAAGGATAGTGACAGTGGTAGAAATTGTTGTGATTTAGTGTCCCTCCAATGGAGCTCTGAGTATTCTATATAGAAGTATTTCAACGAATGAACGATCCTATACAGCAGTTCTCCTTGAAACCACTTGAAGGTAAGTGTGTGCAGGATTGTAGCCGTGCGCTGCAATCTTATGCATGTTTCTACGTAAATGCGGTTGCAACCGTATACTCCAGGGGCACCAAATGTGTAGAAAGTAACAAAGGTCACAACTACAGCCATTGCTCTACCTGCTTTTGCCTCTGGCCCCAACCACCAATGGCATCGGGGCCCCAGAAGCAAATGTGTCCCTTGCATCCCTCCACGTCCCCAATTACTTTATATTGTCCTGCTGAACTCTGTGGGGCTGAGCATACAAGTATAGGATTGCATTATAAGTACCATTTAGATTAATGGGCCTTAGCTTTAGTCAATGTACATAGGATGCATGTATTGGCTGTGATCCAAAGGCTCCCCTCCTACAGTGTTTTACACACAAACAATGAGGACTCCCTCAATCTGCATCAGAGGGTGGCTATCAAATCTCCCCCCCCCCCCCGCCATAAGCATCAAAATGTAACTTGTCCAGCAGAACTTGGGACAATCTTTATTTTTTACCATCAATACTGGCTAAGCAACATTTACACATTTCCCCAAGGATCTTCACTTAGACCTGAGTTAGGTAGGTTACGACTGTGTCAATATTACTGACCAAGGAGTAGAAGAGGTTAAGTGAGAGACATAATTAGTGCAAGACCACCCAGTGACTCCATGGCTCAGTTAAGATTAGATCCAGGGACGCTTACTGATAATATCTTGCCTACAACTATTGTTCTGCACCAGTTACAAAGGTAGCATATGGAGAGCCCAATACTTGGCCTTGGTATTGGAATCATTGTAGGAAGGATCAGAATGTAACTGCTTGCAGTGAGTTTTCTAAGGCAACAGCCTACTTCCTCAAATGTTCTGAGAACAGTTACACAGTAACTCCACAGTAAGGTCCCCCCTGCTGAATTCATTTCTAAATACATTAAGTCTATTTAGAACTGGAACAAAGGCTTTTAGGGACTCTAAAGAGAACTCTGATTTTTTGAAAAAGCAACATCTTTCTAGATATCACATCATGGATAAAGTAAAGTCCCACACAGTTAAGACTGAGTTGGGTATAGACAGGTGGGAAGCATTTTTACTGTGAGGCAATGGACTAGTTTTAATTTAGAGTAGTAAAAAGCTTTGTGTCACTAAAATAAACTATAAGTATGGTACACTTGGTTTTTAAAAAAATCAACTGCCTTTAAATATTTGTTTCATTCAAAAAAAGGAGTGAAACAAATATTTAAAGTTTTTTTTATATAAAAAATGAGTATACCCTGCTTTCAATTTAGTGACACAAATTTGGGATGAGTTGTGGGGGTTTCTTCTGAAATGATTCAGCACCAATGGTTAATATATTAATCTTTAAACACTTATTTTTCAACACCAGAGCTTTCCATTCTGATTTTATCATAGTATTGAATTCAGCGAATTTAGATAAATTATTTTTCAAAAATGCAATATTTGATTCTTCTGCATTATATAGCCAAAAAAAAAAAATGATGTTTAATTTCATTCAGAGTTCTCCTAATTGATTTTGGAACATCATCCTGGGTGCCTTTTTTTTTTTTTTTTACAACAATGCGGTATTGAGAAACTAATGTTTGTTTTAAAAGGTTACCCAATCAATCAATGGGCTAAAAAGCACTCACTGAACTTTAACCAGCTAGGAGCCTGAGTTTTTGTATTTTGCAGAGACACGTCCCCTAGATGCAGATGAACTAATTTAAGACACACAGTCCTCTCTTCTTCCCCTCCCACTCCCCCCCCTTTTTTTGCCAAGTCAAATAAAACCGGTTCCTAGTCAAATCGAAGGGATAATAGAGCAACGGGCTTTGGGGCGCCCAACCTTGAAACTGATTCAATCATTCCCAGCCGTTTGAAGGCACAATCTTGCAGCCAAGCAGGCCCTTGATTAGGTTAACTTCCTCGAGTTGGGTTTTGCAAAGAAAGGCCCGGGGAGACGATCCCGGGTTTTTTGTCTGCAGGAGAAAAAAAACAACGGCAGCAATTGCGCAGCCTATTGTGGTTTAATACAATGAGAACATTTTCTCTCCCTCAAGAGCAAGAGGAGGGTGGAGAAATTGGTGGCGGACAGATATCTCCGTCTCTCCCTTTAAGCTATTTTTTCACACCTCGCCAGGAGAACATCGATGCTAAGCGTTGAGAAAAACTATAATAAAGCCAGTTTTCAAAGGTTTCTATCTTATCAGGGCGCTTTGGGCTTGCTCCATTGTTCTCAACAGGGCGCAGGGGCGGGGGCGGCGTTCTAGGATTGCATGTGAAAAGAACCCGAGCGATTCGGTTTTTGATTTAATTTATTTTTTTTAAAGGTGTCCCGCCCCTTTATTTATATTCCGGCCGGGGTTATTACGAGATTTAAAAGAAAGCCATTACTTGGCAATCAAGGCAGTACGACTCTAGGTATATTATACCAGCTGTTGGGAATCGCAGCTGTTGCAAGCGAGCTCCGGTCCTTCTACTGGGCTTCCCAGAACCATTTGGTTGGCTTCTGGAAGACCAGGATTGCTGGACCAGATGGGTCTCCGGCCTGATCCAAGAGCCAGTACTTTGTAGAAGTTAAAATATTGGACCCTTTAAAGAAAAACCAGTCGCCCAGCCCTGCACATTTATCCTTGCCTTGCTTAATGCCTGGCGCTATGTGACAGCCATCTCTCTCCTCCACCCTCACCCAATAAAGGTCCATTTGACAAAACCCATTTTGAGGACCTGGTGTGATATGGTGGAAGGCAGTTGCCAAGTGTTTGGCAGCTCCGCAAGGGTCCCAGCTGTTTGTGACTTGTCTTTTGGCACGTATGTCAGCATGTATGTGGCATTTGAGATACAGGCAGCCATCTTTTTCCCCCTTTTCTTTTTACAGTAGGTCTTGCTAACTACAGTTTAAAGGTGGGGTGAAGGGAAGTTTTTCTTTCTGCAGTTCTCTTACTGCACATAACTGTGGCATTATGGGATTTCAACCCAACAGTGGGGGAATAAATGCTATCTCTTTAAGAAAGAAAGTAAAGGACGTCACTATGAGAAGCAAAAAAAGGGTCCAGCTCCTTAGAGATCTCAACTGTCCAAAATAGATTTGCCATTAAATGAAATTACGATTATAGAAATGGCCAGTTAAGGCCCAAAATATCTTCCAACTCATTGCTTAATATTAGTTTAATTAAATTATCAATCATTTCCCACAACACAAGATCCCCAAACTATATTAAAATGAAACACCTAACTTCCAACTAAATGGATATATGGGATGGCTTTGCGGCTCCTAAATCTACTTTTTTCAAAAAAAGATGTTATCTGAAAAAGGTATAATGAAGTGGTACCTTCTCTTTCCTTTCACTTTCAACCATCCCATTAAAGTTCCGTTCAACCCAGGGACTTGCTACATTCTTATGCAGTGTCCTCTTTTTGTGTGTGGCTAAACCCAAAAGGAATTATATTATTAGCCAATATACTAAACACATTTTACCCATTTACCCTGGGCTAACCAAGTCAGGGTGGGAGGCATTGGGCTAATTCTCTCACTAGGAAACGCAAAAGGTGAGGCTTTCACACAGGTGAAGCAGATAGGTAGGTGGTGGTAAATGTTGTGGACTAAATACAGATGTTTTGTATGAAATTGGAAGACCTTTTTTAAAAGTAGAATACTAGAAAGAAATCCAAAATATCCTGTCCAAAAGTTTGGTTTAAAAATATATCTCACACCCAGACATTTCTCCTCAGGGTCCTTCCCCAACTATTTGATCAAAGGATTAAGGCAAATCACTTTTAAAGGAACCTACGTGGAACGATATTACTGACTGCTTCCAAATGGGAATCTCTATTTGCTGGAATTCTAATTGCTTTATTCTTTTAAAATAAAATAAATATGACAACCAGATATTTATTTATGTCATTATTTTATTTAGGGAGATCAGTAGGAGAGGAGTTAAATTTTGTGAATAATAACCACCACAGAGTAAAAGAGTGTTTTTCTACTCCTTAGGTGGGTCTGATTTTCACATATAGAAATGAAACCAGGGAAGAGGACCCCTTGCAATTCTCACTAGCGAATTGTGGTCACTACTAGCTGTAATTTAAAAAGTAGCTGAAATTCTACATTTGCCCCACCAATTTGGGATAAACAACATTTCACTTAAAAGTTATCCAATTGCTATTTATCCTGTATATTCACTGAATTTGTGCTGAACATTCAACCCTGAACAGGCATGTTAGGACTAAGCAAACTTAAATACCCGATTCTAATAAGTTTTAGCGGACAATTATTTTAACACCCACACATTCACACATTTTAATATGTTTTATGGCCTTTAAAGATCTTCGTCCGAAAGCCAAAGGATTCTGAAGGTAAGTTTAATGAGGCTGCCTGCTTCCCTCCCCGGAAAAGCCCTATAGCATTTTAATGCCGCCCCATCTCAGGCGAACTCCCTGGGGAGCCTCTGTTCACAGGTTTCTTTCCAGCTGCGGGCGAGAAAAGGGAGGCCATCTTTCCCAGCGCCACCCTTAGATTTCAGCCCCGAGGAAGGAAATCTCTTTCCCTTCTCAACCCAGTACCCAGCACGACAAAGCGGCGTTCACGAGGTGAGGTCACGCTGCTCAAAGCCTCAGTTTCCTACCATCTCCTTAGCCCCAAACTGCAGGTTAGGTCGGCGCTAGGGCGCGTGACGGTAGCCTGAAGGCCCATGCGGGGAAGGGGGGCGTTTAACCCTTTCCCCGCCTGCCATTGCAGCGCTCCAAATCTCCTCGCCCAAGACGTTCCCTCCACCGGGGTTTCGTGATGAGCGTTTCCCATCAGCTACACAAATAACAACCATAACATTTAAATCCTGAATTTGTCTTGGACTGTCTGCTTTCAAAGAGATGTCATCCATATAGTTTCGATGGCGAAGGGGAAGTTACACCTATTTATTCAGAGTTACTGAATCTGGACACGCGCGCGCACGTACAACCCCTTTTCCATCATCCATTTCCTACTCAATAGCCTTGTGCTGGCTGCGCACAACCGCCACGGCCAACGGGTCCTCTTTTGCGCTTTCGGGGCGCAGTGGACCCAAGACAGTGCAGAAGTGATTAGGGACTGGGTGCTTGTGGCGATTTATGGGTAGAAAATGTGCCTCTTATTTGTCAAGCCAAGAACACTAGAAACCTCCGTTCATGTTCAAATAAAAAGCATAAATCCTCAGCATCAGCATCACATTTTAAAACACAGCAGCACCTTTTAGAGTTAACAGTCTACCCACGCTCAGTCTGCTTAATTTTCCTAGGATTCTTGCTGACCCAGAACACCTTTTCCATGCAAAACTTCTGCCGCTTGTTAATTCGGATTCCCACCCGATGGGACGCTTCGCCTTTCCCGTGTCCTGCCCTCCCCACCCGTCTGCGTTCCCTGTCCTGCCTCTCTCCCCCAATTTGGGATTGCCACCCCCTGGTTCCCGCCTTACCTGCGCTGGAAGGCCGCATGGCGAGGGGCCCGGCCCGGTTGGGCAGGCAGTGCAGCATGGAGTTGTCGAAGGGGCTTCCCCAGCCCGGGCTGGTGAACTGGGAGCCCACGTAGGGCGCGTAATAGGATCCGTTCAAGGGCCGGAACTGCTCGCGGGGGCTGTAGGCGGCCGACTCCCGGGCGGCGCCGTTGCTCGCCGGCGAGCTGCTGGCCGGGTAGCTGAAGCGGCCCGACGCCGGGTGGGCGCACCCGCCCCCCGTGGCGCCGTAGGGCGCGGAGGGGCTTTCTGGGCCCGCTTGCGGGGGCCACGCCGCCGGCCCACCGGCCTGCCCGGGCCCCGGGGTGCTGGGCAGGTAAGGCAGCATGGAGCTCACGCGGGTGGTAGGCACGTAGACGGGCGATCCTGCCGAGGAAGGCACGAAGCCGCCGCCTGCGCCCCCCGTGCCCGGGGACGAGCCGTCGTAGGGGCCCGGCTGCAGGCCCTGGTGATGCGGATGGTGATGCGCGTGCGGGTGGTGGTACATATCCTCGACGGGCGGCGGCTGCTGCTGCGGTAGCGGCTGCGAGGGATCCGGGCTCAGCTTGGCCGACGTGCGGCTGGACCAGATGAGCTTGTTGGCCTGATCCAGGTCCGCAAAAAGCAGCACGTCCTCCCAGCTGGAAAGGCCGGACGGCGCCGCGGCCAAGGAGACGAAGGGGCCCAGAAAGGGCCGGCCGTCGGGGAGGCCCAGCGGCTGCGAGGTCTGCAGCGCTCCTCCCGGCTCCTGCTTGAAGGTCCGGCCGCTGCCGCTACCGCTGCCGCCAGGGGAGCAGCCCGAGGACGAGGAGGGCGACGGCGAAGGGCAGGGCAGCTCCCGCGGTGCCAACGAGTAGGGCAAGTCGTCGGGGCCGCAGCGCTTCAGCAGGCACCAGCCACTCTCAGCCAGGGCCATCCAGCCCCGAGGCGCTCAGCAATTCTCCCTCGGCCTCGCAGCGGCGGCAACAGCTCCTGCTTCGAAGCTAGGGAGGAAGAGAAGAGGGGGAAAGCCCGTTAGCTAAAGCCAGAGGTAGACTGGGCTCTCCCCACCCGGCCACCCACTTGCCCAACCACCCGAGTTCAGTCTTGCAACTTAAGAAGCACCTTGTTGGCGAAGAGTGCCTCTGGGCACGTGCAGAGTGCTAGCCACTCACCACTAAGGAACCGCGACCCTCACAACCAAAGCTGCAGGAAAGGGTTTTTAAGCCGCCCGCCGTAGCTAGCCACTGACACCAAATAAAACGAGGCCTGTCGAGAATGCGCGGCTCTCGGCTTCTACACCGGCGGCCGCGCAGTCCTCCGGATCTTTCGCGGACAAGAATCACAAGAAGCGAGCCATTTCCTCCTCCTTGGTTTCCCCCAATCCCATCTCTGCCACGGACCCCCTGGACAATCCGGCTCTCCTTCCTCCTCCCCAGCCTCGGCTTTCCCACCTGCAAAACGGAGCCGAGCCAGCGGAGTCAGCCGCACCGGCAGCGCAACGCAGCTCTTCGAGCTCCGCGGGGACGCAGCAGGAAAGCGCAGCGCCTGCGCCGCGTCAAAAGGAAAGCAAAGCAAGCAAGCGGGCCTGGGGTGGGTGGGAAGATCTCAGCAGGCTACTCCTCGCTTGGTCCCACCTCAGCGTCTTCCAGGATCGGGAGTCCCTCCGGCGTAGCGCCTGCCCCCAGAACAACAGCCGCAGCGCTCAGCCTGCCCGCCCGCCGGGTCCGCTCGCTCCGCCCGGGCTGCCTTTTGCTTACAGGCAAAGCGAGTGACAAAAGCCAGAGGGGGCGGGGGCTGCGGGCCGCCTCAGCAAGGACCAGCCACCCCCGCCCACCAACAGCCCGCTCGCCGCCCTGCCCCACTCCTTGGTTTCAGCCAATGAGTCACTGGAGTGGCTCCAGAATGAAAACAATTCGCAATGCAAGCGAACGGGGGCGGCGGAGAAAAGGTGCCCAAGGGCGCAAGGGCAGGAAAGTCAGGGGGTAGTCAGTGACACCCTCCCTTCTTGGGGGTCCCAGGGCAGGCAGGGTCGGGGTTGGCTGTGTGGGTTGCCCCCCACCCTCGAGGATCAAAACTGCCAAGGGAGGAGGAGAAAGAGGAGGTTGGTGCCAGTCTAAGCCACGGTTCCTGCGCCTCCTCTCCGGCTCGCCGCGGCCTGCCGAGGGGGACCCGCCGGCGCATCTTGGGAAGGGGCGTCATCCGCAAGGCCAGTGGAAGCCCCGAGCCCTGCTTGCCGTCTCGGCCTTATTCCAGCCCTCCCCACGATCCAGGCTCCGGATCATTGATCCGGGGAGCGTCCCAGTGCCGCCGCAGTCGTGCGCCCAGAGCAGGCAAAGCCTCGCCCGCGCTCCGGCCGCAGAGGCTCTAGGTGCCCAAATTCTCCCGCGAAAGACGCAAGGGGGGGTTCTCAGGGTAGGGGGAGCCGAGATGTCAGCGATCAGAGGCTGACTGGGCAGTTTAAGCAGACCCCGAGAAGAGGATGCTGACTGCCCGGGCTGGGGGCCTCGCCGGGCCCTGGAGAAGTCCAGGGACCCCCCTCCCTCTCCAAGTTCCCCAGTCGCACCTTTGTGGCGGCGGCTCTGGCTCTGCGAGGGTCCTTGTCGGGTGTGTCTCTGCAGGCGGCAAGGCTGCCAAGGCGGAGAGGCGAGGCGAGGCGAGCAGGGCTGCGCGGCGGCGGCTGCTGCTGAACGTATAAAGAGCCGAGCGAAAGGAGGCGCCTCTCTCCGCGCGGCCGGAAAAGTGCAGCCAGCAAGTCCTGATTGGAGTCAGGGAGCTCTGAGCAAACAGCGAGGAGAGAGAGTGGGGGCAGGGAAAGAAGGACGGTGGGGGTGGCTAGCTGATTGGGTGGGGGTGGCTTGGCGGGGGTGCCTGTCCCAGCGCCAGCCAGCCCCCCCCCGCGCGTCCAGGAAGACAAGCTGGCGCAGGGGAGGAGAGGCCAAGCCAGCCCTCCCCTCCCTCCCCTTGTAAGCCAATGAGGTGCTGGGGAAGGAGGCGAGGGGAGGCTGGGACAGGATCGGGAAAAGCCGAGCGCAGGCAAAACCACCCCGGCAAAATGCGCGGCTCCCAAAATTGCCTCGGGAATTCACGCGCAATGCCACCCCTTCATGTTTCCTCTTATTCTATCGCTTCAGGGTATCACATCCTTTTCTTAGTAAGTAAGTAAATGAATGAATGAACAAATAAACAAACAAACAAATAAATACACAAACCATTTTCCTCCTCTGATTTTACATTCAGTCATGGTAAGGTTTATATTTCTTCCTTTATTGTGTTTCTTCGTTTTTTTCTTCACTCCTCTAGTTCTGCGAAGATTCCTGTGAAGGAATCAGGAGAGAAAATGTGTTTTCTTTTATTTTGAAGTTAAAGCGGCCTTCCCCCCTTTTTTCCCGCTTCTGATCCCTCCCAGGCAGCTGAACCCAGGTCTCTTTGCCCAGGACCAAATCTGCGGAGATCCAGGGTCTCCCGACCGGGCCAGATCTCCCGTCTGGACCTCGGTTCCTTCGGCCTTCCCTGCCCGCCGGTCTCTGCCTTTCCTCTCCTCCACTCGCTCCCTCTCCCGGGCCTTTGGCTCTCTTATCTTAACTGCATACACACCGATATGGTACTTAACAGGAAAGTGACTGGAAATTAAAATAACTTCTTCCCTCGGAGGTTATCAACTAGGTATCTGTCATCATCAGTCGGTCCAGAAACCGAGGCATCTGCGCCCAGGAGCTGGCTCGGCTCTCTCTCAGTGGGTTTTTGAATTGTATCTGTCGGAAAACAATTTCGTGGCCTCGGCGAAGCGGGCTGCGTTTCCCAGCGCCCATCCTGGGCGCAGATGCCTCAATTTCTCATCGGGCGACAGGTTTGTGTGTGCGTGTGGTGTTATTGTTGTCTTTTCTAGACAAGTAAAGAGGGAGACCCCGCCGCTACCTATTTAGATTGCTAGGAATGTTTTTTTTAAATTTAATAATCTTTGAGTGTGCTGGTCAGAATACACTGTGTACTGTATGGATCCATATATACACATCTATTTATTGTTTACGCGTGTGCTCATTACACACACACACAGTCATTTTATGTATGTGCCTCGGTGTTCGCGTCTGACTCCTGCAGTGCATGTGAGAGAGAGCGAGAGAGCAAATGTGTCGCTTAACACATTTTCTTGAAAACAGCCTTAGTTTATTTCGGTTAAACTTCTAATTGCAACGGAGTGAGTGGATGAAGGAAAAAATAAAAAGAAAATATAGCCGTTTCCTGCTGGAGATGACAGAAGAAAATGAGACTTAATGACTTAGACGTAGAAACAGATAAAAGAGGTGATTCGACTTCACAGCCTCCCTGGAAGGGAAGCGGGAGCTGAGATACCTGAATGAAAAATGGATCGAATCTGTTTTTGTCATCTTCATGCATACATGGAGAAGGTTGTGCTTGTTAACAACTGAGTTTCAAGATGATCCAAAAGCACGCATTTCTGTGCACGGCTGTGCAGAGATCCACAAGGCGCTGGGATCCGAAAAGCGTTGCTCAGGGAAGGCTAGCTTTCGCCCTTCGTCTAGTTTTGCGCAAAGCAAGCCCCGGGGACAGGTCGGCTGCAAAACACGCTCACAGCCCCACAGCTCTGTGCTGTCCCAAAGCCCCCGTGATCCAACTTCCTAGGCGAAACTACGCTTTATGGAAAGAGCACATGACGACCCACCCGCAAACCGCCCCCCCCCGGCTATGTGAGTCGCTGGACTGTTGCTTGCGAAAAACAGATGAAAACTCTCTAACGATGAACCCTTTCTCCATCTTTCTCGGAAGCTAGGCAAGGAGCCTTTGCACCCAAAAGTGCGAGCTTCAGGGTTCTTTGTGTGTGATTGTGGAGACTGGAATGAAGGAGCCACTCCAGGAGCTGGGAGCCATTCCAAAGAGCGCCTGGGCGATTTGGGGACACCCGCGTCCCCGCCGTGCCAGGGCTAGGAGCGACGGCTCCGCAGAGCTCTGATTTCTCCAGTGGCTCAAAGGTGACCTGACTTGTGAGCCTCTAGTCTCCCAAACTTTTTTCCTCGCCGCTGAGCTGCGCCCCGCCCCCTCTTTCTCCAAAGGGCTCCGAGATAAGCAACTTTTGCCTGTGGAACAGGAGGCCTTATGCGGGGCTCCCCCCACCTCTGCCTCCCTCTGGACTGAGGCGGCTCCTCCTGCCTCCAGCCTCGCTCAGCTGAAAGACAATGGGAGAAACTGGCAGGGCCCGTCTTTGCCCTCGGTATGTTCTCGGGAGAAGTCAAGCAAGCCCGGAGGTGGAATCCAGAAGGCGGAATATTATAAAGAAGGCAAGGGGGGAAAGAGAAAGAGAGAGATGACGGGGAGATAAAAGTCTTTTGGTTTGGGGGCAGATCTGAGGGAGGCTGAAGGTGATGTTAAACACGATTTTTGTTATTAGTTCCAGTGGGGGGTGGTTGTTAAATTTTTTTTTATTTACCTCTTAATGTCGGAATAGGCTTCTAAGCGATTTGCAAAGCGCAAAAACCAGCCAGGCAATGAAACATACAGTACTAGTTTCTTCTAAGGGGTGTCTGCAGGATGGGACTGTGTACTGTTAAGGTTGCAAATTACAACGACCCTAAAAACACACACGTGTACACTCTGGTGCACTTGTCTACCATAGAATCATAGAATTGTAGAGCTGGAAGGGACCACGAGGGTCATCGAGTCGGACCCGTGCAATGCAATGATCTTTTGCCCCACCTGGGGCTAGAACCCAGGAGTTATGATGCAGTTATGATGCGGAGAGCAAACAACAACAACCCCAAACAACTGGTGCTCCAGTCGACCCTCTTTAGAGGTGGTGGAAGGGCTGTCGCCCTTATCAGTCTTGGCTGCGGTGCGGGCCAGCTTCCCGGTTTCACAGCACTCTTCGCCTACCTGATGAAGAGCCCTGAGAAATCAGACTCGCGTACTTGTTGCACCATCCAGCAGAGCCAAGCGGGGCGGTCCTGTCTCTCCTTCCAGACCCAAAAGGAAAGCCTCCGCAGGCTACAGTCACTGCCCCTAAACCCAGCCTACCTCACAGGGTTGTTGTGGAGGGGGGGTTAAAGGAGGATGGGGGGGGGGACCCTTGGTACGCCTTGGAGGAAAGCGTGGGATTTGAATGCAATTAACAAATAAGTAAATGTGCAGATACTGGCATATAGCAGGAAAGAGAGAACGCCCGGCAGATGTCTCTGGACGGGAATGAGAAGCAAAGACCAAATCAAGTAAATAAATAAAAATGCCTAACTAACTGACCAATTGCGTTGCGGATAACCCCCCCAACATAAAGCCTCCTCCCTAAAATAAATCCTGGCTATGCCCATGCCTCTCTCCATAGGAGCTAACTCTTAGGGGGCTTGGGTGGCCCCTACAATTTTTTTTGAAACCCCCCCCAAAGTTGATGGACATTCCCATTCAAATAGGGGGGTGCACACTGTGTCATGTGATCGATTACGCGGAGCGGGGCTTACCTGGGCCCCCACAATATTTTATTCAAGTTGTCACCTCTGCCTGCCTCTCTCCCTTTACCCAACCAGTTAGTTGGGGCTAGGACTCCAAAAGCCGCCCTCCCCACGCGCCTCATCTGCTAGCAGGGCACCACGGGCCAACTGACAGTCATGCTTGGGCCAGATGTAGCTCGGGGGCTGCCAGTTGCCTATTAGGGCTCCAGCGGCGCTCCTCTTGCTTCACCGGGTGATGTCGTGCCGTCGCCCCGTCGAGCAGGCAGGGAGGAGGCGAGCCTCTTCCTTCGGTTGCTCGTCAGTGGCGCTTTCTACGGGGGGTTTATTATGGCTAAGGCGCGCAGGCTGGCAGGCAGGCAGCCCCCCCCCCCCCGAAGTCTGCCTTTGAAATCGTCATTCTCAGCAAAGACTTCGAGGGGGAGGGCGGAGGAGTCGTCCTTGCACTGCAGCCTTGTTTGCTTTTCAGGTCTAGAAGTGGCGTCGGAAGTACGTGAAAAGCGGGACCAAGGGCAGAACGGAACAACCGCATGTTTTTCGGATGAATAGACGCGTCAGTTAGGACAAGCGCGCAACTTATTCAAGGGAGCTTTAAAGACTGTCCAATTTATTCCGCAGCAAAGCTCCGTAGGCTAGAGTTGACTTCCTCATTTGTCACAAGAAATCTGTGGAATCTTCAAAGGGCACCAGACTCGTAATATTTCATGACGCCTTTAGCTCCCTTATCCTTGCCAACGACACCTCTCTCTCTCTCTCTCTACCTTTCTCGCTTAAAGAGACGAGCGAAGGTGCCAGGCATCAAATTGCTCACAGGGACAGGTTTTATTTTACAGGTATTCATTTTATTTAAAATGGCTTAGCCCTACCGAAATGGAAGCGGGTTCAGTTTACACGTCCGCATGCATAGTCTCAATGTGACAGGACGTTTAGGATTTTCACAATATTACTGAGTTTGTACACACACACACGCACAAACAGATCTGGAAAACGTTTAATCCACTTTCATCACAGTAACGTTTTTATTATTCGAAAAATCCGCAATACCGCTGCTTTGTGCAAAGAGCAATGAGAAGCTCAAAAGCGCTTTTCAGTGGTTTGTGTGAAAACCTTTTTTAAATAACATTTCTGGAGGAATATCGTCGATCATACAGCCCTTGTTTGCCTATATAACTTAGTACGGTACGTTGGGATTCAGACTTAGATGTGCTTTTTTCCTGGAAAGCGAGTACTTGCAAATTGGACCCTGACAAAGGATACCCCACTCTCCCGTATGCGCGTGTTCTGGGGCTCGATATTATGGGTCAAAAAAGGGAGAGAGGATGCAAATACGATTAGGTACTTTGTACATGCCCAGAACTACTCATTTCACGCCCGAAATCTCTGTCCATGGTACCTCCGCCCCGATAACGGGCGTTTGGGAATTGATAGTTATCCACTGTTCAGTAAAAAGCACTTTTCTTATGTTCAGGGACACTCTCTTGCTTATGATTAACCCTTAAAATTGAGGACAGCTCCCTGGCACAAAGGAAACTCTGATGCTATCTGGATTGGTTGGGTTGGTCCAGTCTAAGGTCAAAACATACTTAATAGAACCTAAGTGCAGATAAGTAAGTTAGATGTTTACTCTGTGAGTTATTGACACTTTCAGAGCCCAGTGAACTGAACCTGAAGTTAATCATGATGACTAAAGTAAGTCTTTTTTTTTTTTTTTACTTCAAAGTGGAACCAAATGCAAGTAATTTCGGTTGTACTCCTTTGCACGCTCACCTGGGAGTAAACAGCACACAGCTGAGTAGACATGCACAGGATTGTGGTGTTGTTCTGGATCCAATCCATTCACACACCACCAATTGTTGAGTGGGGTTGTTTTTTTTTTTCTGGGGAGGGGGACCGCGGAACAGAATAGCTGTAACCTGGATCCCTCATGTGACTTCAGAGAAACAAGAAGAGCTGGATTTTACCCATCAGCTGTCCTGAGCAAGTTGAGCCCGGAAGAGGAACATAAAGTTTCTCTGAAGATTACGATCAGGATTGTCTCGGTCACGAATTTAAAAGCCTCAGGCAAGGCCAGGCGTGAATTTATCACGGCTATGTATCGGCCTGCGGCGTTAAGTTCCATGGAGTTCAGAGGGGCTTACTCCCAAGTAAAGGAGCAAAGAATGGCAGCCTTTGGCTAGTCTAGAAGAGAGAAGAGAGTTAGCTGTGTTTTTCAGCAGAAACAAAAAGAAGAGACCTCGTCTTTCTGCTTTTAGAATAAATAAATTTGTAGCTTTCATTTGCTGGATTCCAGTTGCACAACACCAGATAAGGCGAACTACAGCATATTAAGCTGTTATTCGATCCAGTACTAAAAACACTGTTCTGTTCCTTTCTGTTTAAAATAAGCATTTCTCTTACTTTAGCTTGCCAAACAGCTTTACACACAGTTTGGGAGTAAGATCCACTGAATGCTTTGTGCAGGGACCCAAATCTGTCTGGAATCCGGCGGCACATAAATGGTAAAGTAGAGGTGGGGAATGCGCTGTCCTCATATATACTTGCCCATCTTATTCCTAAATCTCATTTGATCGCTGATACCGATTCATTCCGGGGAGTTTACGTGCCCATTTGTTCACACATTGGATTTCTTTCCTGGGCGGCAACCAGCTCCACACAACATTGTCCTTGGTCAAATGGGAACCCGCCCCAAGTTAAATCAGCAGGCAGACTTCACAGCTCGAGGCTAAGCGCGTTTCCTGGGATTCGCTAAATTTAATGGCTCTCTCCCTCTCAAATTAAATAAATACAGGTTGCAGACTTATTTTAGCAGCATACGTATCAAGAATGTCTGGTAGTTCTGGCGAGAAGATCGTCTTAACGTTTGTTTGTTTTTTGGTGTAATCAGGTTTGGGGATCCGCTTGTACATTTACAATGCGAACGCCCCTTATGGTTTTATTCTACACTGGAGAGCTCCCATAGTTCGTCCTTCTGCCGAGTGTCAGGAGCCCCCGAGAGCTGCATGGGTCCCAGTGTATCCCCGCCCCACTGGGCAAATCCCATCTAATTCAACAGCGTTTACTTTCAAAGAAGTGTTCGTGGTTGGGATCCCGGTCAAGAAAAGGCGACTGACATTTCCGTAGGCTGCTAAATTCCTACGACTGAACTATGGGATAAATTCAGGGTGGGGCTTCTATAATGCATCTGAGATGTTGCACCCTGTCAGCTTGCTATTGCTTTTATCAACATATTATTGCTGTTACTGTAATAACCAAACCATTATTATATTTATAAATTATCTATTTTCACAATCACCATCTTTATTTTTATGCATTTATATCCCGCCTTTCTCTCAAGTTTGGATTCAAGTCGGTTTACAACATTTAAAAAGATCATTATATAATACAGAGTAATAAAAACTCGTTAAAAACGATAATAGAAACACCTCAAAATTTATCATCCTCATCATCGCATTACTTTTATTGCTGGGGTCCTGAATACAGAATTTATTTTAAAAAAAGAAAGAAACGGAAGAAATTCTTGGAAGTGCACAGTCGAGCTAAAATTCTAACTCCCTGTAATTTTAATAATGTTTAAATATGTGTAACCCTTTTGCGCTGGAGAGGAGTCGTGTGTGTGCCTCGGATGAGACCCGGCCTTCGATTGCTCTGCGCTGCGCATCTCTGAATCCTCGGAAGCCCGTGAGACTGAAATGCGCCCCAGGAACCTGGGACGTGGCGGCGGCGTTAGGATCAGGGCGCGGTGCCAAGTCCCTGGGATCCGTGGGCAACGTGTCTCCAGGCTGGGCCTATGCATTAAGTAGAGAACGAAAGGTCACTTTGGTAGCTATCAAAGGGGAGACGCGCATTCTTTTCAAGCTGTGTTTATGTAACACGCTGTGCTTAATAAATTGCTGCTCAGCTCCGAGCAGGCTGATAAGAGCGGACCTGACGGAGAGAGCCAGGCTCTGGGCTGGGCTTCCCCTCCCCCTCCTCTTATCCGCACTCCTTGCCAAGGCAGGGTTATCAAGGCCACCCAATGGATGCGAGGAGTCCCACTCTCAGAACTCCCCCAGACAGCAAATCAAGAAATGCATTCAAAGGAAAAAGATACATTCGGAAAATATTTTGTCTAGGCTACCTTCATTTTTAAAAAACCTGCCCTTTAAACTCTGGGAAGTAAATCCACACACACACACACACACAGAGAGAGAGAGAGAGAGAGAGAGAGAGAGAGAGAGAGAGAAGTGAAAAGTCCTCTCAAATTGTTGCTTTACTGTCCAAGATAAGAGCTTCAGCTGCTTCTTTTTGGCGATCACTCAAGTAAGATTGTCTTCCATAAACGCGGTTTTAACAATGAGTCCATAAGTGACTGTGGAGGCCAATTCTGGATCCACACATCCTTCCACAGTGGAGACATAGGTTTCTGGGTGGGAGTTGATCATGGTGAGGGTTTGTCAAATGTGCCTTCCTCTTAGCACGTTTCTCCCTTTTGTCCTGAGTTTGAGCGTTTTCAAAGCCCATGACACCTTTGGTAAAGGCTGTTCTCCAGTTGGAGCACTCGCAGGCCAGTGTTTCCCAGTTGTTGGTGTTTTAGACTTGCTTTGAGAGAATCTTTAAACTCCTTTGTTGACCACCAGCATTACGCTTTCCATTTTTAAGTATGGAATAGAGTAGTTGCTTTGGAAAATGACAATCAGGCATCCACACAACATGACCAGTCCAACCAAGTTGATGTTGTTGAAGAATCATTGCTTTGACACTGGTGATCTTTGCTTTTTCCAGTGCACTGGCATTGGTTTGCCTGTCTTCCCAAAGTGATGTGTAAAATTTTTCTGAGACACCATTGATGGAATCTTTTGAGGAGTTGGAGATGGCGTTTATAAGTGGTCCATGTTTCACAAGCATATAGTAAGGTCGGTAGTACGATAGCTTTGTAAACAAGCATTTTGGTTTCCCTGCAAATGTAAAGGTAAAAGTAAAGGTAAAGGGACCCCATACCATTTGGTCCAGTCATGATCGACTCTGTGGTTGCGGCGCTCATCTCGCTTTATTGGCACAGCTTCTGGGTCATGTGGCCAGCATGACTAAGCCACTTCTGGTGAACCAGAGCAGCGCATAAAAACGGCATTTACCTTCCCGCCGGAGCAGTACCTATTTGTCTACTTGCACTTTGACGTGCTTTCGAACTGCTAGGTGGGCAGGAGCTGGGACCGAGCAATGGGAGCTCACCCCATCGCGGGGATTCGAACCGCCGACCTTCTGATCGGCAAGTCCTAGGCTCTGTGGTTTAACCCACAGCACCACCCACGTCCTATCCCTGCAAATGTACCGGTCCTCAAATACTCTGCACTTCAATTGGTAGAAAGCTGCACTCACAGAGCTGCGATGCAAGAGCGGCAATGCATTGACCACATAGAAATAAAGATAGGTTCTTAGGTCATCTGAATCCAAACCCTACATTAGAACTTAAGGAGTGCACTGCTGGCCCATCTAGTCCAGCACCCTGTTATCACAATGGCAGATCATAAACTCAACAGTACTCTCCCTAAAAGGGGTGCCAACGTGAATAAAATATTGGGGATGGGGCAGATAAGCCCTGGCCTGCATAATCGACCACATGATGTGGGGCACACACACCATTTGAATGGCGATGTCTATCAACTTTGGGGGGGGGGGGGTTCCTGACCCATTCAAATATTTATTGGGGGGGAGGGTGAAGGGACCGCAGCCCCTAGCAGTTGGCTCCTGTGCTCTCTATTTGTGCTCTTGAACAACTAGTTTTCAGAAACACACTGCCTCTGATACTACAGGCAATACACCTAATAAGTAGTCAACTTAATGATTGATCCTTTCTAGGTGTTTTATTAATATTATTGAATTTATATACCGCCCTATACCCGGAGTTCTCAGGGCAGTTCACAGAATAAAATCAAAACATAAAACCTTCAGACATGACATGGTTTCCTACACGCAGGCTGTCATTCCCCATGACCTGACTTGCAGTTGAAAGCTCCCACTCCTGCTCCTCTGCACATGTCTACATGCTACAACATGTCTGTACAATATGTGACCCATCAAGCTAAATGCAACCTAGCAGCCACCCTGAAAGAAAGAAAAAGTGCCATAGCTGTACACGGCACAGTGTTTCGCATGGTGGGCCACACACTGTGCTGTCTTGCATTATAATTGTCTCGCTTCTGAAGTGACACAGAAGATGTGTGACATGATGTATTCTGATTAGGGAGTCAGCTTGGAACTGGGGAGCTCTGCATATTTGGCCACGTAGTTGGGGACCTTGTCGTGTAACCTACCTCACAGGACTGTTCTGAAGATAGAATGAGTTGGGAAGCAAAGGACCATGGGTACCAACCCCAAGCTCTTTGACTGGGGCATCTCTGCAGGAAATAAATATAAAATGCATAGCTCTGGCCTCCTGCATTGGTGCACAGTAGTAAGCTTATAGGGAGAGAGTGGAGAGAGGGGAAGTGCCTGCAAGCTTGCCCTGTGGGCACTGCAGCAACTTTCATGTGGTTCTGGAACATGTACAACAACAGTAATGTGCCTATTCCTTGGGTGAGACATCTTTCCAGTTGACCGGAACCACAGATGGAGACCGGAAATCTTCTGAACACCAGTTGCCAGAAAACACAAGAGGAAACCTGCTTGCAGGTTTCCCAAAGGCATCTGGTTGGCCACTGTGAGAATATAGATGGGATATTGGCCTGATCCAGCACAATCTTCTTGTGCTCTTATGTCATTTCAGTGGCATGTCTTTCCAAGCAAGCCAGTCTAAGTTCCTTGTCAGGGCTGCGTGAGAGAGGAGCGCAGACTGGCCTGAGCACTCCATCCCACAACGTGCCGCAAGCTCAGAGCAGTTGGTGATTTTAATCATTGAACTTTATAGGTTTGAAATGGCTGTAATGTTAGCTTTTCTTATCTTATCCGCAGTGCAGGGCATTATTCCAGCCTTGTTTTCATTTTTAGTTCAAATTTCAACCTGCGATTAGTAAACCTTTTCCCACACGCCTCAACACAGCCTGAAAATGGATCTGGCTGTGTGATGGAGCAACTAGCTGACCACTCAGAGCATAGCAGCAGTGCAGCCGAGCCCGATTTTCTGCACCACAGTATACAATTATTGAAGGGACCAAATGACCAATGAAGCCTAGCTTGTTGGACAAGGCAACACCACCATCAAAACAGTACTATCTAGCCCAATGTCATGTCCACTATCCAGAGGTGGTTTTTGTATAACACCACCATCAAAACAGTACTATCTAGCCCAATGTCATGTCCACTATCCAGAGGTGGTTTTTGTATACATTAAAATGCATGTATAACATGCCAATTGCGCTCAAAACCATGGTGTTATTTGTCTTGATAGCTTCAAAAAGTGACATCTGTAAATGGTTAAAAACAGAGGTGTGTCAGTGAAAACAATTACAGCAGAATTACCTAAGTTCCACTGTAGCCCTGTCCAGTCGATTAGCCACCAGAGAAATGAAGGAAGTGCTCTGCTAAGCCTTGCCCTCTAGATGCCAGCAAATCTACTGGTCATGCCCCAGCTCATGTGCAGTTCAGCATCAGTCTGAAGGGGACCTATACACAGATGTATGTATGCAAGGCTCTCTCCATGGCAATGCAAACCCTGATCTCCCAGGGTTTTCATTCCAGAAGAGGAAGCCCAGAATTCATGCAACCAATCCAGAATGCGGCAGATAAGACTGGTGACTGGGAGTGGCTGCCAGGACGATATAACATTGGCTAATATAACTAAAGAATATACATTGGCTCCCAGTATGTTTCCGAGCACAATTCAAAGTGTTGGTGTTGACCCTGGCTCAATTGCTATCTCTTGGGCTAACCTATCTCACATGGTTGCTGCCAGGCTAAAAAAAAAAGGGGGGGAGCCATTTACACCACCCACATCACTTTGGAGGAACTGTGACACTTCAAGTGACATACAGTGATGCCAGTGTGATTCCACACACTGTGACATATTACAGCAGCACCGCAGCCAGTCTCTCCTCGCTGCTGCAGTCTGGCGGCTCCAAGACCAGCACCCATGACGCTAAGCAACTTGGCTCCACACCTTCCTTCTGGTTTCTATTGTCCTTTCCCCACCCCCAAACGCAGCACGTGACAAAATGGAGACTGCATGTGATGCAGTCTGCATGTGACTGACTGGGGAAGTTTTGTTATCATCTCTAGCTGTGAATCAGCCCCTTTGAGGTCAATGGGCTACTGGTTTTGATAAACAGATGTAACATTATGAGTCTCATTTCCCACAGGTTAGCCTCCCTGGCTCCTGATGCAAGTTGCTATTCTGGTTATCTACCCAGAGGGGACATCTTACTCCCGGCATGCTTTGGGTCCCCCGCCCCCCACGAGAGAAGCTGGTGTTGTTATTTGGAATCTGCGCTGAATCACATTTTAGGAACAATGCTGCTGATGTCATCTTTATCTTTATTGCTGAATTTGGCAATCTTGTGGGCATGACTGCCACCGTGATGTAATTGCCTGCCAATAAATAAACGGGGATTTGGCTCTTGACTTCCGTGAGATGCATCTCTTGTTTAGCTACTCCACGCTGGACCATATTTTGACAATAGTTGTAATGAATGGAATGGCAAAATATTAGCATTCTCATCCAGAACGTCACTCACTGCAGCAGCGATAACTAATGGAAAGAGCTGCTGTAAAGTGTGGAATATCATTATGGCATGACGTTGCTATACGAAGAATCATAGAAGCATAGAATTGTAGAGTTGGAATGGACCTCATCTAGTCCAACCCCCTGCAATGCAGGAACATCTCTCTTCCATGTGCCACCCAGAGGTTCAAGGTGTGGCGGCATGTGGAAGAGCCTTCTTGGTAGTGGCTTCCAGGATCTGGAACCTGCCCTACTCATCAGATGTTCACCTGTTACCAGCATGGTATACATCTTGGTGACATGCCAAAGTGCTCCTTTTCACCTAGTTTTGTGGAATGTCTTAATGTGAGTTTTTCATTCTGTATCTAATGTTGTTTTACTTTGGATTGGAGTTCTATGCTCCCCCCCCCTTTTCATTTTAGATGTCGTATTTTTTTTATTCTTATTGTTCTTTTTGTGGGACTGTCTTGGAGGAAATTTCATCCAGTTTGCTTGATCCTCTCTCCTTGAGGATCCCAATAAACCTGTGAGGATCCACAAGGTTCCATGGGACAATTTGAAAATCACTGCTCTGAAAGAGAATCACCAAAGGTGGTGTTGGGGTTTTTTTTTGTAGAATGTTAATGTACAATATTTCTCTCCAAAAAATAAATAAAGCCTAGGCTAAACAGGGAGCACTTCAGACAGAGGAGGCTACGGAATATAATTTTCCTTTTCCCAATCTCAACATTGGCAACTTTATGCAAATTGAATGAATGAATGAATGAATGAATTGATCAAACTACTCATGCTCTACAATTAAACAAGGTTTCTTTAAGTGGGTGACAACAACAAAAATTAGTAGATTGTGGTGGGTAAGCTATTTTGCTGGCTCCCTGGAAGCAGCTCAGGAGACGGATGGTTGGAATATTGTTTTGTTCAATATAGTATGGCTCAGTCTTGTAGTTTTATTTGATGAGTGGGTTAACCCCAGAAACCACATGACATCTCATCCTTGTAAAGGAAATGTCAACCCTCTGTGCTTTTGGGTGATTTCCACACATATTTAGAAGGTTGGAGGGAGTGCTCTATGAAAGATCAAATAATGTGTAATAGAAAACAAACATAACATTTTATTATCTTATAGACATATGCTGCCTTAACGTAAATACACTTATTTCAAGGATTCCCCAGGGAGAGGGTGGTGGAACTGAGAAGTCAGTTAGAGCTTTAGTTCTGTGTTAAAGATTAGCAAAGACATTTTGGAAGGTGATGGCTTGAAAGTACCTTACAGACCCACTCTCCATACAGTATGTAAGGAGGTCTGAGCTGGTTGCTCCAGCTGCATGGTTATAACCATGGCTTTAACCAGCTATTTTTGTTTCAGACCAGGATGGAGTCTAAAACCAACACTTTTCTCTACCAATAGTTTAGAAACTTTTATCTTTTGTTACAAAGGAACGTTTTAACTGCCTGTGCATCTTTTCTGACTGCTGTATGGAAACGCCCATGAATCTGACCTTTGAAGAGTTTTTATGCTTTGTCAAAGAAGCCACAATACAAACTCAGATGTGGTGGCCATCCAGCCTCATCAAGACCAGTCCTTCCAGACCAACTATTTTGTAGAAGAGCACTCTAGATATGAAGTCTCAGCTCCAAAAATATGCTCTTGAGACCAAGAAACCTTTTTCTCTTCATTATAATCCCTTTACCTGGAATGTTGAGGTTCTTGACTCACCACAGAAAGTGAAAGAAATTGTCACTCACTTGAAAGAACAGAAAACCCTCTGCTATGCCTTCAAAAAGCTTTCTTAAAACAGCTGGCCTAAGCTATCCCAGTTATAAGATACTTCAGTATACCTGAAGGAGCGTGTCCACCCCCATCATTCAGCCAGGACACAGAGGTCCAGCACTGAGGGCCCTACTGGTGGTTCCCTCACCATGAGGAGTGAGGTTATAGGGAACCAGACAGAGAGCTTTCACAGTAGTGGCGTCCACGCCCTCCCATCAGATGTCAAGGAAATAAACAACCATCTGACTTTTAGAAGACATCTGAAGGCAGCCCTGTTTAGAGAAGTTTTTAATGTTTGCTGTTTTATTGTTTTAAATATTCTGTTGGTAGCAGCCCAGAGTGGCTGGGGAGGCCCAGCCAGATGGGTGGGGTATAAGTAGTAAATTACGGTATTATTATTATTATTATTATCATTATCATTATAAAAAATGTGATTTACAGTGCATTTGTGATCATAGATATTTCTTCGGTCAAAGAGAAAATGTATTGGTTAGTATTCTTAGTGGTTAATCTTTAATAAAACATAGCTTGTGGAAATGACAATCAGGGGTGGGGAGAGTCCCCTGAATATTAAGACTGCCAATTCCATCAGAGGGAGAGTGTGCTTGTATAAGTATATTTGTTTCTAAACACAGCTTTGACTCATTCATATGTTACAGTTTTAGAGGTAGCCCCCCAAAACAAAACCAATACAGGAGCATAAGTTTATTTTTTATTTTATTAAAAAAGCACCTTATAGATACCATCATCACAAAAAGGGCATGTTGATTTAAGCTCAGATCTCATGGTTCTTGCCCATGCATCACTCATGCAAAAGCTACTGGCATTTTAAAATCTCTGTAGAGGGAGAAAAACAATGGAGGAAAATAAATCTGTTCTCTGAAGGAACTTAATGTAAGTTGCTGACACAGTTAAAATGTTCTCCTGCCAGGTCCCCTTGAAGTTCGTTTCCTCTCAGACATAGATTTTTCTTCATCTTTAAAAACAAGACCTGTATTTAAACAGCATTCTCATTCTAAACCTCTTCTCAAAACGATGAGGTTAAATTAGATACTGTAATCTCATGCTCACTAGGATGAAATAATTGTTGTAATTTAGCTTTGATGAGTAAAACATTTAGACCAGCATTCTGTACAACAGTTTCTCAGTTCAGCTATGAAGAAAGGGAAACAATGGACTAAAGGGCACAATTTATTTATCGAAAGCATGTATCAACAGTGGCTTAAACCAGTTCAATGACACCTTTTCCTGTACTCAGGTATTATTTTGGTCTGATCATATTGTCTTGTTCTTGGTAAGCACCAGAATGGGAATAGTTGTAAAAGTTCTAGTTGTAAAGGTTTTATCATATAATGATTAGGTTGCACACTTAGTAAGCACCATTGCAAATAGTTTGAGTAAATATGCATAAATTTTAAATCGACTAAAGTTGTTTTGTTGTTGTTGATTGAGCAGTATATACACCTTCCTAAATAAAAAACAAATGAAGGCATTTTAATATGGCAGTTTATTGTGGCCTCAGAGTTGCTCTTACATGTAAGTGTTGATGCCCATATGATATCATCTTCATCAAAATGTTATCTATACCCTCCACCTTCCATTAACCCAGTTTCATAGTTTCTGCAGTCAAAGAAAAGAAAACTTACCGGATTTTCTGTGGAAACAGACTTCCTTAAATGGGAATAATATGGGATGGCAACTTGATGAGAATGCTGCTGTATGGATGCTGTGCAAAACTTGCATACATGAGTAGTACCAAGTCCTGCTACATGGAAGCACCCTTGGTGCATGAATAGAGCAATATAGCCAATATTTCCCCTTCTGGAAACTCTCCTTGTAGCTCAGTGGTAGAACATCTGCCTTGAATGCAGAGGATCCCAGGTTTAATCCCTGGTATCGCCAGGTAAAATTGATAATGTGCCCTGCCTGAAAACCTGAAGAAGCTGCAGCCAGTCAGTGTAGAGTGACGATACTGAGTTAGATGGACCAAAGGTCTGGCTTAGAATAAGGCAACTTCCTATGTGCCTATGTTGTAAAGGTAAAGGTAAAGGTAAAGGTAAAGGGACCCTTGACCATTAGGTCGAGTCGCAGATGACTCTGGGGTTGTGGCGCTCATCTTGCTTTATTGGCTGAGGGAGCCAGCGTACATGTGGCCAGCATGACTAAGCCGCTTCTGGCGAACCAGAACAGCGCACGGAAATGCCGTTTACCTTCCCGCCGGAGCGGTACCTATTTATCTACTTGCACTTTGGCGTGCTTTCGAACTGCTAGGTTGGCAGGAGCAGGGACCGAGCAACGGGAGCTCACCCCGTCGCGGGGATTCGAACCGCCGACCTTCTGATCGGCAGTCCTAGGCTCTGTGGTTTAACCCACAGCGCCACCCGCGTGCCTATGTTCTACTCTTGCACAATTGCTGACACCCTTGTGTCTGAAAGATTACTCCTTAAGTATATACAGTACATATAATGAAATATTCCTTTAAAACATGCCCCCAGCCCTTGACACTTCATTTTTATTTTTTAAAAATACAGTCATATCATCTGTGAAGGCTATCAGAAAGCAAGGAGCCATTTTTTCTCTAGGATGTAGAAAAAAACCCCTCCAAATTTCAGAGGACATTCCCCTCTTCTCTTCTCTTCTCTTCTCTTCTCTTCTATTCCTCTCTCTTATTAATAATGGCTCCTGCAATGAGCTTCTTCCTCCTGCTTTTGCCTTTGACAAAGTCCTGCCTCTGACAGCGTTGATCTCCTCCTGGCTTGATTTACAGAGTGCTGTCACTTCTCTGCTCTTTACTTTCACAATCGCACATTCAAACCTGATAAAGTTCAAGACCTCAAATGCTTCCAGCTCTCTGAGATTTACAGGGTCTCCGTGTGGATGTCTCCTGAGCAGCATCAAGGCTGATGGAATCCTCCCAGGAGGAGCTGGTGGAGATAAACTCAAAGCCCTGGGAAGGGGGAAAACCGAGAAGGTAGGTAGGTAGGTAGTTTCCATCTACTCCGTTATCATCTGCATCAGCCAAGACATCTATTCAAAGTTCATCTCTCTGAAAACTTCCTCTGAGTGCCAGAGACATATTTATTCCAATTCATGAAGAAAGCAATATATTTAAAGGTATGAATGAATGTGATGCTTTTGGCAGAGCTAGTTGCTGCTGCGTTGGGAAATCTCTGCAGCTGCAAGGAGGTTTGGTGGGAATGGAGCCTATTTCTTGAATTTGGTGTCAAACAGTCATTCCCAGCTGCTTTGAACTGTGAGTGGAGCCCAAGCGACTTCATGGGTGGATCATCCATCTGTAGATAGCAGAGAGGCTATAGCATAGAAAAGGAGGATACTAGGCTATAAGTGCCTATTAGCAGAGACCCATGGGGCTGAAAGGATGCAAAGTACAACCAGGTGATCTAGGAAGCCTCCCAGGAAGAACTTCGTGGCAATAGAGAGACCAACCTGACCCCATCCATTGACCGGTGAAGGAGAAGCTGTTCCAATCAGTGCTGGATTTACGTATAAGCTAAACAAGCTATAGCTTAGGGTGGGGCCCCCCAAAAAATTCTTAATTGTATTTCACTAGTAATATACTTCTTCTTAATTGTATTTCAGTTCAACAATTACTTGGATACAATACATATTTTGTTATGTGCAAATGGCTTTAGATACCTATTAGGTCCATAAGTTACCATATAGCATATATTCAACACAACACAAAAAACAGCGACAATTTGTTGTTGACAAGGGACAGCTGGACATATAAAAGGCCCTATTACCTTCAGTAGCTTAGGGCCTCATCAAACCTAAATCCCTCTTTCATCTCCCTAAATTCCCTCTTTTGCCTCCATTTCTTCCCCCCTTTTGTGTTGTACCTGTTAGACTGTGAGTCTACAGGCTAGCAAGGCTTCAAGACTATGACCAAAAAAAACCCTGCATGCTAATTCCTAAATAAACATTGCAAGTAACAATCTGCTTCATGAAATTGAATCATGGTATAACTCATTCCGGGGGTAATTTTTGTTTCGGTTTTTAGCCGCTGTAGAACAACAGTCATAGTGAATAAAGATTTGTTGCATCTATACTGCTACTAGCTTGTACGGCTTAGAGGAAGGGTTGTTGGTAGGGGAAATGTCAGAAATATATTAAAAATTATTTAAACAGGGCCATCAATGTACATTGTATAGGATGCTCATAGGGTTAGGATAACTCCAGAACAGATGAGATGTGCAGGATCCATGACTGGCTCTCCTGACAACTCTAAACAGGCACAAAGGTCATAACAACATTGGAATCTGCCTTATATTGAGGTGGCTTACAATGTAGTGGTTAAGAGTGTTGGACTCGTAATCTGGCTAACTGGGTTCGTGTCTCTGCTCCTCCACATGCAGCTACTGAGTGACCTTGGGCTAGTCACACTCCTCTGAAGTCTCTCAGCCTCACCTCACAGAGTGTTTGTTGTGGGGGAGGAAGGGAAAGAAGATTGTTAGCCGCTTTGAGACTCCTTAAGAGGAGTGAAAGGCAGGATATCAAGTCCAAACTACTACTTCTTCTTCTTCTTCTTCTTCTTCTTCTTCTTCTTCTTCTTCTTCTTCTTTCTTCACAATATCCTGATGAAGTTTGCTAGGCTGCGGCATTTTAACTGGCCCAGTGTCACCTGTGGAATTCATCGCCAAGTGGAGATGAGATCTTATGTCTCTTTGGTCTTAATTTAACACTCTTACCAATATAGGCCATGCCCTAAATCCTTGTATAAACCATAGACAAAATCTGCCTACAAGACACAGGAAAAGCATTGATTATATCTGTCAGTCTCTGACTGCTTTGGTTATTATGGACAGCAGCTGTTATTGTTGCCTTTTTCTTTATGTAATCTAAGACAATAAAATAAAACAAATTATATGCACAGTGCCTGGCGTGCTCTGGTCCATGGGGTCATGAAGAGTCGGACACGACTAAACAAAAACAACAAAGACAATAAAATAAAAGAATTATATGCACAACCAATAGAATATCACAGTAGGAATGGAAAGTCATGAAATTTTGTATAAATACAACAGAAGGTTTTCGAGAGAAAGGGATGCTGCATTTTCAGGCAAAGGACAACAAATGTAAACTAATGGCTGAATCCTAAATGACACATTATAAACACAAGCTCACAAAGATAACCGAAGAAGTAAAAAATAGATATACTGGTAGGAAATGGTTAATCGTGGAAATAAATTCTGTATCTGAGTGCAAAGTGCCTACTGTGTTTAAAAAGGAAAATCACTTAATTACTTCTGTTGATGTCGGTTATTCATTTGGGGCCATCAAGCAATAAGCGAGCGTAACTTATGGACTGCAATATAAATTGGATCTGTGCCCATATCATTCAACAAAAACAGGGTTACTGCAAAAACAATACAGAGATGAGGTCAATTGCACAGAGTTCATGAGACAGTTATATCATCTAATTATGGCATGAAATTCACTGGGTGTGCCAGATGCAACCGTTAAACAATGAGGAACCCAACAGACAGTTCTGGAGCAATTTATCTTGGCCTAGCACCTCTTTACCCTGGCCTTTGACACCTGAGATGTACCATACTTTTCCATGTATAAGACTAGGTTTCCCCCCCTGAAAAATAATGTCCAAAATTTGGTGGCGTCTTATACATGGATAGATCTTCCCCCATTTTCTTAAATTGGAGTCCACAAAAATAGGGGGTGTCTTATACATGGGAGTGTCTTATAGACAAAAAAATACGGTATTTTTTCCAGAGCTCACCTATTTTTGGTCACTGCATTTTTTAATTGTAAGTTTTTAAACTGCTTTAAGCTGTATAGTAAATAGTTGTAACATGCCCTGAAACCTTAGTGTGAAGGCCAGGTCAATAATAATAATAATAATAATAATAATAATACTGTAATAATAATAATAGCACCTTGGCTGGTTTACATGAGTGTGAGAGCTCCAAAATGTATGTGGAGTTTCTCAACTTCCCCACTATGCAAGAGTACCATTGTTCATATCACTGGAGGAGAGGATCTGTTCATACAAAGGGATGTGTGTGGTACTACCCCTTCCATTGAAGTGAATGGGAAGCCTGCTTTTATTGGAGCAAATCACTAGAGCTTGTGTTGTTCACATCACGGTGCGATGAGAGCTCTGGAGTGAGGGCAGGAGGTGCATATTTTGAAGCAGCCATCCAGAACCAGATGCTTTCAAGGTAGTTTGGACTACATTTTCCATGAGTTCTGACTGGTAGCCATGGCAAGTGAATTACAAATAAACAAATAATATAATTATTATTATTTATTTATACCCCACCTATCTGGCTGGGTTTCCCAATGTTAACCAACAACCATCATCTAATGTTAACCTACAGTGGTAGGAGGTTCTTTGCATCAGAGGAGGTAGAGAAAGGAGGCACATAACCCCTACATTTCTGGTCACTTTCCCCCTAAAACTACCCCAACACTCCTTTTACTCTACCAGTGTTCCAGACCTGTGTTCATCTTGAAAACCTAGGTCTTTTATCCAGTCCCAAGGACCCTTTGCAATAGAGTAGCCATCAGCCCAATATTAGCTCCCAATATGCCTGATTTAACATCTACAGATCACAAAACTACCTACCAATTCCGTAAAAAGAACCACCTCACACAGTTGAAAATTCACTAACAAGCTGAAGCTTATGAGCCAAATTTTCTGTGTTTTTTATAATGTTCATCCATAAGGGAGTGCCATGCATTCCTCAATTCCATGATCACACCCCGAAAGTATGGAAGTTGGAATTGGGTGCATAACAGAGCGTTTGGAAATATCAGCCTTCATTTTAATTACTTAATCCTTTATAAGTAAACTTTAAGCCAGCTGGAGTCTACCTTGGGTAGTTTGAAAAGTGCCAGCTTTTTCCAAGGAGCTTTGCTAATCCTTTCGTACTTAGTTTCTCTCAGAGCAAGGGTGTCATGAACGAAGAGCTTAGTAATGAACATGAATTTCAGGGGTAAATGTATTGCTAAAGAAAGTTTTGGAGAAGTCCTCCAAGCTCGTCTTGTCTTTTCTAGAGTGATTCATGCTTCGAAGACTTGGCAAAGATAGCAAGCAAGAATAATAATTTGAATTATTTTCATAACTTGAGACCATCTTGCTGTGAGCCCTTGAAGACCTGCTTGCTGCCTTGTAGGCTTTTTTCAACTGGCCTGGGAGGGTGAGGTCCTGATTGACTCCAGCTACAAAGGCTGAGGCTGCTGAGCAGACTCTTGGGCTGGGGTAGGGCTTTTTGTTGGGGTGGGTTGTTGCTGTTATTGATATTAATCTTTTGCATCTTTATTTTAGTTCTTATTATTATTTATGTGTAAATTGTTCAATTTGGATGTGTACTTGTTGATGTGTTTTATTTATTAGTATGACGACTTTTGCTTATAATGTCATATGTGCTATAATGTATTTTTGAGACCTGTCTGTTATTTGTTTACAGTCGTACCTTGGTTCTCAAACAGAATGCATTCCGGGAGTCCATTCTACTCCCGGAACCGTTCGAAAACCAAGGTGTGGCTTCCGATTGGCTGCAGAAGCGTCCTGCAGCCAATCAGAAGTCGCGGAAGCTGCACTGGACATTCGGTTTCCAAAAATTGTTTGAAAACCGGAACACTCATTTCCAGGTTTCAAGCATTTGGGAGTCAATTTGTTCGGGAGCCAAGGCGTTTGAGATCCAAGGTACAACTGTATTTGTTTTTGGCTATATTCTATATCTGGCTGACCAATAGGATCTGAAGATGCTGATGACTTTGGGTTATGTTTGTAAATATGCAAGTTTTATCAGAACATAAACCACCCTGAGCATGGTTTGAACTATGGAAAGGCGGCAGTAGAGTCCCTGGACCTGTAATGCAAATGTACCATTGCTAGTTAGAAACTGCAGAAGTAACTTGATCTCTCCCCACCTAGCTTTAGAAATCCATTTTATTGGAAGCTAATGAAAGCTAATGATTTATTGCCCTGTCTATTTCCTCTCTCTAAAAACACCTATATACGCAATCAGAAGAAATGGGAATTCCACTCTCTTTGACTCTAAATCTTGTAAAAGCAGTCAATATACTTGGGCATTGTAAAGACGACACAGCTACTGTGTTTTTAATAAGGCATGTAGCTATATCAGTCCTTGCATCTGGCAGGAGGTGCAAACTCTTAAATGAGTGGGTAGCTGTAGTCTCCTGTGGTGATATCACAGAGTGAAGCCACAGTACACTATTGCTCACTGACGCGAGAGCAGTGGGCACGGAGGGCAGAGGCAATAACTCTCACTAGGCTTCGCCAATAACCTCCATGGAAATAAATCATTTTAAAACTGAAAGCTCTGTTTAAGCTTGACTGCTTAACTGAAATAAATGTTTCTATAAAACATGCTTACAATGAATTACGGAGTTAAAAGTGGGAGAGCACATTCCAAAGTGTTGGTGCACAGGTGAGTAATGGAGGGGCACGCCATTCAATACAGGTCGAAGCAAAGGCAAAGGGTGCAGAAGGAAGGTGAGGGCAGAAGAAGGGCTGAGCCGATGTGCTTTCCAAGCTCACAAAGAACTGGAACCTTGGCATCAGGTATCGCAGAGACCTTGCAAGTGATTGAAATAACCATTGTTTGAAGTTCAATGTGAAAAACGAATCTAGTGACACAGCACGTTGGGTTGTTTTGAAGATTTTCACAATCTTAAATATCCAAATAGCTTTTTAAACAATATGTCATGCAATGTAATCACATGTTTGTTTACCATCAAGGGTTGCATGAAGCCATAGGCCTTTATGTATTTATTTATTTATTAGGAAGTTTGGGATAGCTCACTCAGAGCAGAGCATGAGACTCTAAATCTCAGGGTCATGGTTTTGAGCCCCACATTGGGAAAATGATTTCTGTACCACAGGGGGTTGGATTAGATGCCTCTTGCGGTTCCTTACAATTCTCTGATTCTATTATTTATTTGCCACTTTTTTCTTGCAAGGAGCTCAAGGCAGTATACATGGTTCTCTTCCCCATTCCATTCGCACAACAACCCTCTCTGAGGGATCTTGATGGCTGAGTGGCAATTCGGACCTTGGTCTCCCAGCACTATAACCTTCATGCCATACATATACAGTGGTACCTCAGGTTACATATGCTTCAGGTTACAGACTCCACTAACCCAGAAATAGTACCTCAGGTTAAGAACTTTGCTTCAGGATGAGAACAGAAATCGTGCAGCAGTGGTGCGGCCACAGCAGGAGGCCCCATTAGGTAAAGTGGTGCTTCAGGTTAAGAACAGTTTCAGGTTAAGAAGGGACCTCCGGAACGAATTAAGTACTTAATCCGAGGTACCACTGTATCACCTATGAAATTATTTTTAAATGTACTTGTCAGGGGTTCAGGGACAGAGGCACAGGGTAGGCAGGAGATGGAGAGCGATGGGGATGAATCCCAGGACAGCGAGGAAGAGGATGACAATGACTCAAGAGATTCCATGAGTCTTTCCAGCGAATCAGAGGATTCCCAGGGGGCGCCGGTGGTCAAGGCCAGGGGAGCCCCAGGGGGGACGTGTCAGGAGCAGGGGGCCAGCGGGGGATCCCAAAGTGGCAGCTGGCCGTCAGGACCAGCCTCCCCGCCAGAGTGCAGCGAAGGGGGTGGAGGTTCCAGTGTATCAGGGGAGCAGCTCCGGCAGCAGAGAAGGGAGGGAGGTCGGAGCAAGCCACCCTCCCGGAAGGGGAGGGGAGTAGTGAAGGGAGTAGTGTAACTGTCAAAAGGAAGGTTAGAGGTTGGGCGCGCGCGCCAAGTTCAAATGTGGAGGCGCGCGGAAGTACAGGGAGCCCGGAGGAGGAGCCTGCTCCCAAAGCCCGCAGGAGGGGGGAAGAGCAATCTGGGGATTCCGCGTCAGGGGAATCCAGGAGGGGCGAAACCCCAGCGGGCAGGAAGACCCTGCGGAAAAGGAAAGAGAGGAAGAGGTGGAGCAGCGCAAGCCTCTTAAACTGGTGCAGGGGAGGGACTGACTCAGAGGGGACTTCAACGGTCTAAGCGTAACAGACGTGGGGCTGCGCACCTCGGATGTGAAGCAAACAATGAACTCCAATAAATGCCTTTGTATATAAGAAGAACTTGGCGTTGGTCTTTTGTGAGCTGAGACCTGAGGCAGCCCTGACAGTACTGAACTTCCATCTATTCATTTCTGCTATGGCTTTATTAAATGTGATGCCCACATTATATAAATCATGATTTATTTGATGATTTATATCAGGCCTTTGCCAGGTTCAATCTTGCTAACTGTAAAATAAATTATTAGTAGTAGAATTTTTTTATGAATCTCAAGATCCCACAAGGTAATACACAATAATTAAAAACAATACATATCCAAAACACAACTTAAAAACAGAACACAACCCTGACTAAAACAGAGCCAGACAGCCCAAGAACACAACATGAGTCTGCTGACTCAGGCCAAAGTCTCATTCCAGAATCCTGTTCTCACAGTGACCAATCAGATGCCCATAGGAAATTCACAAGCAAAACCTGAGCACAGCAGTCCTCTCTCCAGCTGCAGATCCCAGCAACTGGTAATCAGATGCCTACAGCTTCCGAAGGTGGAGAACTTAACACTCATTGAAAGATGAACGAACAGTATTTGCAGTCTTGCCAAAAATGGGGCCAACCTAATCTCCAAATGAAGGGAGTTCCATTGGACTGCTGCTACAGAAAAGCCCCCAGCCCAGGTACACAAAAGAAAAGAAAAAGAAAATAAAAGGAATAATTGATTGATCAGATTAGCAGGGAATTGGATACCACTGTTCGTGGTGAGTTCATCATCATGGAGGTTTCCAGAGCACAATCTAGTCAGGTTATTTTGGATCAGTTTCTCCTTCTCCTTCTCCTTCTCCTTCTTCTTCTATTATTATTATTATTACCCTATACCCTCAGGGTGGTTACAACATAAAATCACAATATAGAAACACAAAATGCAAATTATGGCAATGTAATGGTAGATGCAACCTGCCTGAAGGAGTTTGAGCAGCCACATCAGTGCCCTTTTGACCCTTGTCCATCATGGCTTATATTATAACAACTAGCCAAAGGCGACTGAAGGGGTTGATCCAGGGAGTGTCTTGGTACCTAGGATGGGAGGTGCAGAGGAGGGAATGTCATCCAGCTTTTATGAGGCAATGGTGTGGCTCCTTCATAAGAGGGTGTGTATATATGTATGTGTGTGTGTGTGTATATATATATATATATATATATATATATATATATATATATGCGCGCGCACACACACACACACACACACACACACTGTTAAAAATAGACCCTGGACCCAGAAGTGTTGAGTAGCTGTAGCTGTTGCCCAGTGTCATGCCTTGTGCTCTTGATCACAGTGCTCGAAAAGACACTTTCCTTAACACTCCCCAAGGGAGCCCTTTTTTGCAAAAGCTTTGACTACCAGAAGAGACAGAGTTCCAGTTTTTTATTTCAAAACTTTTAGTACCTGGGTGGAACTGGGGAGCCTGCAAAACTAATAATCTCACAGCTTTCTTTTCAGTCCTATGGCCTGAAAGGGTTTGCATCCTGCTGCTGGGCGCAGAAGAGCTGTGCAGAGCAGTGGATGTGAGACCAACGGCCACTATCCAATCCCTGTGCTCTTCTGCTACCACTCGCTCTGCCCACCTTGACTCAGCAGAGCCTGGGAGAGACAGAGGCAGCAATGGCTGAAGCGCACACACGCGCATGCATGCTCACACATATTGCAATTGCTCCTGCAGCAGCGTGTGAAATAATGAGCTAGGTCGAGCTCTTTAAACCATTTGCATGGGTTTATGGTTCAAGCATGCGAATGTGAAAATGGCCATTACTCAAAACACTATTGTGCAAACTAGTCAGGTAAATATTGTTCTTGCCCAATACTTCCGTTGTTTTTTAAAGCCCAAATGGGAATGGGCATTGTACACCCACCATAAAACGGAAAAAGCACAAAGCTCCACTCCACACATTGTGAAACACACCAACTAAGGCTGGTAATGTTTGTTCTTGGAGTCTTGAATACTTTCTGGGATTTTTAAAGGTGAGGACAATGTTCAGAATGTAAATAGGCAGTGGTAGGTGTGGAAGAGGGATGACGTTCCACGCACTGGTATGGAGAGAAAAACATGACAGTTTGGAAGCTAATGCGGCAAATAAAAAATCAGATCTGAATCACCCATTAAAGATTATTGTATTAATGAAATCATGATTAATGTATTGGCAAGTTTCAATGAGACGAGATTGGCCTTTAAATATGCTGGACACACAAAACCAGCTTAAAATGCAGCTAGGTCATTCCTTTTCTCAGTTCACATTGAAGCTGGCTTGGGGGGGAATACAACAAAACATAGCACTTCATTAGATACGATTAGATAGACATAGGAAAAATAGGGATTGCAGCTACTGTCGTGTGTACAACACTTCTCAAACCAGCAGTGGGAAAGCACTGCATGAAGAGTAAATGTAAGTTGAAGCATACACAGCCTTAGTTTCAAGAGCAGTTTCTCTTTCCCTTCTTGGACTTTCTGATGATTTTCAGGCAACAAGTAAAAAAATCTGCTTGCCCATTTAATGGCGCATGACACTGAATTTGTTGACTGCTTCTAATCTGCCCATTATGTTCTGATGGCTTCTGCATTGTAGTTACGTATTTTAAAAATATTAGGTACCTTTGGTGCGAAAGGGTTTTTGTTATTCTCCATGCACCACTTTGAACACCCAGAAACCAAGAGGCCAAGAAACGATGGTGTTTGACAACAATAACGTGAACAGCAATGGTATTAACTTGGATTGGCTTCCCTGAGCTGCCCACACTTGAACTACATTAAATCCATCCATTCCTATGTCAATTAGAGCTTCAGACTCTCAGAAATGAACAAGCTCCAAAAGAGAACGTCCACTATACATAGCCCAGCTAATGAACTGCCAAAATAGGAAATGTCTGGACCAGGAGCTACCTACTGTGGAATCTATGAATAGGCTGACCTTTTTGCCATTGTTTTTCCACTTTCCATGTGGAAAACAAGACAGGTTGTAACAATATTATTTAAAGGCTTGAGCTGGTACCTAATTACTGCCCCTGAAATGTTATGTATTTAGAGCTCTAGCACTCTGGCAACACATAGGGATTACGTGCCTGGATTCAAAGGCGGACTGGATTCTAAGTGAGTCAAAAAGCCCTGGGCTAAAAAGAGCATTTGGAGGACTGTATGCTTCAAAGTAGGGAATTTTCTACAATATGCAGCTCTTCACTGTGGCATAAGAAGCTAAACAACATGCTCCTTTCCCCCCTTTCTATGCATCATGGTACAGAAGCCCCCTAAGGATGTAGGGTACATACATAGCTTTAACCACTGTGTAAAATGAGAATTATGTGCATTGTAAAACCATCATTGACATGAGCTCTGGGGGAAGCATCACTTGTTCCTAGAGGGAGGAAAGCAATGAGAGATTTTGTCCTCTAGGGAGCTATTGACTGATTCCAGCAATATTAGTTGAAGATTGGAGAGAAGATCACAGTTATGCCTACTCAGGTGATCTGCACATCTCACCTGAAGAAGCAGGGTTTTAAACGAAACAGGAGGGCAGGGCCATCTTAAGGATATCTGGCGCTGTGGTGCAAAGATCCCTCCAGTGCCCCCCCCCCATTTCCCAGAGTTTTCGGCCTTTTTTAGGAAAGGTTCCTTTTTTTAGGGAGCTGACACCACACTTACACATTATCTCTAACAAGCCCTTGGAACAAAATAAAATGAAAATGCAGAAGAAAATCTAATGAAGTCCTCAATTCCACAGCAAGACTCATTCAAGACTCAGCAGTTCTTCTAATTTATCCTCATGATTTAAATCACCACTTATATCTAAAAGTTAAAGCAATCACCAGTTTCTTGTTCTTTAAATAAATTGATAAAGACACAGAGAATGAAGTTCCTGGTCAATTTGTGTTTAAGTACAAAGCTGATGTTTTCAAATATTGTGGGGCGTGGGGTGGGTGTGGGTGTAAAGCAGTGACATCCCGAACCTAAAAAGGACCCAAAACCTGGGTCACAACTGCACTTACCTGAGAGTAAGCCCTGCTGAATCTAATAGGACCTTAAAACCTGTCCCCGTCTTTAAAGTCTTTTTGTTGGTGTTTGTTTGTTTTTAACCACTAATTGCATGGAGAGCAGGGAGGCTTGCTGCGCAGAACAGGAGTGCACACACAGGCTGATGGGGGTGCGCAAGCTGCCAGGCGACCGAGTGCCACAGCGCAGAATCACCCAGTGGGGATTTTTGACACCAACCCTGAGGAATGACACCAGAGCCGGCCCACCATGCCCCTGTCTCTTAATACATTTACCATTGCTCTAAGGAGCTCAGGGTGGCATGCAGAGTTTACCCCTTTCACATTTCTCACAACAACACTGTGAAGTAGGTTAGGCTTGCAGACAGTGAGTGGCCCAAGGTCACCCAATGGGCTTCCCAAATTGCACTTGGATAGAAATGCCTTACAAACAGTGGACACCTCCAAATGCATCAGAGGAGGGCAAAACAGAACGGACACACACAACTCGCCTGCCAAAAAAGGGTTGGGTGGGTAAACCTAACATGGGTCACACCAGGCTGAAAGCAGTGTTTTCTTTTGGATTTAGCTCTTTGTATTTTAAAAAAATGGTACTCCTGGATCCCACTGCGTGATCTTCTTGCTGGTTTTGCACCCACGGGGTTGCATAGCGTGCAACGTGCATGTCCAAATGGCGGGAAGGGGGGGGGAGGAATACCTTTGGAGCCGTTCCTCTCCTGGCCTCCCCGCAACCATCCAAACTCCTCCCCGCCTCGCCTGTCGCTTCCCAGTTGTAGCAGCGGCCGCGCAAAGGCGGAGCGGGGAGATGGGTCCCCCCCCCCGGTTGCTGGCCAAAGATTCAGCCTGACTGCCCGGCCACAGTGCCCGGCTGGGGGAGGGCAAGGAGGGAGGGAGGCTGCCAAGGCAGCCGGCGACGGAGGCGCTGCTCTCGCTCGCTCTCTGCAGCCAGCCAGCCGAGCCCGACGCGCAAGCACAAGGGATCCCCATTGCACACTTTGCTGCGCCTCCCTTGTGCTTGCGCGCTGGGTTCGGCTGGCTGGCTGCATGGGGGGCGTGGCGCGCGTCCCGGGAGGGCGCGGGGCGTGCCGGGGGGGGCAGCCGCAATGGCACCCTTTCCCAAAATGCTGCCCGGGGCGGTGTGCCCCCATTGCACCCCCGTTGCTATGCCCCTGGGCCCCGGACTCCCGCTGCTGAGCGCCCCTGATGGGCGCGCGCCGTGGCGCAGGACGCCCCTAACCCTAATGGGTAAGACGCCCCTGCTGGAGGGAACTTTACAAGGGCAAAGAAACCCTCCTCTCTCAGACACACTCACACACAGAGAGAAATGACTTCTTCAAGTACATTGTTCATTTCTAATAATTTGATCAACATTACTCGTAATCTATTGCTATTTAATGAGAGTAGTACTGCAGTAGTAGATATAGTAGTTTAGTCAATATAGACCTAGAAGTAAAGCAGTCACTTCCAACTGATTAACACCTTTGTATTTATGATGGAACAGTTTTTGACATAGCTACAGGTTTTAATTTCAAATATTTTACAACTAGGTGAATTATGTGTTGGCGATGTTTTTAGGACATTAAACAATGGACATTTGCTCTAAATAATTAGCCGGGTAATTATGAGTGCAGCTATTTTTTAAAACAGAAAGTGCTTTTGCAGGTCTTTCCCTTACATTTAATTAAGAAAGCACATACCGTAGGGGACACATAATGGAAATAAGAGGTAGTGGAATGCCTGTTAAACCACATTATCGTTATTTTCTCTGAAGAATGCTTTAATAATGCTAATCTCATCTCCATGCTTTGACAGAAGTTGTAGTTTCCTTCCTTTTCTGTTTCCTAAAGCTGAATTCTTTTATGGGGTTTGTTTTATAGGGGGCATTATTATTTTACTTAATTACCTCATCTTCTGAGAACCAATATTTTATTGAACTAAGAAGAGTAAATAGTATGAAATGGTATGAAGAAAAAGAAAAGAAAGAAAGAAAGTTCTATATTTTAGGAATTGGCTCATTTCGTAAATCTTTGTCGCTCCATGTTCATAGTGATGGACAATAATACTTGTGTTAGAAGATTCTTGTTTTGAGCTACTGTGGGTGAATAGTCAGGAAATATAGTGTGGGAGTTCCTCTTAGTCTGGCCACAGGACACTGGGATAGGAATATGGGGGAGTGTCTTCTGCATTAGCTGGACCTAAATTGATATAAAGTGCTGCTTAATCTGGAAAGCTTAACATATGAAGTGCAGTAATAAATATTAACTGACACTGTGGAAGATTCCCAAGTGATAAGTGAAAATGCTTTAAAATGCACATGTGATTTTTGCCCTAAGTATACTGACAAGGAAATAAATGCCACTGAATTGATGGAATTTACCTCTGAGTAAATATGGATAGGGTTTCACAAGAGTTGAAAATAATAAAAGCATAGACCCCTTTTCCATATCTATATATATATATCTATATATATATAGATATATATCACTGTGTCCTGTCAATCATCAGCATAAATTGGATTGAGTACCGGTAACTGTTTTGCTCCAGTCTCCGCAGTAACATAGCTGAGTGGGGATGGGAATCTCAGATCTCCAAACCAAATACCTGGTCCTCTGACCACACCAGCAATTATGTAAATGAAAGCTGAGTATGTTGGGACATCTTAACGTTCTTGCACAAAAGAGTTTTCTGTTCAGCAGCTTCTTTAATGCCATGTATGCAGAATAAACATGTTCAGTTGGGCCTTAATGTTTAAAACTTCCAAATCATAAATATAAGAACAGTCACCAAGTGAATGTGCCTTCCTTTTACTCAATGATAGGTGTATGAACTAATTAAAACAATTGATGTAAGTCGGGGTGGGTGGGTAGGAGAACCAACTCAGATGCAGATGCCCTGATCCAGATAACTCATTGCATCCCATTGCATCGCCTTTCTTTCCACTGGCAGTTTTAAAAGCAACTTGTGACCCAGGGTGGAGCCAAGCTTGTTAATGATTGTCCGAATGGCAGAGGGGTAGAACTAGACAATAGAAGTGCAGGGAGACAGGATAGCAATCCTATCAAGTCAAAGTGCTGCAAGGTAAAATGTACATAACACAGGCATTTGGAGAGAGACACCATGTATTTATATGCTAATGCTAGGAGCCTGGGAACCAAAATGGGTGAGGTGGAGGACTCTGATTTTAAAAGAAATCATAGGTAGAATGGTGAGAACTAGCAAGGCATGGTTAACTCAGGATACAAATTCTATAGCAAGCTTTGTCAACTTGGTGCTCCCCAGATGTTTTGGACCCCAGCCAGGTCCCCTTGTGTAATTTCCCTAGTACTGGGGAAAGTTCCCTGTTGTCATTAGACAACAACATTATTGGGTGTTGGTGTGATTCCAGTATTGTGTGATCTCCGTAATCAGGACCAGTAGGTCATAGCTGACTTCCCATGTTAGGCATGAGGTTTTGGGGGCAAAGAATCAGCAGTGACTGTATATTTCTTCTTCTTTGGCGATCACTTGTAGCCAAGTACAAGTAACATTGTCTTCCATAAACACGGTTTTAACCGTGAGTCCGTAAGTGACTGTGGAGGCCAATTCTGGAACCGCACATCCTTCCACAGTGGGGACATAGGTTTCTGGGCGGGAGTTGATCATGGTGAGGGTTTGCCAAACATGCCGACTTCTTAGCACATTTCTCCCTTTTGTCCTGATTATTGTACACACTCTCATTTTGTGCACAGTGGTCACTTTGTGCCCCTTGGCAAGGTCTTAATTTTTTATCATTAAAAATTCAGGTAAAGAAGGGCATTTCTAAAACTACACACACACACTATTTTTATGTCTACTTTTATGTTGAAAGTTCACTACAAATAGAGGGGGGAACAGCACAGGAAGGAGGAGGAGCAAGAGAGGCATTTTACAATTTTTCAGTGTATGAATGCCAGCACAACAATTTTTTTACAAGCATTGAGGAGTAATGATGTGGCAGGCTTTTCTCTCAAATTCTAACCTGTTTCTTGCATCATTTGGGTGTGTAGAAGAAGCATGGGTTATTGTTGTTGTTGTTTTTTAAAAAGAAACAGACCCTGAAGGGATTGCTTAATCATTCCAACTAATTCTGAGTTAACTGGATTAGCTGGCAAACCAAATATTCCAGCTACTGACTAGTCAGGCTCCTAAACAAATGTTGCCAGAAATCCTGTCTTCTTGAAGCAGCCTCTTTAATCTGAAACTACAAGCACACACAAAGGACACGATAGACTGATGACAGATATGAAGAAATGTAAATAATCTATTAAAGCAAGGCGGCTGCCTTCCATGTTTTCTGTGATTAGCAGTATACAGAGGATATTTGCACGCGCTCAGGAATCTGTTTTCCTGGTGATAGAGCCTGGTTGTATCAGCTGTCATCTTTTTATTGTTTCAGTTTGGCACTAGCTTCCTTTCCATTTCTTTACATGCATTTATTAGAAATGATAATATCAATCTGAATACATGCGAAGTAGGTCATTGCAAAGGAGAACAAGAGGAAGTTTTGGGGAAGCATCAAACTTTAGGAACGGGAGGGAGAATTATCGCTGCAGCTTTAACTTTCCTTTCAGAGCTTTGAAATGATAGCTCTTAGATAGATACACACCACTTCCTAATACAACAAGGATACAGATATATCAAGAAACATACACTCAAACGTATATTCTCTCCATTGTTTACATTGTTGGGGTTTATAAAAGCAAAGCAAAACTGAAAGTCTGGTGTACAATAATAATAAGGTAAAGGTAAAGGAACCCCTGACCATTACGTCCAGTCGTGACCGACTCTGGGGTTGCGGCGCTCATCTCGCTTTATTGGCCAAGGGAGCCGGCAGTGTACAGCTTCCGGGTCATGTGGCCAGCATGACTAAGCCACTTCTGGCGAACCAGAGCAGCGCACAGAAACGCCGTTTACCTTCCCACCAGAGCAGTACCTATTTATCTACTTGCACTTTGGCGTGCTTTCGAACTGCTAGGTTGGCAGGAGCAGGGACTGAGCAACGGGAGCTCACCCCGTCGCAAGGATTCAAACCGCCAACCTTCTGATCGGCAAGTCCTAGGCTCTGTGGTTTAACCCTCAGCGCCACCCGCGTCCCTACAATAATAATACCTAGCATTTATGTAGCACTTTGAAAGCTAACATGTTTTAGGTATTCCAAAATCCAGATTAGGTCAATACAACTTTTATTAGGCCAATTTTTGTAAGATGTACACTTATGGCTTTACCAGCAGCCAATTGCCCCACTTGTTTTCTTTACCATGTAGCCTGATAAGCCCGGAGAAGTTTAAAACTTGCATACTATTTTGTGAAATTTGGGTTGGCCTTATAAAAGTATTATCCTAAATAAACTTTATTTTTCTTATGGACCAACACAGCTTCCTTTACTTGTTATCTATTATCAAATTACCGGTAACCTTACAACAACTCTGTAAGGTATAACAGCAACAACAACAACAACTTGCAGGTGCTGAAGGGAGGCTGAGCAAAAACTGTCTTGCCTCAGAACATAGGCAAACTCAGCCCTCCAGATGTTTTGGGACTACAACGCCCATCATCTATAGCTAACAGGCCCAGTGGTCAAGGATGATGGGAATTGTAGTCTCAAAACAGCTGGAGGGCCGAGTTTACCTATGCCTGATGTAGGCAGTTAATGACATAGGTGAGATTTGAACTGGGAAATTCTGAGTGCCACTTTGCCACTACATCAGTTCACAGCACAACTAAGGATGACTACACCTCATTTAAGTCTATGGCATTTGAGTGCATTTAACTGGGTACTGGACTGTACATATTCATGTATCATGATACTGTTTAAAGTGACTAGAATATCTGCCTTAATAAATGAATCTTGCTGTCTGTTTAACTGGGAATCAGTTATCCTTCCATTCTGCTTGATGAAGAGCTATAGGCAACCTGAAAATGCATATGTACATTACCTAGGACACCATGTAACTCATTCAGAAACCAGTAGGGCAACATTTGAATCTTCTTGGGAACTGAAAGCTGCAGTAAGAATTTCAAAGGGATTCCAGAATGAGACAGCTGAACTGAAACTCACAATGAAGTTTGATTTTATTTGTCTGGGCCCAAATGGTGACAATGTCTTCCAATTCAAATGTTAATTTCCTCAGCTGTTCTAAGATGTTATCAGCAATGACTATTTAAATGGTCACAGAACATTTGCATACATTTAAGCTTTGATTAAATTGTCAGACACTATACTTCTTGCATTTCATGGCACTTTGTGTTACTATTTTAAATTTTACACGCCCACCCCACCCATTGCTTTGGCAAAAAGGGAAGCTCACAGAAAGGCCACATTTTATCATTGTCCCCTTGTGTCACGTGAATGTATACTGGCCAATTTAGGACAACACTTCAATGTATCCATTGAAATTGATTCTAGTCCACAAAAGCTTTGTTAGTCTTTAAGATGCTACAAGACTCTCCTGATTTTGCTACAATGGACTAGCATAGCACAGAAATAATTCTATATCACTTCACACAGTCAGAAGAGAATTTGGCCTTTTAATGTGGTTCTTTTTTTCAGTAAACAAACAACCCATACTATATTAAGGGTAATTTAATCAGTGCAAAGCCTCCTGTCAACCAAATATTTAAAGTGGAAATGTGCAGATGTACCACACTTTCCAGGCTAGTTTTCTGTCACTTTTCTTATCATAAAACATCAAATTTTGGGGTGGGGGAAGCAGGTGTGTTGTACAAGAGCACCAAATTCACTGTATTACACAACCTGAATTTGCAGGCATGTAACTGAATTAAAGGGACGCGGGTGGCGCTGTGGGTTAAACCACAGAGCCTAGGACTTGCCAATCAGAAGGTCGGCGGTTCGAATCCCCACAATGGGGTGAGCTCCCATTGCTCGGTCCCAGCTCCTGCCCACCTAGCAGTTCGAAAGCATGTCAAAGTGCAAGTAGATAAATAGGGACCGCTCCTGCGGGAAGGTAAACGGTGTTTCCGTGTGCTGCTCTGGTTCGCCAGAAGCGGCTTAGTCATGCAGGCCACATGACCCAGAAGCTGTACGCTGGCTCCCTCGGTCAATAAAGCAAGATGAGCGCCACAACCCCAGAGTCGGTCACGACTGGACCTAATGGTCAGGGGTCCCTTTAACTGAATTAAGCTGCAAATCAGCAACAGTCTGGAAGAGGCTTTGGAAATACAGTATATGAAGTAATTATTTTGTTTTGTTTGAATAAAACATCTTCCTTCTTGGACAAGGAATCTCAAGGTGGCTTAGAGGCAATTAAAAATAATCAGCATCAAAAAGCATCAGCTAAAATATGCAACAATGAAACAAAAACCCAAGTGCGTATTTAAAAATATTTTTTCCACCAGCTTTCTAAAAACCAACAAAGGGGTGAGTTCAATAGGGAGAGGGCAACAGCTGAGTAGGGCTTAATTTCTTATAGCTACCCACATTACATCAGAAGGCGGCTCATTTTGAGCAGGAATTCCTTGAAGGGTCTTAAATGTACTGTATTTAGGCTACTAGGACAGCCTCGTAGCAAGCTCCCTACTCTTCCTTATGTCAACAGAAACCCTGATGCAGGCCTGTGTTTAGAGCCCTGACACTGAGCTGTATATACCCCTAATACGCCTGTTGCGTTACCCACACTTATACAGAAACTGAGTAAGCAAGCCACAACACCTGTTGAAATTAACTATATGTGTGGACTGTGTAAATGTGTTATGTAAAACAGTATTTGAATTTTCCTTGCATTGGCCAGGCATGTAAGATGTAGTCATTTGTCCAAGAACCTTGTAGCCATTCTTAGTCCATATTAGGCATGTAGGAACTGCTGAGTCAGACCACTGATCTCACTATTTTCTACACTGACTGACAGCAATTCTCCAGAGTTTCAGGCAGGGCTCTTTCCCAATGCTACCTGGAGATTCCTGGGACATTTCGCATGAACAACAAATGCTCTACTACTGAGCTGTTCTTCCATGCTACATTGAAAACGAGGTCCAAGCAAAGAATGACCCGTGAGAAACCTGTTCTAGTGGGGGAAAGGGAGACTGAGTCATGCAAACAAACTCCCACATGACAGAAAGACCGGCTGGGTAAGGCACACATTAATATTGCAGAGAGGAAACCAAGCACCTTTGCACATTGGGACTGCTTACAATGACTTTTGTTGCTGATGGCGCATGTTTGGCTCTCCTTGTTAAATGTTGTTAAGCAGGAAACAGGTTTTAAGGCAACAGGGTCCTTGGGAGTTCAAACTCCTGCCTCCAAATGTTCTTACAAGATGCACACTTGGCACCGACTTACAGGAAATATTTAATTAGAATCGGAAGGCGCTGGCTCCACTGACCTTGTATTTATATTCCCTGTGTACTCTGGGCTACAATGACTTCGGCTGATAGTTTACACGGGTGATTTATTTATATCAACCAATGGAGAGTTCTGGAGATTTGAGGAAGATGCAAGTGGACGGGGAGGGTGGGGGGCTCAGCGAGCAGGGGGTGAGGGAGACAGTAAAGGAGTCCTCTTCCAAAGGAGGGGGACCATGAATTAAACAGGGAGAGTGACATATTTATGAGTCCAGTATCAGTTGCCTGCACTGATAAGCCGCGGTCATTAAAGGAAGGAAAAGTCACCTTTGTGTATATAAAATATGCAAGATACATAGCTTGAAAAGAGTGGACAGGAAAGCATTGGGTAAATAAAGGATATCCCATGAAGCATAATGTGCAAATGAAATTACCTCACCAGACAGGAAACTTATCCATTTATGCAAAAGGCATTTAGGAAGCGAGGGGGGACCGTGTGCTCTTATTATTTATTTCATTTGTATGCTGCTTTTCCTCCAAAGGAGCAAAACACAGCATTTGTCTTTCTTCCTACCCATTCACCCTTTTATCCACACAACAACCGTGTAAGGTAGGTAAGGTGGAGAGGCAGTGACTGGTCCGAGGGCACCCAGCAAACTTCATAAAACCCATAAAACAAGGGGATTTCGGCAGCCCTCAAGCAGAGCAATGAACAGCAACAGCTTCAAGCTAAACAAAAACCACAACAGCTCTACAGAACAAATTAACGGAGAAGCAAAATCAATTATCACCGGAAGCCCAGGAAAATATTTGGATCAAAGCAAGGAAAGCAACAAAAGATCATAGTAAAATAAATAAGCAAATAAACAGAAGGGTGAATTTTCAATGAAACATGTACTGGATTGTACTGTATTTTAAGGTATTAGCGCAAGCATACAACAAAGTTCAGTACTTTTATGTAATTTCTCGAGTAGGCATCGCATTCCTGCAGTGCTCCAGAATCCCCTCTCATCTCCATTGGCATAGTGTCATTCTGGCATATAGATAGGGAAGGTTAACCAAAATAGGAGATTTAGAAGTGGTAAGGACAAAGTACTGTTAAGGTTTATATACTGGCGGCATAAAAGAACAGCAGCAACACAGTTACTACATGACTCTCTATACTCCAGGACTCTCCGACTTCTTAGGTTGCATCTACTAGTTGCAGATGGTGCCAGATGGCATAGTAGGGCACCTGCTGATGGTCTAGACCTTGTCTGGAGTACTGTGTCCAGTTCTGGGCACCACACTTTAAGAAGAGCACAGTGGTACCTCGGTTTACGAACTTAATCCGTTCCGGAAATCCGTTCTTAAACCGAGGTGTGCTTTCCCTAATGAGGCCTCCCGCCGCCAGTGCCCTTCCACCTTTCAGATTACGTTCTTAGACCAAGGTAAAGTTCTCAAACTGGGACACTATTTCTAGTTTTGTGGAGTTTGTCAACCAAATTGTTCTTAAACCAGACTGTTCTTAAACCGAGGTACCACTGAACAGGGCCAGAGGAGGACAACAAAGATGGTCAGTGGTCGGGCAGTTAAGTCCTATGACGAAGGTTAAAAGTACAGTGGTACCTCGGGTTAAGTACTTAATTCGTTCCGGAGGTCCGTTCTTATCCTGAAACTGTTCTTAACCTGAAGCACCACTTTAGCTAATGGGACCTCCTGCTGCCACCGTGCCACCGGAGCATGATTTCTGTTCTCATCCTGAAGCAAAGTTCTTAACCCGAGGTACTATTTCTGCGTTAGTGGAGTCTGTAACCTGAAGCGTATGTAACCCGAGGTACCACTGTAACTGGATAGTGTTTAGCATGGAGAAAATAAGACTGAGGACATGATAGCACTCTTCACATGTGGCCTGGAGGGCTGTTACATAGAAGACAGAATGTTGTTTTCCACCGCTCTAGAGGACAGGACTAGATAGAAGGGGCTTAAGTTACAGAATGGTAGATTTCAATTGAAAAATATATTGATGGTAACATGAATTTGACAATGGAACCACTTATGTATCAGAAGTTGCTGGAGTACAACTCCCATCATTCCTAATTATTGGCCATGCTGGGAACTGGATTCCAGCAACATTGGAGGGCCAAAAGTTCCCTAGCCCTGACTTAGAGGGATGGTGGGCTCTCCATTGCTGGAGGTCTTAAAGTGAAGGCTGGACAACCATCTGCTTGGAGTGCTCTTGTTCTGGATTTTCTGCAGCGGGAAGCTGGACCTGGAGAGAGACCAGTGCCACTTCATGGCTGCTGCTGCTGCTCTATTTGCAATGGGAAAGGAGATCCACTGGGAAAGTAGCCGGAAGAGAAAAGGTGGATGTTAACGAAGCAGCAAATTAGAAGACTAGATGGCAGACTCCTCTAATTCTTCTGAAGCATAGCCAGCTTAACAGTTACCACTGAGCAAACCACATTTTCATTTGGGCTCACACAAACAATGACATAAAAGGTGACTACAGGGATGACTCAAGTGCCCACTCCAGTAATCTTAGAAGAAGAACAATAGAACCTGAACCTCTAATCCTTTTCAAGAAAGAAGATAAACATCATAGCAGAGAGGACAAGCAGAAAGAACCACGACCCCTCTCTCCCTTAGCTTCTATAGAACTCTTCAGGAGGAGAGGTTGATGATTAATGTCAATTGGTGCAGTCCAGCCCTGCGGAGTATTGTCATCGATTTCAGTGGCAAAAGGATTGCGTTTATTCCACAAGGGCACGGAATTACACATTTTGCACGATCCCACTAGTTTAAACCATTCTCAAAAGAAAACTTCACAACAGCTATCTGTTCATTGCGCAAGTCGCAACTGGAACCTTATTTGAATATTCACAAACAGAATGTATATCCAGCCACATCTGAAGGGCCACAGCTTAGTCATCCCTAGTTTAGAGGCAATATCTGACCCTTCAAGAACACATTCCAGCCAGGTCAAAGCCCTTGAGGAGGGTATCGAACAAGCTGGGTGGGGGCGCGGCTGAGGAGGGAATGTGTTCCTTCTCTTTTGAAGGTGCCTCAGTGTCTGCCCTAGCCCAGGAGCAGGGCGTTTTGAATCTCCCCACCTTCTTCTCAGCATTTTCCCACTCTACCTTTCCCCCCAGTTTTCACCTTCAGCATTTGCATATAGACACTCAAGGTCACAAACAGATAGGAAGGTTATGCCGATCAGCAATGAATTCCCCATAGTCGCCTTTGACTGGACATAACCGTCTAGGGGTCCTTTACCTTACCTCCCAAGAAAAAAAGAAAAAGCAAAAAACCGCATACAAGGAAGCCAGGGTAACGAAACTGTGCATAAGATACACAGATACACCGTTATTGGGGAGTTCTTTCCCTTGCACTTGATCCAGAAGTTGCGGTTAGTGCAGAACGCTGCAGCACAATTGCTGACAGGAATGAGACCTTATCAGCACGCAGCACCTGTGTCCAGAGATCTGCACTGGTTGCTGATTTGCAACCGGAGAGGTTCAAGGTATTCCTGTTAGCATATAAGGCCCTTAACAACTTGGGACTAGCTTACCTTTGAGCCTGACCACTGAGATCCGCAGAACTGGCACTGTTATAGACACCACATAATACCCATTCCACATTGGTAAGGAATTGATATTTTAGTGTGACAGCACCTACACTTTCAAACTCCCTCCCTTCTGCTTATACATCTTGTAGAAGTGGTGTATAAATTTTATGAAACAAAAATATAAATAAATAAAGTTGCTAAATTCCTAGGCTCAAGTCCAGCTAAACAATTCTCACTGAAAGTGGAAGTTAGTTGTAAGACTAATTTCAGTCCTATTTCTTTGAGTTGGATTTATAGAGTGATATCCGACTAAGTCATAATTTATTTTATATGGGTTTACTCTATGACTAACATTGAATGTCACCCAAAGTGACTACCTTTAGCTAGATTGGGGCCCGATGTTTATTTTACAGGCAAAAGGAAAGTTTCAGAAGCAGAATGGAGGTATAGGTAAATGGCATATTTTGTAACGTGCATATTAACTAGCAAATGGTCAAGGGTGGTATTCAATTCTGGTCCTGCACAGAGCAGACCAACTGAAATTAATGAACCTAAGTTAGTCAAGTGCATTAACTTCAATGGGTCTACTCTGAGTAGGACTGGTGTTGAATACCACCTCAAGTATTAGAAGGTAAGAAGTAAGAAGTCAAAAGATTCAAGTGCATGGACCAAGGGCAAAATAAATCACACACACGTTTTTCTTAAAACAAAACAGTGAACAGAAAAGGGTGTCCAAGCACAGGAGAGCTCTTTGTGGATATCAAATATTTACACAAGTAACCTCCCTCTAAACCATCTTGTTTTTCCTCATTCCTGGAATCTTAATGCTAATGTATTCATTGCTGAGAGGAATGAAAATTTTGAGGATTTCTTATTCACAGCACAGAATTAACCCCTGCCCCAAGAAATCATATTCTAAAAGAAGGAAAAGATATACAACCATATGTTTGCAGAACAGTCATATATAAATAAAACCATTTGATTTGATATAAATATATTCTGAATTTGGAGGAGGGAGGGTGCCAATTCTTTTAAAAATTTAAAACCACACAAATTTCTCACCAGTTTAAGAATCCAAACCTTCATCATCCCATTATAAAAAATAATAATTTCCATTTATAGTTGAAATTTATCTTGCCTCATGTCTGTTATTTTTTTCCATAACAATTAAAAAACACAGAGAGCTATAACCAACCAGAGTTAAGCACTTTCAGTTTTCATTTATTTGAGTCAGAAAAGTAAGCAAAATTATGATCCTATACAGAAATTTACCCGGGAACATTTCTGAGTTGACATATATAAGATCGTACAAAAGTTCCTTCTATTAAATTCAATGGGACTTTAAGCTTTCTGACTTTGATTAGATCATACATATCTATTAAACAAGATATGAGTAACTGCAGCTTAAAAGTATGGTTCTTGCCAGCTTGCTCTTATTTTTCCACGCTCATACAAGAAAATTAAAATACTGGCAGATAATATATTATCAACACCTATATTGGTTTCTTTGATAGTTCCGTTTTTAACAGAGGGTGCTTTCAAATTGTTGGGGTTAGGATGCAATAATGTACTGGCAAATTGAGGTCATGCAGGTAAAATGGATTATTATGACTTCTGACTATCTACAGTATCTTTTTATCATGCATTATTTTCCTTTTGATTTAGCAAATAGATCACTTTCTGTTACTTTACATGCTTTAAACATGGACGAGCACAAAAATACCTAACCCAGGCTTACCACTGAAATGAGTGTACTGTGTCTGAAAATGTCAGAGGTATGCCATTACACTTTGCTGTAGTCCAGGGGTCAGCAAACTTGTTCAGCAGGGGGCCAATTCACTGTCCCTCAGACCTTGTGAGGGGCCAGACTATATTTTTTTTTGGGGGGGGAGAAAAAGAACAAATTCCTATGCTCCACAAATAACCCAGAGATGCATTTTTTAAAAAAAAACCACACATTCTACTCATGTAAAAACACGCTGATTCCTGGACTGTCCGCGAGCCGGATTTAGAAGGCGATTGGGCCATATCCGACCCCCAGGCCTTAGTTTGTCTACCCATGCTGTAGTCCATAAAGGGATTCCAGTCTCACAGATATGACAAGGACTTTAGAATTTGGCTCAATATGATGCTAGGAAACAGACTGGTAAGCATATGTCAAGCTATTCTTGAAAGGTGCCTGGAGTTTTGATTGCTGATTTCAGTAAGATGTGGATTTCATTAATTTTTCCCATTAGAGTCATACCTCGGAAGTTGAATGCCTTGCAACTCAAATGTTTGGGCTCCCGAATGCCGCAAACCCAGAAGTGAGTATTCCGGTTTGCGAACATTCTTTGGAACCCGAACGTCCGACGTGGGTTCTGCGGCTCCTGGTTGGCTGCAGAAGCTTCCTGCAGCCAATCGGAAGCGCACCTTGGTTTCTGAATGTTTTGAAGCATGAAGAATCTTGGGAGCTGTAGTTTACCATTCACAGAGCTACAATTCCCAGCACCTTTAACAAACAAATATAGTGAAGAGTATGGGTGAAAAGCTATAATGACTGTATTCCCTGACCACATGATAGTAAGGTAGCAGAATTTAAATGCAATACAGTGGTACCTCGGGTTACATACGCTTCAGGTTACATACGCTTCAGGTTACATACTCTGATAACCCAGAAATAGTGCTTCAGGTTAAGAACTTTGCTTCAGGATAAGAACAGAAATCAGGCTCCGGCGGCGCGGCAGCAGCAGGAGGCCCCCATTAGCTAAAGTGGTGCTTCAGATTCAGAACAGTTTCAGGTTAAGAACGGACCTCCGGAACGAATTAAGAACTAAACCTGAGGTACCACTGTAATAGACTACAAAACAGACTGCAAAAACTACTCAGAAACTCAGAACAAACAAACCAAAATCTTCACAACAGCAACAACGGAATAATCTTTGTTCTTTAGCTATGATTCTCCACTTTTTGGAGGTCTTCTGTCAACCGGCCCCCTCTGCCCTGAACTGCTGTGGAGGGTCAGAGGGATGAAGACACTGAGCAAAGCACTTGGGAGACGGAGTATGTTTGAAGCCAAACCACAGGCCGCATTTGTCAAGCTCTTAAGAAACAGAAATGAAGGATCAAAGCAGGAGCCTTCGACAAATATTAACATTTGTCACCTACTATAACTTTTGATGTGCTTCTTTTTGAATTTTGTAAAGGCAGCCAAGTCCTACAGGAAAGAATCTTTGCACATCCAAAAGAATAATATAATGGTAATGTTGCCATAATAAGGAAGTCCAAATTTAAGATAAGACACTTTATATGCTTCCCCCTCCCACCCTCCTCCGCCACCAGAAAAACAAGCCATCTATTCATTATGTCTGGCTAACATCTTAATATCCTACCCTAACAGATTCCTCTAATTTATTATCCATTTAAATGGAGTTGTTTTTTTTTTTAAAAAAATAGTTTTTATTAAAGATTTACTTGTGTAACAAACAAATAAACAAAGAAAAGTACATATAGCGTCTCCACTTTCAATTCATAGAGTCTTTTTCACAGTTTGTTTACATTTGGTATGAGACACTGTTGTCATAGACATTAGGTGGTTAGGGGAAAGTGTTCTATTGCATTGTGTTTGTGCAGGGGTTTTGTGCCAGCATCACGTGGGTAGGTTCGTTATTTATATATTTATTTAGGGGTTTTTTGGCACTGTAAGCAATTGGGGGGGTCCAGAGTTTGGTTCGGTTGGTTGCAGTGTGGTTTGTTTGTATGTGTGAGGGTGAGAGGGGGCAGTTGTTGGGTCAGCTTAGCTATATTGATTCATTTGCAACTGGGGGGAATAGGTCATTGTCTTGTTGTGCTGTACATGTGGTAAAGGGGAGCCACACTGGGGTGAAGGTGCTCTCCTTTGTTAACCATTTTAATATTGATTAATATGCAGTTGATGCTGGTTGGCTGTTGTTGAAAAGGGCATTTGGGTGTCGTTCTTAAATTTTGAACCCTGTCTAGAAAGAACCTCAGCCTGCAAAGGAGCTTACATTTTTTTTTAAAAAAAGAAAAGAAAAGTGAACTTTTATTATTAAACGTTTTATTATTAAATTTATTAATAAAACCAACCATTTAAATACTGCAAAAATCACCAGATTAATAGCTTTCTTTTTGACAATAGAACAAATACATTCATTCCCATGTCAATATTTTGAAAGTTTTCTCTCACCTTTTTATCACCTAAGCAATGTTAAACAATTTGGAACAACAACCTTATCTGGTCCCTTTTCAAATCTTGAATCTAGGGCCCATCCATACCTTGGTTTATGTGGGTTGTGAATCCCTTATGCCTCCTTTAGTCTCTGCTTGTCCATTCAGCTTTCTTCACCAGCTACTACTATCCCACACTTTCTCCTCCCTCAATCTAGAGATTGCCTATGCAATCAGTGTAGTTTATGTGTTTGGATTTTCAGAGCATAGGGAATCTTCAGATTTAGGGAGGGAAGAGTAGTTGGAGGAGAACGCAGCATGGAAGAGTGGAAATTACGGTAATTAAAGGAGGCAGAACAGATTCACAATCCACATTAAGTTGAGGGATGGACAGGCCCTTATCCTTAATCAATTTCTCTGCAGATCTTATTAAATGGAACTCTGTATGTGTGTTCAAATCTCTAATCTCTGAAAGCTACACGCGTCTCTGCAGCGACTCAAATCGAGGAACTGATATGCTAGAATAATTTGCATATCATTGGAAGATCACATAGCATTTCATCTTTGCTGACTTAAAGTATGTTATAGCTAGGCAGTTTTTCAACTCAAGATTGTCATATGTCTTCCCCCCCCCCCTTTAAAATACAGCTCCAATGGACACGCTGAAAAATTAGCAGAAAGGTTCAAAGAGGAATCTTCACGACTGGCTTTGTTTCAGTTTTCGAGCGGGATTTGTCAGCTACGCATTTCTTCTTCCAGCAGACTAAATAAGAGACAGAAAGCCAGATAATTTCTAAGGCCAGAGATGTGCCGAGGTCTCAACCGGCCGGGCGCCAGTTCTGTTTTCCTCACCCCCTCAATCAGGTGGCGTTCAACTCTATGCTGACATCCAGACCAGCAGAAATCCAATTTAGAAGTCTTGGCCCTGCTGCTTGTTTTATGAGCAACTTGAACCATCCTGAAAGATTTACTGGTTTAGGGCCTAGGTATTTCTCTGCATAATGTGAGATGCATAATAGTGACAATAGCTCAGCCTTAATTTAGGAAATCTAGTCACTGTCAAGTGTGGTAAATCATCTTTAAAACAAACACTCTTAACATTTTCAAGATAAAGTTCATTCCCTTGTGATGATGTGGTAGTATGGAATGCCGCGAGGATCTGGGCAGGGATTCAAAGCAGTAAAATCACATTAGGTAAGATATAGCTGCCTCTTGTTGCTGGGATTTCAGAGAATGTTGGCACCAGAGTGACAGGCCGGATAATCCTTAATGGGGCAAGTGTGTCTGATACGTGTTCTTTGTTCCAGCAGTTTCACCTTTGTATTTTAAAAATCTTTTAATAGTACACTCTTGGTTTTCCATGCAATAAATGCAAATAATTGCTATGTTATTTGTTGGGGAGTAGGGGAAAGGTTCTGGGGCCAGCCCTACCATTAAGCAGAAGGAGGTGGCAGCCTCAGGCTGCGGATGCTGAGGGGCAGGTAGTTGCAGTGACGTGTTGGAGCAGAGCTGTCTCTGTCCCACAGCTGGCTGTGCATTACCGTGGGCAGCCGAGAACAGTGTCTTGTTGCCAGTGTTGAAATAAGATTCAACTACTAGTCCAGCTAGCTTCTGTACAGAGAATAGCTTGGGCTCTGCTTCATCTCAGGCAGCAAAATGTCTTGGTCTGGTCCTAAGAGGATTCAAACCGCTTTCCTCAAGGAAGTAATTGTGTGGCTTTATTTTCCTAGGCAGATTTTAATAATAATAATAATAATAATAATAATAATAATAATAATAATAATTTATTTATACCCTGCCCATTTAGCTGGATTTCCATTTTGTTACTGAGAAAATTAATAATTATTTTTGTTGGTCATAAAATATTTCCCTGCCCCATAGCTCTGGAGTAGAAGCTATTGCTAAGCAGTTCATGCTTATATGAGTATCAAAGGCAGCTATTGCATTGACAGCACCAGTGCCATAGTCGTCTGTTTTCAAATGCTTCTCATTATTTCATACTGTCCAACTTTTCCCAATGCAAATCTGGGATGCACATCCTCCGGGACAGGCTCCCAGGTGAGCCACATGACTCATTGCTCTCACCCCCCCCAAAAAAGTGATTTTTCAGAGCAAGAGCGCAGTGCAAAAGTGCTCAAGATCGCAGCACCCAAATGGCCACTGGGATCTTGCAGGAAAAAAATTGGATGTGCCATTTTTTTCCAGTGCACCTGGAAGGTATGCTATTTATTAATATGAGGTGTATTTCATGGTTACCGTCTCAATGCAGCTCCCAGAGTGCTGAAACACACTGTTTAGAGCATCAAATTATAAAACCAGAGCTGTATGCATATTCTAAGGCACACTAGCGCACTGAGGTGGGGAATGGTCACAGCAAGAGATTTAAAAAAAATAGCAAAACAAAGCAGTACAAATATTTAAACGCACAGCAAAAATAACAGATTCAAAAACCACCAGCAGCTGAAAAATTCTAAACGTAAATATATATTCAGAGTAGTTTGGAATAAAAAGGTATTCAAGTCTTATTTAAAAATCATCAATGTAGGTCCCCCACATACCTGTATAGGGAGGGAGGGAGGGAATTTCATAGGCCATAGGCTTATACTGGTGCAGGTGGTCATTCCAACAACCTGGCCCCAACTGGTATGGGCTCAAAAATGGGCCCAAAAATGCTTGTATCACTTTGTGACCATTTATAATGACATTATTGCTACTGTACTAGATAAGCACCAGTGTGAATACATTGTTAAGGCAAAAATAGCCTTTGCTTTACAATTTGGAAAGGCCCGCTATATACAACAGAGCTTTCGGCTGCAACCATCCAATACAGTGGTACCTCGGGTTAAGAACTTAATTCGTTCCAGAGGTCTGTTTTTAACCTGAAACTGTTCTTAACCTGAGGTACCACTTTAGCTAATGGGGCCTCCTGCTACTGCCGTGCCGCCGGAGCACGATTTCTGTTCTCATCCTGAAGCAAAGTTCTTAACCCCAGGTACTATTTCTGGGTTAGTGGAGTCTGTAATCTGAAGCGTCTGTAACCTGAAGCATCTCTAACCCAAGGTACCACTGTACTCCTTTACTTGGGAGTCAGCCCCTCTCAGAAATAGGACTTACTTTGAGGGATATGGGATCATGTCAACCTGTTTTGTGACTCTAATGAGAATACTTGGCTAATGCTGAAGTAAGGCAAACATGTCGATGCTCTCTAAGTTATCTCATTTTGCTCAGATTCCCTTTATTAATATATGACTGGTTCTGGATGTAATCCCAGGCAAGCTAACTTCCAAGTAAACACACGGGTGATTTTGAATGAGTTCTTTATCTCTATTTTTCTTAATGAAAAGCGTAAAGGAAAGCACCATAGGTGCTTCCAACATAGTGATGGTTAGAACTGGCTCTGCAGGTTTATCTGTCTGCCTTTGCACAATGTTGCTCTTGTAAAACTTTGTACTCTAACATGTGAACTCCCAGTGCCCTCACAACATTCGGTTCATTTCCTCGATACCACAGCGAAACAGTTTCTCAGAGACTGTAAAACTGAAGGTGTAGGAAGACGTGACTCGAAAATTGTTCTCATCAAGGTGGAGAACATAATCATAAAAGTGCTTGAACGCAAATACTGTACATCAGAGGAAGTTTCTGAAAACTTGTTTCACACCTAAGCGTATACCATAAGGTGACTATGGAGCATAAAAGGCTACTTGCAATAAAACAAACTGGTTTATAACAGGGGAGTTATGCATGGATGACAATCATTGCCATCAAGTATAGCCCACAGGAACCTTGGTTGTATAGTTCTGTATTTGCCAAGATTCCTATTTTACCAGCGGTGGTGGTGGACACCCTGTAACATGAAAAATCGAAGAGGGTGTAAAATCCAATACATGCTGGAATAGCCATTCTGTAAATAAAATTGCTGTAAGAAGAAGGGGGATATGCTGGAAACACTTGAGATCAATTGTTTAGAAATTAAGTCCTTGGAATATTAACGTGTGATTAACCTCATGAAGACTGAAACCATCTGGAGCAGCATAAAATGAGCCAGAATCATCAGTTTACAAATATATAAAATTGCTGAAACATTTTTCTCTGATAACAATCAGTGCTATTTTTCTAGAACTCACCACAAATGCCTCCCTCGTTCTCTTAGAATAGCACGGTGCCTACCTGAGAGGTGCCAGAACTGAGTTCCAACGTGTTCTGGCTGAAAAAAAGCCCTGATAACAATATTTTGGAAATATTAGAAGTCTGAACTGTATAGAATTCAGGTCCTGTGATCAGCAGTGGAGGAAGCCGCTCAGACACCTGGGGCAGCGCGCCCAGGGGCGGTTCAAGCCACCCATAGGGGCAGGGCGAGGGCGGGGTGAATCGTTCATATGGGCAGGGCACACTGCGAGGCCTCTAGAGTCTGCCTGCCTCCTCCCACTCAACTGCCCTACAGCTGGGGGGGAGGCAGCAGGCGGACTGTTTGGGCAGCGCGGAGTCTGCATGTGCCCAAGCCACTGCGTCTCTCCCAGAAGAGATGTGTGGCTCGGGCACGCTGCAGGCCCTGCAGTGAGTGCCACCTGGCATTTTGTCACCACCCTCACTGGTGACACCCGGGGTGGCCTGCACCCACTGCACCGTCCTTCCTCCGCCCCTGCCTGTGATAGAGCCCACTGTGGACCAGCAGCTCCATGATGCAGATGCAAGGTCCTGTAGAGAGGAAGAACATAAGTGTTTGGTGAAACATAATCTTGCCCTTGCTCTTTCCTGAGCTACAGGTCTCTTAGCACAGCCTAGATGAGTTTTAAGGCACCTACCCAAAAGAAGGTCTGAAGACCTGAATTCCATCACAGGGCAACGACTAACATATTGAGCAAACAGGAATACTTTCAGTAATAGGAAGCTGCTGGGGCTGAGGGGAGCTGGAGTCTGTCATCTTGTTGGCAGCAGGCTCGCTACCCCTACTCAAGGGGAAATTTACCTCAGTGACAGGGATGCTGTTAGAGAATGGCCCAAGACCCAGATTGCTGGTGCTGGGCCTCAGGTCACCTACCCCTTGGATTCCTAGAACTAGTTTTACATAGCTACTACTTTGTGGTTCTCCTGTTGTTTGAAAACCGTACTATTGATTGGTCCTTCCTGAAATCAGGCTTCTCCCTCAGAATGCTAAGTTCCAGCAGGGTCTCCTGAAATCAGCTCGAAGGCTGAAAACCAAATAATGAAAGAGTGCAGAAAATTAACCTGGTGAGGCTCCACTGATATAATTTGTTAAAGAAATTGCAGTTGATTTACAGGTCAGGGGCCTTCATCAGTACTCTGCAGCTTTAAGACAAAATATTTCAAAAGTTACCTATCGGGGGTGGGGGGTGTTTCTGCTGATCCAGTAAATGTTCTGAGGGTAATGATACATAACTGCAGCAAGTAAAGCAATGTTCTCTTCTAACAAAAGGCTAACAAAAGTTTACTAGGATTCATTCTTCAATTTCAAAAGTTGGGTTTCCTGAGATATTTGAGGGTGGGAGTATAGAGTTCCAGCAAGAATGAGGAAACTGTGGTCCTGCAGGTGTATAAGCCCAACTCCCATCAGACCCAGCCAGCATGGCCAATGCTAGGATGATGGGAGTTGTGGTCTATCAAAATCTGTAGGCTCACACATTCCTCCTTCATCCTTGTAAATTCTACAATACAGGGACCCTCCACTTTCATCATCCCTCCACCAACTGGATAAGTATCCCTGGCACAAGAGGATAGATATTTGTCCACCAAGGAATGGGTCCCTTCTAAGGGAATGTTTCTCTCTTCCTCAAGGTGACACTCACCTTCCCCAAGACCCTCATTCTTCCCAACAGCAGGGGAGCTGTCAGTGTGGGAATGGGACACAGCAACAACGTTCCTCAAGGTTTCATCTACCTCTCTCTCTCTCTCTCTTACCTTTTCTAGCACTGCCACCTTGGCCTCAAGGGAACGAACTTGGTACCCTGCTCCCGAAACCTCTAATGACAGCTTCTGATAGATGTTAAACAGCCTGGGTGACAAAACTGATCCTGTAGGTTAATTCCCACAGGACTGAGCAAAGTCACTCAGTGCTATTCTCTGCAACTGCCCCAGGAGATAGGAGCAGGATCAAATCAATATGGTGTTCCCATTGTCCATCTCTTTTTAGCGGTCTAGAAGGTTACCATGGCCAATGGTCTCAAAAGCTGATGAGAGGTCAAGGAGAATCCAAACAGGGTCATGTTCCCCCATCCCCAATACAGAACATCCAGGTAATAAATTCAAAGCATTCAGGAATGTCCACAATATTGCAGTATTTGGGTGTGGGAATCATCTGTAAAACTCACACATCCCCTATATTCAAGGCAGCACCTCAAGTAACTTTAGCTCTGCGAGCTAGGAGAAGACTCACCACTTCCTAGCACCAATCTATGGCAATCTGAGTGCTGCAAAAATATGTCCTAATAGTGTTTCTGTTAAAAAGATATGTGGCTCCTGTGGAATAAATGAGCCAAAATTCACGGTTGTGTTAACTGTTCAGAAAGGAACTCAGCAAATACCGTCTAACTGTGTAAAAGCAAATCACAAGTAACAGATATTTTATCTTGTTCAAATCTATCTAGCTCCCTTAGGCATGTAATCCAGCCTGAAAGCATTGAAACACCTTCTTATCTTTAATATATTTACACTCCCATTTGCAGATAGGGAACTCCTGGACATCATGCCCAAGGGAACACAAGTTGTATTCGGTGGAAACAATCACTGTGTGCAAGGGATGTTCAGCGAAGCTAGTGCATATTATACATGCCATAGAAAAAACTTAAGAGGTCCTGGTGGGATTTTGAAAAAATATAATCTACAGGAAACCAGAACTAGGTTATCTTCTCATTTTATATATATTGAGAAAAACAAATTTGATCCCTTGTGTACACATCCTAAAAGAGGCTCCCATTTGGGGAATAACCAGCTAACCGTGCAATCCTATACACACCATTACTTAGGGGTGTGCATCACTGAAAACAATAAGAATTACTTTGGAGGAGAGTGGGTAGGATTGTAGCCTAAAGTGTTTTTATTCACATTCTGTTCATGCAGATGTATTTTTCTCTTTCTCCACTTTCTAAAAATGTATATTGGTATCTTTCTTTATCCTGTAGGTAACATAACCAACCACAATCCCTGAAGCTCCAAGCATCTCTTTGACATGATGAAGCAAGGTCTTCTACAGGTTTTTGTTTCCCCCCCTAAATAAGGTGGTCAAGAATTTCCCAACTGGCTCACATCTCTGAAAAGATAACCTCTGGTCAACTGAGTCCCAATTCTTCTGTCTCCACTTTGTGATATATTTTATGATCTCAGACACAGCAGATTGTTAGCCTACAATGTTTGGAAATAGTAGATGATTAAACCTTCTGGCCAGGTGTAAATGCAACCTTTGTCTTCCTCAAGCTGTGCGAGAATTGCCTTCCTTCTCAAAATTCCCACCTGGCACTGAGCCTCACAAACAGCCTCATCATACAACCCAAACTCAACCTTCCACAATTTCTGATTTATGAACATATTAACGGAACATGTTCACTGGGTAACCCTAAGTTTTAGGGAAAATGCTGAGCAAGCCACTAAAAAAATAGAAAGAATGTGCCCTTGGAGGATTGTGTGCCCCCCTCTTCCTCCACTAGAGAATTTTGTACCAGGTAAATAATAAAAAAGTGTAATGATTTACTAGGCTTTTAAAGTGAACTGAAGGTAAGTTTGCACTGCTGCTCCATCTAAATATTCGCTCTGCGTCTATTTCCCCCACCTCCATCAGTGTCACATGACAGACTATTCCTAAATCCTAATGCACCCATAGTTCTTTAATAATATGACAATATTTTAAATCTTACCTTGAAGTCCCAAAAATAAAACATTGTTTCACACACAGAAAACCCAAAGACACAGTACAGAATTGTTTCATTTCTTTGGATATGATGGTTTCATATTTTTCCCTTCTTCTGGGTAGGGTTTCTGTATCATATGTCTATTGAATTATATTCATTGTAAATTGCTTTTGAGACTTCTTTATTGCAAAGCAATATCCAAGTCTAATAAATCAAATAAGTCATCAATAGTTGCACAACAGGCAGAAATTCAACAGGTGAAGTTTTCCCCAGGTCTGGAATTATAGTGATGGTAAAGTTGCACCTGCAAAAATGGCAATTGTCACAGAATCATAGAATTGTAGAGCTGGAAGGGACCCCAAGGGTCATCTAGTCCAGGGCGATTCAGCACACAGCCCTTGAGGCTTCGTTTGGCGGCCCTCAGCAACATCTGACGGCCCCCATGCAACCCTCGCGCTGCCTTCCCAAAGCCAGTTAAGTGAGATGCTGGGCTTTGGGAAGGAGGCAGAGTCCTAGAGTGCTCCCACCTTCTTCCGAAAGCTGAGAGAACACTAACTGCACTTTGAGAAGGAGGTGGAAGGCTATAGGACCCTATCAGACCCCTCATACCTCCTTCCCAAAGCCCAGTGCCTTGCTTACTTGGTTTTGGGAGGGCAGCGTGAGGGCTGGGGGGGGGGCATCAAATTTTGGATTCACTCTCCCCCCATGTGACAAGGCAGTGTGTGGCCTGTGGGTTCCATGTCAAAGTACTCTTGCAGCCCACTAAGCAATATCCCCATACGCTGTATTTGACTTTCTCCCATCAGAGCGAAGGTCTCCCATTCACTCATATAGGAAAATAATAAAGTACTATACTTATAAAGGGACGCGGGTGGTGCTGTGGGTTAAATCACAGAGCCTAGGACTTGCTGATCAGAAGGACAGCGGTTCAAATCCCCGCGACAGGGTGAGCTCCCATTGCTTGGTCCCTGCTCCTGCCAACCTAGCAGTTCGAAAGCATGTCAAAGTGCAAGTAGATAAATAGGTACCGCTCCGGCGGGAAGGTAAACAGCGTTTCCATGCACTGCTCTGGTTCGCCAGAAGCGGTTTAGTCATGCTGGCCACATGACCCGGAAGCTGTACGCCGGCTCCCTCAGCCAATAAAGTGCTGGTTTCCTCACACCCTTGTTCCTGATGTAAATCTTTATCCCCCCCCCTTGTTCCTGATGTAGATCTTCACTCATCCCTTCTTCCCTGGCAGTGGCAGGGAGATGCCATTTTGGCACAGGTGCCACAATGTCTTGGGCCACCCCTGTACCACCCTGTAATGTTCAGATTCTTCTGCTGCCACTGTCCAATGTATCATCACAATAATCATTTTTCTAGTGTTAAAGAAATACTGGACAGAAGAAGCAAACATGCAAGATGGTTTTTGTCCACTCTCCCATCAAATTGTTCAGCCTGCTCTATATCTATCTTTAATGTCATTAGCAAACTCAGCCCTTTGAGGGTCACTGTCCAGAGGCCTTTTATTTGCTTTTTAAGGTAGAGTTCTCACCCACAGGCATATGATGCAGAGAGATTATTGCTGAGCAAATAATGGGCAGTAAAGGCCCTTGTCCGAGTATTTTCTCAGCACATTGGGGCTGACTACTATTCAAGGTAAAACGCAAAGGCAACAAAATTGATCTCCAAATACCTTTACTTCATTCTGGTCTCCTCCCACCCTTGAACCTCTGTTTGCTCAAACACTGTCTTCCTCAGGGTCATAACTTTTCTGATAGAAATTCTGGAGAATAGAGAGCAGGTGAAACTACTGAAAACAAGAGATTCTATTTGTTTAATTTCTGAGCCAAGAGGAGGCAATGCTCAAGTGACCAAAATGTATGATGGTGATGATGATGATGATGATAAACAGTACAAGTGGTTTTGCCACCTCTTGTTCCAGAAGGCCTTCTCTGCCTTTGAAAGTTGTATGGCAAGGAAAAAATGTCAATAGATAAGATTTCCCTTGGTATTAAGATAAAGTGATGAGGATGGCTTGTTAAATTTATGCATATCAAGAAGCTGCTAAAAGGTGTCTTGGCTGTTTCTCTACCTCCCAAAATCTCTTTCTAATCCCTAGTCATCTTCTGTGCAAGGTTTTTAATCCCGGAAAAATGGACAATGTTCCTTTGCCTCACAGAAGCTAGTTTACTCCATAAGCAACATTGTCCCATTAGTAGGGTTGCCATATTTGAAAAAGTGAAAATCCGGACACAAATGTTCTTGAGGAAATTCGCCCAAATCTAGACTGCTGACAGTGGTTGACATTCATCAGGATTTTCTCAGACATTTAAGAGATTTCCACCCAGACACTGCTTCGACTGCCCTAATAATAATAATAATAATAATAATAATAATAATAATAATTGTAATTTATACCCCGCCCTCCCCGGCCAAAACTGGGCTCAGAGCGGCTAACATCAGATGTCTACCACGTTAACATAAAATCAGGCAATCAGTTAAAATACATCCTAAAATCAGATCAGGATCCGAATAAAATCCAATCAGATGGCAACCCACAGATGTTCTGCCTACACCCATGAAATTCTGGATATATGGCAGCCCTACCCATTAACAACCAAACATTCCAAGCCACCACACCAGCCAGTTTTACACATCCGTTGCACAAGCTTCACAGCCACACAGGAAATACTAAATAAACAAGAATTGCATTGTAAAACAAATTCTGTACATATACGGAGGTTGCTCTGATAGATGTACCTATGAGTTTGTACCCACAAGTCAAGTCTCAGAGCGGCTAATTGGAATCAGTAACAAAGGCATCAAACAGTGTCATTCACTGTTCGTTCCATAATATATTTTGCGGTTCTGATTACTGTCATTTTAGCCCAATATTTTTACTCATCATTGCATGGACTTTGTGGCTGCTCTTTGTAGCAGAGTGGCCAGCACACAAAACCAAACCATTAGGCATGAGGAGCGACGGCGACCAAGAAGTAGATCGAGCTCCACATCTTTTCCATCCTCCCAATTTACCTCCAAGATTCCATCTATTCTTTGCAAAGCAAACTTAACAGGAGAAATATGAATGCAGAACTGAGCAAAGCAGCTGCATGAACAGTGTCAGCCAGAGGGTCAAGTGTTATGCGACTGACTGCTTGACAAAGACGGAGGATATACTCTGACCCAAAAGTGAGGAACATGAACATCCCCTACAGTTCATTTTGTCCTTGGCTCTTGTAACAGGAGTGAGGAAACTCAAGCTGAGCCAGGCAAAGCATCTGTATAGTTCTATGTTAGCCTTTCCCCTCCATCTAGTTTTCTGGCTGTTTAACTGGGCTTAAAGCTATTTCCATTTTTCTATTTTTCTTCTTCTACCCACTTTTCTTCTCAGTACATTTCCCTCCTTATCCTTAATGCTGGGCTGGAGGCGGGGTGTGTGTATGTGTTAAAATCTTTGTTTCTTAACTTCAGCCTTGGCAGCAGGCAGAGATGCTGGGAGCTGTGCCATAGTTTCATTCACAGTGAATGAAATATGCACCATCCTGATAAGAATGAAACTATGGAAGGGAAACTGGGCTGCGCTATATACCTGTTGGTGAATAAAGGCAGGGTTTGTGACAAGGTATTCCCTGCAGTGTCTCATGGTAGTTTTCTTCCCAGCACAAACAGCAGCCACTGGGGAAGCGATGGAAAGTTGTTGTTGGCATCTGTCTGTCTCAAGAGACCATGGAGCGCATCTCTGGGGGAGAAGTCAAACTGCTGTGTCAGCAGGACCAACGTGACCTCCACAGGGCACAAGCCTGGGAAGTGTGTATGGGGCCCCTGCACTGCCCAGACATGAGACCCCCTCTTGGTCTCACTAATGTGGTTCAAAGGAAAGCAGTGCAATACATTTGGCACCAGCTTGGCTGCAGGAACCGCCAGAAGGAGGCTAACAAGCCACCATCCAGCCACTCCAGATTTGTGTAGGGTTTACTCCTTAGCCTTCTCTTCTCCAAAAGATGTCCCGCAAGGCAGCAAAGGTTTAAGATCAGTTTTTTCCTTCTTCTAGAAGGGCTGCTTTCCCAGGTTGATGAGACCCATCCACCTCTCACTTTCCTCTACAGCGCATGCAGAAACTGCCTTCTTGACTGTTGGACCCACTATTTATCTTGTCCATTCAATCAGCCGAAGCCTGTCTTTGCATGCAGGGGAAGTCTCTAAATCACCAAGGGTTTGAGACCCATCAGCTAACCTCACCTGGATTAGCCAGCCAGTAGCAGTCATTCCAGGAGCCACAGGTGAGAGCTGAGGTGGACAAAGTACCCCAGAAGGCGCATGGCATGCCCCCCACTAGAGCAACTATCCATCTCCTAAAGGTAAAGGGACCCCTAACCATTAGGTCCAGTCGTGGCCGACTCTGGGGTTGCGGTGCTCACTCCATCGCGGGGATTCGAACCGCCGACCTTCTGATCGACAAGTCCTAGGCTCTGTGGTTTAACGGGTGAGCTCCCGTTGCTCAGTCCCTGCTCCTGCCAACCTAGCAGTTCGAAAGCACCTCAAAGTGCAAGTAGATAAATAGGTACCACTCTGGCAGGAAGGTAAACGGTGTTTCCGTGCGCTGCTCTGGTTCGCCAGAAGCGGCTTAGTCATGCTGGCCACATGACCTGGAAGCTGTATGCCGGCTCTCTCGGCCAATAAAGCGAGATGAGTGCCGCAACCGCAGAGTCAGCCACGACTGGACATAATGGTCAGGGGTCCCTTTACCTTTAAGCCTCCCAGAGCGGCTAGGGAAACCCAGGCAGATGGACGGGGAATAATAATAATAATAATATTCTGCCTTAAACAAATTTGTGGGAAAAGTGAGCTTGAAAAAAGATCTGAAGGGAGATATAGAGATGGATGTCTCCGGGGTGGGGGGTGCAGCAAAGGGGAATGCGGCAGAGGTATCTTTTATAGCAGGTATCTTTTATAGGAGAGTGGAACATAATAAAATCCTGGTTGGATCAGGCCAAAGGTCCATCTGCTTCAGCATCTTGTTCTTACAATGGCCAGCCAGATGGCTATGAGAAGTGCGCAAGCAAAACCTGGGCAAAACAGCGCAACTGAGAGAAAGTCAAGGTGGGGCACAGACACCCGGAAGACAGAAGAGAATTTTAGCTAAGGAGACATGCAGAGGAAGCGTCAGAAGTTTAGAACATTGCATAGGGAGAAGCAAAACGATTTGGCAATGGACTAAATATTAATTTAGTCAAATGTTTCTGTTCCTCCTTTCCTGTCCCAATAACAGGACTTGCAAGACAGCTCAAATAATATTTGGATCAAGGATGGTGGGGGTTTAAACATAAATATTAAGGCCATGTACCTGGTCAACAAGGTGGGTGGTGGCATTGCCTATGGAGATGAGGCAAAATCATTCATCGTAATCTGCTGTTTGTTCTGTTAGGAAATTATGCAGTGCCAGCTGATCATGAAAAAACTTACTACCTAGATGGGGGGGCGGGTATCCTTTCAGTAGCACATTAGAGACCAATGAAGTTAGTTATTGGTATGAGCTTTCATGTGCATGCACACTTCTTCAGATACACTGAAACAGAACTCACCAGACCCTTGTATATAATGAGAGGGTGAGGAGGGGTATTACTCAGAAGGGTGGTGGGAATGGGTGATTGCCTGATAGGTGTGGTAAACCTGTTGACGACTGTTAACGACTGCAATTGGTCTTACAGGAAAAAGCAAGGGGTGAAGTGGCTAAAAATAGCTTTATCGTGTAGATAAGAATCCAATGTCTCTATTCAGACCAGGGGTCTCCATGGTTTTAAGTTTGGTAATAAGTTGCAATTCAGCAACTTCTCTTTCCTGTCTATTACTGAAATTCTTTTGTAATAAGACAGCTACTTTGAGATCTTGTATAGACTGCCCTGGGAGACTGAATTGTTCTCCTACTGGATTCTCTGTCTTGTGATTCCTGATGTCAGATATATGTCCAGCTAGAAGGAGAATGAGTTTGACCAAACTGTGGGAGGCAGTGGAAGACAGAAGTGCCTGGCGTGCTCTGGTCCATGGGGTCACGAAGAGTCAGACACGACTAAACGACTAAACAACAACAGAAGGAGAATAGTCTATCCATGCAGTAAGATTTAAAATGATTCTCTGTATGTAATGGTTGACCAATTGAATCCAAAGTAACTGTTGAACTAAGTATTACCTATAATTTCATAGCTGTTGTTCTTTCTCTACATTTCACCTCCAGCTATTTTTAAACTTCCCTGCTGTAAACTCACTTGGGTGCTTTCTAACCATTGCTGGTATTACATGTTGTTTTATGACATGTTCCGCCTGAGGCTTTTTACAGATGGCATAGTTTGTTTTTACAGTAGTTTTTTGTATCAACCAGGGTGTGTATTGGCTGGTGTTGATGTGTATATAATATGTATCAATACTGATGTATATTTAGCAAAAACAGTATATATAAAATATGAATTATGTACACATTAATGAGTTGATTACACATTATTAAGCTATCAGTGGAATTTTGCAATATAATTTAAATAAGAAGGTGGGTGAGAAATTCTGCTACTGTAACTGCCTCAATGATTTTTTTACTTCTAAGTGCATTAGTGGTTCTTGCCATTTCCTTGTTTTTAGTGTTGAAACCTTGGGAAGATGTTATTCGCTGCAGCAGCAGCAAAAAAGTAGAAACAAGATAGGCAAGGTCAGACATCTGCTGCTTTCCCCACTTTCTTATCCATGATGTCACAAGCATCAAGGTCTTCTGGCTCATTTTGGCTCACATCCTTGCAGAAGACACAAAGTGACTCAATTTGCAGCCTTCTGTTTTAGTCATAATAGATGCCTACTTGTTAGAATATGAGGAATGCAATCCCGTCCCATTAGAACCAGTGGGAAACTTGCCATTTACCTCAAAGTTATATGAACTGCTTGCACCTTTGTTCTGCAGCTGAATCAAGGACACAGAGACTGAAATTAAGAGCTATGTGCAAACACATGAAGCAGCCTGGGGCTCTTATTTATTCATTTTAGATTTATGACCCCAACCGCCTATCAGCAGATGCTGAAGACTTGACTTGTCCTAGCCTTATAAAAGCAATGTACCAGTTTTTATATAAGTGTGTGTGTGTATACACATACACACAAATGACCCACATGTTTTAAGATCTATTTCTAAGCTATCCCTTACCATGACCCAAAAGCACTACTGTCTGCCTGGCTGATACCATAATGAAGAAGAGAGTTTGTGACCTGGGAGCAACCACCAAGACGGTTTCTTTGCTTGCTCTTGCTACTGTAACACAGTTGTGGTGAACCTTTGACCTTCCAGGTGTTGCTGAACTTCAGGTCCCATCATGCCTTGTCATTGGTCATGATTGCTAGGGCTGATGGGAACTGTAATTCAGTAACATCTGAAGGTCAAAGATTCCCCACTCCCACACTAACATGTCACAAAAATTGGCTACTCAAGGTGATCCTATCAGGTGATATAATGGAGACTGCAGACAAACACAATGTAAGCAGGTATGAGGGTCAATGGATTCAAACCATTTAAGACTTTGCAGGTAAAAAATAGTGCATTGAATGCCCACCAGAAGTCAGGGCAGACACTGACCAACTATGCTTCCAGTGACCAATCCACCTGTCAGGATAGTAGGCACTGTGTTTTCTACCTTCTGCTCACCATAGGATACATTAAAACAGCCCCATGTATAGTAGCTCTAGCACCTTGTACAGTAGTGTGATATATCAAAATGCTACAGCTGGAGATATGGAGTAAGCATTGAGCTCTTAGACCTGGGCCAGGTGAAAAGATACAGAGTAAATGGCATCAGATTCCATGTCTCTGTGGTTTCAGCCAGTGAACCCATATTCAATTGAAACAGTGGGAGAGACAGAATAGATACACAGGACGAACTGGTGAGTGGGAGGCAATATTGGCATTTCTCCATCATTTCCCCTGTCAATATTTTACTCATGCTGAAGAGATATTGGGAATGCCGGCAGCCATGTGGCCAATATCTGCTGGTCAAGAGTATTAAAGTTTACAGAATTAACATGATCAGAAGGATCTAATTCATCCTACTTCTATTTTGATAGAAAGATATTCTGATTTTTATTTTTATTTTTACATTTGGGTCTTATCTTTCCTCCAAGAAGTCTAGACAGAGTTCTGCCTCCATTTTGCTCTCACAACAATTCTGTAATGAAGGTTAGGTTGAGAAAGAATGAACTTCATGGCCAAATGGGGGTTCAAACCTGTCTTACTTTGACATCCTAACTGCTACACCATCTTGGCTTATGCAAGCCACAAGCTCTGTCCCAGTATGATAAAAGCCAGGCTGGCAGAGATCTAGAGAAGTAGTGATATTCAAGTAGCCTTGAAGCTGCTTTGCTTAGCTGATTCAGCAGTTTCCCTCCCAAAAGAAATCAACAGTCCACATCAAAGTTTGATTTTTTAAAAACATCAAGAACAACAATAAAGTAGGGAGCCGGTACTCACCACCCTGAAGCCAAGTGATACCTGTATTGACCATTTGGTCTGTCATTTGGCCTTGTAGACACACTTCACATGCATGACACACTTCACACGCACGAAATTACGGCACTTGATACTCAAAGCGTTTTCCTGCTAGAATGACCTTCTCCACAATCCAACACATAATTAAGCACACATAACATACAGTCATAAACACACGGATATCAGTCAGCAGTGTTCATCTTGGCCCCTGTTTTTCCTTTTGAGAGATCAACACAACTTCTAGCACTCTTGTAATTAAAATGGAGATAAATTTTAGTTAATGTATACAAACATATTTCTTAAAAAGGTAAAGGACCCCTGACAGTTAAGTCCAGTTGCAGACGTCTCTGGGGTTGCGGCGCTCATCTCTCTTTACAGGCCAAGGGAGCCGGCGTTTGTCTGCAGACAGTTTTTCCGGGTCATGTGGCCAGCATGACTAAGCCGCTTCTGGCGCAAATGGAACACCAAAACCAGAGCAGTGCATGGAAACCCCATTTACCTTCCCACCAGAGCGGTACCTATTTATCTACTTTTACTTTTTTTTTTGGCGTGCTTTTGAACTGCTAGGTTGGCAGGAGCTGGGACCGAGCAACAGGAGCTCACCCCGTTGCAGGGATTTGGGGATTTCTTGCTTTGTATTGAAACCTAAAACTGTGCTTGGTTTTTGACCTTACAGTTACCAAGCATCCAACTGACGCAGCATTTTTTTTATAAATATAGGACGTTCTGCTCTATTCAGTGTAAGACAGGAAGCGTGTTAAAAGTGTTTCCAAAACATTATTTAGGGGGGGAAATCATGTCTTCGCTTCATTTTAAATTAAAACCTTGTTCTGCAACTGATAGGGTGTTTTATGACATTTCTCATGTGACAATAGCAAAGAGTCTGTTCCACTTCAGTTTTGTAATATTGCCTACTGATTGAATCAGAAGCACATGATTAAGAGCTGGCCAAAGACATTTTGGCACCAGAGGCAAATGACAAAATGGCATCTCCTCCCTGCCAGCGAAGAAGGGATGAGTGAAAATCTACATTAGGAACAAGGGAGGAATAAATATATACATTGGGAACGAGGGTGGGAGGAGACGGGCAGTGCCTCCTATTCACCAAGAGGCCACTGTAGAGGTGGCATTGGGGCGTGCTGCTGAGGAGAAGGCAGATCCAGCCTCCAAAGAGTTGCAGCAAGATGGGGAAAGACTACTTGTTTTCTCTAACCAAAGTTTCAGAGTAATAATACTGGCCCAAACAAGGCCCATATCAGCATGTTACTGAAATTCAGTACAGTGGTACCCCGGGTTACATACGCTTCAGGTTACATACACTTCAGGCTACAGACTCCACCAACCCAGAAATAGTACCTCGGGTTAAGAACTTTGCTTCAGGATGAGAACAGAAATCGTACTCCGGTGGACTGGTGGCAGCAGGAGGCCCCATTAGCTAAAGTGGTGCTTCAGGTTAAGAACAGTTTCAGGTTAAGAACAGACCTACAGAACAAATTAAGTTCTTAACCCGAGGTACCAATGTACTTTGATTCCCTACTTAATTTTTAGTGCCAGTTCCTTCCATTGTATTTCCCAGTGCTGAAATTACAAAGGAAGACAGAAACTATGTTTAAATAATAAAACCATCCATCAACTCCAAAAGGGTCAACATTTTCTTAACCACACTATTAAAAATTCAGCAAGTCTGCCCACATCTCAGCTCAGAAAGGCGGCAGTGAAGCAAAAAAGAAAGGAAGAAAAAGAAGGTAAACTCGAACAGAAGGCTATAACAAAACCTTTTTGTGTTATTGGTGGAAATGAAAGAGAAGTGAAGGGGGAAAACAGCGGAGGGGTGGCTAATCTGCTTGCCATCGGAAAAGAGCCGTCACAGTGTTTTCCTTTCTACGTAAAACGTGGGCTGCTTAGGGTGTACAATACCAGGCCGTGCAAAGGCCTTGTAGCCTTCTGTTTCAATGGCTTGTTGACATAAGGTGGAGTTTTGGGTTACTGTGGTGGAGGCAGCTTCCTGCCACAGTTTCTGATAGCCATAAATCAAAACATTGTTACTGGCCTTTTTGTTCGCAATCATGCTAGGCAGAAGTATAAGCTTTTTATGGACCCCCCCCCCTTTATGTTAGCCATAAATATCAGAACGCTTCTCCAGAGATTAAGTCCTCCAACTATCTCCTTTTTAAAAAGTATTAGAAAACTCATTTGGACCTCTTTCAATCTCTTCTCTCTTGCTTTCAAAGGAACATAGGAAACTGCCTCATTCCACTTTCATGGGACACTCTTCAGCCTAGCTGGTGTGTGAATGCCTCAATACAGTGATAACTCGGGTTAAGAACTTAATTCGTTCTGGAGGTCCATTCTGTTCTCATCCTGAAGCAAAGTTATTAACCCGAGGTACTATTTCTGGGTTAGGTCTGTAACCTGAAGCGTCTGTAACCCGAGGTACCACTGTAAATGGTTTCTGACCTCTGCATATGCCATAGCAGCTAACCTTTTGGAAACTGAGGTAGAGCTTATTGGAGCACACCATATTCCTTTGTTTTTGTGGGACAAGGTATCATTCTGTGAGAGGAAAAGTGTCTTACAAAAAGGAACTCTCAGTCAACAGTGTCAGGAGAGAGAGATATCACAACCAACAACAACAAAAAGCTAGTTCTCCACAGAACAAGTAAAAAAATCAACTGCTTCTGTTGTGGATGGAACCAGAAGTCAAACTTGCTACTCTTCCAGTCAGGGGACTCAGCTAGGTAAAGGTAACAGTACCCCTGACCGTTAAGTCCAGTCATGGATGACTCTGGGGTTGCGGTGCTCATCTCGCTTTACTGGCCGAGGGATCCGCCGTTTGTCCGCAGACAGCTTCTGGGTCATGTGGCCAGCATGACTAAGCCGCTTCTGGCGAACCAGAGCAGCGCACGGAAACGGCATTTACCTTCCCGCCGGAGCGGTACCTGTTTATCTACTTGCACTTTGATGTGCTTTCGAACTGCTAGGTGGGCAGGAGCAGGGACTGAACAGCGGGAGCTCACCCCATTCCGGGGATTCGAACCGCCGACCTTCTGATCTGAAAGCCCTAGGCTCTGTGGTTTAGACCACAGTGCCACCCGCATTTCAAGTGTGTTGTAAAGTGCATTATACAATTGTGACACTAGATGGTGATGGTGAACTATGGCAAATTTAATATTTTTTCAAAACCTTTTTTTTTAAAAAAAAAAAGCATTTTCACTGTGTTTGTTTCTATGTATCTAGATTCCGCCAGGCTCTCCTAACTCTGCCTTCAAATACAGTAGTACCTCGGGTTAAGTACTTAATTCGTTCCGGAGGTTGGTTCTTAACCTGAAACTGTTCTTAACCTGAAGTACCACTTTAGCTAATGGGGCCTCCTGCTGCCACCGCGCTGCCGGGGCACGATTTCTGTTCTCATCCTGAAGCAAAGTTCTTAACCCAAGGTACTATTTCTGGGTTAGCGGAGTCTGTAACCTGAAGCGTATGTAATCTGAGGTACCACTGTGATGGAAATTATATTCAAGTTGTTCCAAATAAATGGTATCACACCTTTCATGGTGCCAGAAAGAAGTGGGAGGGAGGCTTCAACTTCTGTGAAATTTATTTGTCTGGTCAACATTGTCCTCTGGTAAGTAACTTTCAGAGAAAAGTTTCACTAAGGAGACAAAAAAACTGACAGCTGTAACTTTATATATCTAAATGTTTGCAGATACTTTGTAAACTACTCTAAGGGAAAGACCCCTTATGCTGCCTGCACTGTGACTTGTGTAAAGGAGTTAATCTCTGAGGAACACAGAAGCAAAAACTCTACTGGCTTACTAGAGTCGTCCAGGGAACTTCAGCTAGAAAATTATGGAATGATAGTATACCAATGCTGCATACACACAATACATCGAAAACATATGGCTTACCTCAAAGAATCCTGGACACTGTAGTTCAACCCTCAAAGAGCTACTGTTCTGAGCACCCTTAACAGGACTTTCTCTGACCCAAAAGATTGGACCCCATTTTGCATGTCTGAATTTCTATTTTATTTTCTTTAATTTGTTTGTCTATTGCTGTTCCAACTGGTTTTTGTTTGCATGCTTTGACAGCATATTGTGTGAAATATTAAACTAATATATATATTCTATGCCTGCATATATAACCCAAGGTACCACTGTACAATGACACTTGGATATTATTCCTTTGAAGTGCTTGGTTTATTTCAACCATAATTTTGGGATACTCCAGCAAATGAGTAGATGCTGCTGCTCTGCTCATATTTAGCACTTTTCTTGTCAAAATGTTTGTGTGTGTTTCAAGTCCTGTTATAGTATCTTTCAGCTGTGGGTACCTAAACCTTCTGCTTTCTCACCACGCATGTGATAAAAGAGGCACTTGCCTATCATAGTTCATGCTGTAAGAGTCTCTAATGGACTATGGGCCTTTTTGCGCTTGCTGACAACAAGATCTCTCCAAGATTATTTTATCCCTCCCCCCCACTCACCAGACTGCTTCTACAACCATGAATCTGAGGATCAGAGTTTTTCACAGCATCTCTTGCCTTTGCCCGGTGGGTAAACAGACAACCAAAATATCCAGATCTGAGGCAGCTTGACCTTTTAGTGACCCTTAGGCTGACCTAACACAAGTCACTCTCACCGGCCAATTTGTTTATCTTGGTTCCTTGGTGCTCTGAACCCTAAAACATCAGCATTCCCAGTCTGTAAACTCCCAATTCCCACTGCGACCACTTGCCAGTCACAACTTAAGTGCCTGCCGCCAGCTGAATGACAAAAGCAATTTTTAGTTTCTACTCCCATCCTTGAGATTCAAGCGGACTGGCGGTGACACAAAGTTTCCACAGACGGCGAAAGACCCCAAAGGCCTTCCAGCTTACACCCCCCTCTCACTGCCATACTGTTATCTCTCTGCCTCTGATTAGCAGTCTCTTTCTCTCTCACTCTATAAATTAAACATGCATCCTCTACACAAAACTCGGTGGCAGTGCCTGGCTTCCTGACATGCTAAGTGAATACCGCAGTTGAAGTGATGCTCTTATATCAACAGAAGATGGTCACCCAATAAAGAGGTCATGTGATGTCTCTTTAACTGTTCTAGTTTTTTAACTTAAATAAAAAACAACCCCACCTATTTCTCCAGCATTCCCCTCAAAAAAATTGGACCAAGAATGAACATTCATTTATCTAGCACCCATTCTTTTTGTTTTCATATACAGTGGTACCTGAGTTTTAGAACATCTCCATCGATGAACATTTCAGTTTTTGAACGCCGTAAACCTGGAAGTAAATGCTTTGGTTTTCGAACATGCCTCAGAAGTTGAACATGCCATGCTGCTTCCGCTGAGTGCAAGATCCTGAGGCCTAGCCATCGACTATTGAATTTTTGGTTTTCAAACGTTACAGAACTTGAACGGCCTTCTGGAACGGATTACGTTCGAAAACCGAGGTACCACTGTATATAAAAACAAAATGAATGGGTGCTAGATAAATGATTGTTCATTTGCACATTTTCTTCCTGTGAAGATACATGGGATGAGTCTCATTAAGCAATTTAAACATATAAACCACGGATAGAGAACCTGAGACCAATGGGCCATATGGCTCCGTGACTGTGGGTGCCCAGAGCCATGGGTGCCATGCAGCGTGCATGGCCCTGGCACCAAAATTTGTGAGTGCCTGGCTCCTTCACTGGGAATTTTGTGGGTGCTTGGGCACCCCAGGGCCCCAGGGAGTTATCACCTAAGCCTACACACATCTCTATCAGGCCTTCCGCAGGCCTTTCACTCTGTTCCCCAGTCGTACCTCTCACAAGCCCTACTTCACACCCCGAGAGTTTTTGCCTGGCTGGAATGTGTCCTTGAGCTATGATAATGCTTCTTGGTTGTCTGGCGGGAGGAGGGAGAGGGCTGTGTGAGTGTGCGTTCAAACTAGCCAACTGCACCAAGATAAAAACTGTATTTGCTGCTCCTCCCACTTTTGCTTCTGGCAATGTCCACCTCTGACATGTGTCCCACAGAAGGATCTGTGGCCACTGGGCTGAAAATGGCTCCCCACCCCGATATAAACAGAACTTCCTGTACGAAAATGGCTTTGTGGTAATAGTTAATATTTAAATAAAGAAAAGAAAAACATGTATTATGTTCACAAGGGCATAGCCAGGGTCATAGCCCTGCATAGGCGGGGGGGGGGGAGGAAGCTGCCCCACCCAAATCAAGTAAATGAATAAAAATACTTAAATAAATGTAGAAATTGTAGAAACATTTTGTCAGATTTTTCTGAGCACATGGGGTCAAAAGAAAGTACCGGAAATTTAAAACAACTGCTGTTGAGTCGTTTCATTCCAGATCTGCTAGCCTGAGCCAAACAGAGGATGAAGGCAGGTAGGTCTCCTGCTTCCACCCCAACATAAATCCAGGCTAAGCCCATGTATGTTCATAACATTACATTGGTACTGAGCTGTGCGAGAGAGAAGAAACAAATTGCCTTTCGTCCAAGTGGGTGCATGATCCACCAGAGAACATCTGGAGTGCAAATTTACCTAGGAATGTAGTAAAGCCCATTAGAGGTAACTTTAGATTTGGTCATTGTTCCACATGTAACAATTTCATTGAGGCTAAGTGGTTTGTGAATCCTGTTGATATCAAACAAGATATATGTATAAAGAGTTCTGTGACTGTAGTACCAAGGGAGGGCTACACATTACCTCCAATATGCCTGAAAACACCAGTTGCTGGGGAACAGGAAGAGGAGAGTACAGTGGTACCTTGGGTTAAGAACTTAATTCGTTCTGGAGGTCCGTTCTTAACCTGAAACTGTTCTTAATCTGAAGCACCACTTTAGCTAATGGGGCCTCCTGCTGCTGCCGCGCCGCCGGAGCACGATTTCTGTTCTCATCCTGAAGCAAAGTTCTTAACCCAAGGTACTATTTCTGGGTTAGTGGAGTCTGTAACCTGAAGCGTCTGTAACCTGAAGCGTCTGTAACCCGAGGTACCACTGTACTGTTGCAGTCATAGCCTCAGGATAAGAAGCTGGCTGTGAGAAGAGAAGTGTGAGAAGAGAATGCTGGACTAAGCTGAGCCTTTGGTCTAACCTAGCAGGATTTTTCTGATGTTCTTACCTCCCAAACTGTAAGTCAAAAGCATTGCTGCTTCATACAGCTACCCTTCTCTAAAATGCACAACTGTACTACTCTGGGCCAGCCAATTAGAAGAACAGATTTCAGAATACAGACCAATCTTTTCCATAATGTTTGTGTGAGAGAAAGTGGGCGGTGGGGGCAGTGGCGGTGGGGGATATGTCATGCCAGGGAATGTCTCCTCTTCCAAGAGTGACTAGAAACACCCCATCTCAAATACAGGCCCATTATCAAGCCCAGCTTAAATAAACTTCACTGTGCCTTCAGTGATCAACCTCCCTCAGAGCTGCTGGCTCCATTCATCACTGCCACGTTTTCAAAGTGACTGCGATGACAGCTCATGATCATTAACCTAGTAATGGTGTGCTTTACATTAAAGTGAAGGCACATCAAACAACAGGCCCTTACAATTCAAAAAGGTAACTAAATGATAAAATAGACATTCTCCAGCTAACCACATACAGATGGTGACAGAAACCTGAGGAACGAAAAAGGAGGACTTTGGGAGAGGAAGAAGAGCCAGCTATTTATGCAGTGATCGGTTGTTTACCCCCACTTTTTAGCATTATCATTGATTATTATGATTGATTTGGGAGGATGAAAATGATTAGGATTTTGAGTGATAGGGTTTTGAGTGACTTATGTCATAGGCATGCATGCTATATCGCTGAAACTTTTCGTGTGACAAGATTAGAAACTCCGTTCTGGACCTGAAAACAAATTCCTGAACTGATCATGTGCTCAGATATACCACGTTCTTTAATTCTATGCCTCTCCCCCCCAGACACTATTTTGCACCTGGCTTCAGTTAATGGATCTTGGGGTAAAACCTGCAAGTCTGAAGTCTGCCCACCCTGGGATAAAGATAAAGAAGCTCATTGGGTGATCTTTGGCCTTTCACCATCTCTCAGCCTTACTTACAGTGTTGTTGTGAAGACGAAACGGGCAAGCGGGGGAAGGGAAGCCTTCGCATACCCCTAAGATACTAGGATAAAAGGTAGGGAAACTATGAAACAAATAAAAATAGTAAAGAAAAATGCTGCCATTCCCAGCTGAAAGAATATTATAACTATTGTTCTTTGAGGTGAACATGGGACAGCCAAAAGCCCTCCACCATCAATACCAGCTTTTGAGATTCTTACATGGACCCTGATCCAGCTCTAGCCATGGTTAACTAGTTGGACATAATAAAGTCTCAATATGTACATTCCCATTTGCCCTACCATATCCGCTCAGTTCAATGGCCCTTGGATGACCATGGTGAGCAGGATGGACATACGCATCAGAGTTATCAGAGATATGTAAGTTAGTAGTGATAATAGTAATATGCAAATCAATATTCTTTTAGTTGAAATGAAGCACTAATTTCAGCACTTCACAGCTCAGAGATAGTGCTTCCCTAACACTGGAAGTGATCTTGGTGGGGGAAAAAGATGAGAGAAAGATCAGAGAGATGCAGCAGTCTGTTCCTTTCTCTCACCTTGCACAAGAGAACTGGCTGTGCACAATTAAATTGGGTGGTCCATTGGAATTACTTTAGATGCATCCAGACTGTGATCTGTCTTGCCACCATATTCCAGTTGAATCTGTGAAATGGTGCTCATGTAATAATTTTACCACAAGTACACTTTTTGGATCACCAAGCGGTGTTTTTTGAAAATGGTACAATAAAAAAGGAGGCAGCAAAACTGGTCCATGGGGGGAGGGGGCGGAACCAAACTGCACAATACCTTTATTAGGACCAGCTAAGCAAAAGGTGTGAGCAAGCTTTCAAGTTCACCAGGATTCTAAAGAAGAGTTCTGGTGAACTTGAAAGATCCCTTCCTGCTTTGCAACTTGTCCGTAGGTCTTAATGAAAAGTTTTTTTGTTTTTGAAAATAAGCAGAAAGATCTAGTATGTTACAATGGTAAAGGTATTCATTATTTTCATTGCCATGATCCTACACTTTATCGAAGGGAAACTCCCCACCGGAGTAGAAATCATATATCAAACAGATGGAAAGCTCTTCAATCTGAGCAGGCTGAAAGCAAAGAGTAAGGTTACCATAACTTCCGTCATAGAGCTTCAGTATGCTGATGACAACGTAGTGTGCGCACGCTCAGAGGATGACCTCCAAACCATCCTAAATATCTTTGCAGAAGCTTACAAAAAGCTTGGCCTATCACTCAACATCCAAAAAACAAAAGTGCTGCAACAAGTACAAAATAACCACTCTGCAGTGCCAGAAATCCAACTCAGTGGTGTAACGTTGGAAAATGTTGATCACTTTCCTACCTAGACAGTTATCTTTCCACAAGGGCCAACATTGATGCCGAAATCCAGCATCGTCTGAGCTCTGCGAGTGCGGCTTTCTCCCGATTGAAGTGCAGAGTGTTTGAGGACCGGGACATTCCCAGGGAAACCAAAATGATTGTTTACAAAGCTATTGTACTACCAACCTTACTATATGCTTGTGAAACATGGACTACTTATAAACGCCATCTCCAACTCCTTGAAAGATTCCATCAACGGTGTCTCTGAAAATTTTTACACATCACTTGGGAAGACAGGCGAACTAATATCAGTGTACTGGAAGAAGCAAAGATCACCAGTGTTGAAGCAATGATTCTTCAACATCAACTTCGTTAGACTGGTCATGTTGTGCAGATGCCTGATGATCGTCTTCCAAAGCAACTACCTTACTCTATTCCGAACTTAAAAATGGAAAGCATAGTGCTGGTGGTCAACAAAAGAGGTTTAAAGACTGTCCACACCGTGATCAACTCCCACCCGGAAACAAATGTCCCCACTGTGGAAGGACGTGTGGATCCAGAATTGGCCTCCACAGTCACTTATGGACTCATTGTTAAAACCGTGTTTATGAAAGACAATCTTACTTGGCTATGAGTGATCGCCAAAGAAGAATAAGAATAAGAATGGTAAAACCAGGAGTAATGTAAGCATTATCAGAAGACTGGTTTTCAAGAGTTTCAAAGCTTGGTGTACTAAGAGGGTCATGTGAACGAATGAGTTTGCTTAGAAAAACAAGTGAGGTTAGTGAGCAATGTGAACACTTAGCTCAGCACAAATAAATATTATTCTTAGCACAATCTGTTGTTGAACAATAGAGTCTTAAAGAGCAGGAGCCTCAGCACAGAGTGACTAAGGAAAGCTATCATCCCAATTAAGTCACTGGCATTTTGCTTTTAATCCAGCAGGGCTATTTATTTGAAATACTGTATGTACATGCCAGTCTTACTTTTAAAAAAAAAGTGATACAATAAACATTTCTCATAAAATGTTATTTTTTAAAAAAAAATCAAAACAAAACCGTTCTGACAGCAGTGATAAACAAAAAGCAGTATAAAATCAGAAGAAACATAGCAGCCACCAGTCACTCAAGGAATAAAGAAAAGCCTTGACCTGTCAGCCAAATAATAAAGGTGTTGGCGTGAACCAGACTTGTGGGGGGGGGAGGATATTCTATAGCCAGTACACCACTACTGAAAAGGCCCCCTCCTCAGTGTTATACAGTCTCGACAGGAGTTCTCAGGATGACTTAATACAGATTTCCTAATCAAGTAATGTAAAAGATGTAAAATTATGTAAAAGACATGCAAAAGCATAGCTGTCAACTTTTCCCTTTTCTTGCGAGGAATCCTATTCGGAATAAGGGAATTTCCCTTTAAAAAAGGGAAACGTCGACAACTATCTGCAAAAGTCAGATTACAGTGGTACCTCGGGTTACATACGCTTCAGGTTACATACGTTTCAGGTTACAGACTCCACTAACCCAGAAATATTACTTCGGGTTAAGAACTTTGCTTCAGGATGAAAACAGAAATTGTGCAGCGGCGGCACAGCGGCAGCGGGAGGCCCCATTAGCTAAAGTGGTGCTTCAGGTTAAGAACAGTTTCAGGTTAAGAACAGACCTCCAGAATGAATTAAGTTCTTAACCTGAGGTACCACTGTATAAGCCTGGGTCTTCATGTCTGCAGGGAGTGGGGAGTAGGATCACAGCAGCAAGCCACACATCCCATCTCAGGAGTGAAAATTTACACATCTGCAGCTTGCCTACATGTGTGCAAACTATGAATCGGGGCTCCAGGCACAGTCAGAGACCCTGCAAAACATCTAACCATGTGTAACAGCCTACGTGTGCACAGGTTTTATGTGTGTAGTGCAGATGTGCAAATAAATACACATTTGCTAGTGGACAGTGTCAGAGCCCAGCAGGGTCAGAAGAAAATGCTGTGGTCCAAGTCTGGCACAGGTCATCTGAAAGTAGCAACTAAGAAGCCGAAGAGCCAGAGGCAAGCAGCATGGGCCAGAAGTGAGGTTCTACAGCCAGCAGACAAAAACCAAAAAGGGCTGTAGCAAAGTTGTCAAAAGACAAGCCAATGCAAGTTCTGAAGCAGACAAAAAGATATGGCGGTCACTCATAGCCAAGTAAGATTGTCTTCCATGAATACGGTCTTAACAGTGTGTCCGTGACTGTGGAGGCCAGTTCTGGATCAGTGGGGACATAGGTTTCTGGGTAGGAGGTGATCACGGTGAGGATTTGCCAAATGTCCCTCCTTTTAGCATGTTTCTCCCTTTCATCCTGAGTTCGTGCTTCTTAAAGTCCATGACACCTTTTGGTAGAGGCTATTCTCCAATTGGAGCGCTCACAGGCCAGTGTTTCCCAATTGTTCATGCTTATACTGCAATTTTTTAGATTTGCCTTGAGAGCGTATTTGAGCTTCTTTTGTTGTCCACTGGCATTTCACTTTCCGTTCTTAAATTGGGAATGGAGTAGTTGCTTTAGACGACAATAATCAGGAATCCAAACAACATGACCAGTCCATCGAAGATGATGTTGAAAAAGGTATGTATTGGCTTCTTGAGTGAAGAACTGCTCAGGCTGAGGAACCAGGCCTGTTCATGTCCTATATTGTCCCAGTTATATCAAATCAGAAGAGAAGAAGGGAAGAGGATAAATGCTTGTGCAAACCTGAATAATTAAGATACTTAAAACAAATGGTCCTTGGCACACTGTACACACATGTAACATTTACAAAAATCAATAGCCCACCATGCATGAATAACCCACTATTTGTGCTGCTTTGTTCCTTTGAGATCTCTCGCATTGTTTCAAATTGTTCCCTCATTTTATACCTCAAAGGGGTAATTTTTTAAAAATGTATGCAGACAACACACACACACTAATGAACATCACAGCTGATTTTTTTTTTTAAAAAAGTGAGAGGAACATAATAATTTAAGGAAGTTACTAGTAATTATCTAGGGACCCAACAAATAGGGATGCATTGCTACAGGTAGAATGTGAATTAATTGGGATCAACTGTATTCCAGCTTTAAGCTTTTGGGTACAAGCTGTGTCTCTGATGTGCCTTCCACAATAGGGGGTCTGTTCTCAGCAGGGGACAAACTACAACACTGGGTGAGGGTGGTGTTTGTGGTTTGTATTATAGTTCTCTGATATTTATTTCATTTCCCCCTCTCAGCTTCCATTGGATTAAGCCTCCCTCAGACAATAGAGCCAACTCTGGCTGTTTAGGTTAGTTTTTAAAGGTCAATAAAGTTCTTTCTTTCCCAGGAAACCCTCTTCCTTCCTCTTCAGTCCTGGGTGTTCCCTGGGTTAGAACCTCATGGTTGATTTCAGCTTCACTGGGTTTGGCTATTACCCTCCCTCCCTACTCCTTCCAAAGTCATCTCTTTTATGCAAAGGGGGTCCTTAGATTTTGTAAATAATAGACAGATGGGGAACTGTGCCAGTCTGTTACTTGGAAAATATCCAAGAGCACCTAGCCATGATTTTAAGTAGAATCTAAATGACTATTCTGCTCTCATGTAAAGTATTGTTTCCTACACCAGTGGAAGAGGGAGGAAATCCCAAACATACCGCCTTAGGCTTCCAAGGATGTGCATTTTTGCTCGCTGCCCTTGCAAGAAATATGACTAAGGCAGAGTCATCTGCTTCTCTCTTAGTGAGGGTTGCTTAGCATTGCTTATGCTGTATTTGCATCTAGTGCTTTTGGCTTTACATGCTCTCATAGAAATATTGCACTGTTCCTCACAGCTTTAGATATTTCGGGTTTTTTGCACACCTCTCTTCACTAGCATTCTACATGCTTACATCTAAGCACCTGTTTTTTAAAGCTACCTTTCTGTCTCTTTCAAACTCATCAATTGCACAGAATATGAAAGGAACATAGGAAGCAGCTGCTTTATTTTAAGTCTGACCTTTGGTCAGCCTAGCTCCTTCTGCAGTGACTAGTAGTGACTTTCCAAGGTTTCAGGCACGAGTGTCTCCTAGCCTTTACATGTAGATATTTAGGATTGAGCCAGGGACCCTCTGCATGCAAAGACCTTGCTCTACCACTTAGCTCCGGCCCTTCCCCAAAGAGAGGTGAGGGGGGAAGGGTCTCATTTTCAAACTAGAATAGGCAAATCTTATTTTGGAAGATGATATGGAAGGAACACACCAAGCTCAGCTCACAGAAAAATCACATTACTATTGCAAAGGATAGCTGTTCCTACCAGTACGATAAATTGCAGAGCTCCATACTGGTTACACACTGGATATAATTTGGCAGTTGTTGTTGTTGCATACCATAATTACAAACAAAAACAATACTCCTCCTTATTATTATTTCTGTGTGTACCTTTCCAAGGGCCACATGTACTCTTCCTCACATGCAGAACCATAAGGCTGGTCCAATGCACTTTTGGTTGCTAAAGAATGCTACTGCTACTGATATTTTATGAGGAATAACTACTCTGGTAAAGAAAACTTCTGTAGTTCTGTCTTAAATCTCTCAGTTTTGTTTTGGTTTTGTTCTTTTGCAGTGAACCCGCCCCCCCATCACAGCTTAGTGAAAACAATCTGTTCCTTGTGTTCATCAAAACACCAGTCAAGTACAGCCATCAACAAAATCACAAGATAGAGATGCCTCCTTCCCAAGTAATTATAGGATGTTCCACTGTCTTCATGGAAAGCTGGAGTGGTCCACAAGTAACAAGAAGCATCAGACAGCAAATGCCATTGCAAGCAAATAGAGCTGGGGGCAGGGGCAGGGACGACTCCTGAAGTTAATTTTAAAAATTGACACATCTGGGTATAAATAGCAAAAGAGGTACCATATCTTTGCTGCAAATGCGGCATTTTGAGCCAAACTTTTTTTTTTTTTCCAGCGCTCTTTGTAGCCATCTGGTCCCAATCCATGTGCAACAGATTGTGTTTTAAAACACTGCTTGCTATGCCAGGATAGATAATGTAATTCATAACATTATTGTAATTAATTCACTGTTCTCAGAGTGGGAGGGATGGGGATTGGGGGAGGGGTTTTCACTCCACACCTCTTACTAAAGACCTAATGAGGAATTTGCAAGTGAATAGAAGGCCATTGCTAGCTGTTATTTTAAAACAGGGAGAGAGGTTGCAGACACAGATTCCCTGATAAACACTCCATGCAGAGCAATTTGGCTGCTGAGCTAACAAAGTCTGCAGCAGTGAGAGACAGATCAATGAATTAGCCGCCACCAGTCATTACCTGTATGAGGACTGTTGAGCATAAAGCCTAGTCTGGGGTAATAATTCATGAGCACCCACTTCCAGATCTCTTAACACCCTTCTAAGCTATAACAATGAAACTGCTACCTGATCAGCAATTAATCGGGACCAGATGGACCTTTTAAACGGGGAGCGACAAGAGAGGTGGGCTTCCTGGTACCATCTTGGCAGAACAGTTTTATGGTTTTCTAAGGGAGTCTACCTTCATGTTTACTAGACGTACATGGAACTAATGTTAACCGTGATCACCTGGATGGTGACATTTCCTTCCTCTGGTACCTGAAACACACACTTCTAATGAACTTCCACCCAAAAAAGATTTAACACTGAACAAGGACAAACTCCACTGCCAAGTGGTACATACATACATGCACACCTAATTTTATTTCTGCACCAACTTTCTGTGGTTCAAACCATGCTCCAGGCAGCTTACAACATGAAAAACACATGACCACAACGTAACAAAAGTAGTCATAAATAAAACATCGAAAAACACACAACCAAGCTGAACCATTTCCACATAGATCACAAGATCTAAAAATAAAAATACAAAAAAGCCAATAACAGCAACAACAGCCCCCCCCCAAAAAACCCCTAACAACACCCCAGTACAGAGGCTCCCCCTGCCCTAGTTTTTCCAGCAGATAATCAGGTTAAAATACTGGAGTGAATTCAGCCCTGGGAGTGACACATCCACACTGCCCTCACTGGAGACACACTGGCTTTATTGTTACTACACATCTTTTAGTAACTCTACCATGGCCAATATTTGGCAAGACACCTTGGAATGGCTTTCAGCATCTGATGAAATGCATCTTTTGCCAAGTGAGCATCTAGGAGAACGAAAGGATTAAAGACAGATTTTTTTACCCTTTTTAATCCCCTGTAGAGGCAGGTGACCTAAGCCCATTGCACTCCTTTATATGCCACTTTACAAGTAAAACATAATGGATAATGCACCTATTGTTAACCAAAAGCAGTCATTATAGCTGCCTCCTTAGGTTATGATAAAAAGGGAAATTGCAAAACAAATTAGCCAAGGTCCATTGTCTTGATGTTTATTCATCTGCTTGACATCTAGGCATGCAATTGGTGCTGCTCAGTTTATTAAATGTTCTTCCTATTTATTTCTTCTTGAGTACAAGAGCAGGATTATTGATTATTTATTACTTACTGTATTTATTTTATCCGGCTTTTGATTTATATCCAGTTCATAATCCAGTGGATTTATATCCACCTCCCTGCCAGGATATTTTCTGTGTTCCCAAGTTATGGACTATTCTACCCAAGCACGAGAAGCTGCCATTTGGGCTGCCAGGATCCAAGTTGGTGAACATAATCTCTTCCAGCAACCAAAAATAAAGCAACTGTGACTTCTCCTGCCCATTTCCTCTTTGGTTCTGTTCCCCCTCTCCCCAGCGTACTGGAATTGATTAGGGCTCCCAGTATGCCACACAGAGAGCCAGTGAGAAAGAAGGCAGGCAGTAGACATTGCTATCTTACCTCCTGCAACATTTGGAGATGTAGCATTCTGCAATTTTGATTCTGGCAGCTGCAATGTTTAGAAGTCCACTCCATATTTTTCTAGTAGTTCTAACACTGCATAATCTGGAACAGATCCAAACTCTTGTTTCAGTCAGAACTCTCACTCCCTCTAAAAGCTAACTTGCTGTGAATGATTCCTGGTAGACCTCATACTATATACGTGCTGCTACTAAAATAATTTTAATAAAACCATTTCATCTGGCGTTCCTTGGCCTCTGAAGAACCATACAATAACGCTCCCCTAGATAGATATAGCAGAATTAATAACAAAGTCTACTTATATAAATGTTTACTTTTGTAAACATGGAAAGAGACACTGGAAGCAATACACAGCTTTCTGTAATGTAATCATAATGTAATACAAAGATAATAAGCACCATTAGTGTGCAAGTACTGATAACATATACAGTATTATACTCAAACTATATAGTCACATGCAAGTCAAACAACTGAAAACCATTTCCTACAGATTAAGAATTCACACTTTTCGTCAAAACAGTTGCATTACTCTCCAAACATGTGCAAAACAGACATTACTTGACCCACCCAGATGAATTATTTCAACAGCAGGAATAATATCTTGCTGCTGATTTGTAATTCTGGACTAAGGCTTCTTGGATCAAATCTGGAGTTATTGTAAAGGTAAAGAGACCCCTGACCATTAGGTCCAGTCATTAATGACTCTGGGGTTGCAGCGCTCATCTGGCTTCACTGGCCGAGGGAGCCGGCGTACAGCTTCTGGGTCATGTGGCCAGCATGACTAAGCCACTTCTGGCGAACCAGAGCAGTGCACGGAAACGCCGTTTACCTTCCCGCTGGAGCGGTACCTATTTATCTACTTGCACGTTGATGTGCTTTCAAACTGCTAGGTTGGCAGCCCTAGGCTCTGTGGTTTAACCCACAGCGCCACCCGCGTCCCCTGGAGTTATTATAGCTCATATCATATGACAGAAGCCCATTAATGGCATATTAGAAGCCCTTTGATTACATATAGTACAGGTCTAATTTCTAAACTTGCACACTGCAGAAACCCTCCCTTAACGATCAGATTCAAGGTCAGACTTCATACAAACCAAATTCAAATATGGCTAACTAACATTTCCTGAGGAGCTGTGTAGCTATTAGTCAGGGAACAACTGTTTATGCTTGCTTAGATACAACTATTGTGCATAGATTAGGGAAACGGCGGCATCATATTTAAATTGGCACTATTTAATTTACATGTTTTTTCAATAAAAAGGTAAAGGTAAAGGGACCCCTGACCATTAGGTCCAGTCATGACTTGCGGCGCTCATCTCGCTTTATTGGCCGAGAGAGCCGGTCATGTGGCCAGCATGACTAAGCCGCTTCTGGCGAACCAGAGCAGCGCATGGAAACACCATTTACCTTCCCGCTGGAGTGGTATCTATTTATCTACAGTGGTGCCCCGCAAGACGAATGCCTCGCAAGATGAAAAACTCGCTAGATGAAAGGGTTTTGTGTTTTTTGAGTTGTTCCGCAAGACGAATTTCCCTATGGGCTTGCTTCGCAAGACGAAACGTCTTGCAAGTTCTTGCGAGTTTGTTTCCTTTTTCTTAAAGCCGCTAAGCCGCTAATAGCCATGCTTCGCAAGACGAAAAAACCGCAAGACGAAGAGACTTGTGGAACGGATTAATTTCATCTTGCAAGGCACCACTGTACTTGCACTTTGATGTGCTTTCGAACTGCTAGGTTGGCAGGGACTGAGCAACGGGAGCTCACCCCGTCGCAGGGATTCGAACCGCCAACCTTCTGATCGGCAAGTCCTAGGCTCTGTGGTTTTTTCCATAGCGCACATTAATTCTGTGCAAGGAAGAAGTTTGATTCTCTCAGTGTGCTTTCCAGATGGTGGCTTTGTGTGTTATTTCTGTCCCGCTTTTCCATTTCATATCTAAAATGCCCAGTGCAGCTTACATTATACAATACCACGTCAATCATAAAAATACTTTTTTTAAAAAACCCAGCAAAAACTTCAAGCTAAAAGCCAAGGGCTAATAGGGAATTTTCATCAAGTGTCTTAAGACTGTCAAAGAGGAAGCCATATGCTTCTCCCAGGACAGGACATTCCATGGCATGCTTGATATATAAAAGGCAATACCTGGTGAAATCCAATCTCTCTGTGTTATGTATATGTGGCAAACAAACATCACATCTCACAATTATACTTTTATATTTACAACTTTTGAAATGGGCTTATTCTAGTCATAGACAGAGATAGATACATGGAAGTTTCTAATTTTATCTGCATCAGAACTTACACCAAGCTTCTCTTGGTTTAACAGTGCAATCTTATTAATTTTTATTCAGTAGTTAGTCTCACTGACTTCTGTGGAACTTACTCCCTGGTAAGTGTGCTTAATATTGCAGCCTCAATACTGCACACCAACTATCTACTTCATCGCACAAATTTTTACAATAGGTAAATTAATTACCTGGAAGGTAATTATACCAACAGTGCGCTTAAGTTCAGATAGCATGCATGTACCCTTACAAAGAGCAAGCATGGAAAATTATTCTCCATAAATGATAAGGATTGTATACTTATTGTGATTTTTACATTGTGATGTATACCACATTGTGATTGTTATATACAAAGTGGTATAAACAGTGCTTTTTTAAATAAAAAATGTTTAGGGGTATTCTCATTTTGACTCAAGAAAATCACCATTTTATAGTTCAAATTGGGGAAAATAAATATAGTAAATGGACATCGGGGTAACAACGGAACTGATGATTCAGCGTGCTAGAGAAGAAACTTCTTTAAAAAATTAGTTTCTTCTCCTGTTAGAGTCACAAAATGTTTAAGGGTATGCATACCCCTGCGTACCCCCAGAAAAAAGCACTGGGTATAAAAACATTTTAAAATAAATAATATATCAGTCAATTTTAGAGCTGATTCAAATTTGCAATGGTGCAAGTCTATATATTAAAAAATAGTGCATAGAACACAAATATTGAGTGATTGTTTTTAACCTTGTGTAAGTTACACAAAATAAAAACATGACATTAAAAGTAACAAAAGAAGCTTTAAAACAGCAGCAGATAAAACAAAATCAGAAACACCAGATTAAAAAGCCAGACATAGCAAGCGCTAAAAACTCAAGAACCAAAATGTCTCGATATCAAAAGAAGAGGAGTTTGGTGTATCCGCTGAGAGAAAGGAATTTGAAAATCGTACTGCCACCACCGAAAAGTTGTCATGGGTACTTGCCCATCAGATTTCATGTATGGGCAGGACCATGATCAGAGCCTCAGATGTGACCTGTACCCCAAAGGCTTTCAAGGTTAAAATCAGTGTTTGAGCAATCCCTCAAACAACAGCAATGCAATGCAAGACAAGAGTAATATGGAATGCAAAAAGCTGTCATATGCAAAAAGTGGACTATTGGCCTCCATCTGGCAGTGACTCTCAATACAGAATTTTCCCCCAGCCCTACCTGAAGAAGCCAAGGATTGAATCCAGGACATTTTGCATACAACACACGTGCTCTGCCAGTGAGCGACAGCCCTCCCCGAAGATTGATGGAAGCAATAGAACAGGAACCTCCACATGAAGCAGGGAAAACCTCCTTATCTGAAGCTGCGAGTCAGTGTAGAAAATACCAGATAGAATCTGATAGAGTTAGACCAATGGTCTGGCTTTGCATAAGTAAACTATTAAAATAATAGATTGGAAAGATACTTGGTTGTTGGGGAGTTTTTTTACGGAAAGGAGGGAACTTCCAATCAGTTGGGTGAATTACAGCACACAGAACCAGCACAGAAAAACATTTGTGAAACCCTTCCAACTAATATCAGTGTTATTACCCTTCATCGTTTGGAGAAAACAAACATAATTTTACTGCCATATGAAACCTGTCACTGCATTGTTAAGTAAGCAGTTATGATAGGCTGTGATATTAAAGATAATTATGCTTGTCAATTGAGCTGAAGCAGTTAATTAGATAAACAAAACATCTCATTTTTATTTCCTCCTGAACAGCAAGAGATGGGTAGAAAGTAGCGTGTATTAATGATATTATTTTCCCTACCATGGACGAGTGTTTTAATAAACATACAAAAGCAACTTTATCGGTCCTCATAAACCTTGATTGAACACACAGTGATAAGGTCTGTTTAAAATGTCATCTTCACAATAACACACACAGAGCCAACTTGAGCCTTAGCAATGACCTGTGTAAAAGAGGCCGCTCTGGAAAGTGCAGGCCCCGTTGTGCGATGTATATCATATAAACAGTTCAAAGCTTCTGTGGCTGTTCTGTGTGTGCGATTATGGGTGACTAAAAGGTGGGGGTTGTCAAGTGTGTATATACATTTTTGTGGCACCAGCTTTAAAGGCTATTTTCTTCCGAAGAAGTCTGGCTTTGGTAAAAGGTGAATAGCCTGAGAGGGCTGGGTCCTTTGAGCCAGAATGACCTTCAGCACTTAGGTCTGCAAATAGAGACAATTTCACAGGGCTTTCTGAAGGAGAAAGGCCTCTCGTTTTAATCACCGTCATTATCATCATCAATGCTAACACACAGCCTATGAAAATAACCTAATATGCATGGCAGACTATTTCAAGTCCCGTGAATGGAAGGAAGTGACAGGAAAATTTTCTGGAATGAAGAGCCTTGACACTTTTAATTTTCTTTTAAAAATGTAACTAGTCCTACTAATTCCAACTCCAGTAAATTGTTGTCTTTTTCTTTCTTTTTTATAATCTCATTCTTGTCATCTGTGCCCTGGGAATATTTAAATGTTCCCAGTTTCCCAAAACCAGTGGCAACAGTGACACCCAATGGTACTAGAAGGCAAAGCCCCAGTCAACAGATACCATAATAAATTCTAAATCTTTTTCAAATGGAGAATATTGGAATAGACAGGAACAGCATCTGAATGGAAGAGTAACACATCAGCAATTTCCTTTTGCAATGGAGGCTTGGTTTTGATGTGGGCAGTGATGTATTGGACATGTGAAGATATTGCAATTCAGCACACTTTCATTACATAAACTTTACATGGGGCACCATTTTATAGCTCAGTTACATATACATTTGATCGGCATTTAGCACTTAAAAGCTTTTGGAGTGATAACCCTTTTAAAATATTAGTGGAAAACTGCTTAAATGAAAGAGTATTATATTTCTATGGTCCTATATGGTAAAACAAAACAATCCGAATGGTTACCACCATTTTATTATTATAAATTAATTTTCTTCCATCATACATAAAACAAAACAACAAATGTAATAATACAAAAATATCAGAAATAACTAAGGGAGCCATGAACTCATTCTTGTAATGGTCAACAAAATCTGAATATATGAGGAGACACCAGTTAATGAAACCATTAAGAGCTCTGCGTTTTCTGTGCTTGCAGCACCCAAGAGTTCTGGTACTGAATAATAAATAATAATAAACCTTTATTGTCACTACACCACCTGTGTGCAGTGAAATTAAACGAGCCCCCCTCCCAGTCTTGTTCACACTGTGTGTGCTTGTCGGAAGTCAATTGCACCAATAGTAAATAATTTGTTGGTAAAAATAAAAGTCCAACCACAGTATAAAAATGTTCTGTCTCTTCTAAACCTTTGGAAACCTTTGTATTGTGGGTTATCATTCCTGTGATTGCCAGGCTACAAAAATGTTAATACTGCAGATTTTGACAGGCTCTGTAGTCTTCCTTCATAGTGCTATGGATATCCTAGCTCCACCATTGCCACCACCATTTTAGCTAATTGTCCCCCCATCCCAATTAAGTACTTCCAGTCTTGCACTTTTGATCCAAAACATTAAGCACTCGTGTTTCTTCCTCTTCTTCTTCTCACATTCCATGGGTAATTATGGACATCATGCTTAAATGAATAAATGCTTATTGCAAAATTATCTTCTTTTTTTAAGATCCTTGGTGCAGTATTTCCAATTGTATGGAAAGTCCATTGCAGCTCTGCTCTCAGTTTATGTTGCAAGATCAATTAGTGTTAGTAGCCATCCACCTGAAAGCAGACTTGGAGAGAAAGAATGGAAGTCTTCTAGCTTACTCTCATTTATGCAGAGATAAGATTTAACTAATAACTTTGCATTGTGATATGATCTTCTTAGCAGTAAAGTGCATTACTGCCCCCTAGTGGACTCTCTCTCTCCCCACAGAGAGAGAGAGATATCAAAGTGATCAAAGTGAATGAATCCAGGTTTCATTTCAACTACTGTACTATTCTTTCCTTGTTAAAAATGTCACCTAATCCTTAAGTGCTTTTGGACTTCGGAGATGGGGTGCATAACCTTTATTTGAGATTCATCTTTATTCAAATTTTATTGTTTTAAAAATGTGCACTTTTTAGAAATGCTCAGATAAAGCATCAGTCAGAAAACACTTTCTTGCTGTGACAGAACACCTAGCTCTGCTTTCATTTTCAAGCCTTCCTTTGTGTCATAGGGCTGTCCTAGATAAAAAAAAGGCACATGTCTAATACTGAACTCTTTATTTGCAAGAGAAACACTTACAAGCAGCTACCACGGTGCTCTGGACACACACACACTTCTAGTCTCCAGGCATCTGTCCACAGATCTGGGCCCTATGGAGCAGTTGCAGAAACAGGGAGACCCTACTCTGCTGCTGGCTTATATAGCCTCCCCAGTTCGGTTGCATGCCCACAACCTGAGACTCTTCCTGTATGTAAGGCGCCACTTTTCTTCCCACCTCAAGATCCTCCTGGTTCTAGGAGACAAGAGGGACAGGGGAAGGTCAGCTGAACAGCCTCTTCTTCCTCCATATCTGACATACCTTCCTGTCTCAGCCTGCCCTTCTCTCCTGGCTCCTGCCTTGCGGGCAGTCAGACCCCATAAATCAGTGATTACCTCTTCTGAGTCACTCCCCTGGTCCCTGGTCCCCTTCCTCAGTCACACGTTCTTTGGAGCCCTGCCAGTCCTTGACACTTTGCAATTTGAAAGAGGACATGTACTGACCTAGAAATATTGAAGCCAACAAAAGTTATCATCACACCCATTTTACTTACCAAAACTGAATTATTTTAATCTAACCAAAATACTTTTGAATTCCCAAAACATGTTACAACTTGTGAGCACTCATTTTTGGAATTTGAAAGTTGAAAAATTCAGTATGCCCCACTACTGCATCTTCCATACCACCAGAAGCTGACCACCCTCAGTACTCATAGTAACACTGAGTCTAGAAATACTATACTGTCAGTTGGTAAGTTGGAATTAGTCCAGTTTTAGAGCCACATTAGAGTTTATTTTGTAATCTGTTTTGACCTCTTGCCTGCTTTCCCCTACCCTTTCATTCTTAGTTTCACAATTTGACCACTGAAGTGTGATTGCCAACCTCTGGATTCTGGAATCCCCACATCTAGACACTTGGAATCCATGCTACAGAAAGTTTAGGATCAGAGGCATGAGAAACCAGCACATTCTGCTGAACTCTGCCAGAGATAAATTCAGTTTTCCACAAGCTGAAATAATTGATGTTATCCACTTTGTGACCATCTCCAATTAACCCATCTGAGAATGCATCTCTAGATGTTCATAGGACATTGTTTATATACATCATACTAAATCCTTCTGCAAAACAGAATCCTTGGGTCATTTCGTTCACTTTTGTTGGGCAGAATAATGCCTGGGTCTTCTCTTGCTAGGTTGCTCAGTGCTTGCATTTGTTGAGTTTACAGTTCTCTGAATTTGGTACCACCTAAAGACACAGCTCAGTCTACTCCATCAGTGGCCACAAATGCAGGCATTTTCAACAAACGCACCATTGCAACATGTGTGTCAGAGCTACTTGGCTGAACCCAAGTATATTCACAAAATACAGTGGTACCTCGGGTCAAGTACTTAATTCGTTCTGGAGGTCTGTTCTTAACCTGAAAGCACCACTTTAGCTAATGGGGCCTCCTGCTGCTGCCGCGCTGCCGGAGCACAATTTCTGTTCTCATCCTGAAGCAAAGTTCTTAACCCGAGATTCTATTTCTGGGTTAGCGGAGTCTGTAACCTGAAGTGTATGTAACCCGAAGCGTATGTAACCCGAGGTAACATGGTATTGCAAAATAGATTTGTATTCTTTTTCAGAGGTTGTGCTTCGGAGGGGTCTCCTCCGGCAGGTTATTTCAAATACATACTTAATTTAGCTGGTACTCACTTAAGTCAATAGGAGCAGCTTAAGAACACTGCTGTTGTCCTAGTGCCCACTCAAGGGACCACTGTCCTCACTTGAAGGGTGGGAGCACTAGGACAAAACCAAGACTCCACCCCCATCCCACTGCTGACCAACATACATGAAATAATTGAAGACCCAAATGTCTAGAGTGCAGCCAGTGCACATATGTGTTATTGTGCTTTTATGGATGTTGCATTGGTTGTATGTAATTCCTTGAGTGTTAGGTATTCTTCTACATCTGGTTAGAAGCCAAACTCACTCCGAGGAAGGAGTGAGTCGAAGATTCTGTTGTGAGTGATGACATTTTCCTGTCTTCAAGCAACAGGATGGCTACAGCTGACTTGGTAGTTTTAGTGCCCATTTGAGAAATGGTTTCCTGCTGCTGTATTGCACAGCTGCTCTTTTCACCTATTGGCTGTGAAGTAGTGTCCTACTTCTGGTGGCCTTTGGCAACCCTCCTCACCCCCAGCCGCTATACAGCACAGGCACAATGCAGAACACTGGAGTTAGGGCACTGGCTGCACAGCCAGAAGGGAGCACACGGTTAGTTTAGGCAGCTAATTACTGGAACACTATCCGTAGGAACCCGGTTACCATAGGTGTTGGGCCCTATGCGTAGTTCTCTGATCAGGACTGCAAGTACTGTTTCTAATATAGTGCAGATTAGAATATAGTTTGACACAGTCATACACTTCAGGTTTATATTTACAGTTTAATAAAAGTATAAATTCAAGTCTCAACATCTGTCTTCTATACTATAAAGGTTTAACAAACTACTTATTAAATAAATTAAGAAAGGTTTAAACAAATGTAGTTTTCTGTTGGCTAAGGGACGTTAAAATAATTTTGTTCTCTACATTGTGAACAGAATGACATAAAATAGCATCAAAGCAACAAAAAGTAAGACTTGCTAATACAAGTGCCCTACTTCCTTCTACTAGATTTGAGGTCAATGCAGCACCTCGCGTCCATTCTCTTAGACAAGGAATAACTTAATTGACCTGCTTATAAGACTAGTCATGCTATGAACGTGTTTTGTAGAACGGAGAAAAGGGACAGAGGATACAAAATGATTTAATAACTTTATCATTCAACTTTTCCAGCTGTGCTAAAATAATAGAACACAGAATTACACCATTGTATACCAGAAACTCCTTTGTCACCAAAGCATTGACATTTGCCCTACCTATGACATACAACATTCTTCCTTTACTTTTTGGCATAAAATGCCTCGTTTTGTTTTAGTTCCTTATATAAACTGGGTGTTCAAAATCAATAAAAAGTCCTTTGATGGAAAACTCCTGAAAAAAAATCTAGCTCATGTGCCACATTATTTTGTTAATTATGTTACTATTAATAAACTCTCTAAAGATCTTTTTTCCGTGCATATGCATTCACAATTTCAGAAGACCGTTTGTGGAAACAGTTATCCAAATTGTTCTTGGAACTAGCTATTTCACTTTTGAAATACTGCAGCAACTATACAGTTAAATAGCCAGCAATTTCTAAATCAGAACAGAAACAAGTATTTTATAAATGTAAGCACGCTTGTCTAAGAAGTCAAGCAGCTCACACTTATTTAACAAATTTATACTTTGTTCTAATACACAATCATATGCATCTTTTTTTGAAAGATAAATGTAAGGGATCCAAGACCCGTTTGCTTTTGTGGAACTTCCAGAGGGCTGTGCTTAGGAATTGCAGCACAATCCTATATACCATGGATATTTTTATGTATGCAATGTTTCTGTACCTTCCTTCATCACAAACCATTCCTAAGACATGATTAACTTTGTTCCAGGCAATTTGCAAACTTCTGCATAAAATAAAATAAAAATCTCAACTCAAATTTATATGACACAGATTATATTTACCAAATATAGTATATTCCTGCAAGTAATTCCCTTTGAGTAAATTTAACAGGAATCAAATTGTTAAAGGCAATTTTCTTTCTAATCTAATGTTTCACCACATGCTTATAAGAATTTGTCTGAATTGGAGTTAAATACAAATAAATGGTGTATCTGTTAATCATAAATCCAAAAATTAACTTATTCTCTGCAATCATGCACCATCTAAAATATGTGATTTAATCTTTGGGAGACTATCTATAGCCTACTGCAGAACATTCAGAGCAAGATGCTTTTCCATATCCTTGGATAGCATTTATATTAACCCATCATTGCCTTATCCTCCCTAAACAGCCCCCCAATTTATAGAAATCTCACAGACATATCAAGCACTGTCTTGGTTATTAACTGAATGGTCCCAATGAAGTTTCACAAAAGAAAAGTTCATGCATACTGCGAAGTCTGCACCAAAATGAGTAATATTCATATTACAGAAGCTATTGTTCCTATTTATCTTAAAACTCTCTGCTGTATATTCCCTTTTTGCAAGGTGGCATTTAAGTCCAATTACTAGACTTAAAATGTTAAATTCTAGCCTATAGATAGAATGGTTTTCTTTTGCAAGTATACAAATAATAATGTCTGTCACCATTCTAAAAACTGTTTTCTCAGCTGAAGGGATTATGGCCGAGCTCCTGAAAGCCTCTCAGGCAGAAAGAAGGGTTTGCTATATTATGCAGTGCGTTTTCTTTTTATTACTAGCAACAGCCTGTACTATCTTCAGCACCATCACATTGGGAGTTTTTCCCATTTGTGGAGGCAGCTTTTCAGGAGGCCAATTCTAGAAGGCACCCCTGCTATGTATGTAGAGGCTACAAGCAGCCCTTTAAAATCAGCAACTTTTGTAATAATCCTCATTCTCCTTTAAACTAATATGGGACAATAAGAAAACCATACAAAATTATAGGCTTTCAGATTTTAGAGGCATTTTGTAATACTGAAACACTATTCATTTATTGTGCTGATTTTTAAAAATTCCTGTACCTAGCTCCGAGGCTTAGCTTGCTTTTGCAATTTATTACTGACACTACTATGAAAACGTATTTAAAACAAATACAATTTAGAGAATTAAAAATATTTATACATGAAAGCAGCTGACAGTATAAAAATCAACAGTGAAATTAGAGTTCATACATATAAAATAAAAATACCAACACGAAATTGTCCCTTTAACATAAAGGGGTTGGGGAGAAAAAGAAAGGCAAAAGATATAAAAAAGACTGTATTGTTAATTAACCTAAACTTGGTTTAGCTTTCTTGATAGGAGAGGTTGACCACTCAAATACTGATTTGTATTGTCAGTTTAAGCACTTACAATGCAACAACTCCATAGCATTAGAAATGTTTTCAGGACAAACTTTAGCTGCCACTAAAGCTTATGAAGATTCAATGAGCAAAATGTAGTAATAATATGACAAGCTACTGTAAGACACTTTATATTTTAATACAAAAGGATTCTTCGTTCAATAGCCTTTCGGCAAATAGGACATTCACTCATTCGATCGCCACAAAGCTGACATGTTCCGTGACCACAGAGAAAGATCATATTCTTTAGACGGTCCAAACACACGGGACACATGGTCTGTAAGAGACAAAAATGAAACTAAAGAACTGTCTGGAGACAAATAATAACCAAGTATTATACCTTATTAGCTTACTACGCCTAACGTAAATACCATTTTCAGAAAGTGAGGCTGGTGAAATAAATAGCATAAAAAAACTCTGAAGGATACTCATCACCCACCTGCCTTAAAGTAGTGTTGCTAAAATTTAACTCAGCGATTAAAAATTCTCAAAGCACTTAACATACATCTTTAGCGTTCCTCACAGAAAGATACACCAGAATCATTTTGTATTGTATATGGGCTTAGGCCAACTTCACATTTGCTAAATACATTCAAAGTTTTGAAGCAATGCTACATTCTTCATATTTTTATTATTATGACCATCATTGCTAAGGACATAACTGTCTTTGTAAATGACATCTACTTTATACAATTAAAAGGTATAGTGAAACATGAAATTAATCTGTCACACAGAAACAGACTGTGAAGCTCAGTCAAACACTTCTGAAATTTTGGAAACACACAAACCCTTTCGGAATTTCTAATGGCAACTAAAAATGAAATCTCCATATATTTCTAGATATTATGACCCCTTTGAGTCTGTAGAACTCTGTCTGATGTGATATTAAATAAAAACGGAGGCCATGACTTTATTAGAACGCCCAAGTGCTGTCTGTATCAAAGGAGGCCAGAAAGGAGACTGTTGGTCCTGCCTACAGGACAGAAAGGAAGGCAGAGTCTAGTTTGGATGACTTAGCTGATTTGTCCTTGGAAGGATAGACCATTCAGGAAACTCACTGCTCAGTTGGAGGATCACTGCTGTCCTGAAAATAAGTTTAAATATAAGTTTGGGGGCGGGGAGGGGAACAAACTAAAGGTGGCTTTTGGCTTTTTATCTGCGCATTCATCTTTCTCCCCTCCTTTTTAATAAAAAGCATAAAAATTAGGAATGCTTTTGAAATCAGGACTAGTAGTAGTTTCCTGTGGATTTGTTCTCTTTGGCTCTTGTTCTGTTCTCTGGTGCCGGGGGAGAAGAGACTATGGATTACATCCAGCACTGTACAAACAGTTCCACTCATGCAATTGGATTTCCCTTCCTCTTCTCTCCCCACACACCCCTATTATATGCTCTGCAGTTTACGTAAGAACCACTGCTGTTTATATTTTCTGCAGTGTTTGTGCTAGAAAGTGGGTAGAGGAGAGGAGAAAGAATACGACATGAATAGATGAGGGAGTGCCTTTGCAGTGATTGTCTTAGCAGTAGCACCCTACTGGCACTTTCTTGCTGCCCTGATTCAGAGGGAGCTGAACTCAACACTACTGCCTGTAACTACTGTCTTACTTTTATCACTGTTATTTATTTTTATCATCAGCTTTGTGGATAAGGGCTGGGTAACAAGATAGTGGGCTAATAGATAAAGGCTGATAAATGTCATTTCTAATAAGGATTTTTTTTACTTAAAAAAACCCTTCTCCATGGCAGGGTTTCACTATTTGCAAAGGTTTAAAACCCATATTCAATCTGCCATAAAGTTTGAAGAAAAGAAATGTAATTCTTTCAAATGATGTGGCTTTTGTCCTACATTCCAATTGTTAAACATACATGAAATGAGTTGCCTTTCCGCAACATATGTCCATGCATCATTTTTAAAAAATCCAGTTTGTGTCTGTGGACATTTTATGTGAAAATAGAAGAAAGAGTATGTCCTGAATCTTTCTCTATTTTTTTTTAAATTACTACTGAACCTAAAAGATGCTTAGGGAGATATTCTAGAGTTGATGACAATAACTGCAGTGCACAGTATGCGTACTATCTATATTCCTTTAATTGTTGTTTTAATTATTGTAACTTGCCCCATGACGTTAAGATGAAGGATTGGTACTAAATTAAAATAACAATAATAATATTCATAACATAAAGCTTTATATTGATAACTTTCATACAATGCCTTAAAAAAACAAAGCTTTCATTTGATATTGATCATAAAAGTTATCTATTTCTTTTACCTGTTCCTTTATGTCCTGCAACTGCTGCTGCAATTTCTGTACATCAGCGTTGACATTGGTATTGTCCTTGTCTTTCTGCAGAACAGGAATGTTTCCACTTGCTACACAATGCAGAGAAAAGAAAATGGTGACACGAAATGCTTACAAAAGAGCTGAACCAATTTAAAAATTACTACCAGCCCATTAATTGCATCAGAACAATGGTTCCAATGCAATCCATTTCCTGAATCAGGAAGGAGTTTGCAAATTGAAACCACTGCTAAAAGAAGAAAAATAAACAAACTCACCAATGTCATCTGTGGAGTCTTCTGTACCTTTCCCACCACAACACATAATGAAAGGCACTCTTCGCTCTACCACTGCCCGACACTGTACACATTTTTTCATCAGACTGGCACAATCTGGAGGGGGTGGGGAAATTATTCAGATTGATGCAGGTTTTTTTACTTATTCAATGTAAAAGTGGAATGTAATGAACAGATTAACAAGAAAATATCGTAGGGCGCCTAGAACACATAGCACACCCGTTTTGCATAGTCCTCACCAGTAAATATTGATTCATCCATGTTAGGAACTGGAGACAGTTTATCATCTAGCACAAGATAGTTTCAAAAAGGTATGCTCCTCCCACCAGCATCTACAATCAGTTATTCACTTTTATAAGCAAAGGGATGAATCTCACACCAATCTGGGACTAAGCTTTTCCTCTTCTCTGGTAAGGGGGTGGGCAGAACACCCCATATACATTTTAGTGTGACAAACTCAGAAACTGACTTTTATATTTTAATACATCCATCTTCCGATAAACTAGATCTATTTCAGTAAGTGAGCACAATTCAAAGTGTTGGTGCTGACCTTTAAAGCCCTAAACGGCCTCGGTCCAGTATATCTGAAGGAGCGTCTCCACCCTCATCGTTCTACCCGGACACTGAGATCCTGCACCGAGGGCCTTCTGGCAGTTCCCTCACTGCGAGAAGCCAAGTTACAGGGAACCAGGCAGAGGGCCTTCTCGGTAGTGGCGCCCTCCCTGTGGAATGCCCTCCCACCAGATGTCAAAGAGAACAACCACCACCAGACTTTTAGAAGACATCTGAAGGCAGCCCTGTTTAGGGAAGCTTTTAATGTTTGATGTATTACAGTATTTTAATATTTTTTTTGGAAGCCGCCCAGAGTGGCTGGGGAGGCCCAGCCAGATGGGCGGGGTATAAACAATAAATTATTTTTTATTATTATTATTATTATTATTATTATTATTATTATTATTATTATCATCTTATTTCACAGAACAATTGTTAGCCACCAAAAGAACTTACTTTCACAAGCACACATGTGTCCACACGGCTGAAAGAGCACAGCTGCTTTTTTGTCTGAACATACTACACATTCTTCAATCTACAAAGAAAAATTACATAACTTTTCATAAAGAAGCTTTTAGTTTCTCAATTGTAGCTCAGTCAGCTTAATGTCTGTTCTGGGTACATTAGTTCAAAATATGATTAAATATAGCACTATAAAGCATATAGAATAACACGTCTTGCTAGGAAGACACAACGGCTCCAGTCTCACAACATTTTAACATTCTTTGAGTGTGTCAGCACTTAGGAAAGGATGATCTGATAGATACAATACGCTTGTATTTTTTTTAAAAAAAAGCTTTTCACAAATCCCTCACAAATACTCATGAGTTAGCTTAGTAACAGATTGGAAACTGGTTAAAAAAAAGAAAGAATAAATGGACAATCCTCACAGTGGAGTGAGGTGAGGCAGGGTCTCATAAGCAACCAGTGGTTTTTAATTTTTTCATAAATGATTTGGAGTTAAAGAGGAGCAGAAAGGTGGGCAAGTCTGCAGACACCAAATTCTTCAGGGTAGTGAAAACCAAAGGAATCTGCAGAGATGCAAAAGGATGTCTCCCAAAACTGTAGACCTAGTAAAGGTGCAGAGAAAGTCAATTAACATAGTCATGAGGGTGGAGCACATTCTGTACAAAGGAAGGTTAAAAGTTGGGGGCGGGGTTTAACTTCAAAAGCCAACCAGTGAGAGTTGGAAAAGGTTTATAAAATTCTGCAAAGCATGCAGAAAGTGGACAGAGATTTTTTTTCTTTTACTCTTATCACCAGAACCTGGGATCATCTAAAACAATTGGCAGAGAATTTAGCACAGTCAAAAGTAATTCTTAAGAATATAACAGCCTGCTGCTTAGGACTATGACCCAGACTGTCATTTGCTTAAGTGTTTCTGCTGTTTGATTCTAAGAGCATCATTTAAAATGCTCTAAGTTTAAAATGGCGCATAAACACTTATATTTAAGATATGTCATACTAAAATGAGCTGGAAATAAAAGCACGCACCTTTGTCCTGGACTGAACTTGTTCTTTGCAGATAAGGCATTTCTTGACTCTTGGTGAACAGAGAGAACAGGTAGCAATATGCCCACATGGACCAAATAGAGTATCTCTCTTCATATCAGAACATACCATGCATTCTTCTAAGGTTTCTGAATCATTGCTGATCATAGAAGGGCTCCGGGAACCAACCTGACCACTAAACACAAATATTCATTCAGATATTATATAAATATTCAACATAATGTGCATAGTTCACCTAACCAGCCATGTTAGTGAAAGCCGTGTACAATGACTTCCACATGCACAACAGGGCTTTCCCCTCCTCTCCACCTCCTGCATCTCCCAAAATTGGCTTGGGATGTGTTTTGGGAGAACCCCTAGAAGGGAGTACATGGGAGGGGAGAGGGGGCATCATTCCATCTAGCAAGTTGCAATGCTTTTGCAGGTTGAATGCTTAGAAAAACATGGTGTTCAATTCCACCCTATACAGTGGATGCTCAGGCTGCGAACGTGATCCGTGCGGGCGCCGCGTCTGCGCACGTGCGAGTTGCAATTCGGCGCTTCTGCACATGCGCAAAGCAAGATTTAGTGCTTCTGCGCCGAAACCCGGAAGTAACCCGTTCTGATACTTCCGGGTTCGGTGCAGTGCACAACCTGAAGCGTCTGTAACCCGAGGTATGACTATATGCGTAATCATTTGTTTTTTTGCCTCAAGATTAATGTTTACTCATCTGCATTGGAAATTCAGGGGAATAGTAAACAATGCACCCTGCCATTAAGGTAGAACGAATTAGGTAGAAAAAGGTGGCTATTCTGTATAGCTTAAAATCGTGCCAAGGGCAAAAAACCTTAAGCTTGGTAAGTATTTTATTTTTTAATTTTTTTTACATTCCTCCTGGACTGTTTTAACACTGACATTTAGTAAAAATGGAAAACAAATAGCAGAAGAATATCTTCATTAATACTTCTTAAAACGTCACAAAGTGTGTATGCAAAGCTGAATTCATCAAAACTCAATCAGGTTAGATATGCAAAAAAACCTGACAAACAAATAAGATTATTTAACATCCAGTTTGTTTTACTTAATGTCTAGCATATGAAGAATTCCAACAGACTCAAAAGCCTTTCTTTATGGCTTTTCAAATGGTCTTAATAAATATATTACAGAATAGTTTCTTCTCTGAGGTTCCCATCCCTCATCAGGAAAACATGGCTATATGCACTTTTGACTGACATTTAGTTAAATTTATGTTGGAAAACTGGCAAAACCTTGGATTATTATTTAAATATTTCAAAAACCTGTGAGGCCCACTGAAGAATAAAGAGGCAACAGCTGGGATCTAAAGTGCTGCATACAGTGTTCAGACTGGGCACAGGAACCTTTACCTCATTCCTTCAATTGGCAAGTTTCCTAGACAGCTCAAAAATCCAATGCATGGTCAGGGGCTTTCTACACCAATATCCCATGACACACAAGGTGCTGCCCCTGGGAGAATATTTGCAACAGTGTGTATGTGGACAGAAGAGCCGATTTTGATCATGGCTCATATTCCAAAATTCCTGACTTCCTGTATGATCTGGAACAGGGAGCATGCATTAAGTAATTTTCTATCTCAAAGTTTTGACCAATTTCAAAATGTTGCTGAGGGCACAGAATAGCCACAGTGGACAGTGAATTCAAAATTCAAAAATAAAAACTTTGTGTGAAATGTTAATTAAAAGTAAACGGCAAAATAAAATAAATGATTGAAGAAAAGGCTTCCACTAGCCCTGGGGTGGAGAAAACATTTTGGCTCCAGGGGCTGATTTTTTCCAGGCCCCATCCCGCAGGACAACTTGTGGGCAGAATAACTCACCTGTGTATCACATGTCATTATGATGTCATATGGTTGTCCTGCCTGCCCATTCAAATCCCCTGCATATGGTGTACCCCAAGCATTTGGGAACCATAGCTCAAGGGGCATTGCTGCCCCATGTGTTGCACCATGGGAATAGAAAGGAGAAAGTAGTCTGCATTTTGCAGGCACTGCCAGCAAGTGGAACTTCTCATTGTCAATGCTTGCAAAAGGAATCTTTCTCCCCTCTCTGTTAGCTCTATGCTTGGCGCTTCTCAAAGTGTTCAACATAGGGCTAGCAAAGGCTTTTTTCTCCCCTTTTGATCAAGTGATCAGGAGCAGAGAAAGACGCCTGAATTTTTCAAGTATTGACTGTATACAGGAGAAATCCCTCTCTCAGTCAATGCCTGCAAAATACCAGGGCTGACTGTCTTTGCAGCCAAACTGAGCTGGACTTAATCCCTTGCTTGTCAGCTAAACCAAGGATTGTATACATTAAAACATTAAGAAACTTAAATGAGAACACCACTATTCAATTTAGTTCACATGAAACTAAATATTGTGAGAATGCAAATCTACCTTAATTTTATTTGCTTCTCTTAGAATTGGGATAAACGTACTTATTTATTTACAAGGTTTCTTACCCACCCTTCACCCATAATGTCCCAGGGCAGGTTACAACATGTGTGTGTGTGTGTGTGTGTGTGTGTGTGTGTGTGTGTGTACTTTATCAGCTGTTCTATAGCAAACAGAAAATTGGAAAGGAAATGTGGGTTAATCCTATTGCGCTGCTACAATACAAACCTGACTTTTTCTTTGTGACATTTAGCCAATGCTTTACAGAGGCTAGGATCAGGACACAAGTCAAGGGGCGACTGACCCTTCTTATTACGAATACCAAGGTCAGCTCCGTTAGCTGCCAGGAAGCAGGCAATAGATGCTGCACTCTTCTTTTCTGCTCCCTGAGTACCCAGTCCCATTATCAACTGAAAGAAAGTAAATTCGCAACTAATGATGTACCTGAAAAATAATATCTTATGAGAAAACAAAACCAACAAGACAAAACTGTATCATTAATAGATCTGAGCAAATACTAGCCCTGAAGTGTAACTTCATGCAGTTAGTTATTTTCAAAGTTCCTTGAACAGAGTGAAAGACTGTATCGTCTGGTAGTATCAAACAATGCACGTGCAGAGTTCCAGTGGCATAGTGAGGGGGACTACCAGGTTGCCTCAGAAGATAGCGGATGGCGGGTTTTGCTCCGGTTGAGCAGCTCACTTGCTGTGAGAGCTGGGGGGAAGCACAGAGGCAATGTGTACCCCCAAAGAGAGCCCAAAGGATAAATTTGGGCATCTAACAGTCCAGCGGCATCAAGGTTTTAAAGCTCTCTCAGTGCTTTCTGGATCAGGAAGTGTTGCCCTTCCTCTCCCTCTCCCCACATACCATCTAAATCTGCTCCTTAGAGTCCTCCTACCCCATGCAGCTGATTCTGAGTATGCATGGGGAGCTGCAGAGAACATGAGAGGAGGAGGAAATTCCACTGGGAAAGTCCACTGCACGAGTGGAGCGCTGGTGTTGGATATGATGCATGATGTTGACAGTTCTTTTGTACCAAGCCATTCATCCCACGTACCAACCCTTCGTGTGCAACTCAGCACAATTCTGGCGTTTGCCATATTTTTAAGTTCAACTCTAGCCCCCATCTGCTGTTAACACTACTGCCATAAAAATCACATAATTTCTCTGCAGTTATTTTTTCCTATTGTTCTGCCTCAATGAAACAACTTGAATAATAACTCACTTTCCTAGTATATACAACCACACAGACAAATATGCTCAAAATACTATCCAAAATGTATATATAAATTCTATTGTCAGTTTCTATCGTTTAGTACAAAGCATACAACTGAAAAGTTAGAAGCCATGCATACTATAATTATTTAGCTCATTTTTGTTCTGGATTACTGCTTGTTAATTCAAATGACATTTTATGAACTTTTAAAAAAAAATTTAAGCTGATTACCAAAATCAGAAATATTTGGGGATTTAAAAAAAAAAGTTTTTCTACCAAAGTTGTCCATGATAATATGCCAAACTAATTCTCAATTGGCATTTATATTTAATGGAATATTATCTTTAAATAATTGCTTTTCAGAAAACAGAAAGCAGTCCAAAACAAAACAGGATCTTGCAACATACTGCAGAGAGAAAGTATAGTAGAGAAGAAATAAATAAATTCAAATTATTTACTGTGTTCTTCGATGGCTCCCAAGCAGTATCTACCTTGCCCACATCTTGCATGTCTTGGAGCTGACGAAGCTGTGACAAAGTATGATGCCTCAGGGCTTCATGGAGGGGTGTATCCCCATCTTTATCCTGAATATCCAGTTTAGCACCTGCACGAACTAGAAGCTGAGGAGAAACAATTCAACATTTTGAACATTTCTTTTCTCACATAATGAGTCATAGACACATTAGAAACTCTGAAGTGCACAATAGCACATTAATTTGCCATGCAAAGTCACTTTAATTATGTTCAGACTTATTTGTATCTTTTATGCTATACGGTGGTACCTCTGGTTAAGTACTTAATTCATTCCGGAGGTCTGTTCTTAACCTGAAACCATTCTTAACCTGAGGTACCACTTTAGCTAATGGGGCCTCCCACTGCCACCATACCGCTGTCACACAATTTCTGTTCTCATCCTGGGGCAAAGTTTTTAACCCGAGGTACTACTTCCGGGTTAGTGAAGTCTGTAACCCGAGGTGTTTGTAACCCAAGGTACCACTGTATACTTTAAACTCTGTTTTTACCAAATCTAATTTTAATCTCAAGAAATATAACTAGCATACAATTTGATATGTCAGAGTTAAGTAACAAGCTGATAAGAATGGGCTGCATCTAATAGTTGAATGGCTGGGGAAATGCAGCCAGATGGGCAGGGTATAAATAATAAATTATTATTATTATATTATTATTATTATAGTTGCATGACCAGAAGGCAGCTCAGACAACCAAACTTGCTCTTCCTCTTTCGCTGCAGCCTAACACCCCCTCCAAAGTCTCTCCATGGGGTTGGGGACAGGGCTCCAGAATAGTGCAGGCCACAATGTACAGGAGGAGTGAGACTGCACTGTGCAAGGTTCCCCCATCTGAGTTCAGATTATTTTCCCCACCTCCCACTATTCAGGAATCTATTTAGTGAGGCTTATCGGGAAATACAAGGGCTACAGAGAGGGAAGAGGCAAAGAGATAGGTGGCACAAGCTGTCTTCCTTTCATGCAACCATTGGGACACAACAAAAAGAGAGTTCTATAAGCAGCTGCTTCAATTCACTGATATTGTAAATATACATTTATTTCATTTGACCAATCCCACCTCTGATGCCTCCCTATTTCCAAATTCAGGAATATTAATATAGTTGGGATAAAATGAGGCAAAATACAAGTTTGCTGTGAAAATGTAAGGAGTATAAGCTCAGTTCAGACATTGCACTACACCATAGCTTAGCATGATAGGAACGAGCTACAACAAGCCTTGGGATTATGTCATCCCGAATTCTCCTCTGGGACAGCCACAAGGCATAATTCAGAAGTGTTGTTGTGCAAATAAATCAATGTACCCTACTTTTCAATCTACAATAGAACTAGCGAGAATATCGAAAGCAAGTGTATATTTCTTTTTTTTTTAATGTTAATATAGCAACAGACAGTATGTGTTTGAACAGAATTTAAGCATGATATATACTAGAGAGAATGAGCAAGCATATATATTGCAGGGTCCACACAACAGGAATTGTGTGCTTGTAGCCTGGTAAAAGAAAAAAGCACCTAATTGTGCAACTGTAACCTACAGTCTGAGAAACTGCCTTATGGTCTACTATTGGTATCTTACCCGCACTATTTGGGTGTGCTGTCGTTCTACAGCAAGGTGCAGTGCTGTTTGTTGATTTACATTCTGGATATCCAGGTTAGCATTGCCCTGAAAGAGATGTTTCAATTGTTACTTATTAACATTAAAACCAACAAGAAATCCTGAACTGGACCTTTTCTTGGTCCCAAAAGCCAAAAAATATTTCATCTACATATTAGTTCATGAGGCTAAAACCAAATGAATATCTAACTATTTATAATAGCATACATTAAATATTGATCATGTGACATGAAAACCGCATTAGATCTTTCCATTAGTCATCTTTAAAACCCAATTTATACATAAGAGCATAACACTACTTGCAAATGGAATTAACGTAAGCAACAACCCTCAAAATGTCATACTAGATTAGACATTCAGTTGGTAACTTTCCCACTTGCTTACAATAAGGACAGCTGCTTCTGAATGAGCATCTTACCAAATGCGCAACTTGAGCTACACTGGGACTAGCTGGTAAAATGGAGTGGGGCAGGCTTTCTTCCTGCAAGGCTAACTAGTATGTGGTGGCTGTGAAAAGTGCAAATTCCATGCTTGGGATAATGAGGAAAGGAATGAAAGGTGCCAGTAGTATTATGAAGTTATACAAATTTATGGTGTGACCGCATTTGGAATACAGTTCTTGTTGCCTCACCTCAAAAAGGATATTGTAGGGGTTAGAAAAGGTTCAGAAAAAGGTAACCAAAATGATCAAGGGGATTGGGCAACTTCCTTGTGAAGAAAGGTTGCAGTGCTTGGGACTTTTTAGTGTGGAGAAAGTGGCCTGGAGAAGGTGGGTAGAAAAGTTTTCCCCCTCTCTTATAATTATAGAGCTCATGGACATCCAATGAAGCTCAATGTGGAAGACTCAAGACGGATAAAAGAAAGTATTTCTTCACGCAGCACACAGTTAAACTCTGGAACCCGCTTCCCCAGGAGGCAGTGATGGCTACCAGCCTGGATGACTTTAAAAGAGGATTCAAAAAATCCTAAACAAAAACATGAGAGGGCTATCAAGGGCTACAAGCCATGATGGCTATGCTCTGCCTCCACAGTTGGAGGCAGCAATGCTTCTCAATAGCAGTTACTAGAAGCCACAGGAGGGGAGAAGGTTCTTGTGTTTGAATCCTGCCTGCAGGTTTCTCACAGGCACCTACCTGGCCAGCCACTGTGAGAAGAGGATGCTGGACTGGATGAGTTATTGGTCTGGTCCAGCAGGCTCTTCTTCTGTTCTTACAAGAATGGTAATCACTAAAAATCAGGGTCATTGTAAAATACACTAATATAACGTAGAAAATGTGACTTCGTCATATCAGAATTGGCAAAACAGATCCCTCAGAATATGTGCGTTTTCCACTGATCTACCTCTACAAACACACCAGTGTTGCATGGATTATGGACAGGGCCACAGCTCACTACAAGAATACATGCTTTGCATGCAAAAGGTCCTGGATTCAACTTATGGTATTTCCACAGTTGCCTCAAGTAGCAGGCAATGATAAAAGAACTTTTCCAGACACCATGGAAAGTCAGTGACAGAGTAGACAATACTCACTGTACATTTGTACATGTACAAATGATCTAACTCATTAAAAGGCAAACCGGCATAGAAAAAAAGTTTTGGAGATATCTTTTTTTTAAAAAATTGCCAAAGTATATTTCTAAAAAAACCCTTACCTGATGCACCAAGAGTTCTGCCACTTCCACATGATTATTAAGTGCTGCCAAATGCAAGGCAGTATAGCCATCATCTTTTTTCTCATCTACAATCCATGGTCTTGGGAGCTTAGACAGTAACACCCTCATTGCACTGAAATAAAATATAAAGTACTGTATTGTTATCCTGTAATGGTCCAATGGTCAAGTTGCAGATATTGGGCAACATTCCACCTGTTTCCATAATGGAAATCCATTCGTGCAATAGGACTCCTGTTTTTCTTTGTGCCTACTCTAGTCTCCGCATACTCCCAAAATCTGTTGGGATTCTTTTCTAAGTAAGTTATTTTTAATCACTTTAGCGAGATTCTTTGAATTTTACTAAATTTTCATCCTAACTTTCAAGCTCAATGAGAACTATGCAAAAAGGACATTATTACATTCCAGAAGTAATAAATTATAAACAGCTTCCCAACGTTTATCATGAAGGTGATGTTGTACCAATGTCCTAATTATGCAGTGATATGGCGTTGGCCTGAAGAAAGAAAATAATGACTTTCTTTTTTACAGACGTACATATGTAGAATGTCTACTTCCAACCCTGCCCTCAATCTCAGCTTCTTCCCTGTGATTAAGTTACTTCACATTCAGGAATGATGTTCATGCAGCTCATGTACCACCTGGTGTGCTTCAATCTGCTAGACTGACACTACATATTTTCTTCCTATTAACTTATATGAATGGAATTCAGATACAAGATTCTATGGCAGCAACAGTGCTCCACTGCTTTTTTCTTTAGAAAATTTCCCCGGCTTTTAAACTATGATAATTTCCCAAGAACTTACATGGAACCTAGTACTTTGGTTAGAACAGAAGGTGCTGCTAGGGGAGTACAGAAAGGAAATGTATGTGTGTTATACCTTACATATATTTAATTCAAATGTGTAAACAGTGGAGGGAGCTAGGCAGGAGAATCCAGACATGGGGTGTCACCAGAGAAAGTGGCCATTATCTATCTAATTATCATCCATCTGACATTTGCAGGTTGCAACATGGAAAAAGGCATGTACAGGTAATACCAGGGAGTCCTTGTGATAGAGCTAAGGTTAAATAATTCTTATTTGTCAATTATTTTATATTGCACATACATATTGTATTTCCAACACATTATTCCTTTCAAATATTTTAAAACATTTAATAAGGGATGCTGTCCCCCACATCCTCTCTACTCCCTTTTCTGAATGCTGCATGTTGGAGTTTCCTGCAACAGCAATAACCATCCTTCCCTTCAGCAGTCCTCCCATAAATGGAGAGCTGTGATTACAGGAATGCTGCATAGAAATTACTTGTTTGAGGTCCATCTGATTGGAGTCCACCCCTAATTGCTTGCAATAAGGTATTTTATCAAGAGATGAATAGGAAATACCATCTTTTTAGCCATGTTTAATATATTGTTTTGTCTGCTGTTTTCACTATTCATAAGATATACTGCAGTATTTCCCAAGCTCAACTGCCCTTGCGCTATGAAAGATTTTAAAATAAAACTAAGCACAGTTTTTCCATCTTGCTTATTAACAGATTTAGGTTCAATTCTTCAAATTTTGATTTGTTTTCACACACAGAAGTATTTCTGAAATGGCATTACATTTAAATGCTGCTTATTCCTTAGTTTTTTCTCAGTATCTTTCCCCTCGTTTTGATGTCTAATGCCTCAAAACAGAGTCACAGATGCTCGAGGCTTGTAAATTCAAGATAAAAAAAATCTAGAAAAACCTAAGTAGAAACAGAATACCTCACTTTATTTGACATTGCTAAAAACATATCAGCACAAATGACTGAGCACTGTTGGGACTGCAGGATGAACAATCAATAGAGAAAGAAAGATAGAGCCACGCTCTGCCCCTGGAACTGCAACCAACAGCCGAGATACTATTTTTTGCAATGGTTGACTAAATATGGTCAGGGAAGAGAGAGGCAGAAGAGAGTCTGTTTGCCTGGGAGTGGATGTTTTGAATGCTTAGCTGCCTATAAAGCTGAAACAGTTTTGCTCGCTCACTCTGAGAGGCAAATAGATCCAGTCGAAATAGCATGCATGTGGGAGCCCTGACCTTAACAACATCTATTCGACATCTGAAGACAGAAAATAGCTACAACAAATCTGGCTGGAAACTGAAACCCAAGGAAGAAGAGAGACGAAGCGCAACATCTGAAGTGAAGGAAGGGGGAAATACTTTATTGGGGGGTGTGTGTGTGTGTGATGCAGGTGCATGCTTAATTTTTAAGATTTCGTGAACATTTTTTTCATTGTTTTCAACTGACAAACAAGAAGACTTTGTCCTGCTTTGGGTTTCCTAGCAGCCTTACCCTGGATATTTTACTTTCAGTCTTGCAGCCACAAGGAACTTGTTTCCACGCGTCCACATAGCAGATACCTATTAAAATTCCTGTTTACGTTTTAGATGTAACTATTTTAGAAAGTGAAATATGTATTCACTTTCACCTTCTCACTGCTCCCCCTCCCACATAACGAAGAGCTGAATCAGCGAATAGAGTGAACACTCAAGATGAGATGGCTGCTGCTGATGTCTCTCTCTAGGTCACTACCTCTCTTCCAACTGCAAATGCTGCATGATAAGCTTACAGGTAACAGAGCATTAGAAGTCCTAAATTATTCCACATGTTTAAAGGATTCCTGTCTGCATGTATCATTTAATAGATTGTTTTTGTTAATCTCTATTGTATGTAACACTTATTGCCAGTGTGTTTAAGTATCAAGCATCTGTAAAGAGTAAATTTGGAAAAATCCTATTTAACCTAAAAACCACAGACAGGTACCTGTTTGACAAGCAATCTTGTCTGAGCTGTATTTTAGAACATTGCATCCATTGCTATCTAAGCAATTTCTAAAAGTATTAATTTTAGAGAAATGCATCTCTTCGTTCTCCCTTTCAAACCACATCTAGCTAGCATTTTGTGACCATTTTATTATAGTAAGGAAAAAGGATGGCAATGCATTAACTGCACAACACTTTTACCAAGAGAGAACATGAAAGGTATTTTATTCTTAAGCATGATTACAATCCAGTTCAAATCTGAAAACAAGCAAGTTATAATTCTTATGCTGCATTGCTGTTCCTCCTTGTAGTACTGTGCTAGCTACTGCTAGGCTCTGATTTGCTCTCTATCAGCTGCACTAGCTTTTTGTCATGGGCTGCAGAAATTGAACATACATGGTTTTTCTCTTGCCTGACTACCATTTAGATGTTTTACTCAAGCTTTTCTCTAAATTAATACTTATGAGAACCTATTTCCTTGTTCAGATCACGAATCAATGTCACAAATGCAATTAAGCATCTTTCAAAACTGTTATTTGTACATTTCACCTCTTAAAAAATAGCTGACCCCACAAACAAATTTTTTAGGTTTTTGCCACCTGATTTTGTAATTTCTATGCCACACTAACAGATTCAATAGAAAGAGATGGAATTAATTAGATAGCTAAATATTGCAATATATCTGATATAGTAAATGTAGTAAGCTGGCAAATGACTCTGTATTGCAAATATAGGAACTATTGCATGAACTTAACTATTTCATAAATGTTCAGTATGGACCAGCTCACAATCCGTGAACTAGAGCCAACTATAGGCCAAATCCTAACATTTAGAAGATTTCCCGTCACCCGCTTTGAATTTTGTACTCAGCATCATCTTCAATAACTCGATAAAAAAAATTGTGGGAACTACAACAAATTACTAGAATTGGGATTTTTACAAAGAAACCCATTTCCATTTTATTTGGATAATTGCCGTCAGCTTCTAGAATGAACAGAATTAAATATGGATGCAGACAGCCAACAAACCAAGCTCAAAGTGGAGTACAACATCCCATTTCATGGATATAATTGGTACAGCCAACTTTTGATGAAGGCACATTATTCTTCATATGCAAGCTTAATTGACAGTAAGAAGAAACAGAATTCCAGACAAGTACCTGAAATCCTCATAGACAAACAATGACTTTTAATATGCTTTAAACTACTGTGCAGGTAAACTACACTGTGAATTTTAGCTTCACCAGCAGATTAAAACAAAAACCAGTTCCTGAAATTAATTGGGAACAATTATTTTGCACTTTAGGATAAAGAAAAAATGTTTTCAGTTTCAACTGGCAATTAGCAGCTGTTAAAACCTGTTCAGAGCACATACTTCTTTATGTACCCATATGCGAATACAATATTATGGAATGTAAAGAAGTATGTATTTTTGGCAGGTATGAACTACAACTAAAAGAAAACTGAACTAAGCTGATCAAAGAATGAGGAATCCACTTTAGTTGTATTTGGGTGAAAGGATCAGGTGAATAGTAGTACAATTTGTGAAACATTAACATTTGTCTAAGTGTTGCATGTATCTTCATTGCCAGAGTAATATTGGTTGTAGAAGCAGACACTTCATTTTCTATCCTAAATCTATCCTAAGAAAATAAAATCAACATCACTAGAATAAACAATAAAAACATGACACTTGTGTAAGCATGTAGGTGTGAGAATATCACTACTAATCAATTGAGGGTCATAACCTTTTTTTTTTTTTCAATTTAGCTGAAAACTCAGGGTAAGTGGATTTGATATTATGGCACAATGACATCTAAGCCATAAGGCACCATATACTTGCAAGTAGCCATCTCTAAATTCTCATTCATTTCATGTGTAAAGCTTTCATATGTCAGCAACCATATGTCTTTAGTTCCCAAAGGCTTGTTTTCAAAAATCAGAAGAATGCTAATTAAAGTTTTGAGAAATTTAAAGATGGTAGATTAAATCTGAATATCATGAGGGAAAATTTGAACCTCAAAATATGAAATTACCTTGTTATTTGTTAAACAGGTTTTCTGATTAAGAGTTAAGAAATGAAATGCTTGCTCTACCCCTAAACTATTACTTGCAAGAACCAAGTAAAAACTGAAAAAACAAGAGCTGAATAAATAAACATTCATAATACATATATTAATTCAGCTCATATTAACATTTCATATATCAAACAATTCATAAGTAGTACAGATTCTCAAAACCAAATTCTAGCTGTTACTAAATGGAGTAATGTTAAAAATATCAAAAGTTTTCAAATATATTAAAGATGTGAATGTTTCTTATTACGTAGATTTGAAATATAAAGTTATGGTTTTTGTGTATGTTGCAAGCACATTTTGTTTTAACCAGCAACCAATATTTAAAGATAGTTTGTAAAGCAACACTGGTATTATAACTAACACTACAATCAACTAATTTATAATCTAACAGCAGAATTCACTAGCAGCAAAGGAATCAAACCTTGCTTATTTCTATGAAGCACTGCTCATTTCTAGAAATAGGGCACCTAAGCAACAAATTAAAGATTAACTTTTGAAGGCTCACATTCTTAAAATTGAGCATTAACATGAGTCAGACTTTGCACCTTTTCCTGCACCAGTATTGTAAACAAGCAGCAAAACAAACCTTAGATAAAAATCACATAGAACTCGGTAAAGTCTTGTTTCTCTTAGAGCATAGCCACACTATAATGTCATCCCCATCACTTAGGTCAGCTGTTGAATTCTAGCTAAGCACAAGCTGAACTCTGGACATCTGCTGACACAGTTGTAACTCAAACATCTCAACCATTTGACTGACAAGGATAGCAGATGCTGACATTATCAAATGCTTCCATGCTTCTTTCCATGGTCACTTTTTATCCTGATATAGCCAGTACATGAAACTATTGCCATCCAAAAGAACACTCGAGCAGCTGGACCTGTACAACAGTTTCCATATAACTGATAAAAATAGATACCAGTTTTATTGCTGCTCAAGGTTTAAGCCAAATATGTGCCATTTCTATATTTAATAACAAGGAATGAGTGCATATTTACAGAAATCTCATCACCACCAGGGCACTTTGCAACAAAACTGGCAGGATACATTTAATGTATGCATTATTAATATATAAGTTGAATATTACTCTTCCTTTCAATTGCCTCAGTGTAAGCCTTTAAATATCATATTGATTTACTGCATGTACTGACATTTCTTCAAAATCAAAAGTATATGCACTTTTAACTCTGATATCAAGGGTTATGTATTATGATAATTGAAACAACAGGAGAGGTAAGAACTGTTTATGTAAAACACAAACACACACACACACACACACACACACACAGATGTTCTAGATTGAATAAACATTACTACAGAAAAGGCCTTGTAGCACACAGAAATATGAACCAAGGTTGTTCCAAAGTACAACTATAGAAGCATTTGTCGAACACCACTAGCAAGCTAACATTGCTCCCTCTTCACCTTCCCATAATCAGTTCTCTGTCAACAGCTGCTGTAATTAAATGTGGCAGTAGCAAACTAATATAAAAATAGTATTCTCTTTAACTGAAGTAATCCCCTTGGGAGATAAATATGATACCCGATAGCCAAGAGAAACACATTACTAGTATTAAATAGTTCAACATTCACGAGAACATTCAGTTTTAAGGCCATGACTTAAAATCTTCTTTTATGAATCTTCTATTATGATTAGAAGTTACGATCACAAAAAGCATACAAAGAGAACAAAACCAACTATTGCAAGCCACGAAAATGTTTTCTCCTATTGTTTAACATTTGGAGTTTCACTTTTTTGAACTTTTTATTATAGAAAGATGAGCCATTTAGGGAAACTTTGGAAAATTGTAAATTTAAAAAGGAATATATACTGCATACAGAACTTGTATTCACACAACAACACTTTAATGAACACAACATGGAAACAATTGTATGCCTCTTAAACTTCAATGCTTTGCTAAAGCTGGTAAAATGGAACCAAATCACTTGTTTAATGGATTTGGTCCCCTTCAACCAGCTGTAGCTATGTATTGATCACTACAGGACAAATGCTTTCATCAACAAGATATGTTAATAATGGAAATAAGAAAATATTCAAGAAAAAGAAGGATTTTTAAAAGCAGTCAAGCACATGAATGCAAACAAACGATCAAAAACTGACCACCAGCATCTATTCCTGGCAAACTTATAGTAGGGACCTCACTTCCAAACCAAAATCCACAATATTGGAAATTGTGTCTCATCCGCACATTCTTATTGTATATCAATATGAATTTGAGGTTAACAGGTCCTCTTGCTTTATGTCACTGGTTTGTTTTTTAAAAAGAGAGTAAATGTATGTCAGCTCTTATAAAATAAATGCAAAATACATGTAAATATATTTGTGCTACAATTCCTCTATTTTAATACTATCTTTGTACAACTCAAATTAAGTTTAAAGAGTAGCAAGCATTCACTAAGACCTCTTTTCTATTGTGTTCTACAAAAATTAACAAAGATGAAAATGAAGCTAGAGTGTTTTTTCAACACCAAAGGGCCAATACAGATATCAAGCACCACTAGCACTACTATAAAAGCTTAAGATGAGATGAATCTGTGATAGCAGTACTCTTTTACAAGGGCATTATGGGGTCAAAAACTATCCTATTAAATTAGGTCAAACTGATATGGTTAACATGCAACTATTATAGATCAAGTCATAGTTTGGAGAAAGTAACTATTGGCATTGCTCCAGGGCTGAAGCAGTAGGATCTAAGACTGAGTTGATAAGCTTGTTAATAAATTCAAAGAAGAGTAGGGGAAAGCATTGCAAGCAGTCTAATTTTATAGTTATCACATGACTAGAAGTACAAGGTAAGTACAATAGCTTTTACTAAAGCTTTGGGAAAGCAATCGGTGTCCAGATAAAAAGTAATTGTGTAAGCAACGGGAACAAATTAAGCAAACTTAAGTACACTGTAAACTTAAGTACATCTTTCTGGAAATAAATCCCATTGAGCTTAATGAGTTTAAGTTCTGAGCAGACATGAAGAGCATTCACTTTTAAATTAACTATGACCTGGTTTGCACATAATACTACGACAGACTATGACTTAGCACATGAAGCGAAGAGTGCAGCTGCTTTGCTTCTCTATCCAGTCATGCTGGTGCTGTGAACTAAAATGTGGTTTGGTTTAACATGTCATCTGAAACCAGGCTCATGGTTTCTCTTTCTTGACAATCACAAGCTGCAAACCTTCAATAAACTTTGTTACAGCTCATGACTTGTCTGGAGCTAAGCCAAACCATGCCTAAATTCACAGCAGAAAGAAAACCAGAGGAGGAGCAAAGCAGCTACAATCTCTTCTCCAGGAACCAGCATGCAAAGTGAAGCTATACTTCTAAGAAATGCTAAGATTTATAGAAAAATATTAAATGCCAGGATCCTGGCATTTATTTAAACATCACCTTTTAGGATACAATTATAGGACCCAAATTAGAATGGGAGAGATGAACTAATTGTTTCTATTGAAATACATTGTTGTGAGTTTGTGCAGCAAAGAAACAATACATTTACAACGTAGTTAAAACATTGCTTTCATTTTCTCTGAACAGTAGCACACACACACATACACAGGTCATACACAAATGGCTAATATTTTTTAAATAAAAAATGAGGGCCGCACCACACAGATGCAGAGATTGTCTATGCCAAGCAAAATGTCCTGAATTATTTCTTGCCCACTGGGTCCAACTATCCCAACTCTGGGCCCATAATGGAAGCATGACATTTTTACAGGGTCAATGTGCATAAAACTCAGTGAATACATAACTAATGATATAAGGATCTTGCTAGTGTAATTATTTAGCTACAGTAACTTGTGGACTATTGCAATGCACTCAATTTGGGGCTGTCCTTGAAGACAATTCAGAAACTTCAATAGGTCCAAAATGCAGCAGATTACTAACTGGGATTCTATCTTATAACCTCTGTTTTAAAACTGCTGTAGTGGCTGCCAGTTAATTTACAGGCGCCCAATTCAAGGTGCTCATATTAGTGTTTAAAGCCTTTCTTTAAGGGCCTTTCTTTCTGCCAACCTCTATCCTTACTGACCTTAAGATATGCAGAGGAAGGTCTCTTTGTAGTTCTATCACCAGCCACCATATAGGGGCATAGAATCTCCTGCTCAAGAGCAGGGCAGCAGGCCATCCAAAGCTATAAAAGTTTCCAAATGCTGTTTTGCACAGTGCAGATCCCATATAATCTCTTCTAGTATATATTTTTCTTAGGCTGTCTTCACACTAGTTTGCAGTGTCATCTACCAACAGGTGGCACTGTAAATGACAGTGCACCTACAGCCTTCTGAGAGCTGCAGAATTATGGCAGCAGAGAGTAGTGGAGGATTGAGGTGCTGGGAAGCATTTTCTTATGCAACTCTAATACTTGGGAAATGTGCCTTTATTTCTAACTTTGAGGACCAGTGTCATGGTTTTGATACATTAGTTACTAGCTATTTCATTCCAAAGCTCTTCTATATCAATCCTCTTCATGGTTTCTATCAGCATACCTCAAATGTATCACTTCTTTACCTATTCAGTTACCTGAATTTTTAAGCAATGAGAATACAATTTCATTCTCAACACAATAATATGTTATAGCCATGTACTGGTAGCCTAAACAGTCCCACATGATGGCTATTATCAGAGTCCAAAAAGAAGGAAATATGGTGGCAATCAGATAAATATGGGCAGGAGTTAACAACACAGGATAAAAATAAAGCATTGAGGTGGGATGGAAATACAAATGCAGTTACACATGAAACATGTCATAATATAAACTGCACATGTGTACACAGGCCCTGAATTGTGTCTGAATAGCAGCATATATTACAGTGGAACCTTGGTTCTCGAACTTAATTCATTCCAGGAGTCCATTTGACTCCCGAAACCAGTTCTGCAATGCTCACTTGGGCTGCTGAGAACCTTTAAACCACTTAGCAACAGAAAAGCCATAATGTACAAATGAAACTTGCATCTGAACAAATGTATAGTCTTTCCCACAATGAAATCTATTTTTTCTTCTTGATGAACTTTAGGAACTAACAAATGTTTACTGTACCTTGGATTTCCTCTTAGTGCAGCATGATGGAGAGCATTAAATCCATTGTTATTTGTAATAGTAACATCTGCTCCAGCTTCTAAAAGTACGGCCAAGATGTCATCACGTTTTTTACTTATTGCATCATGAAGGGGTGTGTCGCCCTCAGAATCCTAAAAATAGGCATTAGTTAATTCCTGCTTATACTGCATATTTGCAGAGAAAACGTCTGATGCAAAAGTTACATTTAGTATTTTGTGTTATATAAAGATTACATCTATGCAGAATATAAAAACACGAATGTTAACTTGATCAATGCAAAATGTGACTTTTGATAAAATACTATGATCTTTTAAGAGGGCTCCCCATGTTTCAGCTGAGCTTGCTTTCCCCATTCCAATAACCTCCACTGGGCTATCTAAGGACTATCATGCCCTGAGTGGAGGAGGAAAAGATAGAAAAGACTGGAGAGCAGCCCATCATCTAGCATCTAGCTCCCTATATTTCAGCTGAAGTGGTCCTGACTTCTCCTAAACTATTCCAGTAGGCTACTCAATACCTATCTTGACCTGAGGGGAGGAGAAATACAACTTTCAATATAACTTTTCCCCTTTGTAGCTTCTTTTTGCTGCTTCATTCTACAATTTTAATTTATGCTTACTGTTTCTATGTAAACCGCTTTGTAAGGTTCATCTGAATAGCAACATGTATTACAGTGGAACCTTGGTTCTCAAACTTAATCTGTTCTGGGAGTCAATTCGACTCTTGAAACCATTCGAAAACCAAGGCGTGGCTTTTGATTGGCTGCACTCAAAAGCACTCAGGTGGAAGCTGTGTCAGACATTTGGTTTGCAAACCAAAGCACTTACTTCCAAGTTTGCAGTGTTTGGGAGCCAATTTGTTCGTCAACTAGGCAGTTCAAGAACCAAGGTTCCACTGTATATAAAAAATGTAAGTAGAGACCAACCATATATTAAAAGAACACCAGGTATGATGAAAATGTCTAATACATTTCCATCATGTTTGAGGAATTCCAATAGTTATTTTGTCATTTGTTTGGAAATTGTATCTGTAGTATCTGTAAATACTAAGCGTAGTTTCCACACACTATTTAAAGGACACCTCTTGTATAGCGTGTTGAAATAGTCCAATGTCGACATAACCAAAGCATATACCAAAGAATGCTTCGCTACTAGCCTGCAGGAGCATAGCTGTGTATGGAAGTGTTCCCAGACTGTAAACCTGATAAGGTGATACCTATCCCATTCAGAAGAGGTTGAACACCCATTTCCAGATCAGCTTGTTCACCCTCATCCAGTTCATTACAGCCTCTCAACACTGACTAAGAGTTTCCACTGCCTTCCTGGCATCTGATGGGAGAGTGTTGGGTGCCATCAGTATGATTGCACTCCAGATGGCACTCCAGATCTCTAGATAACATCTTGCAATGTAATACATCAACACACCATGCTATCACTGAACATACATGCACTCTATTAATGATGAAGCCCTTACTATCAGAGGAAACCAACTTCATTGAAATTTGAGACATACTGTTTCAATCAATAGCAGAAGATCCCCGAGATTACAAAAGTTGTCTGTCTATGATCTAAACTATTAAACACCACAGAAGATCAACAACTGAACTGATAGTAACATGTTCAAGTCAAATCGAAGAAATAATAGCAACAAATCAAGGTTATGATTGCATAGATCAATGTTATAATGCATGTTTAAGGTCATAATTGCATATATTTCCATATACATATCAATGTATACAGCAAGAAAAACTGCTCAAATCCAACAATTATATGGAAATTTGGAGGCAGATCCCATTTTATAACTTTAATGTTATTTATGTACATTCAAAAACTCCACGTTTACATACATTTTATTGTATCAAAACAAATAATAAACAGGAGCTTAAATTACCTGGAGGCTGGGGTGGCAACCAAAGTCCAGTAATGTCTTTACTACTTGGAGATGACCTTTATTAACAGCAATATGAAGTGGTGTCTGTCTACGTTTATTGCGAGCATTGAGATCTGCACTGCCTCTGTGCAAAACTTCTATTACAGCTCCTTCATCACCAAAAGCTGCATGGTGAACAGCCCTGTCTCCATCTTTGTCCTAAATGATCAACATTCAGTGGAATTAGTCATATTACTCTTGCACTGGACAATAACTCTGGCTCATGATTAAGCACTTTCTATACCAATAGCAAAACTGTCTTATACAGGTCTTCACAACATGAATTTCGTTACTGAACCAACCAATATCTACTGATATTTTATTTATGTTTTATGGATACTTTTACTGTTTTTATTATATCGTACAGGTTGTATGCTGCCTATATATTTCTTCTGAAAGAGAGGTTTATAAATATTAAATAAATAAATAGCCACAAAGCAAAATGCTGCAATGGCATAAAACATCACAATTATCCTAACAGAGAAAGAATAAATGAGAATACTGTATAAAGTACAGTCCATGTGACATTTTGGCAAGATGTAAACAACACAAATTGCACTACTTATGCATCACACCAGTTATTTTGCTGTTAAAATGTACAACTATTCCATGTAATAGTCTAGTGAAGCTACAATGCAAAGACTAGGGCAGAATTCTACAGTTTAGTAGGGTAGCACAAGCTGCAGGACACAGGTTTCGTGCCTCTTCACTTGAAAGTGCAGTCCCTATCACAATATGGATGTCTCATCTCTTGAATGGCCACTGTTAAACTATGTAATTATCACAATTTGTATTTTTCTGCATTTCATTTCCTTCTGACCTCACTGTTTACAATTCTCTCCCCAAGGTACAGGCATATATGTACATACCTGCAACTCAGGATAATAGGATAATATTGAATACATCAGATGAAGTGGACAATAGTCCACAAAAGTTTATTAATATGTCTGTTAGTCTTTTAAGATGCCTCAAGGCTATGGTGTTTTTGCTTAAAAAGACCGGAAACAATCAAATTAAACAGATTGCAATAAAAGGAGTCATAAAAAGTAAAAATATTCCTTAGCCAGAAACATTTATAAATGACGAGTCTGAAAGTTTAAAATCATTATGTAACACTAAGTGACTTCTATTCGTAGCATTTAGTTGACAAAGATTTAAATACCTCAGCTTCTACATCCACATTCTGCTTCAGAAGCAATTTCAAAATATCAACATGCCCATTCTGACTAGCAGCTTGCATAGCTGTGTGTCCTGCACACTGCCCATTCACCTGGAAATACATGATAAATCAAGTCAAGGCAGCTTACAAATACAGCATACATTTATTATATGTACATATGCTCAAGAACTGCACCAAACTATCTAGAGAACAAATTCAATATTGAATGACAGGTAACTAATCTAACATACTTTACAAAAAATATATTGAACACATTTTAATACTTGTCATTTGATGAACTGTCTCTTCAAATTCCAGTATCTCTTTCACTTACCAGCTTAGCTAAAGTAATCCACTATAAAGACCTTTAAATCTACTAAAGAATTTAAGATTTAAATTAAAATTCCAAAGGATTATGGAATGGGGTGTCAATGATCATCCTTAAAGTCATTTGGCTAGCTCGGATCAAATTCTGACAAATTATTATCTATTAAAACAGTACCAATATAACTACTTTTTGAAGACATTTTAAATGTGTATCAGTGTATCTGCAGATCCCAAGATACAGGGAAATCCAAAGCAATACAATCAGGTGAAGGCTACATGTCATCACTCCCTATTTCTTCTCTTGGATGAACCAGGGCATTCCACCCAAATCCTAGCTACTTGAAGGGATAATTATAACTAATATTTCAGGATAAAGCTTCCTCTTCTGGGTAAGTTGAAACAACATAAAAAAGCTTTTGACAACAATACAGTGTGCAGGTATCTAACGAAAGCAACAAGCTGAAGAACACCAGAGTTGGACTGATTTTCCCTTTTAAGCACTGTACAATTAAACTTCTTCCTTTCACTCAATGCCATTATAGCTCTAGCTGCAAAGATCATGAAAGGAAGGCCTATCTTTGTTTTGACCATTGAGAAGTGCCATTAAAAAAAACAAACCTAGAAAGGAATTGGAAGTATCTTTTTGCATTAGCAGTTAAAACATAAAGTACTCACATCCACATCTGGTCTCTTAAGCAAATCTTCCACTTTGGCTACATCTCCATTAGCAGCTGCTTTAACCAGCTCTTCATTAAGATCCCCAGATTCTTGAGTTTCAAACAGTTTCTTCAATAACTGGGACAACCGCTCTGTGAATATTATAACAATTTATTTTAATACAAATCACAATATCTGAATGTTGTGTTGCACTTGAATGAACTTCAATGTATTTATAACTCAAAAACACTCTTACGTAAACCAAACAAATCTAAAACAATGTTGCAATTTGCTCCAGAAAAATAGCAGCAAAAACAGATCCATCACTTCATAACTTAAATATTAAGAATCATTCCCTCCAATAGTGAACTTGGGTGAGTCAAGTGCCTACCCATTTAGAACTAAAACATGGCCAGCAAACAATACAGCAGCACTTCTACATATTGAGGGTATTCATATTCGTACAGAACTATAGGACTGTACATTTAAAAATGCATATAGCCCTGTGAGATTCCATGTCTTACAGAATGTTGAGGAAATAGAGATAAGAAAACACTCATTTCACTGAGTGCTCAGAATGAATGGCAAAGGCAGAAAATTGTGCCTTTGGCTCCTACCTTTAGGTGTGGCTGGACAGCAGCACAGTATGTTTCCTCCCACTTAACTCTAAAATTATGGATTTCTCTATTCTTTTCTATGGACAGCATTCACTTCTACTCCCCAAAGAAAAGAAAAGGAAGGTTCTAAAGGAACCTAAAGTTGAGCAGACTGTGAGAGTTTAGAAATACGTGTGTAGCTGAGGGCAGCTGAGACATGAAATGGCACCTGACTTGTCTGAGCTGCCAGTGGTTCACCCACAGAATTTGTCTTACCAGGATTAAATTTCAGTTTGTTGGCCTTCAATTAGCCTGACTGAGAACATGCAAGGAATTACTTCCACTGAAAATGCCTACAAGCTTTCTTGCACCATCTTGTGGACTGTCTAGTGATTATGACTGATGGAACATTTTAGCTGCATCTGACCTAGTAAGGTTGCAGTCCTACAAACGATTACCTGGAAGTAAATCCCACTGACTTCAATAGGGCTTTTTCTAAGGAGGCATGTTATTTATATCCACAACCTGCTTTTTTATTCTTCTGAAGCAATTTAGAACACCATACAACAAAAGTATCTTCTAAAATCAATTCATGTATAAAGTAAAAGTACCCAATTATCCTTCCACTCTCCTCTGGAAACAGAATAATTGACAGAACTGTTTTACATTAAGAAAATTTTATTTCCCTGAAAGTTAATGTAGTACTTTCACTAAATATTTTTCTCTTAGGTAACACACCTTTAATAATTTCACATCTTGTAGACACTAACTTTCTAACTTACCCCCAGATGCATTGCTTATAGCGGAGCCTGCTGATGCTACCTTTGACACAGCAGCTGGATTGTATGTCCAAGAAGTTCCACAAACCTCTACTTTTAAGTCACTATCTGAATAGATCTGCTGGACCCTTCCAACTTTACCTAAAGTCTACATTGAAGACAAGACAGTCAAACACATTTATTATGTTACAGCTTTGTAAGTACAGATTGTCACATCCCATACTATATTTTCAATCAAGCTGTATATACCCTAGCCTCCCCCAGTCTATTGTCTTCCAGGAGGTTTGGACTATGAGTTGTATCTAATGCAAGCCCAACTCAGAGTAGATGCACTGAAATTAATGAACATGACTAACTTAGGGTAGTAGACACATGAAATTAATTGAAACTGAGTTTTTAAAACAAAAACAAAAAAAACCCTACAACTCCCATCATCCCTGACTACTGGCCATGCTGTTTGCGGCTGATGGGAGTTATAGTCCAAAACTTTGATGGCACCATGTGGGAAAAGGCACCACTATTGCTTGAATCGTAACAATAGGCAAAGATGAAAGCTAGAAATGTGCAGAATAATCATTAAATTAAAATCTAGTTAATTTCTGTTATGAAGTTGTTCAGAAAGACATGTTCTTTTCCAATAATTCCAGGTGTTATTTATGTGGTCCTACATCTTCCAGACCATTATAGCTATTCAAGCGCCTACTGTTGGAATTTTTTGTTTCAAATACCTTAGAGCCAGAAAATTAATAATTTCTAAGAAAATCAATAGTTACAGAATTGTCTAGTTATCCAATCCTTAGCATAAACTTAATAAATGGGGAGAGGCCAGAGAATGACAACTGTCAGTGCTCCTCTTAAAAAAGGACATGCTTTTCCACCAACTTGTCCCTCACTCGCATCACAATGGCAAATGTAAGTAAATAGCTTGAAAATACATCCAGCAGAAGACACATACTGTATTCTCCTTCCATTGCGCTAATTATATGGGGATGGTGGTCTCAATTTGCATAGGAAAAAGACCTGCCACACTTTTATTTCAAAGGGTATCACAAATATCCATAAAATCTCATTGAAGGTGTTGTTAACAGAAATTAATTATTTTCTGGGATAAGCTGTGGTTGTAAAAGAACAACTAGAACAATTGTCCTGAAAGAGGGAAATGACAAGTCTTCTTCACATGTTGATTTAATGAAGTATCAAGACTAACATTTCACTATCAAATTCTTCTATTTCCAAGCATTAAGAGACAGAATTATAGCATTATACTAGGAATTTCTATACCAGCACCACAAGACATGAGTGGACACCAGCATCCTGACACTGATGCAATGGCACAATTGACACCAGCCAATTGTGTACATGAGCCAACATCTGTACTGGTGCACAGATTTCTGCCCAACTGCCACAGCATGAATGTATAAGGGTTTTTGCACCATACTATGAGCACAAAAACGAAAGGTTTCCCTTCAGCATTGAACGGTTCCTCATTTAGAAGAAACCAGACTTAGCTTAAACTTACAGGAAGCATTGCTTCAGCCCATTCGCCGTGTCCTCTTTGAAGCAGCTTAATTCTTTCTAGGTCATAACAAACTTGGACAAGATCACCCACTTGAAATTGTGAAGTACCGCCTTCAGCACCTTGAGCAGCATCTCCACTTCGGACAACGTTGGCTTTGGTGAGAACAGCAGGGTTAAAAGTCCACCTGAAAAGTATCAATGGCCATGAAACATTATGATGAAGTGTTTAGTGTTTATATTAACTGTATAGCTACATTACTAACCAATCTTAACCCACATCTGCCAGTCTACAACTGGTTGATTTTGCAAGACTCCAATATGTCTCCATGGTTGTATCTAGTAGTTTAAGAGTATCCCTCAAATGTTTAAAGTAAAATGAAACGGATTAATGTAGTCACATTTCTGTAATAAATTACTGGCCCCACATGCTAATTCAATTTGATAACTGACTCTCAAGGCTGACTCCCATTAAGTATTCCAGGCAAGAAATAATGGCAGAATGTACCTATTGCCACTTGGATACTGAACAACAATGTCATGATCTTCATCTATGCCACAAACTGTGCCAGTAGTAGTTAAAGTTTCAAACATTCCATCAGTCCATCCTCCGTGGCCATGCTGCAAAGACTGAACAATCTCCAAGTCAAGATCAATGTTTACTAGATCACCGATCTGCAGTCCACCAGGATTTCGGTTACCGTTTTGTTCACCTAAAGTTAGAATTTTAAAAAGACAAGGTAATGTTTAGGAATCCTCATTCACTCTCGCAAATAACAAAACTACCAACTGGATCCGTTGTAGTGCTAAGGTTCTCATTCTGGTAGTGCATTGATTTAACCTTGGCAGAGCAGAATTCCCTCCCCTTCTCCCTCTTGTGCACCCAGTAAATCTGGGAGCTTCCTCACTACCCTGCAGAGGAGATTTGGGAAGGAGCAGGGCAAGGAGAAGAGGTAGTGTAACCAGCCAACGGTGAAATGTATGTAGAAGTCAACTCACTAAGCAATATAGATAATAGTATCACCATTACAGCTAACAGAAGTAGCATACAGCTAGGAATTGTTAACCATGATAAATACTAGACAAAAAAGTATTTTTACCTTTAGTGGTGTCAATTCCCTACTAGGTTATGCACACACACAGGGTTGTATCGAATGCTGCACTAGCAGGGTTCCACTGGTACAATGGGATTTCTGTTTCTCCTCCTCACCCCAATCCCAACTCTAACTCTGTGGAAGGGGGTCCACTCATCCCTTCATAACTGTTTTTGAGGATTTGTGGGAAGCTAGAGGAGACATTCCATTGCACGCACAGAATTCCACTGTATCACTGGAGCTCCAGTATTGGATACGACACAAAGACTTGAGTCAAAATAAATCACAGAGCAAAATTCAAATTATGTTACATTTAACTCACCAAGCACAGGACAGTGGTCTCTGTAGAAGGACCCTCCTTTCGCATCCTGAACACATTTAAGGTCTGACTAAAATAAAACAAATGCAGAGAAAGAGACACAGATCTTTAGCTTTAAGTATGTGAATACTTAAATACTGAGCCAGAATTTGTATCACAGTAGTAATCGAGTATCTAGACCATTTTTGCAACATGCTTCCTTACGTTGTATCCTTCCTTCTGGGGCCTATGGAAATTTGAAAAATAGATGACTGTGCTTTGTAACAGATACTGTTTCAAGTGCTAATTCAAGAGCACTATAAAGGGAAATGCTAGTCCTGTTGATTTGGATGTAATTTTAAATTTTATATGGCGTTTTTGTGTGGTTTTATGTAGTATTGTTGTAAACCACTGATATATTTTATGAATAAAATATATGAAAATAAATTAATGCTTTCATCAATAATCCTGTTCATGTCATGTGCCCTCTCAATCAGTCAACTCACAGAAGGCTTTGTCCAACACTATCATCCTTTGTTTCACCAGTCTAATAGTACCATGTTGTATTAAAGTTTCCCAAAATAGTCTGCAAAAGCTTAACTTGTATTTTTAAAAGTGCAAATAAACTTTCTATGCACAGTAGTTAAATAGTTTTACCAAAATTTATGGTTTCTAGAATTTTGAACAAGCACACTGAAGTATTCTGGATGCTATTTTATCCTTTACAGGATACATAAGTAACTTATTTTAAAAAGTAATCACTATTGAATATACTGTAGATAGCAGCAAATTCTAGTATGTTTCTTCTTCCCTAACTCTTGCTTTCACTATTCCTAATCCAAATAGCAGCCATCTGGTGCTATCTCTGAAGCAATTCCCATTGGGTAAAGGTCATTCAACGCATGTACACTAAAGTGTGAAGCGAACAGGAAGAGTCTTCTAATCTGTATCATCTGGAACTAGAGGAGTAAACAAAGGAACAGGTGGTGTATAGGCCAGCCATGTGCTGTTCAAAAATCTTTCTTTTTCTTACTTGAGAAAAAAAGGTCCCAAGTACTAAACTTGAGGTACTGGCAGATTGCATCATGAAAAGAATATGTCATCCCCCAAGTTATATGAACACACACCAGAATGATCCTAAAAAATGAAAGGCTGCTAACAGATTACCTCAGAACCAGAACATTTATTTAAAAAATACCTCAACTGCAAGACAAAACACATATGCATTCACACAGCACGCTGTGATGTTACAAATATGCTTGGTATAATCTGACCCTGTATCTCTAAGGATTCATTGAAATGCACTGCTCTTTTTTCACTCCTCTCACCAATTCAGTGTGATCAGAAAGAATCAAAGAATGTACATGAAAAACAAATGACTAAGCTGCTTCCAATAGCTAGACATGTCTTTGCTTAAATAGGAAGGAAGCAAAAAAAAAAAACCTTCGAAAAGAGGATTCTAGACTCAAATGATACCTTCTATTCAGCAACAATTGTTTCAAAATAAAACTATTTCCTTCAGAATTTAGGAGAAAGGTGAATTTAAATACAACAGCCAACACAACAGGAATAAAAGTATAATCATATTTACACATTAGTTACAAAATTTTTGGACTGGCATATAGGAAACTTTTCCTGCATACGAAATAAATCGCATGTAAGGGACAACTGAAAATTAGTAAATCACTGTTTCCAAATAGAAAAGGAGGGGTGAAGTTTGAGTAGACAATATTTGCGCAAACTACTAAGACTACTAAACGCAGTAACAGTAAACTGAGATTTTAAAAAAGGGAATAATGACTTCACTAATGTGAAGAAATACATTTGACATACTATTATAGCAGGTATGGTCATGTTTAATGAATCCCATTTAACACATTACTTTATTCTGCTGAAACATAGTATTTCTCAGTTTGCTACAATGCACTGTGTCAAACTGGAGAAAAGTAAAAACTGTCCCAGTTTTGCCAAAGATTCTATAGTATTATTGGAATCACATGGGAAGTTCACTTCTAAAACTTGAAATTTAGTCAAACTTCAAAGAGTGCTAAAATACTATGAAACTATCCAAATGTTTACTACAGCCTAGGATGTAAATAAATTAACATTATATTAGGGAACTAAACTCTTTTCAGCAATTTTCTCATTTATTTTGTTGTAAATAAGTATCTTATTTACAAAACTAAATGCCTCTGATTGGAATAGAAGCTAGCTCATAAGTTGTAAGTAGTTTGCATGTTTAATGAACTGAGACCAGACTTATGCATATGCATGAGTTGTCCCTACAGCTGTAGGAACAATGAAGTGGCTAATAGCATGCAAACTGACAGAAGGATGTAACAAAAGAAGATAATAGCACAGCGCAAGCCGTTTTTACTATTCCCCCATGAAGCAATTTTACTCTTTGTATTGCTTTACTCCTTACCATGCCCTCAAAGCCAACTCTGTAAAGGTTTTTAGCGCCATTGTCCCATAAAACATATGCTGCACTGTGTGGACTTGATGCACTCCAGTCTTGGATTTCAGTGACCTAGCAAAGTAAAGAAGAGGAATGGGAGTATGTTGCCAAAAAAGTAAAGAATCTTTATCCACAACCTATAGATAAGAATGCTTCCATTTATTAATCATTTGCTTAAAACAGTTGTGCAGCACCTTTGACTTCCCAGATGTTGCTGAACAACAACTCCCATCATCTCTGACCATGGGATGTGCTTGCTAGGGCTGATAGGAATGGAAGGCAAAAGGTTACCGCGTCCTAATTTAAGACATTTATATCCTACCTGTTGAAAAAGTTCAAGACAGCCAAGAAACAAAGTTATAATATACAGTGGTGCCTCGCAAGACGAAAAGAATCCGTTCTGGGAGTCTCTTCGTCTAGCGGTTTTTTCGTCTTGCGAAGCAAGCCCATTGACGGGATTAGCGGATTAGCGCTCTTAGCGGCTTTTAGCGGCTTTAGCAGCTTATCAGCTTATCAGATAAGCAGATAAGCGGCTTAGCGACTTAGAAAAGAGGGAAAGGAAAAAAAACCCCAGGAACTCGCAAGACATTTTCGTCTTGCGAAGCAAGCCCATAGCAGATTCGTTTTGCGAGGCACCTCCAAAACGGAAAACTCTTTCGTCTAGCGAGTTTTCCGTCTTGCGAGGCATTCGTCTTGCGGGGCACCACTGTATAAATAAAAATACGAAACCCCCCAAAAACCTACAACGTCATTATTTAAAAATACACAAAGCAGGACCAAAAAATGGAAAGATAAACTCCTTAACAGCCAAAGGTTTTCAAAAAGGAAGCTCTTCACGTGGCATCAGGGAATGGCCAAGGTGGCTCTCTCTCTGGGAAAGGAGTTCCAAAGCCTGGGCACTGTCCCCCCAAAGCCCTCTTCTCTGCTCTTAGAAAATTTTGGAACACACAGGAGGGTCTCTGTTGGTGACTGAATGCTTGCATATCAGCAAAGCAGCAAGCCAAGTTATGCCTCAATATTTACACACATTTAGAGGAAGAGTCTTAATTTTCAAACTAAAATCAGCTAACAGACAAACCCCCATTTTATGTTTTTAACCATATAACAAAAGTGGAGCTTTCCTTCCATTTAAACATTAGTGAAGTGAGCTTACACAAAATATAAAAACACTGGACAACCAATAAATTCACAACATAGCAAAATGTAAAACAGCTAATTTGTCTTAAAAACCTAGCATATCAAGATAAGCACGATTTTATTTAGGAGAGGCTTTAACACAAAGAGAATTTCATTAAGAAGGTGTACACCCCATGCACACATACCCGGATCCGATTCAGGACCCAATCTGGCACTTCAAAGCAGCCTCAGTTGCTGACTTTAATCAGGGTTTAAAACACTAATTATACATGCAATCATGGGGAGTAAGTGGTGTATGCATCTCCTTCAACCCCTTGACTCCCCTACCCCCTTTGGATGGGCCCAGGATGCTCTGGGCAAGCACAATCCAACATGGGACTGCCTCAGCCTGTCCTAGCTAAATGCCAGGTCAACCCAAATTGGTCTGGGATTCAGCGTGAGCCAGTGTACAGTTCTAAATTATGTATCTGGCTGCCACTACAAAAAAGGCAGTTTCTGTACTCAAATAGGTCTGATTTAGTGAAAGGTCAGAGTCTAGAATGAAGATCCCAAATCCAGTTGGAGAAGTTCATACGAGCATAAAAGGTAAAGGGACCCCTGACCATTAGGTCCAGTCGAGACCAACTCTGGGGTTGCGGCGCTCATCTCACTTTACTGGCCGAGGGGCCGGCGTACAGCTTCTGGGTTATGTGGCCAGCATGACTAAGCCGCTTCTAGTGAACCAGAGCAGCGCACAGAAATGCCGTTTACCTTCCCGCCGGAGCAGTACCTATTTATCTACTTGAACTTTGACGTGCTTTCGAACTGCTAGGGTTAGCTGGAGCAGGGACCAAGCAACGAACTGCCGACCTTCTGATCGGCAAGCCCTAAGCTCTGTGGTTTAGACCACAGCACTAACCGCGTCCCGTACATATGAGCATAAATGGGCCCTAAATAACTGGGTCTCAGACCATTTCACAGTTAGGAAAAAAGTAAAAGCCAGCACCTTAAATTGAGCCTTGAAACAAACTGGTAACCAGTGCAACTGGTGTAAGATAGTGTTAAATGGTCTTGCTCCTATCATCATCTTAGCAGCAACATGTTGAACCAAATAAAGCTTCTGGTTGGCGTTAATGGCAACCTGACTTAAAGGTTATTGCATTAATCCAATCTGAGTGTTACCACTGCTGATGTAGGCTGGTTTTTCCATTTAAGGTCGTAACTGGAGAGTCATCCTAAACCACTAGCAGACACTCCTGACTACCAACATGACCTGAGCATCTAGGGTTAGCATCAGATCCAGAATCCAAAAGCTGAAAACTTGGGTCTGTCAGAGGGAGCATAATTCTATCCTGTTCAATAGAATTCCCCACTAACAGCACCTCTACCTTGTCTGGATTATGCTTCCATTTGTTTACCCCCATCTATTCCAGTATTGCCTAACAATGGCTTGGGGTGTCTACCACCTCCCTGGAATTATCTGGTAGAAATGTATAAGCGGAGCTGCTACTGGTTTTAACTGCACTTCAGGTCAAACCTCTGGATGATCTCACCCACTGGCTTCCTATAGATGTTAAAAAGCTTGAGGGACAAAAAGGAACCCTGTAGTACTCTACTCACCAAAACCATGGGGCAGAGCAGCCTTCCCCCAGCGCTGCCTTCTGGCATCAACCTTCCAGAAAGGACTAGAGTGGCTGCAACACAAGTGTCCTCAAGTTCCAAGTCAGCAAGCCAAACCAAACACAATACCAAGGCTGATCCAGGAGAATCAGTAGGTACACACATACCAGACACCCAAATCTATCCCTCAAAGGACAATAAAGATATTTTCTTGGAACCAGGCCAAAAAACATATTAGGATGGATTCAAGCAATTGGCATTATTCAGTACTAATTGGAGAAACCACCAAGCATTTCAATAGCAAGTTTAAAGGCAAGTTAGAAACTGGATGGTAGTTAAGGGTCAGTCAGTCCTCCCCCCCCCCAAAGGGTCTCAATATGTCTTCATTTACCGCATTTCCCTTAGAGAAGCATAAGTCACTTCTGTGGTCCAGGTAGTCCATGGACGGGCTCTACTTAACTATGAGGGAGTAGGATCAAGAATACAAGAATATATACGTAGACTGTCCATGTCCTCAGTGTACCTAGTGTATCATCTAGACATGTAAAGGTGGAAAAGTAATCACTATAACATGACTAGATGGTACACTCACTATATCCATATTTGGCTCTGCTACTATGATGAGATCCAAGTTGGTACAGATACTAGCAACTTGACCTGTAAAATTTATTGACAGCCCCTCTTCCAGAGGGGGATGAAGGCCTCAGCAGGATTGTCAAATACCTCAGCAGAAAAATCCCCCCGACACCAAGAATACATTTGAATCTGTAAATGCCCACAGGTGCATCAATGCAACAGGTCCACCAATTCTGAAGAATTATTTTGTGGCCTGTATTAAAAACCTAACCAGATATTGAACTGTGCACGACAAGGGAGTTGTCATATTCTGAACTCTTACTTTGCCTCGACGTCCATTGCCGCCATCCTGATCTTCCCATTGCCAATCAACTCCTCGTACCACCCTGGCACCTGTGAAGATTCCTCTTGCAGTGATTTTCTTTGATTTACGGCGAGACTCCAGCAACACCCTAAAATTTAATATCAAATGGTAAGTTACAAGAAATATCAGATTAAAAACTAGTTGTTCAATAGCAAATATTTAATTTTCAAGAATCAAAAGGAACTGTTTTGATTAAAACCATGGGCTCCTTTGCAAGAATGCATGGGATAGAAATTAAATAAAAATAAATTTTAACATGTCTTAAATTTCAACACATTGGACATCTCGTTATCTGAGGCGGTGACAAGACCCTTCTATATCTAATACAGTCTCATAATTAGGCATTTTAATGAAAATGAGCATTTAAAACGTACCTTTCACTTCCTGGTGTGGTTATCCTGTAAAAGCGATGTCTAAGATGATGTTTATCCCCATGATAACACACAGTGCATAAGTCATAATTGGTGCATTCTGCACATTTCCATCGAATACCAATTATTGGTTGTTGGCGACACGTATCACACATTGTTCCATCATGTTTAATTCCTGTGGAAAGGAATAGAGTTAGAACAGTATTTTGAAATGCATACATCCAAGCATATGCAATATACAAGAGCACATGCATCAACAGCATATGCATACACAAAACAGCTTGCTAAACAGCCAAGGTTTCCCCACCACCACTCCATGTAAGTAAGAACGCTGAAAAAGCATCACAGCTGGTCACTGAAGGCTCCAATACTCAGATGTTCTCAGATGTAGATAGCATTAAACCACTCACCATGTTAGCTACTCTACGATACAATGGAGACAGTAATATATTATCTAAATGTGGTATCTCAATATATCAGAAAGTTTTCAATCGCTAGAAATGAACTTATTTGAAAGGAAGGGGACAAAGCATTTTAACAGTGCAGTCCCAAGCGTGTCTACTCAGAAGTAAACCTCACTGAGATCAGGTAAGTATGCATTAAGTCAGGCTTCCTCAAACTCAGCCCTCCTGATGTTTTTGGCCTGCAACTCCCATGATCCCTAGCTAGCAGGACCAGTGGTCAGGGATGATGGGAACTGTAGTCTCAAAACATCTGGAGGGCCCAGTTTGAGGAAGCCTGCATTAAGTACTCTCAGATAAGTATGTATAACAAGGGTGGGAAAACTTCTTCAGCTCAAGGATCATATTCCCTCATAGCAAACCTTCTAGTAGCCATGCATCTGTGATGGGCAGGACCAGAAATAAAGGTGGACAAAAGCAACCAATGTCTTACCTTTGTACAAGTTACATTCCAGCCACACAAAAATCAGTTCTCTCTCTATACCCCCAACACATCGCAGCCCCAAACATTTATCACAGGCCAAAGGTACATTCCTGCCCGGCAAAAACATTCAGGGAGGTTGCAGATCAAGGCTGACAAGAGGTGTGGGAGTGTTGGTCAGATACAGAGGCCATCTTGGATCCCTGGCCTCAGTTGCAATCCCAAGACTTATCTAAGAGTAAGTCCCACCAAACTCAACAAGCTTACTTCTAAGTATACATTCCACTGTAAATGTAAATTTCAAACTATTCAAAACTCTATTTTGAAATTCTATTAAAATACTTGCACATATTTTAAAGATATAATTCAACAGCAATGACTTCCCTTGGACTGCTTAAGTGTTAATAAAAACTTATGAAACTACTAAGGATGCTTAACATACTAATTTTAGCATGTCCAAAAAGCATCTGTCATGTATATTTACAATTCTGAAACTGCCCAATTTGTCTGATACTATTTTAGTATCCATTTATTACACTACCAATTAAATTAATTTTAAAAACTTTTAGCTAACCTTTTCACAGAAAAATATAGCAATGGAAAAGTATCTGTCCCTCATCACGAGGCACAAACTTTATTTTCTGCCCAACTTCTTTCCTAATGGGCAAGTGTGACAGTACTGATAAAATGTTAGGTGATGTTTGTAATCAGCACTGAAAATCCCCCAAGGCAATATGAATATACACATATGCATGCCCTTTACACTTTGCATGGGATGCATCAAGTGTGGAATCCCCTATAACGAAGACTACACTCTTATGCACATTTACTTGGGAGTCACATTATGTTCAATAGGGGCTTCAGAGTAAATATACATAGAATTGGGCTCCATTATTAGTTAATATGCATAATCTGAGAAAAAAGGCTAAGAGTATTTCAATTAAAAAATTGAGGAGGAAAATGTACAAACCACCTGGTTTTGCCTGCTACTATTTACTGAGAGGAATGTAGTTTGTTAGAAGTTTTAAAATGTCAATTATACCACAGGCACTAAAAACCACTTTGTATCTGTCAAAATAGGAACATCTGCCAGTAACATTCACTTGCAAGTTTACTGCTAGAAGGAAGATGCTCAACGCAGCTGCATTCACTTTCAAAGAACTCCTCTTTCAAAGTTATCACAGTCAAAGGCTACAATCCAGCGCACGCTTACTTAGAAGTAAGCACCCCTAAAGACCCGGGGGGTGGCTCTTTTGATTAAAGCAGCCAAGGATCGCCCTATAAAATCCCAGACCTAACACCACCAACTGGGGAAAAAGTTGCAAGGAAATGAAGACTTCCTTTCAGCAACGAACGATAAGGTAGGTCCCCATTTTCAAGAAGACAGTCGTCCCCGCTGTACTTATTGCAGTTTTATAAATATAAATTTTATTTGTGCATTCAATAAAGAAACACTTGTACCAAGGGCCTATACTCAACAGAAGCAATAGTTCTACGCATTCTGTGGCCTGTGAGCAAGCCCACCTGCAGTCAATGAAGCTGACTTCCTAGCAGAACGAGCCCAGGGTCGCGCTTGTTGCCCCTTCTGCGCTGCGTGGCATCCCCACCCGTCCGTTCCCCCCGCCCCGAGTCACAGCTTTGGGGGGGGGGTCGTGTTGTAGGAAACAGAGTTTCCATCACAGTGAAGAGCCCGAGGGCGGGCAAGCCCATCGCAAAGGGCCGCCTGGATGTCTACCGACTACCCAAGCCGGCGCCCCGACGACGCGACGCCAGCCACGGGCAGGGCGAAGCGACATTCCTCCACGAAGAACAATAAGGCCTCTCTCTCTCGAGCCTCGCTGGGAAGCGACCCCCGCCCCACACTCCCCGCTCGCCCCCTGCCTCCCTCTCACCGGTGGGCGCGCTGTCGAGGATGCGCAGGTCGTAGGCTCCCGAGCAGCGGTAGTTGGCGGCCGTGCCGTTGTCCCACACCACGACCACCTCCTCGGGGCTCTCGAAGCTGCGCACGGTGCCCACGTGGCCCTCGCCGCCGTCCTGCTTCCCCCACTTCCAGTCAGGCCCCCTCACGACCCGGGCCCCGACGCCCTCCACCATCACGCGGTTATTCCTCGAGTTGCTCATCCTGCCTCAGCGCTTTCGCCCGACCGCGGCCTCACGGGCCGTGGAGGCCAGTAACGGAAAAAGAGGGAGGTGGGAGGAGGGCCCGAAGGCTGCGTCCACTTCGACGCCGGGGGGCAACAAAGGCGGCGTGCCAGAGCCAGAGCCGGGCCGGCCGGTCTCTCTCACTGGAAAGGGGTGGGGTCGGACGCGGCCTCCGCCAGCGGAGCGCGACGCCTGCAGCTTTACTGGCCGGCTCGCACCCCCCTTTCCTCCCCGCGATGGTCTCTCCCCCCGCGTAAGGCGCTCGCGCCGCTCCCTACAGGTTCCAAATGCAGGGGCGAACCCGGCGCTTCAGCTGATCCATCCGGGCACCATGGCGGCAGCGCCACCACGGCCTGGCGAATGGAGGAAGGGCGACGTGCCCTCCTGCGCATGCCCCGGTTCTGCCATTTTAGCTGCCGGGGGAGGGAATGGCCCCTCTCGGAACAAAGAGGAGAGGCTCCTCAGCGCCACCTAGGGAGCCGAGACGTGTACTGCGTTTTCTAAAGGCGTTTTCTGTTTCCGCTTTCCCTTGAAAACTTTCCAAAAAGGTAAACGGGGATCTTGTCTGAATTGAAAAGTGTTTCGGATTGTTAAGTACACACGTATAGATTTTCTGCTGCTGTCCATGAGGGCTATAGATGCCAGGATCCCCATAACACTGCTGCCCCTTTAACCGGCATCATCTCATCACACCGACCAAGATCTTTCATCCAAAGCGTCCAACTGTTTCTTGATAGTAGTAAAAGTCATTTAAAGATGATGGCTATAAGACAAGAATATTACACACCACTCTTATGTGCTTAATAGAGACAGATGCTAGTTCCATAAAACGTATGGGTTCTTGGTACACAAAACTCGGTCCAGCATTGCAGCCTGAACGTATCGGGAAAATGATATGGGCAAAGTACTTGATGCCAGCAAAGTTTTTATTAAGACAAAAATATATAACCTCAAGAACCCTGGTATTACAGGCATGCTTTACAAATAATAATGTGTTCATTAACTTGTTTTTGTTTTGTTTTTTAAAAAGCTTTGGAGATTTTACTATTTCATCCACTGGAATTGCATTGAAAGATGTCATCCTTGCAGATATCCTTACTAATAATAGCCTGGTGATAACTTCCAGAGGACTAGCTGTATGAGTCTGTTGCTGCAAAAAGCAACCTTAGACTAACACTTTTATTATGACATATATGCCTTTTTTGTACTAAAGTCCACAAGCTTTTGATTGCATGTGTCGCACCAGCTGGCAGCCTTAGAAACTGTCAAATCAAATTCATTACTTTTCCCTTACCACTGAAAACAAAAAACAAGTACAATTCAAATTCCACCCAATAGATGGCAGATACTAGCCATCTAAAGTTGGGGCAGCAGGGGCGGGGGATTATTTTAAAGTGAGAAAACTGCAGGTGGCAACCCCCATTGTTTTCTTTCAGGTCTTGGGCTTCACTGATTCCCTGAGGAAGCCCGATGCAATGTGTCTTGAGTATTAATTAGGGAACTCTATTGTTATACCCCTTCTGCCTCTTTAAAGAATAACTGGATACAAAGTTGTGTCAGTGTATGGTAGCTTTCCCAGCTGTGTGCATACAATACAGTATATTTCCTGGTACGTAACAGCACCCTTCGTGCAACACATGTCCAGCTTCTATTTTCATTCTGATTACCTAGCTAGCTATTTCCTTTTAATAGTGCCTTTGTTGTTTTTCCTTATTGCTTGATGGTGCCTTCCTAGCATTCCATCCCAAGCCTATTACAGCTAGCCACTATTCAAATGTGCTGGTCTCAACTTTTGATTTCTATACATGATGGAATTTTCTTTTGCTTTGCAGGTGCGTTCCATGCACCAACTGGTGGCTTAGCTTCTGACACTGAGTATCTTTGGGGTGGGGTGGGGTGGATGGCTGAAGATGAGATATCATGTGACAGGAGCAGGGTTGTACAGCAAGACCAGATGTACACTGAACATTTATAATGAACTACAAAGAAGGGTCCAAGCAACAGGAGCTCATCCCGTCGTGGGGATTCGAACCACTGACCTTCTGATCGGCACTTAACTGTCAGGGGTCCTTTACTTTTTTACCTTTTACAAAAAATGGTAAGTTGCTATGAAACACAGCACACTCTGGATTGGATTGTAACATTTTTATTATGCTGCCCAGAGAAATCTGTTTATGTAATAGCATATATATATTGTTATTATAAATGAATAAATTATAAATTATAAATGGATAAAATAAATGAATAAATAAATAAATAAATCTATAAAACACTTTTATAGATTTTACCATTTTCTTGCCTTTTTCTTTCTTGGCTCATAGTCATTGTGCTTTTTGTTCCCTTAAGGTTTTTCAAGCTTTTGGGATCGATGGCTCCCGTGACCAACTACATTCTTTCTGCGGCACCCCTGTGGGGATCAGGAGCCCAGTTATGTCACTCCTTGCCTGTAGAGCTGGCAGCCTCTCACTCTTTTTCAAACACCCACCCTGTTGGAGTATTCCCTCAGCCTCCTCTCCCCTCTCCTTGGGAGTCCTTTGGGCAGCTGCAGCTGCTGCCCAAGCCTTTGAGCTTTCCCCCACCCCTTGCCCCAAAGAGAGGTGCCTCCTCACACTGCCCCACAGGGGCCTGGGAAGCAACCCCTGGCCAGTCCTAGAGGCACCAGTCGCCTTTAACATTTAGTCTGACGAAAAGTTCTGTGGAACTCAAAAGGTTGAGTCTGATTTTTAACCCTGATTGGTCCTGATGGAAGATATTATTGTCAATATTTCATAAATTTATAAAGCACACCACAGCCTGGAGCTATTAAAGTAGCATAAAATAAGCCTTCACTCACCTCCCTACTCAATCACCATGATCCTTGTTATGATACAATTATGATACAAGCAATTCATCTTCAACCTGTAACCCTAATTTAAAAACAACAACAACAGAGTTCTATGAAACTTGTTATGATTCTAGTACTTTCTCTAGGCCTAGACAGCATCTTAAAAAGCAGAGACATCACCTTGCCAACAAAGGCCCATATAGTTAAAGCTATGGTTTTCCCAGTAGTTATGTATGGAAGTGAGAGCTGGACCATAAAGAAGGCTGATTGCCAAAGAATTGATGCTTTTGAATTATGGTGCTGGAGGCAACTCTTGAGAGTCCCATGGACTGCAAGAAGATCAAACCTATCCATTCATAGCAGAATCATAGCAGAATCATAGCACTGTAGAGTTGGAAGGGACCCTGAGGATCATCTAGTCCAACCCCCTGCAATCAGCCCTGAGTGCTCACTGGAAGGACAGATCCTGAAGCTGAGGCTCCAGTACTTTGGCCACCTCGTGAGAAGAGAAGACTCCCTGGAAAAGACCCTGATGTTGGGAAAGATTGAGCGCACAAGGAGAAGGCGATGACAGAGGATGAGATGGTTGGACAGTGTTCTCGAAGCTACCAGCATAAGTTTGACCAAACTGTGGGAAGCAGTGTAAGACAGGAGTGCCTGGCGTGCTCTGGTCCATGGGGTCACAAAGAGTCGGACACAACTAAACAACTTTCTCTAGGAAGGGAGTGGATTGTGAAAGCTGCTGAAACTCTGGGAAATTGGGGGACTCTAGTCCATTATTATCCTGAAATGGTTTAAAGGGATATTAGACTAATTGATGGAAGAGACTAGTATCAATAGTTATTTTGCCTGATAACTAAATGTAGAGGGATAACAATGTAGAGCTGTCATGGACTGAGTGGATGTATAGAAGTGGTGGGAGGCACCAGATGAATAACCCCCAAGGGAAGGAGGCTCAAAGCTAGGGGACTGGTAGTGGGGTGATAACAAGTGGTCAGAGGGAGAAGAGGGAGCAGATTGGGAGGAGGTGTCAGAAACTGAAGAGGTAACAGGGTTTAGTGAGCAGGAAGAGGCTGTGGCAGAGAGCAGTCCAGAATCAGAGGCAGAGGCGGGAGCTGGAGAAGAGGGTTGCCAAGAGGCAGGCTGCTGAAGAATCAAGGAGGTCTCCCTCCCCCACCATTGCAACCAGCTCCCCTCCCCGCTAGTCTCCCAGAACATGCAGGGGAATGAAGAGGGCAGAACAAAGAGGGACAAGAAGGTGCCTCAGGTTGCTGAGCAGGGACCCAGGGGAGGAGGAGCCTTAGAGTGCAGTGGACCTTCAGTCCTCACTGCGGCAAGACCTACTAGGAAGAGCTGCTGTGCTCTTTAGGCCTGATCTGTTTTCTTTCTTTGGATAAATAATAAACTTTACTGACACCATGTGAGTTATTGCTGACCAGCTCCCGACCCCTGCCTTGACAAGAGCACATTCTTGGCATACAAAATGTCCCAGGTGCAATCTCCAGTGTAAAAAGATATCTAATAGCAAGTGGTGGTAAAGACCTCTGCCTGAGACCTTGGAGAGATCCTGCCAGTCTGTAGACCAGGGGTAGCCAAAATCAGCCCTCCAAATGTGGAAGAACTCCCCCTAAGTTCCAGGCAGCACAGAAAATAATTGTGATGAGAGATGTAGTCTGGAAGACACCAGATTAGCTGTCTCTGCTGTGGAACATACTGGTCTGGGTAAACAAATAGCCTGACCTGGTATTTTTATTTTTTCTATTTATTTTATAAAATTTATATACTGCTTGATTGGAAAAAAAAAACCAGCAAACAAACTTCAAAGTGGTTTATTGTCTCCAGCAGGGGGAGCTAACATGATTACAGTGGTGCCTCGGGTTAAGTACTTATCGTATTTTTTGCTCTATAAGACTCACTTTTTCCCTCCTAAAAAGTAAGGGGAAATGTGTGTGCGTCTTATGGAGTGAATGCAGGCTGCGCAGCTATCCCAGAAGCCAGAACAGCAAGAGGGATCGCTGCGCAGCAATCCCTCTTGCTGTTCGGGCTTCTGAGATTCAGAATATTTTTCTTCTTGTTTTCCTCCTCCAAAAACTAGGTGCGTCTTGTGGTCTGGTGCGTCTTATAGAGTGAAAAATACGGTAATTCGTTCCGGAGGTCCGTACTTAACCTGAAACTGTTCTTAACCTGAAGCACCACTTTAGCTAATGGGGCCTCCTGCTGCTGCTGCGCCGCCGGAGCACGATTTCTGTTCTCATCCTGAAGCAAAGTTCTTAACCTGAAGCACTATTTCTGGGTTAGCGGAGTCCGTAACCTGAAGCGTATGTAACCCGAGGTATCACTGTACTGTATTTCCCATTCTGTCTAGAATTGATGGGTGTTGAGCCACAATGTGTGGAGGACCCCATGTTGACAGCCCTACCCACCTGAGAGTTGGCCACAGTTGGCTCTGGCCAATTGGCCCTGTGGACAATACCGAGCCAGATGGACCATACCTACAGTGGATGCCTATGGAGTTAAAGTTGACTCTATTTAAGGCATTTTCCATGTTCCTACGTGCTTGGGGGATTCCTGCAGCCATCTGGCTTGCTTCTGTAAAAATCTGAGTCCTGGACTAAATGGATAATTGAGGCATTAAACAGTTAGGCATATGGTACTTTCAATGAGACTGCCACAAATCCTGATAGCTGAAAGGTACGGACAGTACTGAAAATGGGATTTGAAAATCATTAATCCGTGAAGAGATCAGCCATGCAACCCTGCAACTTCTTGCAGACACGTTGATTTCAATGTCCAGAATAACCAAAAGCATCAAAGCTAATATTTGGACAGAGGTCTTTCCAGTAGCTGCCAATATTGGGGGTTTTTTAGCGTGTGGCCTCCGCAACAAAGGCCGATCGAGCCACGTCGCCAGGAAACGGATAGTGTCCGGATAGCCAGCGTCACGGCCTGGTTGCCACGAGCAGCTTACCCCCAATTCAGCTTCAACGTTTGCAATCGGGATAAAGGTCGGTCTGCACAGAGAGGAAGGAGGGCCAATCAATGCCCGCGTCCTGCCGATGCCAGAAGGCCGGCTCCAGCCTCAATGCCCACCCATCCTCCCCAGGGAGAGAAGGGGGAGCGAGGGCGGAGCAGCGTGTCCTGCTATGCCCTGTGGCGAAGCAGCGACGGAGGCGGAGAGCTTCTTGCTGCTGGTGCTGCTGCAGCCGCTGCAGGTGGCTGCTTTTCTCGGATCCTTCCGGAGGGGGCGCTATCCTGCTTGGGCTCAGCCTCGACGGCAGCAGCAGCAGCAGCAGCAAGACCACCAGCATCCTAGGCGTGCCGCGCGCTCCCCCGGGGCTGTGATGTAAGCTGCGGCCGCGCAGCTCGGCGGCGACTTCTGGAGAGATGAACCTGCAAGGGCTGACCCGCGGGGTGTCCTTCTATCTGGAGAGCCGCGTCCGGGAGGGGCTGCTGGCTTCCGGCGTCGGGTGGTCCCTGGTGCTGTGCTTCGGGGCCGCTTACGCCTGCTATTACCTCAGCAGCATCGCCAAGGTAGGGGGGCTTCTCGCGTCCCTGGGGAAGCGGGCCCGACCCCGGCCAATGGAGGAGGGAGCCGCAGGAAGCGGAAAAGGCCAGCCGAGGTCAGCGCCAGGCTAAGCTCATCTTTGAAATAAGCAGGGCTATTGTCCTTGGCTCGCCTCGGGTGCAGAGGCGGCGGAGGGAGGCGGCGGAGGGAGCCTTTGCAGCGCGCGGCGATGGCTGCTGGGCTAGTTTGAGGGGCGGCGGGGGGGTCCTCTTTTCGTTTTCATTGTGAAGGAGTGAAATGCAGGTCATTTTGACTTTGAGTTCCCTGCTGGCTGGGCAACCTGGTGCTTTGGAATTGCGCAGCGCATATTGCAGGTGAAAAGCAAGGTGGAAGGGAACAAAATGTGAAATCTCAAACCTAGGGTAAAACATGTAGAATTATATGCACTATTTTATACAAACAATCACACTTTACATGAGGAGTTGACGTCTCCTTCAGGATGTGTATAGTTTTACTTTTGCCTCCTAAGAAGAACCCAGCTGGAGCAGACAGACCAGAGCTCTAGCTAGTTAGGGACCTTGTTTTGCCAACCCAGTGCCTCAGGGAACCTCCATTCTCAGGGCAGGAAGGCAGTAGCTCCTCTCCTCTTCTTGTTCCTCGGCAAGGAATACTCAGAGGTATTCTGTCTTTGAACCTGTGGGTTGTATCTGTATGCTTCATGACTAGTAGACATTGATAGACCTATCCTTTCACAACACCTCAAATAGTTTGTGTAAAAGTACATTTCATGGTGACAAATTCATGAGTCGTACAGGCGTTTTTCAGGATTCACAATTCAGCTGAGTGCAGCAAAAGGCTGTCAGCGTAGAAAACTACACTGGCAGAAAATGGCAAGTGGGCTATTTGAACCCATACGGGCAGTGTGTTTCCAGGCTGAAGCCCCAGAAAAGATCCTCTCTCTCTCATTGCCACATTCTAGATCAGAGCCCCAAACTGTGGCTTGAGCTTTACCCAAGTGGCCCACAACATGTCTGTAATAATACAATTGGTGGGATGGGTTTCTATATAATTAGGAAGTGATGAAGGGACGTGTAAAGTGAGGCTGTAGTAAATTAGGAAGAACGTTCTGTGAAAATAAGTTGTTAGGAAGAACCTGAAGGAGGGGAATAGCTTGAGCAAAGAATGGATCTTGCTCCACCAAAGCCATGAATAAATGTAAGACTGCAGTATGATGTTCACTTACCCAGGAGCAAGTCACATTGAACACAGTGCCAACACACTTGCCTTTTTCTCGCTTTAGAAACCTCAGCTGGTGACTGGCAGCAAAGGCTTATCCTGTTTCCTACAGGACCATTGCCCTGTGGTGACAGAAACATACTATCCCACTGTGTGGTGCTGGGAGGGCCGTATTCAGACTCTCCTTCGCCCTTTCATCACATCTCGACCATCTGTGCAATACCGGAAGTAAGTGCCTCTGTCCTTCGAAACCTTTCTTCTGTGAATTATTTATGAAGGTTCAATCATATTCTTTATAGATTGGTTCTGTACTGTTACCTCTAACATAAGATCTTAGTGTGGTGTACTGTGCTACGTTAGGCCCCTTCAGGAGTTGCCTTCCACATGTGTTGGGTGGAAGGTCAGCTTGAAGGGGGAAACCTATGCACATTTAGCTGAATGTGCACAGTCAGGATTCACAATCGCACAGGTTCCACATTGCATAGACGAGCCTGTATGCATTCAGCCAAAATGCCCATGGGGGTGCATGGAAGTCTGAGGGCAGAGCTGGTACAAGTGGAGTCATTGGGATGGGGACGGCGCATATTGCCCTGCCCCACCCCTCTTCACACCATTATGGAACATGTGGAAGGTAACTTCTGAAGGAGCAAGTGTATTCATACATATATGAGAACTGGCCACACTTCTGAGCATCACATGTTATTGTAGCTAGTGTCTTTGAGGCACTTCCAGTATCCTGAAGAGCTAGGCTGTATGCACATGACAAACCTCTGGGCTCGGAAAAGGCACCAGACTGGTGGAAGGCCGTCTATTTTCTAAGGATCCTTGAGAATTTGCTGTATTTCCAGTTAAGTGGGAAGTTTTACTTTCTATTTAAGGGGTCTCTGATATTTATTTAGCATGGGAATAAATGGCTCTTCCATTGTTAACGGGGATGTGGGTGCAAAAGAGCTATGTATCAAGAGCCCACTTGGCAACAGAAGTTTTTCCCACACACTTAGGTCATACAGTATTCTGTTGGAGAAAGCAGACCTAAAACTGGCTACTAAGTTTCCTTTTCAGAGCTTTTGCACTTAAGCAAAGTGGTCAGATGTTTGCTCCTCAGTAGTGGTACACAGCAGCTGCTAGACAGAAGCAGCACAGATGTTTTTATTTTGGTATCTTAGTCATGTGTTTGCTCACACTGTTCTGCTTATGCAGCAGTAAGTTTTTAGAACTGACTTAATAGTTTCACCTTGGTTGCCCTTTTTCGCTACTGTACATTAAATTAATGCATATAGAAAGATGTTCAATCATTTTTTAAAGAATTGCAGACAGAGAAGCAAAGCAGATTTTTTTTTACCTCCCTCTCCATCCCTATATGTGCTTACTCACCTTAGTCTAACCAAGGAGTCCACTTGATGGACCTTGACCTGCATGCGTGAACTGGATGCACATCCACATGCATGCCTGAATGCAGATGCTCTCTGTCTGCACTTCATAGTTTTCAGCTGAATGTGCATTTGGATTCATGTTCTGGAGAGGGAAGCATGTTTGAAAGTGCATCTGAACGCATCTTCCACAAAAAGCAGTGTTATCCAGTTAGAGCACATCTGATTTAGACCTACTGTTCTTGATCTAGCCAACGATCTATGCATGGAAACCTGTTTCCTTGTGTGGATTTGATCAGGTTGGCTGACTCCATGAGACCAGTTCTAATGACAGCACATGCAGTTTCAGGAAACCAGGAAGCACCTGCTGCTCTAACAGCTGCCACTGATCCTCCTCACAACTTGAGAAGAAGAGCTTCAGCAGGTTTCCTGTGGAGACTGGGCTGTGAGATTGTGCACCTTAAGGCATGGGTTGAGGCTAACTCCTGACTTGAGCCATTATTGACATTGCAAGGGGCATTCCATCCCACAGTTTAAAGGATCTGGGAAAGAGAATTGGGCTCTCAGCTGCATATTATCCCGGACCAGTTCATTCCCCATTTTAAGACCCAAGCTGAAGGAAACAAGTAGCCAGCTGTGCCTTGTCTTCCAGCCAGCTGGTTGAGGCCTCATGCCTGCCTGCTATTTTCTGCTGCCAATGTTTGGAGACAGCATGAAAGCAGTGTGAATTACAGCCCTGTCCTCCCCCCCCCCCCATTTTTTAAAGCAACAACACAACTTTCTTGCATACCTTGAGGAGTTGTCCTAAGGTGGGGCCTCTTTTTTCTCCCATTCTCCTACTCACTGTGTCCACCCATGAAACATCTGATTAATGAATGGGAGTGAAGGCGGTAGAGTGATTTTTTTTCTTTATTGTTGTTTTTGCAAAGCTAATCATTGTTGGTTTTTCCAGTGAGCTTATTACAGCAACCGATGGAGGGCAGATTTCACTGGACTGGTTTGACAATCATGATAGCATTCATTACCCAGATTCCAGCACCAGACCCACTATCCTCTTGCTGCCTGGCCTCACGGGAACTAGCAAGGAATCCTACATTCTCCATATGATTCAGGAGAGCAAAACACTGGGCTACAGGTAAAAGCAGTTTGGCTTGCTAATGTTTCTGTTTTAACCACTCGGATTAAATCTGCACAAGCGGGAAGCCACAATCATATGTAGCGGGTAGAAGAGTAGCACAGACAGCGCTTGGAAACACTTTTTATCCCTTTGTTGGCCCTGACTTTCCATCCACCAGATCTGCCACAGGCTCCTTTGGTAGCTGTCTCCGTGACCTACTTCCAGTCTCCACTACCACTACAGCAGACCATCTCAAAGATGGTTCCTGACGTGTTGGGAAACTTCAATCAGGGATCCATGCAGACTTAGCTTGACTAGGGTAAAGAACTGGTGACTACCTTAGCATAGTGGCAAAGAATATGAGCTGTGAAGTCCCTGGCTGAAATCTGACCATCCATGAACTCTGTTAGTGGACCTAGGCAAGTTACTGTTACTTAGCTTCAGTCTGCCAACCCATCGGCACTAAGAGCATCATAGTAATAATAATGAACTGCTTGGCAAGGTTTACTGAGGTTATGTATGTGAAACTCTTAAGGAAAGGTTAACCAATACCTCTGCTTGTGTAGTTCAGACACCCCAGAAACTAAATGCAGGAATGTGGAAGACAGGGCAGGAGTGTGTGTGTGTGTGTGTGTGTGCGCGCGCATGTATGTGCAGAGGGTGGTGTATTCATGTTGCCCTCAATGGTCCAAGCTATCACCACACAGGCATAAGCTTTTGTGGAGGGAAGGAATTGGTCTCAGAGGATGTAAGCTCTGTGATGCATGTCCACCAAGCCAAATCCATCACAGTGAGAGAAAGGAAAGGGGAGAGGGAGAGAGAAAGGTTTCTTTCAGCAGTGAGGAGAACTTGCCCTTCTCCACCTGGGGATGGGAATTGTTTCAAAGGATTGTTTCAGTAGAGGCAGAGACTATTACATCCCAATTCCATACCAACATTCCTTTCAACAGTGAGGAAGCATTGCTGTTTTACTCGCCCTCCCGCCACGTTAACACGCTCCCTGTTTATATGTCATACGTTTGTGCAAAACAAGTGTGTATGTTGATGTCCCTGTTTTGAATAATTGGCAACTCTATATTTTTAAACTGGAGCAGCTTTGAAATGTACGGATCTTCACATCCAAAGACACACAGGTTAACAGTTCTGGTAAACGGTGCTCTTCTGTTTTTTTAAAGGTGTGTGGTTTTAAACTATCGAGGAATTGCTGGTGAAAATCTCTTGGTAAGAATTGCTCTTAAATTAAGTAAGAACACTGAGCAACCATAATGTTAGCATATAGCATGGGTGCGAATACCTGCAAGCATGCAACACTTCATAAGCAATTTATGGTTAATTCCATCTTTGGGAGGGTTTGTTCCTCATTGACAATTGTGCCTCTTTATCTCATACAACGCAAAGATAAGAAAATAAAGCAGTAAGTAAATGTCATGTGAATAAGGAATCTACATCATTCATTCATTCATTCATTAAATTAATCAGTAATTTTTCATGTTTTAATTGCGTTTAATTAATCTACTAAATGATTTACCTACATAGAAATTTCTCTAACTTGGAAAACAAAATAAGGGCTTCCAGATTTGTAGATTCAATTGAAACATTACTGGAGGTTTGTGCAGCGAACCCCCATAAGGAGGCATGGACAGCTGCCAAAGGAGACACTAGTTCCAGGCTGGTGCTTTGCGAGAGTCTTGACAGGAGGAGGAAGTGGAACGTAGAAGCGCTTCTACCTATCACTTACTGCAGTAGATGGTGTTGAGTTGTAAGGCCTGGTGGTTGTCATGCTGGGGGCAAGATGAGGCTAGTGTCAAGGTCTGGCATGTTCAGGCAGCTGCCAGGCTTCAGATCTATGCTGAAAAAGGCCCAAAGTTTATCCCTGACCTTGCCACTCTGTGGCCACTCTTCTTGCTCGCTACACAGAAGGAGAGGATAGAAGCTGCTCCTTGTCACTTTCTCTTGTTGCTTGATTGCTTGCCTAAATGGTGATGGTAGGAAAGAGGAGGAGGAGCTACTGCTGTTGCTTGCTTTCTCTCCTCAAGGCAGCCGTACGGAGGGCCAGTCCGCACATTCTTGCTTCCATCGCTCCTCACTCACTCACACACCCAAAGTGTGCAAGTAGTGATGACAACAGGGAGCAGCTCCTTGGTCACTGTTGGTGACGAATGGGCCAGTGGACCCAATCCCACTTCTGCCCAGAGGGGGAGAGGGCAGGTGGGTGAACAAACAGAGACTGCTGCTCCTCACTATGGCCTACATGTTCACTTACCCATTGGCTCTCTAGACAATCAAGCAGGATGTCAAGAGATGAGATACTCACTCAAGCGTAAGGAGAAGCTCATCAAAGGCAACTTTTGCAGCACCCCAAAACCTAAACCCAGCTCTGGAAGTAGGTTTGAAGGCAACATGTGGAGATGCAGAAGCAGCCTTCCCTACTTGTTCGGATCAGTGACCAAACAATTTTAGGGTTTGCGAGGATTTAAGGTACCCTATAAGCCCACACGGTCCTTCTGCCTTCCTTCATTTAATCTGCCTCCCCAGAAGGTGTGGAGATGCACATTCAGTGCATCCTTCCTATCTCTGCAAGCTACAAGGTGCTGTGGGCTGAGGTTGTAGAGTGGGATGATAAAAGGGTCAAGCTCACGTACCATTGCTGCTCCATATACTTTTTGAAAGATGTCTCTTTTACTACCACTTCAGATTTATGTATTTTTGTGTTTTCATACAATAAACCCACAACTTATGTGGGGGTTATGTTCTGGGGATCGCGCCTAAAGCCAAAATTGTGTCTAGTCCAAACCCATTGGGTTCAATGGTGGGTGAGATTGCCAAAGTCATTCCCCCCAGAACTCCTTTTCCATCCCTTTTTTGCCACGTGTGTAAAGCTGAATGTGCACAAGTTAAATACACTTAAGATGTGGGCTTAATATACTGTAAACAGCCCTGTGATTCTCAGATGAAGAGTGGTATAGCAATTTAATAAATAAAGTGAAATAAATTAATTTATCTTTTCTCCAGTAGCAACTAAGAAGATGGAGGAGTTTCCCCCCAAAAAATGAGGAGTCAGTGAGAAGTTATATAAATGATTAAGGTCTTGGTCTTGTCATATAACAGCTGTTGCCAGCCTCTGGAGAGGATTTTTGCATGTGAAACACAGTGTACAGTTTTACACATTTAACATGCTGGTTTCAAAGTATGAATAATACATTCTCATAATGAAAGAAATGTGAGAATCCATTTTCAGCATACGTACCTCTGGAGATGAATGTACAAAGCAGTTTTGTGGCACACCAAGCCCTTTTTGATTATATTTCAGATGAAGTGAAAAGATCTTTTGTTTAGCTGTACTTTGTGAAATGCCGTGTAATCGGCTTTGCCTGTTTAAGCAATAAAAGGCTGTTTTCCCCTATAAACAGCTGCAGTTGTAACTCGTCCAGTGTAGAATTTTTAGCATAATGATATAAAATCCAGTCATAATGGTTCTGAAGTGATAAACAAGAAATGAGTTAAGACAAGCACAGGCACATGCAAGTAAGTTATCTTAATCCTCAGAGCACAAATAAACTCCCTCATTTTGGCAAACAATGCATTTTTAAAGAACTAAATTGCAAATAAAATACCAGAAGATTAATGGTGCAATGCTACACACATTTACTCTGTCCAGTGTGGCTTGCTTCTAGTTAAGCATGCAGAGGACTGTGGCTTAAGGCACACTTTCCTAGTGATCAACCCCATTTAACCAAGTGGAAATTCTGGGGTAACATGCTTAGAATTGCACTGCATATTGTCAAGCAAAGTAAGAGATTTTTTTCCCAATTAAATAATTTAAAGGAAGCTGAAATTTTAATGTTTCTGCTACCTGGGAGTTTAGCTTGTAGAAGAAAACAGCAGTGCAATCATATACATGTGTACTCAGAAGTAAGCCTTGCTGTTTTATTAATGTCATCCGGCGGGCAAAACTCCCATTGAGTTCAGTAAGTGAGTATTAAATTGCAAGTGTAGAGTTCAGCCTAAAACATCTAATGGGACCAGTCTGAAGAGTCATTGCATTGAAAAATCAAGGTTTCTCCCTTTTACTCAGGAGTCAGAGGCTGTTCTGCGCACACATCTGAACTGAGCACAGTTCCCTTTTAGATAGAATGTATGTGAACTACCCTTAAAAAGAAAATGCTATGCCGATGTATTCCAAATTTTGTTGATTTTGTAGCTCATCTTGTAATGGACTGTGATGGATGGAGTCAGAGGGAAAAGAAGGCGGAGCAACGGAGACAACATCAAGTGGCCATGGTTTTAACCCATCAAATGCCAATTATTAGCTGTAGGTCTTCATTTCAATTTTCAGCTAAGCTGTGGACTCACTGCTTAGGCTTGAGTGTCCCAACCCAGCATTTGCTGAACTAAAGAGGAAGAGGCAGTTAATCAGCCCTGAATCTGCATATTATCCACCTGCATGCACCTCTCCTATTGGCTTCGCCTCAGCTTGACTCATTTTTTTTTTCAGACAGAACCCAAAAATTAAACACTTCTGGCATTTATAGGGGAGAATTTGTGAGTGTGGAAAGGGTATCCATGCTCCATTTCCCCCGGATGTTCAAGTGCCTCCTGTAGGGTATGGAAGCCTGTGTTTCCCTCTTAATGTCTAAGCTCTAAATTCTTTTTCATGAAAACACAGCATAATAAACTTGCTTGCCTTTCAGATGCCACAAGATTCTTTGTTATTTTAGGATCTAATACCTCTTAAGCTTCACCCCGCCATCTGCATAGTAAGAATAATAGTGCTGGCTTGCTTTAAAAGTTTGCTTAGAGAGGACTGTTTGCAATATTTTGAGCTTTAAAGAAAAAAAGCACATTGTTTAAATATTAAATCATGTTATATGACCATTATAATAAGTCATCATGGGATACCAAGCAGTAGGAGTCAGCACCCTTACAACTTCATTGTTCCACAGGACAAGTGGGGCAGGTCTATGCTACCTTGCTATGGCAGCAGCAATCCAGCTGAAAGCTTTTATTGGTTTATCCTAGGTTGTGGTACAAAGTGCCTTTAGGAAGTGGTACAGATGAGTTACCCACATTCTCCTTTTCTGTACAGTTCCGCACTGTGCAAGAACTTTGTGCACAATGGTTTTAGTGAAGATGGCTCTTGCCAGTGTTGCTATGCTTCTGTACGCTGTTACGGTACTCTCAATCAACTTGGACACCAGTGCAACAGTTATTGCATCTAACTGTGTGCACTGATTTGTAACTGGGCTCCTAAGCCTAATTACAAATATACATCTTTTGTAGAATACATTTCCTTAACATATTGTGAGCTTAGTAGGATTTAATTGCTTTGCAAAAGTTATAGTGTAACGGGAAGAGGGAGTTTGTAAAATTTTAGTAGTGCTGCTATTAATACTAAAAGTGAATGCACTTGAAATCTTACCTCATTGAATATCATAACTTCTAAAAATGTCATTGGCACTTGTGTTAATCTTTTTGTATTATATTGCTGTGTCAACCAACCTGGTGCTGTGTTGGCCTTGGCTGAAAGGCAAAACAAGTGTTTATTGTCCTCTTTCCCACTTTTGGTTTCTTACAGACCCCAAGGACTTACTGTGCTGCTAATACAGAGGATTTGGAAACCGTTGTTCATTATGTACACAACTTGTACTCCTCAGCTCCGTTGATGGCAGCAGGTGTTTCTATGGGAGGGTAAGTATTTATGCAACATAAATCCCAGTAGTGTAACTCTGTGGTCATTAGAAACCAATTTGCAAAGGCCCTCAATAAAGATTCTGCATACACAGCACAGACTCCATGGGAAATGTACTACGTCTAATTTTCCATCATGTTTCTACTTCTTCTTGAAAGAAAGTTTTACAGGGGAAGAGTGATTTTTCTCACTGAACCTTCCACATGATATGCTTTTGTTTACCATAATCACTTACAAGTTTATTTGCTGGAACTGATGGTAACTCTCAGAAAACAAGTGACAATAATTGGCATACATGACTAGTGGGAGCTATGTTTGAACATTTAAGCAGCATTTTATTTATAAACCTCAGACCTGAATTAAAGGCATCTGCAGGATAGTAATCAGTATTTTATTATTATATACATCTTGTGTGATTGTAGGATATGATTAATATAATTAATGTAACCAGTCTTCAGAATTGTGGGATGCGACCTACGTCTTTTGATACCATTTATTGTTTTGGGCCAGTCACATTCCTTCTTGTTTGGGTTTGATTATGGCAGTTGGCTTACAAGTCATTATCATAGGCTTGTAGTACCATGAGGGAGAGATGCTTTGCTGCTTACCTGAGGCAGTCAGCTCTGTGTAACTGTTTATATTCCTTAGGGATTTGGTTATTGTTAGTAGGAGACTTCTAAGACATAAACACATAATCAAAAACCTTGTACACTAGTCTGTTTGTTTATTAAAGAATTTGTATAAAATTGTATAAAAGATTTGTATAAAAGGGAGGCAGCAAATAAATGTTTTCTTCCCCTACATTTTTATCTGTTTTATTGTGCATATGAACCATCAGCTGTAAACTGGAACACATTTATCCTTACCCAGACTTTGTCGTTCTTCAAAAGAGCGGCACCAGGCCAGCTAACACTAAAAACTTTTACAAGACCTTTTCAGACATCATAGGGAAGCAAAAATGTTTGCCACATACAGTCTATATTGTATACACAACCTTACACATAAAATGGCCCCAGAGGAATGACAAAAATTGCTGCTGCTGATACTAATATGTTAGTCTCGCAGAAGCAACAAAAAAACAAACCCTGATTGGCTGTGATCTATCTTTTGCCTGTAGAATGGGCTGTCCTTCCCGTTCCTTTACACTGTAACCCCAGTGCCTTTGAAAAATTGATCCTGAGGTGGTGGAGATATTGGGGATAGTGTGGAGTATAGTGTTAAGTTGTGGGTGAACATATCAGATGACACAGCGATTCTTCAAACAGCTCTTCTTTATTCAGAGGCCAGAACAGAACTGAGCTGAAGGAATCAGTCAGCCTGCTTATATAGAGCTCCAGTACACATAATTGTAACAATTTTCTAAAACTATCCAATCACTGAACGTCACATTCGATCCTTCATTTGCATAACTATCTACAGTATCCCCCTGCTGGCCCAGGGTAAGAACTTCAGTACATAACATACAGTGTGGCAAACTATGGGAGGAGCAGGAAGTAGGCAGAAATTGCATCTCCATTTGCATGAGTTTTTTTCCATAGGTCCCTACTTGTGGGAATAATATTGTTGACTACCAAGCAGAGTTTGGGCAAGAAATACTGCAATAATATATCCAAAGCACTCAGGGAAAAACACACATACGCTAATACCCACGACAGCTTTCTTCAGATTGAGTCAGATATCAATCCAGTGAGTTCAGGTAAACTTTTCATTTAGTTGGTTGAAAGTTTCAAGGTTATTATCCTTATCATAATCCATGATGGAAGCATATTAAAATGTTTGGCCCCACAATGCCATGCACATGATGGCTAGTATTGCCTTGACTAGTTTCAGCGCTTCATCTCCTACTACAAATGTTTAGGACTGAGGTATTTTCATTTGTGATTTCTTCTTTTTACCTATTTGTTTATCTCTTGTTTGTAGCATGCTCCTTTTAAATTATTTGGGCAAAACTGGCAGAGAAACACCACTGAAGGCAGCTGCAATTTTTTCAGCAGGATGGAATGTTTTTGAATCTGCAGACTCACTGGAAAAGCCAGTGAACTGGCTTCTCTTTAATTACTACTTAACCAGCTGTCTACAATCTTCAATTATTAGGTGAGTCAACCTCACATCCATTGTGAAAGACCATAATATATTAGTATGAAATTCAGGTTCATTGCCAGTCATGTCAAATATGTTATGGTGTGTTGAAGGAAGCAGTACCCAAGCGAAAGCTGTCATCTCCGGCTATTTTTGCTCATGTGGTTACTCTCGGATCTCTATTTATTTTACAGACATCGGGAAATGTTTGATAAGCTGTTCAATATGAACCTTGTCATGAAGGTATGAGGGTTAGCTATTTGTATTTCACTTCATGTTTTTATTTTTACTAACACTTACATAAATCCTTTACTTGAATTCTGTACTTCAGGCTAAGACCATTAGGGAATTTGATAAGCAGTTCACCTCAGTCATGTTTGGCTACCCTACAATTGAGGATTACTATGCAGATGCTAGTCCATGCCGTAGACTGAAGAGAATTGGAATTCCAGTGTTGTGCTTAAATGCTATGGATGATGTCTTCTCACCAAATCATGGTAGGTTTTTCCCCCTTTTAAGAAGATGCTGTTGGTTGACCTCAGCGATTGAGTTGTGTCTGAAATAGAATGAGAAGTTAGTACAGAACTGGGTGTGCAGTGTTATTTTCTTATGGTGTTCCACTCAACGCACACGTTGCCAAATATTGCACCAATAAAGGTATATAATAATAATTATTATGGGCTGCTTACAGAATATCTAAAACCATAATAAAAACATCAAGCCTTAAAAACCTCCCGATACAGGGCTGCCTTCAGGTGTCTTCTAAAAGTTGTATAATTCTTTATCTCCTTGACATCTGAAGGGAGGGCGTCACTAGCGAAAAGGTCCTCTGACTTCATAGTCAGAAAAAGAAGCCTTACGTAAAGCATGTGTCATAATTCTTGATTTTTTTTGTTACTGTGTAACATCTCTGGGTGGCTCTATTTTTAATTATGTAAAATGAAAATATAACCTTTAGCAACCCAGAACCCCAGACTTTTGTACGTCATAGCTCAGTTAAAACCTATATTGCCAAAACTGGTCTTCATAAAATTGATCTTTTAAAGTTGCATTCTGCTGACAGCAGAACTGCACTTCACCAAAAACATTCATTGTGTTATAGACTGAATGATAGTTATGAGAGAGAAATGTTGGGATGGGAGCTTATACTTTGTTCCCTTTATTTCTTTAGCCATACCAGTAGAAATTGCAAAACAAAATCCTAATGTGGCTTTGATTCTTACTTCTTGTGGAGGCCATATTGGTTTTCTGGAAGGACTGTGGCCAAGAAGATGCACATACATGGACAGAGTCTTCAGACAATTTGTTCAAGCTATGTTTGAGCACGGAAGCAAAATCCTTAACATATAGCAACTTATCAGAACCATGACTGCAGCACAGCGGCATATTATGATCAGGGTAATGAAGCTTAATGCACACGATTTAGCAAATAAGCCAGCAAATGGATGAAATCCATTATTAGGAGCGAAATATAGTTTGCTTTGATAATTTTGCAATATAGTTACTTTTTTATTTTAACATGCCTTATAAGAATGACCTTAAATAAAAAGAATACTCTGCACACATTAAATTGCACTTAACCAAAACCATGTAAGTAAACCAATAAAAATTACTCAGGTTTTTTATTTATTTAGATAATTTATTTAGGAATCTTGCATACTTGTTCACATGCACATAACATTCAAAACCATGATTCTATTGTAATACATGAAGTGGGCTTGTCTCTAAGGGCACTTATGGAGGAAATGCTTTAGGAAGATTTTAAAAGTAATGCAAATAGGAGTTTAAAAAGCCATCATTAACTTTAGCCATGGGCTACAATAGCATTACAGCACTTTAGACCCTATGGGGATTATATGTACTGCTTTTTCATTTATGTTGATGCCATATATGTCTTACTTTTTAAACATTGTTAATTAACTTAATAACATTTATATTTATACCAGATGTTTTATGTTGAAATGCAGAATGGAAATAAATTACATTTTTAAAGAAACATATTCGTTTAATTTTCTGTGCAATAGCAGGTAAAGTTTGTATGTAACGTATGTTTCATAGAAGGAAAACTAAGCTTCTCATTAGAAAGATTAGGAAATATTTAATGCAAAGTATAATTGCCCCAGGCTGAATAGCATCACTGGATTATTTTCAGTCTCACTCTCCATCCCACTGGGAATAGAAACAGTTTCAGAAATAAATGTAAATATTTTTCAGGAGGTTTTGAATTTGAGACTATGCCCTGGAATGTTTTCTTACTTTGTCCCTCCACTGTTTCCTATGTAGTGGAGTAATATTCAAGAATGATCTCCTCCTGAGTAAATACAGCCCATTTCCCACATTTCCAGATACACAAATTCTTCTATTCGTATTAACAGAATGGAATAGTGAAGCAATACAAGTAAATTTGCTTGCTTCTACACTGCTGTCTAAGGCACAGTTCCACCTCTGGTATTCTGCTGGACAGCTCATACAGAGGACTTAACAGGGAGCTAAAAGTTGTTTGCGGTGGGTGAAGGGAGCAGGTGTTGGCCCATCCCTCATGAATTATCACGCATCATCCCTAGTTTCCTTGTAACAGATTCTGAAGCTTTTAAACCTGCTTCGTCTCCGCAGCAGAATGCACTGGTTGCAAAATCAAGCAGCATGTGGGAGAGAGATCAATTATTCTCTAAAACAAGTTATTAAATAATCCTCTTACTAAAATAGTCCTCATAAACCAGCAGCTGCTGGAAGTTTTCATTCACTGACTCCCTGAACAGTGCTTTAGAAACAAGACCTCAAAAAAAGAATCTGAGAATGTATTGTCTTGTTAATATGATGACAATGAAGAATTTAAAGCCAGAAAACATATGCTCAAAAGCCTTTCATATAAGATACTTTGAAACGGAGTCATACTGCTTAATTCTAAAGTTAACTTGATTATTGACAGATTTTGGATGAAGATTTCCATCCTACATGCACTGACTACAGCAAGACTTGCTTTCAGTTTGAGCCTTGAAACTAATAAAGCAGACTGTTGCTATTCATTTCTATAGAAGCAAAAGTGAAGTAAAAAAGGTAAAGGGACCCCTGACCATTAGGTCCAGTTGTGGCCAACTCTGGGGTTGCGGTGCTCATCTCGCTTTATTGGCCGAGGGAGCCGGCGTACAGCTTCTGGGTCATGTGGCCAGCATGACTAAGCTGCTTCTGGCGAACCAGAGCAGCGCACGGAAACGCCGTTTATCTTCCCTCCGGAGTGGTCCCTATTCATCTGCTTGCACTTTTGACGTGCTTTCGAACTGCTAGGTTGGCAGGAGCAGGGACCGAACAATGGGAGCTCACCCCGTTGCGGGGATTGAACCGCCAACCTTCTCACTGACAAGTCCTAGGCTCTGTGGTTTAACCCACAGTGCCACCCGCGTCCCTAAAAGTGAAGTACATTGACTTAATTGGGACTTTTCTCCAGGGAAAATCCATTCAATCCTTTCTTGGGTTAGAAGTCTAAGTGAAATTGGTGGGATTATCAACTGTATGGGATTATAACAGAGTTGTATGTTATGGGGACATTAGCATTGAAATACAGTACAAATTCAGTTAACTTCCCAGTATTGCCAAATCAAGAAATTCAGTAGTTTTCTATTATAAAAAATACTTTCTAAAACCAGAACTGTTCCCAAACTACTTGTTTTGTTTATGAAGTTACTTATGTTTATAATTCTATTCATGTAGTGTTTTCTTAATTCTCAATATTCAAATACTGCACTACAAACAATCCCCAACCTTTTTTCAGTTCTACCTACTTAGTAGGACTAAGAGCACTGCTATGCCATTCGTTTGACCTGTTCCCCCCCAGGGCACAATAAATTGCTAAGTGATTTTAACATTAACCAGAAAATAAAGATAAATCTTTTCGTATACAGCACTCCTTACACACGCTTTCCTGGAGTAAGCCCCTTTAAACACTACATTTTCTTGACGAGAGCAGTAAGAGGTCGCTGTAGTGCCGCAGTCTCTTATCGGTGGATGGAGGGTACAATTCCGTTATATAAAAAGGCTTACAGTATATAATTGCGAATTTAATTCTCTCTAGTGCCTGCCCGTATGAAGCCGAAGCTACAAAAGAGAAAGGCGTGGGAAGACTCAGGGTTTACAGAAGTGTGTGTATATATATATGAGGTTTGCAGATGTATATACATATACATTATACGTATGTACGCCGGGACCCCAGGCTCCCACAAGGAACAGTCCGAGTGTGCAGAGTGTATTTGGAACACCGAGCTTTGGAGGGAGATGAAAAGGAATGAACAGCCACCCGAACAAGACAACTGCCTTCAACTGCTCATGCGCAGGTGCTTCTTAGAAAGCTCGTCGCCGGATATCCGGCCCAGACGCTACGAGGCTTTTCGGGCAGCAGTAAGCGTGACTGTCAGGTGTCAGCTGGCAGCGCTTTGGGGGCGGGACTAAAACGGTGTCTTCGCAAAGAGAGGCTAAAGCAACAAGACTTTCCCGCCGCCATCATACTTCTGGTTTCTCAACGCAGTCTTTCGACTCCTTCGGCAGTAGGCGGGGCCGGATTTAGGTTTGACGAGGCCCTAAGCTACTGAAGGTAATGGGACCCTTTATATGTCCAGTTGCCTTTTGTCAACAACAAATTGTCGTTCTATTTTGTGTTGAATATATGCTATATGGTAATTTATGGACCTAATAGGTATCTAAAGCCATTTGCACATGCAGAATGTAGGCCCCCTATATATAGAAATGAGCAAACCAGTGATATTTTAGGAAGCAGGCTAGCAGGCAGGGGCCATTACTTACATCATACTACACAACACAAAACACTGTTGCTATATGTAGGTTTTATTTTTTACCTTATATTTTGGAAATGTACATCCAGGGGTTTTTTCCTTTACATTTTTTGGGGGCCTCCAAGTGAGTGGGGCCCTAAGCTATAGCTTGTTCAGCTTATACCTAAATCTGGCACTGGTTAGGGTAAGAATGATGGAGGTACACTGGGCAGCGGATGGTTGTGCTTAGGCAGCCATAACCCACTCCTCCACAACAAACAATACTTTTTCTTGATTGGTTACTCGAACAGAACTCTGAGGTTTGGAAATAGAACTGACTCTTGTCGGGTGCAGTAGAAGGCAGAGAAATGGTTTTTGCATGAATGCAGCTGGGTGGTTATTTCAAAAGAAACAAACATTTTACTTTTTTCAAAAAAACGAAAACACTCAGTGCGCCTGGTTCTTGTGAGGCAGTTGGCGGAAATCGCCGGCCTTCCTCTAAGCCGTTGCCCTTCAGTTGTTGCTTTTTGGCAAGGATGTAATCATTTCCCGGAGTCAAAGACAGAATTATTTCAAAGCAGTGCAGCGAAAGGAGGGCTCGTAACCTTTCACTCTTGAATGGGTTTTTCATAAGTAAATAGAAGTTTCGCTTCCTTGCCCCGCACATGGAGGATTGTGAGCGCTGTAATCGGGAACCGGAGATCCTTCTGGAAAGCCATTCTACGAGTGCCCTTGGGCTGGCGTGATACCCGGATATGAGGAGGCGTTCTAGTCGCTTCCCTTTTCTCTCTCTGGCTCAGTGTTATTCGGCGCCGGCCGGGTGACATGAGGAACCTGCGCGGGTGACACCGACGCTGCCTCGAGCGGAGCCCTCCCCCTCCCCACGCCACTTTGTTCGCGCGCGCCGCCGCCTCGCCTGCCCACCTGGCGCCACGGCCCCAAAGCGCCTCGTCCTGTGAGGGGGCAACTTGGCCGACCTCCTCCTCCTCCTCCTCAAGAGGTACTGTAAATGACAATCCTCCTGCCCTTCCTCAAGCAGCCGGTGGGGAGGGGCGGGGATAAAACCAGAAAGAAATATACGGAGGCTGTGGCCTTTCCCCGCCTGAGTCTCCCTCCCCCTCCCCCCCGAACCCCAGTTCGGCTATCGGGACCCCGAGAGAGAAGGAAACCGACGGGGGTGCGCCCGTTTCTCGCCTATGGGAATTTTGGCTTTGTTGGAAGCGCCTTGGGGAAGAGGAGCAACGCCTCCCCCCACTTATCCCCCCCCCCGCGCGCCTCAAAACACTCCTTACATTCTTTGTATTTGCAAGCTCGACTCCCCTTTCTTTTTCCCATGGAGCCCCGAAGCGGTGCATAGCGGATTAGGGATTTCTGGTGTCAATAGGCAACATGGGCTTGGGCCGCAGCCTTTTAACTACGGACTTAGAAGGGAGCCCCATTCAGTTCAGTGGGGTTCGCTCGCAGGTAACATGGCCTCCCTCCAGCTCCCCGCTTCTCTCCCTCTCACGGGCAAATCTGGCTATTGTTCTGCTAGGTACTAGCCAGGTGAGGGGGAGGGGGAGAAGGGAAGTGGCACAAAGCCACTTCTTTGGATGTGTTAAACTTCTTTGGATGTGCTAAATCGTACCCATTGCATTGATAAAGGAACTGGTTTGGCAAGCTCCTCTTTACGGTCTACCATCGTAAGACAGCACAACCCAAGATTTTGTAGGAGTTCAGGATATCACCTGAACTGACCATAAACAGTATCCGATGTTGTGTAAGTGGCACTTACTTCACACAACAAGATTTTGCCTTCCTCTTCTCGCAGCCCCCTCCCCCCATCCCTCTGGATCAGATTTTAAGGGTTTGTGGGGAGATGAGGGAGAAATCATAGAATTGTAGAGTTGAAAGGGACCACAAGGTTCATCTAGTCCAACCCCCATGCAGGGTTCTCTTTGCCCAACATGGGACTCAAACGCACAACTCTGTGATTAAGTGCCTCGTGCTCTACCGAGTGAGGGAAGTTCCGTTGTACAAGCGGGGTGGCTGTGTTGAATACAAATCAAAGTGTGTGTATGAAAGATACAATATAATGTCCATATGAGGCACTTAATGATGAAAATGTTTATAATGGGCATAAATCTATGGCCTTGTGTACAAAACCTGGCCTTTGGTACAAGTCAGGTGGTCTCACAGTTGGGGTAGTGTGGGCTTTTGTGATAACAGGTAAAGGTAAAGGGACCCCTGACCATTAGGTCTGATTGTGGCTGACTCTGGGATTGTGGCGCTCATCTCGCTTTATTGGCCGAGGGAGCCGGCGTACAGCCAGTATGTGGCCAGTATGACAAAGCCGCTTCTGGCAAACCAGAGCAGTGCACGGAAACGCCGTTTACCTTCCTGCCAGAGTGGTACCTATTTATCTACTTGCACTTTGACGTGCTTTCGAACTGCTAGGTTGGCAAGAGCAGGGACCGAGCAACGGGAGCTCACCCCGTCTTGGGGATTCGAACCGCCGACCTTCTGATCGGCAAGTCCTAGGCTCTGTGGTTTAACCCACAGCACCACCCACGTCCCTGTAGCCATAGGCAATATTGGAATCGCTAATGCTCCAGAGATAGCTTGATCCAGGACTTGAGAAGGAAGCTTTATGTGACTTACTTTTCAGTTCAATCTGAGATATGCTACAGATTTAATTACACAACAAAAACATTACTTCTTCTTCTTCTTCTTGTTGCTCCCAGCACATACCTGTTTGCCATTGCTCTGTGCACTTACAGGAACTATTTGTTTCAACTATCAAATAAATACTTGCTTTGAGAAAAAAACAGATACATATTGTTATCTGTCTATCTTGATCCACCATGCTGCCAGATAGCTAAAGTAGCTCTAAAGATATTAGAGATAACCAATTAGGTTTCCCCTCAGTAGTACATATACCTCTCACACATCCTTTTTTTAAATAAAAAAAAAGTTTAAGGAAGTTTGTACTTGTTCTCATTTCTTGCTATTGTAATTAAGAGAAACTTACACAGGAGACAAATTATCAATTTTTCCTCTTAAATATGGTGACACTAATAGTTTGAGTCTATAGATTTGTTCCTGATCAATCAGTGGTAAGAAAAACATAGGTTTCAAAAGGAGACTTGATAACACACAGTATTCCCCCCCCCCCCAAAGCATGCAAAATGGCAAAAATAATAGAAATTTCAAAATAACTTGTGCACGGTAAAATGGCATTATTAGAATCTGAAGTAGAATAAGGCCTGGAGGAGTCTGAGATGGTTAGAAGGAATGCTTATCCTTAAATGTTGATGCTGTGCTCTTCAAGACAAATCCTGTTAAAATTTCATTTACTTTAGAATAATTAGAATCAAATCAAGAGCGCAACATACAGAGCAGCTTGAAGCTGAGTCAGGCAGGGGAAAGGAACCTGTGATCTCCAACTCCCATCAGCCTCAGCCAGCATGACCAGTGGGTCAGGGATGTTGGAACTGTAGTTTAACAACAGCTGGAAGGACAACAGCTCACCATCCCTGGAATAATTTTGTGCCCTATTTAATTTGCATAAAATGTGTATATTATTTATTACCTGAAACTCTTGCTTATTTGATATATGGTTCACAAAATATCTGCAGCTTCCCATAGAATTAGAAAACTAGTTGAAAATTTGAACGCATGTTCTTGGAAATAAGTTTCACTACTGTAATGAAATACGACTGAGGGATAACTGTAAAACACTGTCATTTCCAATAATATTTTGTTGTTTCTGTGTTTATAGGAGATATGTAATGCTCTCCTTGGATGCAAATTTATAAGGAATGTGTTTTTCACAGATCAGCACATTTCTTCAGCTGAGACAGAGTTTATTTATAAAGCAGTACCTGTGAGTAAGCCAAGTCATCATGTTAAACTTTGCATTTAAGTTCTATTTTTTGCAGAAATAGTTGGAAATACTGTATAAATGACTTAATACTTGTCTTTTTCAGAAATGGCAGCACAGAAAAGAAAATCTGTGCTGGTAGAACCCCCTGCTAAGCGGCAGAAACTGGATAAGAATAGTAAATCAGTATCAACTAGCAAAGGAAAAAAAGTGCTTCATGCCAAATCAAATAAAAATACTGTGTTGAAGAAAGAAATGCACAAAGTCTCTACAAAAACTAACAGGACAGCTGTCAATAACTCCATAAACAGATCCTCTAAACCATCCTCCCAAACTAAACGAGCACAGAAGTATTCCAGACAGACTTCAAATGAATTAAAGAAGAAAAGTTGTAAAGCAGTACGTGTGAAACAAACTTCCCTAAAGCCTATAGGAAAATTATCTTCTACGAAAGCATCCCTAAAATCTTCCAAAATAAACCATGGTAACCATCTGAGCTGTACAAAGACTTCCTCCAAACGCACTTCTACAGGGAAGGAAAAATCCAGTGCCGTCAAAAGTAAGACTTCTCGTGAAACCAAGAAGCAAAAGAATTCATCTGCAGATATTAAAAAGTGTTCTACTGAAGCTCTGTGTAATAGACGTTCAGCATTGCACAATAGAGCTACTCATAAGAACTTGTCCTCTGAATCAAAATCGAGGGTAGAAAATTCCAAAAAGGGTAGAACTACTAAAGCCACTAAATTCCTTAAAAGTAACAAGGTTAACTTTGAGGTTCAGAATTCCAAAAAATCTTGTGCAAAAAAATCAGCTTCTCAAAGCATTGAACAGATGCGGACTAAAACTTTCAGTGATAAAAAAGCTTGTGAATCTGACAAAGGGAAAAAACCTACAAGGTCAACAGATACTAATTCTAAAAAAAGTACTGTTAGAAATACAGAAGAGCAGCTGCATGTCAGAAAAGCTAAAGATGTGTCTTGGAAGGAGACTGTGCAGGATGTTCCTCAGTCACAACCTGCTGTTTCACATGATGAGCATCAAACTCGAAGATCACCAAGATTGCAGCAAGCATCTAATGTGCCTACCATATCTTTGCGCAGCAGAAAAATTGAAGGAGGACGTGCTTCTACTCGAAAGCAATGCACCCAGATGAAAAAACAGGTTCCATGTATTAAAAATGAAAAGCTGGACTCTGTCCAGCCAATAATGGAACAAAAAATCATGAAAAGCGATGAATATAATAATGGAGAAATAGAAATAACAAGTTTTGAGAAAATTGATTCTCTGAAACAGAAAAAACATGAGGTGGGTTCTAAAATCCATGATTTGACCACATCTGAAGAGAAAGTAAGAGAATCAAGAAATAGTCCTGACTGTAGCCTTCAAGAATCTAATAATGGGTCTGTCAACACAACTTCCTGCTCTGTGACATCAACATGCAGGGTAATAAGTAAAGAAAAGGAATCTGTGCATAGAAATGGAAAAATCAGTGTAAAAGCAAAGAGAGGTTTTTCAGACTCTTTGAGTCAAAAGCCTGCTTATCAACCAGAGGATGTGATGAAGTCAAAAAAGATTAGCATTCTGGAGCTATGTGAGGAAATTGCAGGTGAGATTGAGTCAGACACTGTGGAAGTAAAAAGAGATCATCCTAATGCTGAATGTGGAAAAGAGGAAGAGAGAGATACTGTAGTGGAGTTGCCTCAAACTGCAGTATCTACTGAAGAGGAAACTAATCAGAACTCTCCGTGTAAGCGATTTTTCCCCAGCAAAAAAGGAATGTCTGTCAAATGTACTGTGAATGGCAGACATAGTACTGCAAACAAAAACTCTAAATGGACCAAAATAAAATTAGCAAAGGTTAATCATGTGAACCAAAGTCCTTCAAATTCCTCAAGTACACCAGCACTTGGTTTGTTAAAGTGCAATATTCCAGAGAAACAACAAGAAGCAGTAGTTGTAGAAATGCACCTTCCAGAAGCCCAAAGGAAACAGGTACAATCAGAGGACAATGGCAACGCAGCACATGAGCAGAAGTTAAATATACCTTGCTCTAAAGGAATCCAGGCTAAAGACAGGGTGGCTATAGAAAATGGTCTCTCTACCCTGAGCCAACACCATTGCCCTGAGCCAGCCCCAGATGAGGTAATCAGTTTTTAATATTATTGTATGATGATTGCACACATTTATTATATTTCAGCGTCAGATTAGAAATGTTTTGTGAGGCAGTTTGTGCAGTTACTTTAATATACCATGGTGCAATCTGCTTAAAATGGGTCATTTCATCCCATTACTGCTACTTTTTCTAAATCATGTGAAAAAGCTATTCTGGTCAATTTCACTTTAAGCAGGTGTGCATGGTTGGCTGCCCATAAAATCTTCTAGCACATCCATTGTTGTTTTACAGTACAACAGAAGCTTTCCAAAGCTTCCCCTCAACAGCAAAACCAGACATCTCTGCAGTGTACCACAGCATAATAGCTTTCTGTGGTCAATAGAATCATGTGCAGGGCAGCACCAAGTGCAAAAAGTGATCCGCAATATTTTTGCCACTAGATTTTTAAAAGCTAATTTGTGTAATTCAGTTACTAAATTAAACAGGAATAAATAACGTGAATGATTGTTGTTTCCCAAGTGCTGTACTCTTTTTGTCAGTATTGGATCTATTGTCAGATTGCTAATATAGTCAATTCATACGGGTTTTTCTAAGTCTGGTTTGGTAAGACACATAGTGGAATAGTTTGTCTAAAATGCTATGTTTCAATATTTTCTTTAGGGCTTCAATTTACATTTGGACTCAAGTCCAGAAAGTACGCCAAGGAAAATAATTACAGCACAGTCACCAGTGAAGGAAGTAAAAAAAGAAAGAGCAGAAATAAAACCTCAAGGTGAATCTTAAAATACAAGTTCCATACATTTTCACAACTTTATAACATCTTATTTGTGTGAATTATCAGTAGCTGAATTACAAGTTGTATTACAGGAAGCTTGACGGATTTGTTCATAAAACTGTAGAAGCAGGAATTGGAAAAGGCACTGTGTATCATCCATTCCAGCACTATGCCCTTGACAGGCTAAGCTGAAAGTACCATGGCAGCTGGCTAGCTACACCACAGCTCATGGGTCTCAGGCTCTCCTTGCAGGAATTACACGCAACTTTCCATGTAAATTGCTCTATATGTCCTGCAAGGGAGGCAAGTGCCCCAGATCTTTAGAGCTGGACCATCAACATGATCCAAGCACTGTTTGAGCCTGCAGCTGTGACTTTGTGGTGGTGGTGCAGAGATGGCAAGGAGCAGCGCATCTGGCCTCAACTAGGAAGGAGAGCTGTAGCACACCAGATTATTATTTATTAAATTTCTATACTGCCCTACACCCGCAGGTCTCAGGGTTGTTACAGCATAAAATCACAATATAAAAAAACAAATTAGGTAATAAAATAAAAACAATCCAATAAGCTCCAGTTGGCTTCACATTTTCAGGGCAGCTGGAGGGCCACAGTGGGTGTTGCAGAGAGAGACCTCTTGGTCAGCAAGACCCTCTGGCCTTTTGGCTCCCAGTTGCTGTTGAAAATAAAGAGGTGGAGTTCATCTAGTCCAGAAAGGAGCTCAGAACTGTGTAGCTAAGTGATAATGACTCGCTTGGAGGCAAAATGAGATTGGTGTCGTACCAAATAAACCTTAAGCCATTTATACGTGGAAGAGCAAGCCTAAACACAATCATGTGCTGTGTGCGTGAGAAAATATGAATGTATGTGTGAATGGCCCTACCAACCACTAGTCCAGGCCCTAACCATCACTGGCTTTGGCCATGCTGACTAGCATGTGATTGCCAACTGCGCATCCACTGCTATATGTCCTTGGGAACGAAAGGGTTGCCCACCCTTCCAAATAATGACATGCAGCAGTTTATCCCATTGTTCTTATTTACCAAGTTCACATTTCTTTGAATGGACGCCCTGGTATGTTCAAAATTTGTTCACCTCAGACTATCCCATTGCTGACTAGACTACTGCTTTTACCGTAGTATATCACCTTAAGTATAATGCTGGTCTTAGTACTATATATTAAGTACTAAGCTCTTTGGCTACATGCTATATACTGCAATTCTTGAATCATTATTGGAAGTGCTACTGTGTTGGCAGTTGTTCCTTAATGTTTGAGTCATACAATAGTTCTAACTAGCTTAGTGTTCTCTACTTTCATGGGAGCTATCTTGGTGAAGCTTCGGATTAGGTCTTTCTTAGTCATGTTGCCTGGGATTCTTAAGATTGGAAATGCCAGGGATTGAATTTGGCATCCTCTACATGAAATCTCTCCCACTGAGTTGTGCCCTCTTCCATTTTTTTCCATATGCAGACCACACATAGCAGCTGTAATGGTACCTATTGTGTTCAGTACTGTATGTTCAAGGGATTGTGTTTGACTATTCTGAATCCAAAATTGCATTTGGTTACAAAAGTGGCCAGATATAAACCTTCAATAATATAAAACTGTATGTTGTAAGGCAAAGTTACACAGAAAATCGATTTATTTCAGGCTAATATTTGTGTTTTATTTCTGCATGTCTGTCATTCTCTGCCATCAAACAGATAAAATCTCAAATACTGGGTATACATGGGAAATTATATATATATATGTATGTGTGTTCATGTAAGTAAAGTAACACATTTATTCCTTTATAGATGCAGCTCCCAAGCAGTTGGTTCGGACTCTGTTCACAAATAAAACCTCTGAGACAAATGAGAGCAGGTATCAGTTAGTTGCATTGCTTGTTGCCTTTGTTCCTGCAGTGAACCTTTTAAAGCTTGTATTAAGCCCTTCTCACCACAACTAGTGAAATAGAATCATAGAATTGTAGAATAGTAGAGTTGCCAGGGATCACAAGAGTCATCTCGTCCAACCCCCTGCGATGCAGGAATCTTTTTGCCCAGCGTGGGTCTTGGACCCACAACCCTGAGATTAAGATTCTCATGCTCTACCGACAGAAGTTGTTGATGCAAGAATACCTTCCTTTTTGTATTGCCCTTGGTTTTGGAAAAGAAACTTTTAAGTGCCTGCAGATCCTGTATGTTCAGGCCTCTAAACTCATGGGTATTCTTTCCTCCTGGCATGATCAGGCTTTGCCAAAACTAGTACTTCCCCCTGACATTCCTATGAAGACTCTGAAACAAATATTGCTGCTCCCCATACCTTTTCTTATGCAAGCCTTGGTTTTCTTATGCAAGCCAGAATAGCCATACACTATTCTGTATATCAAGTAATTAGAGGTTTCAAATGTTAGACGTTGCTATCTTTTTATTATTGAAGTATTAAACTTTTCTAGACTTAGTTATGGCTTCCAATTAGCTTGTTAGCTTATTGAATATAAATGCAGTTATTCCTTGTGGGAGTTGTATGCAATTTGTATTGACTGAAGTCCTGAGTGATGATATAATTAAAAGATTGCTATTGAGAATTCAAATGTTCATAACTGTATGCAACCATATTGTTAGGATAAGCAGGACATGCTGAACGGTGCCCTCTCTAAATAGGCTCCACTATACTTCTTCATCATTCATAGTAAGGAAAGCCCCCCCCCCTTTTTCCCATAGATATTTCTGATAGTCTGCCAGGCAAATGACATATTAAAGAGAAATCATTCCTCCTTGCCTGAGTTTCATCCCAACCCCACCCTTTGTCCATGTCTTTTTTCCTAAGGCTACATTTTCCACCACCCTTGAGGACAAATGGGAAGCTGCATAGAACAACCTCCATTAATGTTGTACTGCTTGCACAACCCACTGAGAATCATAGCATGGTAGTAACAGACACTAGTGCAGCCTCCCAAACCCAGCAGGCTGGCTTCTCTCGCTGAACTTTTAGAAAGCCAGTAAGTTCCTTAAGGCTCAAGGGAGAATCATGATGGGGTTGGTCAGTTGTGTGTGGTCACCTAGAAGCAATTCTTAGTTGGCCAAGCAAGTGGTTATTTACAATCCTGGTCTATCAGATGAGTGTAGGATTTGCACTTGTCGGTTTTGCTTGTTCTTTAATATGAACCATATTTTTTTCAACAAAGCATAGCTAAAGAATTTTGAACAATTAAAGATTTTTTTTGCATTAAAATAGGTTCCAGTTACTTCCGTTTAATATTTGCATTTTTAGCTGAATTTAAGTTCATATGAAAATATATAGAGAAATAGGCAACATTTTGTTCACTTGAACTGTTTTTATACTTAAAGGACATGTTTGCCAAAGATTGCATTAGCATCAAAATGTGGTGGTATCCTTTCATCTGAAGAACATATTCGAAAACCAAAAGATGTAGCAAAAGATAGCGATAAGCAGCTGATCATAGTAAGTATTGTGCATTTTAAGTATGTTATGTTGTTCTTGTGCATAATTTTAATCAAAGTACATCGCGTCCAACTAAGTTTCACGCAGAGTAGACCCATTGAAATTAATGAACTTAAGTCTACTTTGCGTAGGACTAGCGTTGCCTACAGCCCACTGACTAAATACCCACCCACCAATGTCATGGATGGCGCCCACTTTTATTCCTCCTAAATACATTGATGGTTATTATTTAATTATATAAGGAAATGAAAAGTGCAAATTTGGGGGTTTGGTCACAGAGAGGAAAATTGTGCCTTGTATTATTGACCCTTGGTGCCCAGATCACTACTGACAGGTATTGTTCCATGAGTGAACAAAATAGAAACTCACCTCCATACTCTCTCTCACATTAGCATTTTGCTGGTTTGTGTATGAAATACAGGATTCAAACAAATCAGTTGATTGAGAAAGGCTTGTCCTCATACTAATGGAAAGTAGTGTAAATTTGAGCAACATGGAGTCAGCAGGGGTTCATGTTTTTGTAAACTGCCTATTGTGTTTAGAAACTTTGTTTAATGTGCATATTACTGCTCCTGAATGAGCACTATATTTACTTTTTAATATAGGATGCAGGACAAAAGCGATTTGGAGCCATTTCCTGCAACATTTGTGGGATGCTCTATAGTGCTTCAAATCCTGAGGATGAAACTCAACATCTACTCTTCCACAACCAGTTCATAAGTGCTGTAAAATATGTGGTAAGAACATTTCTTTCATATAACATTGTATGCTTTGGAGCTTTTGCTATGGATTAACCAGAACAGCGTTTACTGCTGGATACAGACTATTTAACAATTACCCTAAAAAAGTGTAGGAAAGTGTTAGATCCATTTAAATGTGTTTTTGAATGCTAGTCAGTATTAATGTATCAATGCTAATTCATCATACCTTTTCAAGTGTTTTTTCTGGTCCTGGTATTTTTTCCTATGCATCAGTACAGTATTACAGTATATGACTAAGCACTCAAGAATGGACTAATCTAGTCAGTAGTTTCTCTATTTGCATAAAACTGTAAATATGTGTAAATTAGGTATGGCCATATTTTCAAGTAACTTGGCTAATCGAAAATGCTAAAATTTCCGTAGTCTGACTTTTAATTTCAAAAATTGCACACAAAACAAAACTGCTATTAGTCTAAATATAATATGCCCCTGTAACTTCCATTAAAATCAGTGAAGTTTGTTTTCTTTATCATACATGTTACCTTCCGTACATTGACATTGATAAGACCTCCAGGACAACTGAACTGAATTCACCAAGCTACTTAATTTATATATGACACAAATTCAATCTTTGGTTCAAATCTAGCTTGGGATATAAGAATCTTTTGTATATCATTATAGTTGTACAATTCGCAGTCATATATTTTTTAAAAGAAGTAATCATCCACAGATATATCACAACATTTATAGTTAAAAAAGAGGCTATCTGAAAACGATCGGACCAGTATTTGTTGCCTATACAAGGTAGTTAAGCCATTTTAGCTTTTTTTAAACTTCTGCTCTCCAGGGTTGCCTTCAGAATGATCACAGCATAGCAATTGATATTACTAATAAGGCTCTTGTTTCTAGACTCTTTGATTGTATGAAAGTACAGGACTAACTTAGTTTTTTTAATGACTGATATAAACTGAAAGCTAAATTAAGGGTGCATGTTGGAGGTTTTGTGACCCAGAAATGGAGCAATAGCCCCTGAAGTTGGCAAAGCACTGGCTTCTGTGCTCATAATGCCTGGTCACAGCTAGCCACATTTTGAACTAACTGCAGTTCCCAAACTGTCTTTGGAGGTAGCCCAATATGTGATGCATTCCCTAGTCTAATCTTTTACAAATTCTACCCTCATTTTGTGATGCCCTGTATCGCTATTAGTAAGGGAGAAATAAATCCAAAAATGGAGATGAGAATGCATATTAGTAGACTTTGAGGAAGTTTATTTTAATATTTCTGGGTTTCTAAAATTGAAACCTACCTTTTGAATAGGGTGGAATAGAAATCTAAATACCTTGATGAAATGAATTCTTACTGCTAGTGCTGAAAAGGATCTTCATCTGGTAGCAGTGGTTAGTTGCTTTAGTACATTATAATTATTATTATCTGTTTGAAAAAAGAGCATGTAGTACTGAAAACAACACTTCCAGATTATTATTTTTAAGTAATGTTTTAAATTTAGAAGACAGCATATCTTCCAGGGAGTTCCCCTTTCTCCCTCCTTCAAAGTGTTTTGTGTTTCAGAGATATGTCACTTAGGCTAGTGAAATATACCATAACTTTCTGCATCCTTTCTGAGCAACATAAACTCTAATTTCTGGCTAAGTCCCATCTTAATAGACTTAAGTGGCTTTTTGTTTTGTTTTTCCATGCAGGTACTGCTCATTAATCACCATCAGTGTGGATCTGAAGAAGACTTAATTACCTAATTTTTGAGTATGTTTAACTTCAGATACACACAGCATAGCAACTTATCCCTTTAGGTTCTTAGAAGGTAGTTATTCTTTTTATAGCCTCATTTTTGTGACTATGATCGTTATGACCAGTTACAAAATGAATGATTCCGTATTTGAACCATTGCATGCCACTCAGTTCATGGAAAACCTCCTGGAGGTCTTTTGCATGCCAAGATGTTAAAATGTAATATTTTGTATTTATGGAGGTAACAATGTTTGTTAAAGAAACTCAGTTTTTAAAATCTGCTCATTTCTGCTCACTAGAGACTAGAATGCATCCACCTGCACATATAGTTGCTCTACTTTGGTGTTTGGGTTATTGGCTCTGATAACCAAGTTGTACCAGTTCTCAGCTAATTTGTCTTAGAGTTGTTTGGGGCAGCCACAGAAAAAACGAGAGGAAATTCTGAAGTATTAAAACAGTGTTAATATGAATAAATTAAACCACAACCCAATTGGGTTTGTTGCCTACTAAACAAGATGCAGATTTTAAGGGTGTGCTGAGTGCTGCGGTAGGGGAAAGTGAAGTCCTGTTGTACAAGCAGAAATCCATTCCTCTTACATATAGATCATTTTGCATAGTGCTACAAGGAATAATAGTTGCGAACATTGGGTTAAGCAATGTAAAAGTGTCTATTTAGTCAAGTATTTATTATGTGCTTTTTTAGGGCTGGAAAAAAGAGAGAATTTTGGCTGAGTATCCTGATGGCAAGATAATAATGGTACTTCCTGATGATCCAAAATATGCACTAAGAAAGGTAGAACAAACCTTTAAAAAAAGCTCTATTCTCTTCTTTGTTTTTCACATGAGCAAATAGCTTAGTTAAGCATTTGTATGAACTTGGCTCATAATTTCAAGTGCATTTAACAGGTTGGTTCCTGTGTTAACATCAGCTGTCTGTCTCCTAATCAGCACACAAATCATCAACCAGAAAGACCTGTTACTAGTAGTGTTATTTTAGTGTTCTCTTTTTGGGTCTATATGTAGATTAGAGAAACTTAAATAAAGTGAATGCATAGGGGCTGACTGTTTATAAACCTTTCCCTGAGATTAAATATCTGCTGCCTTTGACTATCCACATGGACCTGTGGCATGTAAAGGTACAGATATAATAGATATGAATGGTCCAGTTATTTTTGATAACATCATGTTTGCTAAAGTGCCAGGCCAGAGCTTGTTATTGAATAGAAGTAGATAATTATCCTGACAGGCCACTCCTGAGCTCTGGAAGGAAAAAATGTAGGAAAAAAATTCTAACTTACAAGGCCAAGCTGGAACTTACTGTACTCTACTGTAGAGGCTACTTTTTTGATAATAGAAAGCAAAAACCTGCAATTGAGGTGTGATGTCTTTCCTCCATGGAAGTAAAACATGTCAGAACTTGCAGAGAAGATCTGAATGAGAAATAGACTCCGGAAATATAACCACTCTTAGTACTGATTCTGAGGAACTAGGTAGGAAAGCACATTAAACAGCCTTGTCATAGGCAATTATTTATTTCCTGAAATTTTTGCAAGTAGGAGGTTTACTAAGAGATGAAACAATAAAATCACAAACATACTTTAAAACCTACAAAAGTGAAAATACTAAAACAGATTAAAATTGCCTCATAGGAAATATGCAGGGTTTGTGCAAGCACAGTGCCTGAATGTAACAGGATCTCTATTGAGCGTAACTGAACCCTGTTCTTCTAAACCAGTCTTTCTCAACCTGTGGGTCCCCAGATGTTGTTGAACTACAACTCCCATCACCCCTAGCTAGCAAGGCCAGAGCTCAGGGATGATGGGAGTTGTAGTCCAACAACATCTGGGGACCCACAGGCTGAATCTAAACCATCTTTCTCACTGGTGTGTGTGAAGTGGTGTACACACAGGAACTGTACCAGGCCATGTCAGGAAATAGAAGGCACATCTGCCATATCCCCATCTAGCCCACCTCATTTGCCAAATCAAGGAAGAGGAAGCAGCAATATTGCTTTCCTTGACTGAACAGATTGGGTGGGAACGTGTGTCTAAGTATCCCTGTGCATGCATGCCAAAGAAAGGAGTGGGAAAACAGGGATCCTATGGCTTATAGCTGACTGTCTGTGAAAAGACAGCATTCCTGGTGGAGTACATTGAAGCTATTTCCTTTTTAAATCTTTAGATTCTTCCTAAACCTGTAGTTGAAGTTGTTATGTTTTGGAACTTTTTTTCTAGATGATGTTATTCACTATATTAATCAGCTAAAGCTAATTGCTTGACTAGTGTGGCTCATTTTCATTTTGTTAATGGCATTTCATGGCATTTCTGAGTTCAATAATCACTTGATAAATATAAGTATTTATGTGGCAGGGCTGAAACTCAAATTCCCAGAACAATGAACAACTTGCTTTGGAGTTCTGTTGAGTTACTGTAACAGGGAACAAGGAAGAATTACTGTTGTTCATATGTCCAACTGTGGGTGGTTATTTTTAAAATAAAAAGTTTCCATAGCCCCTTTTAATATTTCAACAAAGACACAAATTGATTTTTTTGCGCAGTAACAGAAACAATCATTGTTCTTTTCCAAGATATTCATTGTTACACTTTTCTTTATTTCTTTACAGATTCTTCAGTAGACCTAGAACTTATTTTTTAAAAACCTTTTTCTTACTTGTGAATATACTGGGTATAATTATATTATGCAATTTTTGGCAGGTTGACGAAATCAGAGAGATGGTAGATAATGATCTGGGATTTCAACAAGCTCCTCTTACATGCTCCAGAACTAAGACACTGTTATTTATTTCTAATGATAAAAAAGTAACAGGATGCTTAATCGCCGAACATATCCAATGGGTGAGTAAGGCTGTGTCCAGAACAAGTTTTTTCTTCATTCATTGGGTGTTTTTTTAAAGCTCTCTTCATTTTTGTAGTATTTTCTGTGGGTAGGCTATACTATAAAGAGCATTATTTGCAAGTGGCTCAGTCTTCTGAGTTATGTTGAAGGCTGGTTTTTGGCTTTTGTTCTGTTTTTAAACTTCCATATGCTTCTTGACACAGCTGGCAGTAACCCTTTCTGTAATGGGCAATGTGAACTGTTTGCGGAGGGAAGGAGTAGCATATGTGAACTGTTTTCCTTTATAAAATGAGCTGTTAGCTTTATGCCTGAAGCAATCTGGAATATCTTCTGTAAGTGGGTTTACTCAGAATTCTGTCTGTCTGTTGCAAGCTCCAAGCTGCCTGAAGGCAATGTTCTCTAGTTCTGCTCAGATATCATAAAGAACATAGCTGGGGGGTGTTTTTTTAATGAGGTATTTCCTTCTACCCCAAAACAATACGTCCGAATGAGGGATACTGTCAAGATGAATTGTATGCTGGCGCAGCTGGTCAGAGGACAGACACACCCTGAAGGGGACTGGTGCAGACCATATACCCTAATTAACTTCTAAAGTTCCACATTGTAGGGAGTGACTGTTGACTCTAGCAGACGATTTCTCAGTTTGAAACACGAAAGCTGCCTGCTTTTTGTTCTTTTCCTTGCAATAAAAATGGCAACGGTGTGATTGAACAAAATTCTGAAAGGAGGTAGTGATGAAAACATCTATAATAGACAAGTTCACCTTACATTAGCTGTTTTAGTGCACTTTGCATTGGTAAAGTATGCTGAAGCTAGGTTTGTTCTCTAGGGATACAGAGTTATCGAAGAAAAGATACCAGAAGTTAGTTCAGAAAACGAGAAAGTCACATTTGAAAGGCAAAAGGCTTGGTGCTGCTCAACGTCTCCTGAGCCTGCTATCTGTGGAATTAGTCGCATCTGGGTGTTTAGCATGATGCGTCGGAAGAAAATTGCTTCTCGGATGTTAGAATGTTTGAGGTAAACATTTATATTGTATTTTAGTATGAAATGTGTTAAGTATATGACTGGAGTCCCCATCATGGTGCCTGCAGGCACACATACACCATCCCTGATACCCACGAGAGGATCTCAGTCCTTAGAAACAAACAAAAACTAGTTGGTTGAAGGCTTTTTCCACCTCTGCTGTCTGTTAAGAATAGTTCCACTTTCTTTGGCCTCTGTACAGAGTTTTAAAATGCCCTACAATCTTTGCCCTTCGCTTCTCAATTCTAGCCAGAGGTATGGAGAGAATGTGCTGCGATGGATGTGTCAATAAGGAACAAAAAGATAGTGTTTGTGAAAGGGAAGTGGCAAGGCACATTTTTAGCAGCAATAACCACAGGGTTTCCCTCCCCCCTTCTGTGGGGAGGGAGTGGGAGCTTTTTGGATCTCCTCCCCAAAGAAAGTCCCACGAGAAAGGGCTAAATGACGGGAGCAATTCTGTAGTTCTCTCCATCCAAATAAGCCACAGGCCTCAACAGCACCCCACAGCTGTGGCTTTCCCAGTTGGGTGGACATATCTTATAGTATTGGATAGACTATTTTTACAGAGCAGTTCATGGACCCAAAGCCCAGTTCCTCATGATTTTCACAAGGTACCAGCTGAAAGCCAGCATCAAATCACAGATCGCATTGACGTCCACCAGATTTGTGGAACATGGCAGGTGCTGCAAGGGGTAGATTTTGGAGGAGGAAAGGGGGAATCTCATTCCACTCTTGGGCAGGACACAGTTGAATAGTGCCCAAAATATTTAGCATTTTATATAGTCATCTGAATACTCTAAAGTGCTTCACAAATCATAATATTAATCTAAATATTTACTTTTTATGTTTGCAAGCATGCTTAGTCAGCCAGTCACATCTTTCACTTTATTTGCTATTATTGGAAGCCTTCTGTTTTATCGTAACTATGAGTCCAGAGAGTAGATAGTCAAATTTCAAAAGTTGTGTGAACTGCTGTAATTTCTCTTCTTACCCTCTCCTGTGGTCTTTAAAACTGCTTTTTCAAAAACATGGAATAGGGTAGCATTTGATGGTGCCAGTTGTTTCACTTGATTGATGGGGATTACGGTATTTGATCAAATAGCATGGTACCCGTATATGTTATGTTAACGCTATTCCTTTTTAAAATATCTTTAAACAGGAGTAACTTTATATATGGCTCATATTTGAGTAAAGAAGAAATCGCCTTTTCTGATCCTACCCCTGATGGAAAACTGTTTGCAACACGGTACTTTGGTACTAGTCAGTTCCTGGTATATAACTTTCTCAGTGGACAACAACCTGCTTAGAGTGGAAATTTTATAGCAAAATTATTGCCCAGCTGCAGACAGAGAATGGGGCACTTCCTAGCAGTTAACTCAGGAGTAGTAACAACCAAAATGTGGTTGCTGTATTTTGTTAACTGTAAACAGTACAAAAAGTAGGGTAATTTTTTTTAAAGGCTATTTTTATATAAAGAATGTATTATATCTATAGTAACTTAGTCATGTTTACATGCAGTATATAATTGTTCATAGTGGACTGTCAACTAGTGCAAGAACTGTGGTCGCCTTTAAAGTACATTTTGAAGTTCACAATGAAGTAATATACCAGGGCAGTGACAGCATTTCTTTTCAATAAGAGCCTATACATACATATCATCGCTAAAAGATGTTCTACAGCATGACATTGTTTTGTTTCCGTATACACTTTGAATGGAAAACAATGTTTTAAAAAAGACAGTGTTGAATAGATTAGCCTGAGAAGAAGGAAGCCCTGACTTTTTTCAGCAATAGCATACTTTTTTTGTGGACTTCACTTTGATACTTTATCCAAAATCCCTCCAATTTCAGAGGGTGCATATGTTGAAAAACTGCTGTGGCCTTTCTTGACCTGTATATAATGTAGATTAAAAGTAAAGTATTTGATAATTTTAAAATAATGTACTAATGCTCAGTAAATTTAATCAATGCCTTTGATATGGTTGAATATTAAAAGTTGATTGAAACACTAGTCTGATTATTGTATCAAAATGATGGGGTGATTACCAACTATGCTAGCTAAATTTTGAAGACCTAATATATCAGGTTCCTAGTGTCACTATGGAAATTTTCAGTCTAAAATGAGACTGACTGACAAGAGTCTATCTCATTTCCAATAGTAGCTGGTGAACTACCTCTAGGAAGCCCTACAACATGTAGGTGTCGCAGCTCAAAACACCACTTACCTTTACATTATTAGTGTAACACTGGAAACACAGATTTAAAAAGTGCTGCTTTTTCACCAAATAAAAGTTTGATGGCAGGAGATTTTCCACAATTTTAAGAATAAGACAGACTCTTAAATGGTAATGTGATAACATTAATTGAATTTAATGAAAGAACATTATAAACATACTATAGCCACAATTGCAGACAATTTCAATTCAAACAATAAAATGTGAGGTAGACTGGCTAGTGAAGCTAAATTCACCAAGCTTTGGTTAAGAGAATTTTACATCAAGGATTGCTTCAGACCTGATGAACTTCTTACACAGAGAGACTATGTACCCCTACATAGAGAAAAAGCAGGCAGACAATGCAGAGCAACATATATGATGCCTACAACACAGATTTGTTATATATACATATATTGTAACAAATCTGACATGGGATAATCACACTTATGGATTTACAGTTTGCATACCTTTCACCCTAGAAATAAAAATTACCAGTATAGGAAATTGGTCAGGAGTGAAGCAGTCCTAAGAAAAATATTTAAACCCTTTTCAGAGGTGACACAAAACAACTGCATAAATTACAGATATGAGTGATTTGTTTTATAATTACAGATTACATTCAATATTAACCGGTGTCTTAACTACTTATATTTGACAAGTCTACCGGTAAAATAATGCTGGCCTCTTTAATACATTCATGTCACTGCCTTGCTGGCAAGGCTTGTAACCAAAATATTAGATTGTAGCATCTGGTATCTTTTTCTGATGTACTGTCCTGTAAAATCATTTAGAGAGCTTGCATTATTAAAGCATATGGATGTCAGTAATTAATTTCCGAATACATTTCAGCTGGAATTCAACCAAAACTCTTATTTCTTTGCCTAAGTGACAATGCTTTGAATGTGCTCTTGTCCAGAAAGAAAATAGATGTAACCAGAATCTTTCTACACAAAGCATTCCCCAGTATAACAGAGTAGTTGAGCTTCTTTACTTCCAACAATGATTTAAAATACTTCTGCACGTGTTGGTCAGTGGAGTGCACTAGTAAAAACCCTAACCAAAAACTGCGTAAGTGGGGTAGCAATGTGAGGGGCAAGAGCTTCAGGCAGTGACTTTGAACTAATACTACTGAAAACCATGTTCAGAAAGCAGTGTATCAAGTAAGGATAAGAATATGCTGTCAAGGAGATAGTACATTTTTCTAGGTAGAGAATATAGTGCTTAGAAACTGATACCCATAAACACAAACTGTTCTGAGATGGTATGTAGACAGTCTGCTACAAATATGACCAAAAAACCCTGATTGTGTGAAAAGGCGCTTAGCCTCCAAGTTCTCAACTTACACATATTCTTGTACCTCTTTACCAAGGGTCTAATCACTCTCAGCACATGGAATTTTTAAGAACTTAGTGCAAACATCATATATACAAAGATTTTTTGAAAGATTTTTTTATCTGCAAAGTTTGCATTAAAATGGAAACTTTCACAAATTCACCTTATGCGGGTATTAAGTTCAGCCAACGAAACCAGAACAAGACCCTAAAATGCCAGTAATTCTACATGTGTCTTAATAGGCTACACAGTGAATACACCAGCCTTGTAGTTCCTAACTGCAGTTCTTACATAACCTCCTACCAAACAAAAATTAAGGTACTCATTAAGTATAAGGCAGATTTTTTATGGGTACAAAAAATCCCAAATAACCTACACTAGAGTAAACAATCGTTCATTTGAAACATGCTACATTTACATAAAGCTATAATAAAATGAACAGGTATGAAAACCATTATTTTCCTTTTCAACTTCAATCAATATATTATGCTTTTCATTATTTGTAAACAGCTTTTTCACAAGGTTAAAAAGTTGTACAATTAACACTTTTGTTCTAAATGCAGTTTGGCAGCTGCTTCTTAATCGACTTTTTGTGTTCTTAATTATATTTAGATCATAATAAGTGTAATGCACCGAATGAAATTCTCACTAACAAGATGAAAACGGGCTGCATATAAAATATTGGTGTGACAAGAAAAAGTGTAAGAATGGCAGTGAAGGAAGAACCACCACAAAGCGTAACAGTAGGAAAAGCTGGAAAAAGCAGAGTAGGAAAAAGGAAGTGAATTCTATCCATAAATGTTAACTGCATTATGAAGCCCTGATTGTACCGTACTCATTTAAACTCTCAGCATATTTCACAGCACAAAGTGCTGGTATAAAGAAACCCACTCTTAAAACAATTCACAGCCTATTTAAAAATAGTGTTATTTTAACACCTCTCTAATTCAAACAAAGCACAGAGCTTGATCCAGTTAAGCACACGCATTCAGTACCTACAGATGAAAGAATTCTACGGACCCCAGCTGAGTTCTGCTGTATCTGTTTCCATCAAAACAAGCATGTACTGAGGCATTACAAGGGCACTTCCAGCGACAGGAGATCTGTGCCCACCTCCTGTACCACCACCCCCTTCTATTTCTGTGCCTTGTATGCTACTTATGTTTAGGACCAAAAGGAACTTGTATGGTGCAACAGTAAGAATATGGAAAGTGCTCTCAGACTTTCCATTCCTTCCACTGTCTTTTCATGCTACCTGTTTATGCCGTTTATGCCCATGTGCTTGCATTGGGGAGTTGGAAAAAAACAGCTCTATTGAACTCAGTGGAACACAGGTGCTGGAGTTGTGCTCCATTAGATCAAGCCCTAAATAGTTAAAATGACCTGGCCAACTTTTCCAGGTGTGCTTAAGACCTTTATTTGTATGTATGTATGTATGTATGTAAACACACAGCTCCTGCTGTTGGTCCCAATTCAGTTAGAAGTTATTTTAATGGACTTTATGGCTCTCAGAACTTGTGGCTCAGCTTGCTTCAGCCATTAAATACTTCACGCTTCTGGCCTATGGTTCGTCTGTTTTTCATGGGTTAGTAAATGCTCTCCATAAAAGCACACATATAGCATTCTCTACCCAAAAAACTATAGAGAAAGTTGAAGCAAGCGAGACACCGACTGCAAAAAGAAATAAAGGAACTTCTGCTGTGTGAGAACAAGCTAGAAGGCTGATTTGTCACCTCAGAATGATTTCCGATAGTACTGAGGATTACATCATTTTGGTGGAGTTTAAGCACACCGATGAGACAATATGAATAAGCAGGCTGGTTGTCAAGACTGATCCATGTGCAAAAATAGGTTCCTGCACATGGCTTGGCATGCTACCAGAGAGAAAAGGTTGATCACCTACTGAGTTGAAGATCTTTCCATTCAGACCAATATTTCACCCCAAAAGGTGAAATAACAGCTGTTCTGACAAACCAGCATGTGCACACAATGCCTGCCTTACATTCATCAATTTCTTCAGGCTTATGTAGTAAACTTTAACTTTTGTGGAAATTTTGCCAAAAGTTTCAATACATATAAAATTACAAACCTTAAGCTAACACTGCACAGAAAGTGAACAAAAAATAATCTTTCAAACACACAATTCTAGGTTACTTTTTGTCTTTTCAAACCCCTGAGTTATACCGTACCAAAAGTACAGATATGAAGAGAAATGGACAGCATTCCTCAGCATATTATCTTCAAATAATTCCACATTCTTACTGCGAACCGCATGTAACACATTCAAGCTGACAGATGCCAAAAGTCTGTTTAATTCTCCTCCTTTAGCATAGTATAAAGCGATCAGGAGAACTTGCCATCCACCAAAATGTTATTCTCCACATCATGGGTATGCCATTACGTAACAGTGACCCACGAGGAATCAACTTGAATCAATTCACTTTTCAGTCATAAAAAATAAAGTCTGGGTTAGAAATTTGGGGGATCCTTAAGAGTAGTGAACATAAATATTGGTTGCACTTTGCTCCACAGTGATTGTACTTTCAAAGAAAGGGGGGAAAAGACACAATCCGACTTTTCAGGTTCTGTTCTTTTCCTTTGCCATTTGTTTCCTCTCAAACTTATATATGGCGCCCAGTCAGAAAATAGAGTGGCTTATCATCGCTACTATTAGCAGTCTGAAATTCATCTCTCAGACGAAACTGCCATTCATCTTCCAGCTCTAGACGGACTATTGTTTGCCGCAAGGAGCTCCTGTCTTGGCAAATGACACACAGGGTTGCACCTAAGGTTAAAAAACAAAGGACAGTTTATACCACCATTTCATTTCCATGTTTGTTTGTTTTGTTAATTTTCTGATATTTCTCCCTCCTCCTTGGAAATATTACATATACACAAGTAAGGTATGCACCTTTCCCAGCCCAGTTTACACAGCACTCCCTCAACCCACGTTTTTCAGATTTCCACTATCCCCTTCAGGAAACAGCTTTCAGGTTCTACTTCCTAAGAAAGCCAAAAGCCACCACACCGTTAATCATAAGATTGCCCATAATATGCCACTAGTGATAATGTGATGTTTCTTCAAACACAGTCTGTCATCGTAACCTGTAAAACGATCAAGCTCCAACAAGGTGGAACTGCTTTTCCAGTTGCAACTGTAATGCCAAGTCTTAAATGGGAGTTAAGTAACCATATTATACCTAACATTAAAAGGCCTAACATGCATTTTTACTAATATTTTACCATATTTGTAAGAAGAATTCCCACTTCACCTTTAACCAGGCGTCAAAAGCAAGTGGAACAATCAAATGTTTTTTCTACCCTTAGAAAAAAGTACAAAAAAGTAGTTACAAGTAACGAAGCAACTCAAATTAACTAACTCACAAAAGGGATACTTCCTGAGTTGCCAGGAGATTGTGCTTCCCTAGATGTGTCTGCAATGGATTTGGCTTGCA